AGAGTAAAAATAGTTGAGGTGCCCTTTTGGCTTCAGTAAAAAAATAAAAATCAAATTAAATTGCATTTAAAAATAACTACTTTGACATTTAGTTTAGATAAATACTTTACCCTTCCCTGGCACCAGTCCTTCAGTTTAACTGAAACATATGCTGCTTCCATTTACATTATCTCTCCATCAAAGCAGTTCACATCTCCACTTTTAGAAATTATACAAACCACAGAGACATTTGAAGAGCCTGCTTCTTCCATAATGCACAGACTTTAATATTTTGCCACTTCTATTACTGCCTTTTAAAAAAATGGCATTTCCAGCAATTTAGTGACTATGCTGGTTGCAGCAATCAAGAAGATTTGGTTTGGTTTGGGCTGTGTTACTTTTAATGTGAAAGTACTTTAAGCTTTTGTATCCCACAGTATTATATTTTTCTGGTTCTGGAAGGTCAGGATTCTAGTTTGAATTCCAAATTGCAGAATTCCAGCTTGAACTGGTGGTAAGTTACCCGGTATTTTACCAAAGGTTGCCATGGACTAACACGCATGTGGCAACCTACAGGCCGCACACAATCATAAGGAAACCTGCAGCCTCTGTGGGTGCCTTGCTACTCACCAACATTCCTTCCATTAGTGAATTTTGATGCCTCCCCAGTGGGTTTGTGCCGAAGCCCACCCACCTCCCTCCCCGTATAAATCATGCTCCTTACCACCTGCCAAAGTGGAGTTTGGTGGTCTTGGGGCAGTGGGGAAAGAATGTGAGATTAGAGATGGCAAGCCATTCATCTAAGACTACTGAGACCAATTGGTGCTTATTATATTTTAAAATTAGTTATTATTTGAAAAATAGATATTAGAGTGCAGTAGGAACAATTAACACTGTGAGGGAGCTTTTAACGGGAGCAGCATAGGGCATCAATATTCCATATATTTGCCCTGGTTATTTTAAAAAAATGTAATATGTACTATTTGCAAACAGCCAAACTAAGCAACATATTGTTAAGAATTTCGGCAAATCATTGAAGATAATAATGCCATGGGACTATGTTGGTTTTTCCAAATGACATGTAACCTGCCTTACACCATGCAACTTCTTTTTTAAATGGCCCACACTTTATTAATTTTTGACCAGGCTGTTTAACAACAGATATCTGTTTATATTGCATGGCATCTAGCAGGACTGACTATTCTGGTTGTATTTTTTTTTTATTTCCATAAGCAAGCACTGAGGAATTGCCTGAGAGCAAACTTTATACTTCAACATCTTTGCCTTGCAGCAAGTGATAACTTCAGAAAAGGCAAATAAATCTTCCCACTGTCCTGTCCTCATTCTCTGACTCCAGTAACTGCTCTTGTCTCACTGTAAAATTTGCCATGGCAGGTTACCTACTTGATTTGTCCACTGCACTTGAAGTGGTTGCTAAAAATAGTTATTCTCAGTCTGTCTTCTCTGTCAGTAAATGCATCCCCCACCCCACCCCTGTCATTAGGAAAATACACAAAGATCTACAAAATGAGTCGATGAGGACTGGATTCATCAGCTAGTAACCATATGGTCTCACTCTAAATATAGAGTGATGATAATCAAAAGATTATGTGATGGGAGTCATTGCCTTAAAAATAAAGATAAAATACAATAAAAATAAAACACAACCACAAATAATCCTTACATCATTTTTGTCATCTTTATTTTATTATATTATGATATTACCAAAGACTTTTCTTAACTGGGTGGTATCCTTGCCAGTTTTATACTGTGTTTTTAACAATGAAATCTTATCTGATATACTTGAATTTTAAATTTTATGATTGACCTGGCGGCCATTGTATGTTCACATGCACCATTTTAATTGGATAGTTCATTTTTGCCAGCCACTTGGGATATTTTCCAGTAGAAAGATGGGTTATAAGCAATTGTAAAGGACCCCTGGATGGTTAAGTCCAGTCAAATTCGACTGTTGGGTGCGGTGCTCATCCCCATATCCAAAATCCAGTGATTTAGCACCTCTACTAGGTGAACCAGAGGGTGCCATATAATGAGGTATGGGGGAAAGAGAAAGCTTCCTGCTCCATAATTGTATGAGGTTCTTGTACACAAAAAGGTCCGAAAAGGGTACAAGGTAGGAAGCAGAGATCGTTTGGGGAACAATTGAACATTTCACTAGTCCTAAAAGCTGCTTCATTTGTTATAATTTTTTTACACAGAAGAACCTTCTGTGTAGGAAATAATATAGGAAATATAAAGACAAGAACATTTCTGTTTCCATATAGTGTGCATGCATAAGGGAACCATGGCCATTTGTGGTTTCCAAGCACTTATATACACATGTGCAATGTGCAATATTAACCTATGAAACTGCTGGGGCAAGTTGTCCAGATATTTGGGTTGCAGCATCACCAGTATCGGGATGATACTTGACTCTACTTCTTGTTTCCATCTTCTGATTCCAGAGAGGGGAGGCTAATAAAATCCAAAACCAGTGTTTGGAGGTAGTTCTGGAATGGATGAGAGCCAGAAAACTGAGCTTGCAGCCAGGTAAAAGAGCAGTAGTGTAGCAGATTGTTTCATCATCATCATCATCATCATAAATTTTTATTTGTACCCAGCCCTCCCCGGCTGGAGCCGGGTTCAGAGCAGCTAACATCATATAAATAATATAATATCTATCAATATCTATAGTTGTTGCTAGGTAGGATTATACTCCCTCTGAAGGACCAATTGCACAAACGTGTTTTCCTGGATCCGGTGCTAACTGGAGAAGCTCAGTTGGTGGCAGTTTTACCAACTTAGGCTGGTATGCGAGGTGCAACTGTATCTGGAGAGGCCAAACCCTTCCTCAGTTATACAGATTGGACCACTGCAATGAACTGCACATGGGGCCACATTTTAAAATGGTTAAGAAAATTCAGCAGATCCAGTTTCAGCTGCCTGAGTTCTGTTGGGACCTAAACAGTCACAGCATGTGGCACCATTACTGTACCAGCTATACTGATTAAATTGTAGCATTTCCATGCTTTAATAAAAGTGCTGGTTATGTTTTTTGAAGCTTTACATGTTTTGGGTCAAAGCTATTTAAAGAACAGAATCAATATGCCAGCAGTCTGAGGTCAACAATGGAGACTCTTCTGATTTGCCTACCACCAGAGGGTACAAGTCACAGGGCATTTTCTGTGGTAGCCCCCCAGCTATGGAACTCATTGTTAATTGAGTTCTTTCAGACTGCAATACTGCAGACTTTCCAGAAATATTAGGAGACTTGTCCCCCTCCCCCTCTTTTTGGTAGACTTTTTCTTGAAGGAAAACTAATTTGGAGGGATTATTTTCTGCTGTTGGGATTGCCTCTATCTCAGTAACCTTGCATTGGCTCAATTTTTTACTAATTGTTGGTTTTTATTATTTTATCCATTAGTACTTTTTGTGTGTGATTTGAATGTTTCATATATTATTGTTATTTGCTTGTTTAACTTTACGTTCTTGTTTGCCACTTTGTGAGAAATGATCTAAAAGGCAGAATATAAATTTTAAAAGTAATAAATACAAAAATATTACACTCTCACATATGTCCTACACTGAAGGCACTTCTGTCAGGGAAAGCTTTGTATAGTGCAAGGCAAGGAAGCCTTTCAAAATGAATGATGATTCTAAAGTAGTATTCAAAGTTTTCAGGAGCACTTTTTAATGGGATAATCTTTAACACTTGTAATTCATAAAGTAATAAACAGCAGCTGAGATTGATTAATAGTCAAAGCAAAGTTGAGGCATGTAATCAATCTCAACAATTGTTTATTGAAAATACTTTTCAAAGTGACAGAAACTGTTGGTTTTTCATAGTAAACTATAAGATTGAAAGTGTGGGTTGTTTATTTCCATTGGCAGGGTTCAGAACTCTGTTGTCTTTTGGGGACTTCTTGGTTGGCTCAGATTGTATATTATCAGGAGTCACCTTTCTAGATCCAGCATTTATAGCAGGGCAATACCTTTATTAACTTCAATCAAAATGACACAAAATTGTGAGCAAACTTTTGAGTTCTTAGATGTTAAGTGAAACATCCAAGGGGAATAAAAAAGGTGCAAAGGCCTATCTAATCCAGTATCCTGTTTTAGCAACCAACCACATACTCTTGGCTCAGACCTCATCAGTGTATTTCTGAAGATGTTTGCCCCCGTGAACATCATTTTACATTTACCTATATGTAGGTGTCGTTAGTAGCAGACCACATGGACTGCATGCAAAAGCTTCCAGGTTCAATCCCTGGCATCTTCAGGTAGGGCTAGAAAGACTGCTGTCTGAAACTCAAGGGAGCTTCCGCCAGTCAGTACTGAGCTAGATATGGTCTGACAATATAACTCATGTTCTTATGTTATCATTTCAGACCTTAATCTGGGGAATTTTTCTCCTTTTGAACTCGGTAGTGAAGCTGAAGGTTTTGTTCTTTGGATGAAGCCAGAGTTAGCTCAGATAGCTTTTGCAACATCATAAAGCTGCTTATGTAGGTGCAGGATTTTTGTTCTCTGTGGGCATCAGCAGAACACGCATAAGCCCGCCCCACCCTGTCACACCCCATTATGCCCCCGTTCTGCCCTCCTCTGGTTTCAAAATGACCCACCCATCGGTGGTCTCATATCAGTTGAATACACACAAAATGGTTGCCAGCTGTACTAAGAATTATTATCTAGACCAGTGGTTCCCATTTGGTGGGTCACAGACCCAGGAGCTCCATGACACCATTCACATAAAAATGTGAATATCAGAGATATCAAAATTTTCAAAAGTAGGGGGTCCATGACTTGGCTTTTGAAAAACGGGGTCTGCAGTACTTAGCTAATTAGGAACCACTAGTATAGATCTTATTTCACTCAAGGAGATTTTCAGAGCCAACTGATATTTTGTGTTATTGGGTAAACTACAGAATTTTGCAAACTCTATTGTGATTTTGAAAACAATCAGCCTTAAATAGAGTACAGTTTTTAATGGCATGAACCTTACACAGATCTAACTGTAGACAATGTTGTGTGTAATCACAGGTTATCCCACATGGAGAGTATTTTCATGGACATCAAAATATAAATCCAGCCAATTCAATGAGGCCTGCATGAACATTGTGATGCAGAGGGTAAGTTTATCCAGATGCACATCTGTATCTATATTAGCTGGGACACTACTTCTAGGCATGAGTTTTTCTTACTAGATTTGGTGGGATTGGGGCAATGATCATATACTCCCCTATCTCACACTATGCTCCTGATTTTGTATAGTGGACAAGATAAACTGTCTTTAACATAGGAATGGTAAATCATTATTAAATGCAACTTATATACTACACACTGCCCAGACCCTAAATTTCCTCCCTCATTGCCTTTGGTACAGGAACCCCAGATATGGAATAGGTTGCCCAGAGTCTTCTCTATTGTGGAGTGTTTGTTTTTTTGGTAAGTGAATAACCTTTCATTCACCCATATTTTTTCATTGTGTTTTGAGTCTGTGCTGCAAACTGTTTCTACTGTCACTGTTGCAAGGTTTTCTATTTAACATATTTTGCTGTCTTTTACTGCTTATTGTTGATTTTAATATGTGTTGTAATTTTTAATATTGCCTTGTTTGTAAGCCATCCAGGGATTATTTATTTATAAATGAAATTTGTGATTCCAAATCTTTCCCACTATTTTTCAGATGTCTCTGTCAATGAATGATATAGGAACACCCACCACAGATTTTAGTCTCTTTTTTGACTCACGCCTGTATCAGCATGATGACACACTAGTTTGTAACTGTGCTGAAGCCATTGTTCAGGGTGAGTTTAAGGAGAAATTACATTTTCTAGAAAGACTTTTTCCTTTGCAGCATTCCATACAATTACAAATAAGTCCCAGATCCTAATGTATGTTACTTGGTTTGATGACACATCTTAATGTAGCCTGTTCCAGATATAGTAGATGGATGAAGAAAGTATGTGTATTTGAAGAAGGAACCTTTTTTACAAATTAAAAGAATGAGGTGCAAGGGATTTCAACCATTAAGACATGGCAAATAAAAATTACAAAGGGAAATAAAGTAGTGGAATAAAAATTAACTCTTGAACTTGACAACCTAGAGAATGGGGAGAATAAAAATAATGTGCATATGAAAAGAGTTAGAGAAGGAGCTAAGAAAGCTTAGTGACTTTTATACAAAAGTGGCTCAAAGAAATGTTAGATTATGATAATCATAGGGAAAAGGTTCATGCTCATTATTTTGCCAGCATCATGGAACTAGATCCAGAGGTTTTGACTGGATACGATATAGGTAAAGGAAAGGTTCTGGGGAGAAAGCCAGAGAGAACAATTAATTGTCCATTATGTGTCAGGAAATGACTTTTGGAAATATTTTTGCCTTTTGATTCTTAAACCAAGAGGGGGACCAGAGAACAATGGAGCACCAAGAAAAATTAGTTCATTGCAGATGGAGTTTGATTTCCTTTGTGGTGTCTGCCTGCACAGGAAAAGAAAAAAGGAGGAATACAGATGAGAAGAGTCTTAAATATACAGAAAAATAATATATTTCTCTTTGTGAACTTGGTGACACTACATAGCCAACAGGGAAAACGTCTCCTAATTTCAGTACTGGTATTATAAAGCCAGAATGACATATGAAAATGATTTTTCTTATATATCAGGTTATAATCCCAATCCGAACCACCTTTACTTGGAAGAAACTCTTCATTTCTTTTAGTGGAATTTACATCCAAGTAGGTTGTTTAGGACTGAAGGCTTAGGTGCTAAAAAAGACAGAACTTTTTTAAGTGCTGGAAACAGTATTGTTGAATTGCCATTGCCCCACCATACTTTCTTCTTTCTTTTTGTCCCACCATAGTTGTTGATCAAGCTAACGTTTCTGGTTTTGTAGCGCTTCCAGGGATGGGCTGGCCAATTCCCCCTATTGAGGGGCAGCAGAAATTTTACCTCAAAAGGGATATTGTAGAGTTGGAAGAGGTTCAGAAATGGGCAGCCACAATGATAAGGGTATGGAGCAACTCCCCTAAGAGAAAAGGTTGCAGCATTTGGAACTTCTTAATTTTAAGGAAAAGGTGAGCAGGAGTGGCATGATAGAAGTTTATAAAATTATGCATGGCATGGAGAAAGTGGATTTCCCACAGGCACCTTGTTGGCCACTGAGAACAGGATGCTGGACTATATGGGCCTTTGGCTTGATCCATCAGGTTCTTCTTGTGTCCTTATGTTTATAATTATCTCTGTGAGAGAACCAGGTGGTGGACTATATATGCAATTTGCCTGATCCAGCAGGCTCTTCTTATGTTCTTATGTTTTGATTGGTTAGGATTAAAAAGGCCGGATAGTCAAGTGTAAGGGGAATAGGACCTGTGATGTGATGTTTTTCCATTTGTAGTTTCATCACTTTCTGTGTAAGGGGTTGCCTTAGACTGAGACTTGTAAGTTTTTTGTTAAGAAGTGTTACTTTCTAGTTTTCCTCTGTCTCTCTCTATGCTCCTCCCCACTGGGTTTTATCTTGCCCAGGGCAGCCCTAAGTGACTTATAACCAACCAACCAAGCAAACAGGGAAGCAAAACCCTCCACAAATATAGTAAAACCGGAGGGGTGTGTGTTTGAAATACATTAAAAGCATGCCAACCAATTCTAAAAGGCCACAAATAGTTAAAGGCCAAAGACCTGGTTATAGAGGAAAGTTTTTCATGGAATCATAGAACTGAAGACTTGGGACTCACATGGTCATTTAGTCTGATTCCCTTCGATGCAGGAATCTTAACTAAAGCATCCATGACAGATGGCCATCCAGCCTCTGCTTTAAAACCTCCAATGAAGAAGAGCACCACCTTCTGAGGGAGTCATTTCTGCTGCTGAACAGCTCTGGCACCTAATGATATGTAATGATGGCGCCAAGTGAGCCTTATTCTTTTTCACTTGCTCAGTTTCTTTCTCAAGCGGATGGTTTGTGATTGCCTTACATCTTTGCATTGCAGTCTGCTGGTGCTGCTATTAAATGCAAAGTCAGTTCCTAACAAAATCTCATTCACCCATGATTCCATGGTGGATAAAAAGGCTGACCTAGCTTGTATTACTGAAAGGTGGCTTGACGAGCTGAGGGTATAGTTTCTCCTAGTTATGCCCTCCTACTTAAGTACTCAGTTCAGTATCAGACTAGAGTCAGGAACTGGTGGCAGCAATGGAGGGTTTCTGTAGTCTCACTGTCTCTAGGCTTCTTGTCTGTTTGAGTGCAGTATGGAGTATATGTATCTTGTGTTGAGTGACCAGGACAGAATAGAAATTCTGCTGGTGAATCACCTGACAGAGGCGGTATTGGATATGGTGTTGAAGATTCCCAGGATGGTTGTTCTGGGCTGGGGGAAACCTAGTTTTCATGCTAAGGTCACCAGCTCCTTGATGGCTCTGGTCTTTATGGGTGCCATTACAATCCTGAGCTATTCCAACATGTCTTTAGCCCAACACATAAAGCAAGATACACCTGATAGTTGTTTCTTGGCTACACAGGAAGATAGTAATCTGAAAATGGGGGATTTTGCATTATTATGATTGAACCACTTCCGGTTGAAATCTAGACTTGCATTTCCCCTCTGAATGCATGGGAGGTCTATTAATGTAATTCACACTCAGATGCTTATGGACACTGATGGACTCCAAAGGGCTTTTTGGGATCTTCTGGTGAGCATGACAGGCACACTTGCCTTAGGTCTTTACATGTATGAAATAAATGTCAGTAAGGTCATAATGGAACCTCTTTATAAATGCCTCAGCTTTTATATGTTTTGGAATCTGACTGTGGAAGAAAAGCAAATACAAAGAAATACAAAGCAAGGGGCCCGGAAATGACCATTGCTAAAAGGAGTTGTTTGGGGAGAAAAGTCAAAACAAAGTGATCTTGATTAATTTTCTGCATTACTTAGACTAAAAGCTGGTCAAAATAGGGCAGGAAAATCTTGTACAGCACAATTTTACTAAGAAGTCCTACTGAGCTCAGTGGAATTTGCAATGTAATCCTATTCATTGTCTGCTTATAAGAATGTAAACTGAGTCCTGCTGGATTAAACCAAAGCCCTACCTACTCCAGCACAATCTAGAACCAAAACCCTGTCTAGAAGCACAGGTTCTGCAATAAATGCCCATCTGGAAGTACCCTTTTTCTTTTAGCAAGCCCACTAATGATCTAGAGCCCTTGTCAGATCTGCAACTGCTGCTATAATATAATAGAATATAATCTGTAGATCAACATGGTTTCAGAGATTTAGGGCGTGGGTTAGATTTTTTGGGGAGGTTCCTTCCATCGCTGCAATTCTATTATTTAGGCTGAGTGACAGGGTTGCTGACATAAATATATATACATGAAGCAATAATGTAACATATAAACCTTAGAGACTACGTACAGGTAGAAAAAGTAGTCATGATGTTACATATAAGGGTGTTGCAGTTACAGTGAGTGAGCAAGGAAGAAAAACAAACTATTGCAATTAAGATGGGGCTAAAGTTTGTTGCGCCGGGCAAGGCATCGCTGTGGAAACCCCTAGTGAACTGATATAAGGCGTGGGCACAGAGCTGACTTTGTAACACGATGCAGGGCAGAGTAACGATCCTGCCAGAGAACACTTCAGCAGAACCAGCGGCAATGTGGTGCCTATTTAAAGGTAAAGGTAAAGGGACCCCTGACCATCAGGTCCTATTTAGGTCTTTTAGGCCTATTTAAACTTGAGCGCTAATAAATGACTTCCCACCTAGCACAGTTAGCATGGACGAATACTACGATGTCGTTTTTGCGGCAGAATAGCCCCGCCTTTCCCGCCTGCTCGCCCGCCAACATTTCGGGACAGGTTGCCGTATTAAAAAAACAACAACGCGGAAGTAGCTCGAGAGGGGATAAGGGCAAAGGCTTCGGCCGCTGCTACAGAGCATGCGCCGTTCTTTTGAGCATGCCCAGTACCGACGACGGAGGCGCCCGCTGGCCGCTCTTACGGTGCACCGGCTGCGACGGGAGCAGAAAAAGCAGCAGCGGCTGACGCGGCGACCGTCCTTTCCTCGCAGGTTCTCGGATACATTGCTTCCTTTCAGTAGCTTGGAGGACACGGGGAGCCCAAGGTGTGGAGGGTCGGAGGAAGGGGGCAGCTAAGTAGGGTTTCTGCGCGCGCGCGCGTGTGGTTGCTATGGTGACCGAAGCTACCTGGTCGGTTCCCAGGGAACAGGATGCCGCCTGGAGCAGGAACTGCTAAGGACTTCCTGGCCTGTCTGCCTAGATTCTCCCTCTGTATACCTCCGTCCGTCCGTCTGCCTGTCTGTGTGAGTTACTGGACTTTTCCTGGGCTGCCAACCCTCTTGGCGGATGCCATCAGGGGTGCCCACCTGCACTCAAGCCTTGAATTGGGACTGAGGTTTGGTGGTGGTGGTTAAAAATGCATCTGTTCCTAGAAGATACTGAAAGTTAAATAGGTAAATATGTAGAAAATGAAGCCTTAAAGACAAGAAGAACCACGCTGGTACCAATTTGGTTCTCTCTAGAACCAGCTTGTTGCGTGAATTGTTGTGAATAGCAAATACATAAATGTCCTACATTTTGCCTGTGCAAAAATATGCATAAGGCTGCTGTGTCGGTGAGAAACATAGGAGTAATTGTGAACCCAGCTATTTAAATCATGTGATATTTCTTTGTAGCTGAGTTCCTGTTATAACTATATTGAAGTTGTCCCACACTGCCTAGCCTGTGTGTATATGGCTGCTTCTGCTCAGGAAGTGTGTGTGTGTGTGTGTGTGTGTGTGTGTGTAAGGCTGGGGTGGTGGTTGTGAAAAGCCCCAGCTAGTAAATTCATTTAAATTCATTTAAAACAACTGTGGTGGGGAAGTTGTGCCAGCTGCACTGATTCTTCTGATTCCTTTGAAGTATCAATGATTGGTTCAGGAATAATCTGAATATCTCAAGTTACACCAGGCCTGAAAACTGTTATTTAAAAGAGTTTGGAAAACTGTGACAAATGAAGTCAAAAGGATGATCTTATAATTTTTTTGTAGTCTGGCTATCTTAAATTGGTCCCTAACTTATTGTGAACTTAGGCAACTGAGTGCCTGTTCATTTAGCTTGGGTAACCAAATTTTAAAAAAATGTATATAGAAGTTTGTAATAATCTAAAACACACACTCCAAATACAGTGCAACAAGCACATGTTTGCTTTCAGGATATAGTAATGCAAGGGTATCAATTTGCAAAGGAAGGAGGAGGAGAAATGGGCATGCTCAATAGCAGTTTATAGTTATTTATTAACTTATTTGTTTAAAACCATTTATATCCCTCACTCCCTAAGGGTATTAGAGTGACATAACTAAAACACTAAAATATATAAAAAGTAAGTATTCTGGAGGGTGGGAAGATTAGAATTGGGTGGTGGTGTATGCTTTTAGAGTTAAAATAAACTCCCTTTCTTGGACTATACTGGTATATTTCAGAATGAAAGAAAGGGGAAAGGGACACGCCTAACATTTTCCAGCATCCTCACCCCTGCTATTAAAAAAAGAGAGCTGAGAATAAATCAAGGCAGGCAGGCAGCCCTAAACCTAAATCCTCGAGTGCTATACTGTGGTACCTTGGGTTACATACGCTTCAGGTTACACACGCCGCTAACCCAGAAATAGTGCTTCAGGTTAAGAACTTTGCTTCAGGATAAGAACAGAAACCGGGCTCCGGCAGCGGGAGGCCCCATTAGTTAAAGTGGTGCTTCAGGTTAAGAACAGTTTGAGGTTAAGAATGGACCTCCGGAACGAATTAAGTACTTAACCCGAGGTACCACTGTATAGACAGCGATAGCCAGAGGTGTCCTTGGTGTCGGTAAGGTTGGCCCTGCCAAGGGCCCAGGTCAAGGGGGGGGTGTATAAATCACACCCTTCCACTCTGACTCCATCATAGCAGGCCTGTAGGGCCTCCTCTCTGGCCAGCTGGCAGCACTATTAGCTTCTTGCCTGGGGTGCAAGGGGGCCTAAGTATGCCTCTGGCAATGGCCTTAGCGGGGCTTCAACAGAAGAAAAACAAATTTCCTCCTTCCTCTCCTGAATTCCCTTCCTGAGACCTGATCAGCACGATTCTATGTGAGTTTTTAATCTTTTCAAATCACTGGGGGGAAAGCAGCTCTGATGTGCTGCTAACTTTTATTTTTCTTCTCAGAATTCAGATTAGTCTTTATTTCAAAGACATGATGGTTCTTCCAGTGTAGGAATGCCATTCAGATTAAGGATATGTGGCTCCTTCATTATTCAAATATAACATAAAACACAAATACTGAAGGAGCATGTTTTTAATAATGTGTGTTTTATTATTTTTGAGGGAATTATGCCATATCCTAAGAATAAATCATAACTTTTTCATTATGAGCAGAGTTGGTCAAAATGTGGTAAGTGAGGAGACAGGATTTTTTTAAAAATAAAAGTCTGTGTGCAGGCTTGACTATGGCTCTGCAATCAACGCCTCCATCATAAATGTACTTGTAAGGCAGACAATTTAAGATCGAAAGGAGATTTGATTGAAACTTAATTAGAACCTGTCATGGGCTATGCTTCTGCTGCAGTACAGAATGTATTCATGTCTCCCAGGTTGCCAGTTACTTAATTAAAAGAGAGCAAATATTAAAATCCAATAAATGGTATATCTCTAGAGCAAAATGTAAGGATTTTAAAGTAGAAGGAAATGACTCATTCTTCAAAGACTGAGACCAGCGACATAGGAATTGTTAAGGTATTCTAAAACTTCACAGTGCAACAGGGAGTATAATAGAAATTGAAACTGAAAGATTTTGTTTCTGTTTATATTCCTGTCACAAATTTAATTTATCATTTGATTATAGCACTTAAATTAAAATATAACCTACTGTTAGTACTTACAAGCCAAAATCATGACTCCAGCTTGGAGTTTGTGATAGAAGAGAAGAAACAAAAAAGAAACATAAACAAAAACAACTCACAAAAAATATACGTATCTGATGCAATTTTCCAGATTAGAAAATTGGTTTGTTTGTTAATCTACTCTAAAAATTTGTATAGTTCACTCATCATTTTAAGTCTCATGACTTCCTCAAAGGAACCCTGGGTATTGTAGTTTGGTGAGATAGCTAACAATTAATGGAAGTATCTGACCAAACTGTGGGAGACAGTGGAAGACAGGAGTGCCTGGCGTGCTCTGGTCCATGGGGTCACGAAGAGTCGGACACGACTAAACGACTAAACAACAACAATGGAAGTATGTGAAGTTTACTATCCACATCAAATGACAGTATGGATGAGCCCAAAGCCAAACCATAGCTTAGCCCCAGATAGCACAGCAGCAGCAGAATTGGATAAGGAGTACAGCAGCCGTGAGCTTCACTTCAGGAGCCCACATGCTGAGCCATGGTTGATGTGTGAACTGAATTGTATTTTCACATACATACATACATACAAACATACATACATCTAACCGTTATAGAAAAGTCTGTGTAACTACTGAAATAATAACTTGACACTTAAAAACTTAAAACTTTGTTGGCACAGCCTATGGTTCTGAAAAGGTCTGGCAGGAAGTTCTTCCTGCCAATAAATCCTTCCAGCTTGCTCAGCGTTCAATGAATGTGTAGTTTCCCAGCTGCATTTTCCGCATGTTGAATTTCAGAGGCCAGTTGGCATACCTAAGAGCAGTTGTTTTCAGCCTATTCTGTTGAAGGTTTCTCAGAAACTTTTAAAATGATTTTTAAGTGAGAAAAGCCACAATAGCAGATCAACCTGTTTGAGAAACCCACATTTGCCTGCCAGTCATCCAGTGTACATTAAACAAGTACAGAGAAATCAAGTATGTATATGCATGTGTGAAGTAGGTCCCAGTCACTGTTCAGTAAGAAGCTTTGATCCCTTGAAAGAATGTAATAATGGCTGTGGAGTTTGTGCTTAAAAAGAAGTGGTTTGAAAAGAAGCACATTATACAAACTTAAGTCCTGAGAAGTTTTTACTAGAAGTCAAACTGCCATGCCTTTTTATGCAGAGGAGGCAACAAATTAACAATAAATATTCTGGTTAGATTTTTGTTGGTTATCTACAAAGAAATTGACTTGGCATGTTGCCTTAAGCTGCATAAATGTGGAAGAAATCTTTCATTGAGATATGGACTGTCTAGAGCTTGCATTTTTTAAGTTGATGATCTGTCTTGTGTAGGATTTTAGTGTTTGTTCTTTTTGGCTGTAGTTTCGGTTTACATTTTCTATTAGAACAATCCCTAGATAGCACTGATAACTTGCCTTGTTTGTTTTGACAGTAAATGTTTTCTTTTTATCATTCAGATCCTGCTGTGATATCATCATTGTAGTATTTACCACATCTTCAGCTTGTGGGTGTTTATATGGTTATTTAATGAAGTTTTCTATGGAGTCAGGAAACTGTTGTGTTTGGCCCTGAAAGTGCATAGCAGTGAATCCTTTGGTGAGTATCTTTTGTGCATATGTTTGTGTGACTTCCTTCCCGCTGGTAAGTGATGTTCTGTGCTCACTGTACTTCTCCATTGTTTCTTTGCCATTAATAATAAAGCAGCAGGATAATCATCATTGGCACTTCAGTACTGCAAGGAAGCTTGAGTTATCTGAGAGTGCTTTTCTCTCCCAGGTTCCAAAAGTTGCATCTTTGAATGGGCTAATCCACATAATAATAATAATAATAATAATAATAATAATAATTTTTTATTTATACCCCGCCCTCCCCAGCCAAGGCCGGGCTCAGAGCGGCTTACAAGCAATAATAAAAACAAGTTGAATGATTACAACTTAAAAACAAAATTAAAATACAACATTAAAATACTGAAATATTAAAATATTAAAATTTAGCCTCATCGCAGGAGGAGAAGGAAAGGGAAAAAGAAAGAGAGGGAGGGAATCAAATCGGCTCCAAGCCAAAGGCCAGGCGGAACAACTCTGTCTTACAGGCCCTGCGGAAAGAAATCAGATCCTGCCGGGCCCTGGTCTCATGAGGCAGAGCGTTCCACCAGGCCGGAGCCAGAGTTGAAAAGGCCCTGGCTCTGGTTGTAGCCAATCTAACTTCCTTAGGGCCCGGAACCACTAGGGTGTTGCTATTTATGGACCTTGAGGCTCTCCGTGGGGCATACCGGGAGAGGCGGTCCCGTAGGTACGAGGGTCCTAGGCCGTGAAGGGCTTTAAAGGTCAAAAGCAGCACCTTAAATCTGACCCTGTACTCTACCGGGAGCCAGTGCAGTTTGAAAAGCACTGGGTGAATACATGGCAGAGACCCCGTGAGGAGCCTCGCTGCAGCATTCTGCACCCTCTGGAGTTTCTGGGTCAGCTTCAAGGGCAGCCCCGCGTAGAGCGAATTACAGTAGTCAAGCCTGGAGATGACCGTCGCATGGATCACTGTGGCCAGGTTGGGGGCGGGAAAGGTAAGGGACGAACTGCTTGATGCAGCGACATAGGCTCCAAAGTTGTGGGATAGTGGGATTACAACCACCTGGCTGAGTGTGTCTGGTCTGAGTGTGGGCTGAGTGTGTCTGGCCTGCCTTTGTCCCCCAGTAATGCAGCTACCATATGCATAATGCAGGTAGAAGTTGTAAAATGTAAAGTTATAAATTGTATACTGACGGAAGTTAGAAAATCACACAGGAGATACTCTGACATAGTTCAGATGGAATATCCAGGACACTTTCCAAAATGGCCTTAAATGATGTTGGAAGTCCTCCAGGAGACCATAGAGTTTAAATACTGTTCTTCTACTCTGTTAAAACAACCCCACACACATGCATACCAGTAGCTCCCAATAACACCCCAAGGGGATTTTTCAAATTTGGTTTATTCAGGATTTTTTGCTGAACAAGAAGAAAATGTTCAGTAAGCCTTACTACAGAAATGCACTGAAAAAACAAAAAATATCCAGCTTGTCATCCTATATAAACAATACACCGTAGACAAAATGCCCTCTTCAACATCACATAAGTATTACCTTCATGTGTGTATTAAGCTCATCTTACATCTTACCATGGGCCGCATATAACACTGCAAATAAATATTTTAGATTCTGAAAGCAGTAATTTATTATTGTTAAGGCATTTATTTAAAGCAGCCATATCTGATGGGCAAGGCTATGCTGTGCATAGGTTCTGTGAATTTAGAGATTGTCTGAAATAATGTTTTACAGTGGTACCTCGGATTAAGAACTTAATTCGTTCCGGAGGTCCGTTCTTAACCTGAAACTGTTCTTAACCTGAAGCACCACTTTAGCCTATGGGGCCTCCCGCTGCTCCCGTGCCACTGGAGCACAATTTCTGTTCTCATCCTGAAGCAAAGTTCTTAACCCGAGGTAATATTTCTGGGTTAGCGGAGTCTGTAACCTGAAGCGTATGTAACCTGAAGCATATGTAACCCGAGGTACCACTGTATTTCGTAATGATCTTGATGCCTTAAGGGTGCATTTGCACTTGCATGTGCTGCTGATTACTTTAATTGTATCAGGAAGTAACACAAATATATCAATAATAGCAGAAACAAAGCAGCACTGGAGAATCCTGCAGCAGAATAGCTTCTGCTGCCATGCAGACTAGACTGACCATGCTAATCTGTGGTGCAGACAGATGGCTGAGCAGCATGAACTAATGACCAATGCAGTGGGAAACACAGGGATTAGATGTTCATCAGAGTGTGAGCTGAACCTTGAAATACTGACATTGCAAACAAGTTTCTAGAAGTTTTATATTTCCTATCTCTTCTGCACAGTGTTGGAGTACTTACTGCAAACTCATTTCTATCAGAAAAATGAAGCCCTCAAAGAACAAAAATGTAGAATATTCAGAAGGTTTCTATAAGCCCCCATTAGCTGTCCAGAAGACCAGTGCTGAGATAATAAATGAAGCACGAAATACACTAAGGATTTTAAGAACTCAAAGACCGTTCACACCAAGGGAGGAGCAAAGGAAGCTTTTTGGATCTGCGTCTTCAAGAACACCTGAAAACAGACCACCTTCTGCTTTTAGGTATGGGGTTTTGGAGGGAATGGCTATAACCCTATATTCCATGTGAATGGGGGATAAAATATAAGTGTCTGTCACCAATATTGATTCAGGTGAATCAGAGAAGTATAAAAACGCAGGTATAAAATTCTCCATCTATTTTGGTAGGGAGTACATGCTTCCTGCTGTATGGATGTAGCTGATAAGAAGTTTGGCTAGAAATAACTGAAGTGTTTCTGACAACTTTTAAAAGGAAAAGAAGTATTCACTGTCAACCCAAAACTATTATTAGGTTTAATGTGTAGGAAGCTGAAGCACCTCTCATTTGCTTTCTGGATGTGTCATCTCCTGCTCTTGTTGATTTTGACATTCCCAAAGGAATTGCTTCTAAAAGAGAAGCACTATCACAATATGGATTGCCATTACAGCTGCTCGGTAGCCAGCATAGAGGGGACTTGGAATAAGGCAGCGTTATTCCTTGTGCCATTAAGTAGAATAGGCACCATGGCATATAACTAGCCCCTTTATTTTCTTTACATCTTCTCTAACCTGTGTTTTGTTTTGCATTCCAAAAAAGTGATTTTCAGTAAAGCAATTTGGCAGAGGTAGAATTTTCACTCCATTAGTATGCACATAGAAAGTACTTTTTGAAGAAAAACATGTTATCTACACATTTAATTAATATGTTCTGTTTTTCATTCCAGTCTTCATGCTTCCAGCTTTGAATGGGTTGAATCAAGGCCTGTCTCTTGTGCACGTCTAAGCCCACTGGACCATGTATGTATTATCTTTTAGCAGGGCTTTGTGTATTCTTTGCTCCATTAAAATTATGTGCCAAGAAAGACTGCATTTTGCAAACTTAATGCAGATTGACACTTAAGGCCACTTTCCATCACTCAAGTATTTTTCAGCTGCCTCTCTGGCTCCTTAGGAGGAACTTGCTTTTTACAATTATATTATCAGGAAAGTGAATTTGTGCCCACTACCACATTCGGTGCTTTTTCTGCAGTCTCGTGGAACTGTGGCATATCCCTAGTCCTATCCATTGGAAGTAAAATTACAAAGGCTGATACTGAAGCATCCATGTCTTGCTTCACCCACCCCCCTTCTTTCCAAAACCATCTTTGGAAATGTGTGTAAATAAGTTTTGTGGAATTTCACTATAGTGGTCTGTAACAAGAATACCCTTCGGAGTATTTGTTCCTTTGTGAATTCACTTAAGACCTCAGAGTCAGCTCCTGTTATGTACCAGGAAGATTAGATGAAGTAGTAAACAGGCTGGCTTAAGTTTAGTGGAACTTCTTGCTCAGGGAAAACTATTATGAGAAGAAATTTGTCAATAAATAGATTATGGCAAGACCCATAATGTTAATAACCTCCATCTTCTGATTCTTACAAGTGCCTGTATGTTAAATTAGATCTTTTCTTGTAACAGAAGCCAAAGTTGCTGTCATCACCCAGGAATAATGAGGAGCATCATATTTCACCTCCTAAATCACCAATAGATTCAGAGGAAATTAGGAGAATCAGCAATGCTCGTGCCCGTTTGTTTAGAACCGCATCTCATGGAAACCTTCTCCCAGATAAAATACTACTTCCCAATGAGAGTAAGAATGTTTCTATTTAATCCTTTTTACCAAGCTTTTGTAAGAACTCAATTATAAAATATATTAGAATCAGCCTAACTGAACAATTGGATTTCATAGAGTCATAGAGTTTGAAGGCATCTCAAAGGCCCCCTAGTCCAACTCACTGCTGATGCAGAAAATTTTCTGCTCCAGCAGCCCTAGCTTGCAGTCCTAGGAACATAGGAAGCTGCCTTATACTGACTCAGACCACTGATCCATCTAGCTCTATATTGTTTCTCCAGGATTTCAGGCATGGTTCTCTCCCTCCCCTTCTGGAGATGCCAAGTGATTGAACTTGAAAACTTCCACATGCATTTCAGATGCTCTGTTTCTGGACTATGGCCCTTCTCTTAAAGTCCAGTGATTTAGTTTGCAGTTCATCCCAAGTGAAATGTCTTTTCATACATTGGTGTGGATCCTAAGGGCCAAACTGTGCAAGATGCTAATGATGTGATCAGAAATAGTGTTGTTTTTAAAATGAAATGCTAGGCTGGGGGAGCTGCAGTAGTTATTGGCTTCACAGCATGGGAGGAGAGGTTTAATCTCATTAAAAGTTACACATACCCAAAACAGAAATGCTTGGGCAATTAACATTTTGTGGAGGGGGGACCTCTAGTTACTGTGTTTGGCTGTGTTTGTGTGACTTTAATGAGATTGTGGCTGGGAGGGAAGGCTTAAATCATAGAATTGGAGAGTAGGAAGGGACCTTGAGGGTCATCTAATCCAACTTCCTGCAATGCAGGAATATGCAGCTGTCCCATATGGGGATCGAACCTGCAACCTTGGTGTTATCAGCACCCCTCTCTAACCAACTGAGCTATTTAGAAAGCCATGCTTCCCCCTCCCCCCTTGCTGTTCTGCTGACTATTCTCCTCACCACCCCATGTGCCTGGTATTTAATTTTAACAAAATCAATGTCATGAATACTATCATGCCACTATCCTCACGTGTAGTTAGTCCATAAATTAACCTTCTACAAATGGATGGGTTCCTTCCATCTATGGAAGACTTTCAGTCCAGTGGAGGAACCCACAATCAAAAGGAGGGAGGGCAGTTTTTCACCAATTCCTCCTGTAGCCCCACCACTCTGTTCCAGAGAGTCCCTGAGCCCTCCAGAGACTTTCAGTGGGTGTAAAGGGCTGCAGGGGGATGGGGACTCGCCAAAAGTCACCTTCCTCCCATTTCACCAATAGAACTAACCAAGGATCCAGACAACTGTGGTGAAGATACATCAAAATCTTCAATAGTTTCTTTTTAAAAAAATCTGATCCCTTTTTTGGGGGGGCAGGATTTAGTTGAATGTATGAAGGAAGGGTTTGGGTTGAAATGCCAGGTAGTTAGATTGGAGCACATCCATCTATATATATATATATGGATACAATATGTAGTTCTTGATTTCTATATTATCTAAGAAGGTAGAGGGGATTACTTCTCAATCAAGGGGGTGGGATCATAGAATTGTAGAGTTAGAAGAGATCCTGAGGGTCATCTAGTCCAACCTCCTTGTAGTGCAGAAATATTATTTCAGCTAAAGCATCCATGACAAAAGCTTATTTCCACTGCTTTGTCCTTTGGGAAGAAAGTTAGAGAGAGACTGCTTTGGGGAAACTATTAAATTTGAGTGTGCTTCTTTAACCTTATCTTACTACTGATGCTGCAGTATATAAAACATTTTCACTTAGTTTAGGAATAAAAGTTTCTATACAGTAGAAAGGTAAGAGCTCTTATGAATTAAGATGTCATTAGGAGTTCATGTGTCTTTAGAAAAAACTTTGATGGAAAGAATACCAGCCTGCATCAGTTCCTTTTATACCGATTTCTCTTATTTTAGTTAATGCCAGCTAGCAAGGACAGTTATTACAATGTGAATAATAATATTTCAGAAGACTAGCTGTCCTTTTAAGGACATCTTTCTGTATGTTTCCTTTATAAGAACACTTTAACCATTTTGTTAAAACAGGTAAGACACTGGATTTTGAAGACCACCCTACCACGTGTGATCATTCTGGAACTAGAGATGAAAGTCAAAACCTGACTGTCCAGTTGACCTTTACGGATAAGTGTGTTCCATTAACATATAAAGAGCATCAAAATAAGATAGAAGGGGAAGAAGTATATTCACAAATGACAGACATTTCACCTTCACCTCAGTGCAGCAATCAATGGTCAGTATTTTATTTATCTTCAGGTATTTTCACACAAAACGTTTAAAAGTGGGAGCAGCTGGTGTGCTGCAGTGCTGTCATGGAGCCACGCTGCTGACATCAGCATCACTGTTGCTTACTGGGGTGGTGCAAGGGTGCAGGATGGCACAGGATGCAGAAGGGCCATGTTGGCTCCAGCAGTGCACCAACACAGCACTGGTCTCACTGCCCTTCCACCTGTCCCAGGTGGCAGTGGTATCGCTGTCAGGAGAGTGGCTTCATGGCACTACACCATTGTTAGCTGTCATGATGGTTATCACAAGAAAATGGATATATTTAAGAAGGATTAAATAAGGATTTATGGTATAGTTAAATCTGGTCCATAGCTATTGCTGAAAAATTAGCTCAAAAATTAAGATATGCTAGAGGCCAAATAAAAACATTATTTTTCAACTACATGGCAAAAAAAATGATTTTACATATTAAAGATGATAACAGTGTTCAAATTCCTCTTGTAAAATATGCTACTATTTGGAATTCTTAGTAACTCTCCAGTTACTGATAGTTATAAATGAAACAAATCTTTCAAATAATGTTACCACCCAGCAGTTTGAAAGCATACCAGCGTGAGTGGATAAATAGGTACCATTGTGGTGGGAAGGTAAACAGCGTTTCCGTGTGCTCTGGCTTCCGTCATGGTGCTCCGTTGCTCCAGAAGCAGTTTAGTCATGCTGGCCACGTGACCCGAAAAGCTCTCTGTGAACAAACACTGGCTCCCTTGGCCTGAAAGTGGAGATGAGCACTGCACCCCATAGTCAAATTTGACTGGACTTAACTACCCAGGGGTCTTTTACTCAACACCAATAATAATATTACTATTTCCCCCCAGGGATTTTGAATGAAGCGACCCAAATTTGTGTATGTATGTTTAATTTTCATCTTCATTAAATTTTATTGTATTTCTTTATTCCTGGTTCAATTGCCCACCCCTTAAAAAGACACTGGCTTGCTTCTCCCCTTGGCAAGTGCTTTTTAGCTTTACCTACTGGTGCAGTTAAGGAAAACTAGTTCTTAATCTATCAAAGGATCAAATGGTTTCCTCTTGCATTGGTGTTAGGAATCTTAGCACCAAACTTTGTGCTTCCTGCTGTTGTAGACAACTGTTTACAAAATTAAGGAATACTTCCTATGCCCCTTTTCCTGACAACAGCAAATCGCTGCCCCTCTCCAAATACTCTTTATGGATCTAAACATACAGGACCCAGGGTCAAAACTATCATTCTTGTCCAGGCTGTAGTTTAAGCCTCTTGTACCCCTTTCTCAAAAATTGATGCTACATTTGTTTGCATTGTTTCTAGGAACATTATTTACTTTAACAATAATGACAACTAATGAAGCTTCCAAACAAAAAACAAACAAAAAAGTGGCTAGGGTATTGGATGCAGACATTCTGCTACATTCCCTAAAACATGGATTCTGAGCCCTTGTTAGATGATTGCAATGAAAAAATATACCACTATTTTCCCAGGCAATGTTTTTTTAATGTCCTTGGGACTATTAACTTTAGTGAGATGCTCATTTTGTCTCCATTCAAGTAGGTGTCATTGATACTTAATTCCCCAATGGTTATCAGCCAACAGTTCTACTTTTTGCCTTTCTTACCAGTGCATCTGCTCTGCTTAAGATTGATCAGGACTGTATGCATGCAATTGTTGCTGCAGAAGAATCTGCCAGTTCCAAGAGGCCAGGAGTAAAAAAAATGTCTAATTAATTTGTACCCAATTTCTCCTCCACCAAACGATTACCTGATTGTGCCAGCTGTTGCTATGCTATCACTTTTCTAAAATAAGATGGAATTAATGCTTGAGTACACTTGAGTTTCTTACAATACGTTTCATAGTAATATTTCAGAGTAATATTATCAGCTAAAGTTTCTTTAACTCTGAGCCTGAGAAAGTACCGGTAATTTGATAACCAGTTCTAACAGTTTAGAATGTAGCTATTGGAAAACAGCTTGTGTCCTGGACTTAATCCAAGTCTGCACATTCTACGGTATATTGGAAAGACCAAACAAAAGGAAAGAGATTGAAAGGCAATGAGGAATGGGTGCAGAATGGGATGCCAAGCACAGGGCACTTGAAATTTAATAGGAAAAGTTGGGGGGGGGCAAGTTGGTGGAAGGAGGCAGATATAAAGGAAGGAATATACTTCGTTTTCATCCTAAGCTGATTTATGTCCCTTCATACTAAAATACTTTGTATAACGGATTTCATGGGCCGCAAAAACATATTGAGCTTTTCCAAATTTGCTTTCATTCTGCTCATTTTGTATGGCAGCGAGGCTGGAAATTAGTTTTCGTCCCCAAGTGAATACTTGCTTGCAAAGGGTTTGCATCTACCGTTCTTCATAATTGATGAAACTATGCCTTGCACAGAGTGATAATTGTTAAATTTGCAGGTATACTCAAATAATTTGTCGCTTCGCAGAATTACTGTTGCAGTTAAATTTCTTTACATTCACCTAAACTGATTTATCTCTATCGGCACATTTTCACTTTTTCTTATCCATATTACTTTTGAATGCTAGATGTTTACATGCCCTCCAGTTTTGAGGCAGATTGTTCTATTTCATTTTCGCTGTGCTTAGTGAATATGATTTGACAATGCCTAATTATGGTAGCAAAGTATGTAGGATTAAAATCTTATGTAAGTGGATTGATGCTCTTTAAATTCTAGTATTCACACTGACAAAAGCACTGCTCTACGTAATAGGCACCTTTAATTTTTCTTATGTCCATGTTATTCAGGTACATGCTTACAGTTATAAGATTGTCTCTAACTAAGTCAGAGTAGACCCAATGAAATCAATTGACCTACTCATAAGTATGAGTTGTATAAAATCCTATGGGATGTAAAAAAACCTATCTAATTCAAACATAAGCTTCTGCTCTAGTTCCCCTCCTCCCTTTCCCCCCTGTCCTTGTGTCCCCTTTCCTGGAATTTGATAGTAACTTAGACATGAACTTCTAGCCATAAGAACTGCCCAGTGGATTCACTGGCTGTAAATGTTGCTTCATATTAACATTTTGTGACCAAATTACCACGGGACCATTGAAATTCAAGCAGAACTCTTGTTTCTTTAAAAGTACTCTATGCCACCTTTCACAGCAAAGCCTTCCCAAGTTGGTTTACAGAAGCTTAATATGCATAATGGGATGGTTAGATAATTACTCCTCATAATTAAGAGAATTGTCTTTCTCTCACAAGCACCAACAAATGTGGGGATTATAAAGGTGAGATGGATGTATGGTTGTTTTGTGGAAATCTTAATTGAGCTCAGAAATGAGAATTCACAGACTCTTAACTGCTTTGTACACTGCAAAACAGTATGGAAATGATAGAAGAGTATTTCAAAGCAAACAGGGTTTTTTTGTAAAATAAAATCTACCTGATATTTTCTGTTGAAAATATAAAAAATTTTCTGTTGAAAATATAAAATGTATACCTTTTTTGAAGATCAGATGTTAATATATACATTTTGCATGAGCACCAATTGCTCTAAGAAATTACCATAAGTAGAATTTAAGGCTAACATTTAGATTCACTTCATTATTTCATGACAGCAAAATCCTTTGTACTGTTGATTCTCTTAGTCTTGAATAGAAAAAGAAGTTTGTCAGTATTTTATGTTCAATAATGGCGGCCTCTTGTGGCCTGACAGTTTAACTGCAGCATGCTTTGATTGATTCGTGAAATATTGTTTAAATACAACTTGTGGGAAAATGTAAGTAATATATAAAATTATTAACTGTATTAAACAATTGACAGTCTCACTTATGATAATGGTAAACACAAGCGGTACTGGTAGTAATCAGTGAGGTGGAAGCACAAAAGGAGGAAATACTATTTGGGCTTTCATTGCTCCTAAAACTAGCTGGTTAAAATGTATATAATATGATGATGGGCCTTTTGCCTCAGCTGGGGATTGCCTGTTGGCTTTCAAGACTGGCACCAGAAGACGTAAATAAACTTATGGCTATTTTGCTTAGCTAAGGCTGGACAGAGCAGACAGACTCCTGCTCTATCTATAAGATTCCCAAACTGATTGTGGTGAGTTAACTTAGGCCAAGAAGTTTCACAGTGTCAATACTTGGCAGCCTCTGCATTGATCCTCTGATTGTGAGCTGTGGTTGGTAGTCCCAATCAGATAATAGGAAGTTATTGGGCTAGGGGGGAAGCCCAACTTTCCAGTTTATCAGAAAGTTGGCGTTTATGTTCTAGTTTGGGTTGCTGAGAAAACCCCAGAGTCTGAGACTACAGTGTGTGCATTTTCCTGGGGGATGGTTTGGTGAAGTTCTACCAGCACTGAGGTGCACTTTCAATTTTCCAAAAATAACTTTCCCAGTTGTGTGCATGGAAAGCTGAAAGTGCTACTATGTACATGATGTGTACCTACAGTTTTCTCTGTGTTAATCTCATCTCCCATTTTTAAGTGACCAGGTTAACGGGCAAGAAAGTCCTTCATCATGCCTAGAAAACTCTGAGTGGACTAAGTCTGCAACTGTGTCAGGTACATCACATCGTTTGGTTAAGCATAGATTTTTTAAAAAAATTACTGGTTTTCTTTCTTGTACACTGTTGGGTTGCACCTTTGCATTTAGAAAACATAAGTGATATGCATAGTTGCAAGCATCTGATTTTTTTCGTGAAGCTGTTTTTATTGTGGATAGCAGTCAGACATGTGATTTGCTGATTATGTTCTTTCTCAACATTTTTCTTCAAGAAGTACTCACAGCTAACATTTTACAGGGTGTTGTAACATAATACCTGGAAATAATTCACTGGGGTCTACTTCCAAGTAAACATGCTTAGGAAAGATTGTGCCTGATACCAGCATGCCAACTAAATCTAAAAGTTGCACCATGCCAGCTTTCACACCTTGCTGCATTGTGTCAAGTTTCTGTCAAGTTTCTGAATAGACATGATGTTCTGTTTTATTTATTTTCTAACTAAAAATATAACCTATACCTGAAATTTGAAATAGCCTTTAGATTTGTTTCACTTATATAATTTTTGAGTGTTCCCTTCTAATTAAAAACTGGGCTAGAAGTGATTCAACCTGCCTGGTACTCTAATTTGCTAAACAGGCATATTGGAAGCAACCCATTACAAAAGTCTTTTTAATGGAGCATTCAGAAGCTGCAAAAGAACATCATCACTCAGTATTATGATATGCTAGCAGTGGTTAGAATTCGTATGCAGCTGCCCAATATACATTCTCATTTAGTACAGATTGACATAGATTAGGCAGTCAAGCTATTTTACACTGCTAAGAACCTGTTAGAGTGATTCACTTATATGTAAAGCTTAGTGTATTTCTTTTCCATTGCTTCTGCAAAAAGGTTGAAACAGTAAGCTTGGAAGGGTTCGACTTTCAGTGTTGCTAAGGCTTTTGTATTTACATACTAAGAACAGCAGCCAATAAATGCAAGCCAATGTCATTTCTCTGACCAGACTGCAAAGATGTGGTTATGACCGACAAACCACCAAGACATTTTGTTCAACTTGTCAATTTTTGTTGTTTAAGTTTCCTTTAAAAAAAAAAAAATCAAACATACATTGAGTTAGTTGAAAATAATAACCTTAAATAATTTTTTATTGCTTAGGCAGATACTGTACTTTAGATTGTTAAGATTCCACTCATTTACACATTCTAAAGTATTAATATGGTTGTTAAAATCAGTTTTGCATATGTTGTGTAAGTTTCATTGTGTGGTCACTTAATAACATGTTTTCAAATTTCAGAAAATACTTTGGAAGCTAATGAGACAGAAGAGGAAGAAAACTACTGGAATATGAAAATTTTACCAATTCTACATGAATTAGAGTCTGGTGCATAATGGTTTCTATGATACTTGTTATGACTTTCACAAAATAGATTTTCTGATACTTACTTCCAGTAATTGATATTCCAATTAATGTTCTTGCATTGGTAATATATTGTGGCCTATGGTTGAGGGCGTGATCCACATCCGCTTTTCAGCACTATGATCAGGACTGCCATTTCAGATTTGGGGTAGGGGGAAATGCTATTTAACATGTACACGAAGCCACTGGGAGTGGTCATTAGGAGATTTGGGCAGTGCGCTATCAGTATGCTGATGACATTCAGCTGATGCAGATCACCATGATATCAGGTGACCTGCTTTTGCCTGCATGGTGTGAAATCAAACCATGGGGGCAAAAGCATAAACCGCAAGGCACTGAGAGTCAGCTGATCATTAGTGCTTGTAGAACACTATGCACAGTGCTTTGCAAGTTGCAAGGAGCAGCTGGTCATTGAAGGTTGCAAATCATTGTGCATAGGGCTTCACAGCACCTGAGGTGCTTTGCAAGTGTTGTCAATCAGCTGATCAGTGATGCCTGCAAACCCCTTTTGGCTGGGCCACATGTTTACCTGCACCACATATGACATCATATATGGCATCTATGAATAGGGCAGGTGGGCGCAGCTTGGCCAAAATGGCATTACAGTACAGACCAAATGGAGAGAGCTGATGGGCCTAATTAGGCCCGTGGGCTGGAGATTCCTCACCACTGACCTAAAGGTTTCAGGTTTAGGCTACAGTTTTTAGAATCATGCTTGATACTGAGTTTCTTATATCTCTGTAACGCTTTTCCTTTTAGTCAATTTATGGTTTTGTTTTTTCTTGGTGACTCTGAAAAATGTTTGATAATTGATGTTGCTTTATTCTTTTCCATATCAAATAGAGGACAACGTAGAAAGACTTTGCCATGCCTGTACTATTCTCTATAAGGCCTTGGAGGAAGGAAATATGCTTTGCAAGCGATTTAAAAGACGAAATTTGCTTCTGAAGACTTTATACAAATTAGTTGACATTGCTTCAGATCCGCTTGGCCTGAAACTTGCAAAAATTATTCTGGGCGTAAGTTAAAGTGTGGAGGGATCATGGTGCAATTTGATGTTTTGTATGTGCTTTAAGCTCCCTGTTTGTGTGAAATTGTATGATGAATCCTAAGTATCAAGAAACACAATAACTTTTCACAAAAGAGAACACACAGAGTTAAACCAGAAGTTCAAAAATACTGAATTAATATAGTTTTATAAGTATGAAATACAAATCCTGTGAGCATGTGATTTTTAATAATTGCACTATTAAAACAAAAATCTGTATTGCTACATGGTATCCAAAATATATGTTTTGTATTATTGGTTTTAGCGCACCAGAATATCCAGAATATTTGTCTGTTAATGCTGTGCTATGCATCAAACTGGAAAATTATAAGCCTCTCTCAAGTGAATCAGATGTATTAGATTGTTAAGTAAAGCCACAGAAACTTCCTGTCAGAAATAAACCATTAAAATGCAACCCACAATAAAAAAGATGAAATCTCTGATTAAAAAACCTAAGGATCTGGGGGAAAAATCTTATGATTCTCTCACTGCTCTATGTATCATAGGCTCTTATTCCACGTTGAAAATATTGGAGGGAAAGAGGTGAAACTCATTTGCATACTTTTAGTTTTCATACTCAGTGAAAATTTTAATACAGCTTGAATGACTGTAATGGGTGTGCAGGAACAGTCTTGTCAGCCATTCTGACATGACGTTCTCATTTTTAGATTTTAAACTGCATTTGTACAAAAACCCTTCACTCCTATAAAAATAGACCTCAGAATCATGAGTGCAATACAGGTAAAATTAGGCACATCTGTAGAGTTCTCTGACTTAAGCACATGAATATGTACGAGTCTTTTAGTTGCCTTTTGGTTTCTATGCTTTTAATATATATTGCCCATGAAAGGTTGTAGTCTCATTGAAATCAAGCTCATGCTTAAATCTCTCACACCAAAAACAGTGGAACTTAAAAATTGCATAAATGGTTTGAATTGCACCCTTTATTTTGTGTTATGCCTGATTAAATTTTTGTGTAGTATTTCATGCATGCTTTCCATATCTTCTCACCAATGTGTGTGCGCGCGTGCGTGTGCCTTTATATGTGTGTGTGCTTGTTTGGATAAGGAGCAGTCATATCACTTTTGCCCAGGAATTCAAGAGCACAGTTAGGAAAGGAGAGTCTGAGAATTCTGTGATTAATTATGCCAGATAGCCAGTTATGATGTAACAACCCCAGCTTCCTAAACCATAGTTTAAGATTTTTGGGAACCCATCAAGTCCTTCCTGCACTTTTTTGACACACTGATCCTTGTCTATTTAAAACAGATATCCCCATCAAGTATTGATTGCACTGATGTTGCTTTTTTCCTGTGTTATTTGCAGCTGAAAGTAAGTGGAAAGAACCTGCTTAATGTCTGCAAACTGGTGTTTAAAATAAGCAGAAATGAAAAAAATGATTCCATCATTCAACATGACCAAATATTGGGTAAGTATCTTATAAATTCTACCATGGCTGTACCCATGTTTTATTTCTTGGGTAATTTATAAGAGAAAATACACATTTAATTTGTTGGGGGAAATGGAGCAGTCTAGAAATGAAGCAGGAATGCAGACATGATTTCCAGGCTGCATTTTGATTTTAGATTGCTTCCCCCCTCCCCCCCGAGCATAAAGCACTCTGAATTTCCCACACTATTCAGTATCCAGGTATGTCTGCCTTTGATACTTCAAGGATGGAGGGAAGTTTTTATTTTAACCTTTTGAACTCAAATAAACCACAACTGAGCACCAGAAAAAATGTCAGCTCACATCTATATTCAGCCAGCCTGCTATCTTGAAGGTAGTGAATGTATTTGATACCAGAACGTAATCAGTAATTATGATACCTCATTTTGATTACTTAGAGTCTTGCATATGTACACTCTGAAATTGGGTGGCGGTAGCTTGTGTGAATCAGAGCTCTGCTCACCCAAGCTCCCTCCAGCCAGTTTCCCTGATACTGTAGCCCCTCATCCCAGCCCTGTTCCTTTTCAGAACAGGGGTTTTTTTTGGGGTGGTGTAACAGCAGGCTGCCTTGGGAAGGAGGAGGTGGGGAATTTCCCTTGGGCAAATGTCTGGGCACTCCCACTCTTGGTCACTTCAAGGTAAGAGGCAATAAGCATTGTTCAGATTAGCATTCACAATTTTCTCCATAGATTCTCTGCTAGAAGTTCTGAGAGCTGAAGACTTGCAAGCAACTACTGAGGCCTTTCTCTATTGTATGGGCGCTATAAAATTCATTTCTGGAAATGCAAAGCTCATTAATGAGATGGTCAGCAAGGGAACTGTTGAAATACTGTTGCAACTCATGAAGCAGATCAATGAAATTAATGAAAATGATGCTCGGTTTTCCAGTTCAGGACACCTCTTGGTTCAGGTCAGAGTTAAACTTTTATTTCAACCAGATAAGATTTGGGACCAGTCTTGAGACTTTGCGTGAAATATAAAACAATGATAGGGAGAAAACAGGTACGTGTGTATTTATGTATAACAGTTGGAGCTTCACAAGTTATGGTAAAGAATAGGAAATATAGGAACAAATAAAAAATAACTAAAGATAGCAATTTATATATTCCTGTATAAGATACACACAATTATCTTTTAAAAACACTTTTGACTTTGCCCCTTAGATATTTTGATTTCTACTGGTTATCATTTGTTAATACAAAACACCAACTTTATTTTATTTAGAGCTTCCTTATATCAAAAGGAAAGCATTACCAATCACTGCTATTTGTTTATCATTCCACACTTATTTAAATCCATTCAAATCTTGTTCAAGTGTAGTGCAAATTTATCTTCTCTGACTAGCTCATGTTGCCTAGATGAATTTGTTTAGAGTTGCCATACCCCTCATTTCAACATACTTACTAATCTCTTGAATCTTAGTCTCTGGTTTTATTTCCTGTACTTTACATATACAATTGTAGCTGCTATGATCACTTGAAAATGAAGAGGTAATGAAGTATTACTCTTAGAAGGATTCCCTTTGCAAATAATGAAGATATGGAAAAATAAAAGTATTCTGGAAGCCAAAACATTCTGCCACATAAATAAAAAAAGCTCTATTTTGCTAAATATAGTAACATGTGCTTTATTTTAGTGATTAACGAAATCCTAAAAGGGATCCAGAGCAAGCTTATAGGAAGTGCTGTTTGATGCTCTTACAGTTATCTATCTCACCTGTTATGCACACAAACAATATGGTGGTGTTGGACTGTGGTGTATAGTAATCATGGGGTCACTATGAGAAAATAGTAGTACTCCAGCAAGGGAAGGCCAAAAAAAAAAAAGTTTAATTCTTGTGACTACTTTCTATGCTTTTGGCAAGTTGGGGGAAAAGTGATAAAGGAATGGAATCAAATGTCTTTATGCCCTATTCTATTATTTAAGAGGCAAAAGCAAGCTAGCAGAGAGGCAATTTTCAGAGGAGATTAGAAAAGAGATAGAGAATCAGTGAAGCAAAGAGATGCAAGATAGATGTTCCGTACAGCAGCAATAGCTGATGAAAAAGCTCTTGTTCCAGTATGGATGATGATGAAACATGGAAATTGGAGTTTGACTATTGACAAGAGTAGAGGGGACATGCAGATCACTTTGCAAAGGGCATTTATGTAAGTCTAGCAGTGGGAGTCATTGGTAAAGTTCTCATCAAAACAACCCCCCTTTTGCTTGTATTGTGCTTTGTAGAAAGTTTACAATTTGGAGGGATTTTAATGTTGAATTAACCAAGATTATCATTACTATTGTGGTCATCACTCTGTAGAAGAGGAGATGCAACTCCAAGAGAACAATATTGTTGATATAACTCACAACTTAGCAGAGCCAGAGACAATACAGAAAAGAGCAACTAAAACAATGAAAGCATTGGAGCATGTTCTCTACAAGGAAAGGCTGGAATATTCTTGGGAATTTTCTATTTTTGGAAAAGATAACTATATGAGAAAGGATTATAAGTTTATGAATGGGATGGAGAAAGTGCATAGAGAGACTTTTTATCCTTTTCTCTTCATATTAGGGTCATGTAATGAAATCAGTTGGCAGCAGATTCAGAACAGTCAAGAGGAAGTATGTCATCACACAGCATATAGGGTGTAGAATTCACTGCTGAAATTATTGCCAGCCATGATTGTTTTCTTCCATGGAAGGAAGTATACCTCTGAATACCAGATTCTTGAAGGGTTGTTGACTTCATGGTTTGCGTGTGAGCTTCCAGAAAAAACAAAAGTTGCTCTGTTACAAAGGCAAGCTCCCTTTAACTAGCTGCCACTGTTCCAGAGCAACCCCAGCTTGCCTTCCTTCATATCTCAGTTCACATTTTGTTATTTTTGTTCAGTGGGTTAGCTATTCATAGAGTAGCAAATGAACACATCCAAAATGTAGGAAGCTTTTAAAAAAACCGAAAGCTGCTGTTCACCACCACCTGTCCCACTATTGGCAATCTTGTCCTTGCTGGCTTTACCAGTTGTTTGTATGTATAGTCTTCTTTTTGAATGCTCTGAAGTACATGAAAGGCAAAATATAAAAAGTCAACATTTAAACAGCATTAACATGTGGAACCAAAAATTAAAATAGCCATAGTTCTCAGTCACTGACAAACCAGAGGCCTGCCTAAAAAGAAAACACTTAAATTGCCTTCTGAAAGGAATCTGTGCAGTGAACTCTGATTTGTGGCTGCTATGTCAGAAAAAGCTTTACTGCTGGTAGAAATCTGCTACTGATGCTTCCTACTTTATGGCATAGCAAAGTACATGTGTAAGAAGACAAATTGTCAAATACGATGGATCCATGCAGGGTTTAAAAAGTTAAAATCAGCACATTGAAATTAGGCTGGCAACAATGACCAGCAAAGTTATTGTAATATGGCATAACATACTCCATGCAGTTAGTGGTGGACATATCCTGCTGTATTCTGAACCAGCTGAATTATCTAATTATCTTCAAGGGCAGCTTTACACAAACTGTAATATAGTAGTTAAGTTGTGAGGTCATCAGGGCATGCACATTACAAGTTGTGTGTTTAAAGAAGGGCACCATTGAAATTTGTGCTGAAAGGGGCACACTGAGCGCCACATGCAACACTTTACCAACCCAGGAGGAAACTCAGATCCAGAAATATGCCCCAAATGCATTCCTGGTTCTTTGTGGGGAGTGTTATCTCATCCAGGGCAAGCATTACTGATTTCAAGAAACTGCTAAAGCTAGTTCTGTTGGAAAAGAAACGGAGAACTGGGTATTGTCAGTATACTGGTGACATCTCCCTCCAAACTGCAAGACAACCTTCCCCAATGGTTGAATGCAGATGTTAAATATAAGAGAAACACTGCAGGATAATTCCTGCAGAGAAGGGCAGCAGCCTCCTAAAACCACCTTCTGGATCCTTTCAGCAAGGTAGGAGTAGAACTACTGCAAAAGTATTGTCCTGTACTTCTAATCCACAAAGCTGGTCCAGAAGGATACTGAAAATGAAGGTGCTGAAAGTGGCAGAATTTGTACCCCTTCTGTCTATCTCCTGGTGAAGGTAAATCTTGGCCCCAACCCTTGGTCAGAAGCTAGATTGAAATGGGTTTAGGAAATTTGGTTTCATCCAGGAGTGTCTGTCATGGTTTGCTCTAGTATTTTGGCTAAAAAAAAGGAAGGATCATCACATGCACATGCAGTAGTTCCCTGGCCAGTTGTGAAGAGATACTAAGTAAACAAGACAGGTCAAAAGGCTGGAGGAGATGGATTCACTTGTATCCAGGCAAGGAACAACATACTGTCTGCTTTCAAAATAGAGAAATGTGAGTCGTGCTGTCCTCTATCCTGTTTTTTAAAATTATGTCTGTATCATTGCTTCGTATTCCAGAGTTTAAATAATCCACACTATTTCATACATGTCTGTAGAGTTTCTTAGAGCGGCCATCAGAGGAGGCTTAGGCTAGATTAAATTTAGCAAGCTTAGGCTTGTTAAATTTTCAAAAGTGTCTGGGACTCATAATAATGTGATGATTTATTCATGTTTAAATATATTTTCTCCAGCTCACTGCCACTTTGCGGAACATGGTTGACTTGCCTCAGTCAAGGTGCAAGCTCCTGGACTCTGAAGCATTTCCAGAGCTTTGTCTGATGTTGGAGAAGCGTATGAACGACAAGGATGTCTGCACCAATGTGGCCAGAATATTCAGGTAAAGTCCTTTAAAGAAATACAATACAGTTTTTTGTTTCCCATGGAGCAAATACTTGCAGCACCCACTTCTTCACCTCCATCCCCAGCCATGTTGGTTTATTTTGTACTACCATCTTTTGTATGTGTGCAGCTTTAATCCTTGAAATATTGTTGTGGATATTGTTTTGAAGGGGAAATGTTCTGCCTCATAGACTTAAGTCACATAAATGGATATACACAGAAACAGTCCTTAAGTACCGAAGTCAGCTTGTATGCAGTTAGGGAATTTTAGACCCTGGACTTCGTGGTTTTTATGGTGCCCCTTTTCTCTTTAAATAGCAGTGTTGGTTATTTTGCTTACTTCACAACATGGCTAGCTCTCCGGTATTTTGCTAATTTCACTGAGTGAGGCCCTGGACCCCAAAGTTCTGACCTGGTGGCACCACTGCTTGCATTTGCCTTGTCTGAAATAGGACCCAGTTGCACATGCAGGCTGTACTTGCAGAATTAAATGTGTTTCGCCTCCTCAAGTCGTATGACATTATTAACTAAATCTCTGTTTGGTCTCTCCTTTGTGCTTGAGTCACCAGCATTGCTAAGCCCAAGAACCCCATGCAAAAATCATGAAAGGAACTTCTGTAGGAATTGAACTGGGAAGCAATTCCTTTGCACATACACATTCCTAGGTTCAATCCTTGGCATAATCAGTTAAGGAAGGATGTCCACAAATCACTGAAAGGCCTGTATCTCAAATTTCCCAGAGCAACTGCTAATGGGCTCTTCTACACCTCCTTTGCAAATCCATTTTTCATATCCGTTTTGTACATTGTTTGTGCATTGTAGCCCTCGGTTGTTCCATACCACTTCTCACTGTTAGCACATCCCATTGTCACAGGACCACACACCCTGCTCATATGTTTCTTGGGTTTAGTGTCATTTTGCTCTTTTTGAAACCCATGGACCCTTTGTCAACAACCCATAAACCCAATTACACTCCTTTCTGTCACTGTTTCCAGCTGAAATAAGGAAAAGCACATGCCCTGCTTCTCCCTGCCCCCCCCCCCAGCATTTCTGTGGCACCATTTGATTACCTTTGCACTCTGAGTAAACATCACTTCTAGGTGTAGCAATGCAATTCAGTGATGCACTCCACTATCTCACCCTACTATCGTCTCTACCAGTCAGTATAAAGCCTTTTCTTTCCCAGAACAGCTGTGATGGATGCTTCATCTGCTTCTGAACCTTCCCTTATTGAGGGGGCATGACAAGGAAGGAAGGGTTTTACAGTGCAATCCTCTATGTGTCTATTCATAAATAAGCCCCATTGAGTTCAGTAGAACTGACTCCCAGATAAATGCATTTAGGTTCTTAAGAAAAGGAGGTACGGGAGGGGGCTGTGGGGGTCATGCTGCTGCTACTTGTCCTTTGCCCACATTGAAGATCCATGTTACTTTGCACTTTCCTTTGAGGCATGTTAGCCTGGATGGGGAGGGGTGTGGGGAGGGGGGAGGGAGGGAGGGAGGGAGGGAGGAAAAGAAAGAAAGAAAGAAAGAAAGAAAGAAAGAAAGAAAGAGAAAGAAAGGGGTAGGCAGCACCATAGCTGAAACCTTGGATTTAGCATTCTGTCTGGGTCCCAAGGAGGCAAAGGTTTTCTTGCCTTCCACTTTAACTGGAGGTCTCAGATTCAGCTTTTGATTGTCATTGCCCTATGCAATATAATTAGCTATTCATTCATAACGGCTCAGCTCCTCTGTTATATAATCCTTATCTTTACTGAATTGGACCAGAATCCTAGCCTATCAGTATGAACACTGAAAAATATTTAAAAATTGAGCAAATGACTTGGCTTGGGTAAGAGCAGGGGACAACTGTTGGAAAAGTTACCCTACTGATGCATGTTATTATTTTTAAACATACAGCAAACTTTCTTCCTTCAATGACTGCTGTACAGCTTTGGCAGATTGCTCCAGATGTTACGTCTTATTTTTAGCCCTGCTAAACAAACACCCAAAGAAGCAGGTCAGTTTTTTCATCTCCTGCTTTTTATATTTTAATCCTCGGATGTGTCTGTGGTGTCGTATGTGTGTAAGCCCATATTCAGTGACCTACTTTCATGTGCATTTACAAGATAGAAATTTTAAACGGTTGACAGCATTTCTAAATAGTAAATTATTGAAATGGACTCAACTTAGATTAACAGCGGGGGCGATATAAGGGACAGGCAGTTGATTAACTCCCTTCTTCTTCTTCTTAGCATACAGATGAGTTGTTTTTGGAGTGTTTGGGCGGGATTCAACTGAGTTGTTGCACAAACAGAACAACATCCGCTTGCGCAATGAGACTTTTCTCCTTTCTCCTTCCCTTGCTTGATCCTGTGCCCCCCAAATACGCTCTGAAGAGTTGGGGGAACCTAGAACAGGTTTAAGGGGCGCATCAGGGGAAGAAGTCCTGTTGAGCGAGCTCTCACACACCCTTCTTGATGCTGTGTTGAATTCCCCACCCTTGACATTTCTCCTAATGGACTTCATTATCAGAAATAAGCAATATAAGGGCTATGTGTTGTATCGGGCCAAACTTTAATTCTGACCGCCAGCCAGACATTGGCTCCACCATGCCTGTCTCACTGCCACTGCACCCCTCCCTTTCTCTGTTCATGTATTCTGCAGAGTGTCAGCAAGACAGAGGTCGGGCGAGAGGGGCAGCTCCACCACGGCATCCGCTGCTGCCACCAGGCCTGCAAGAAAGTTGTCACACAGTAGCAGTGCTACAATGGCTGGGTGACAACAGTGCATGATGCCAAGCTTCAGTGTACTAGACATATTTCACAAGCCTTACAATTGCTTACCCCTTGCCTTAAGTGATAAGTAGTCTGACTCGGTTCATGCTTACTCATAGATAAATCTTACTGCATTCATGGGGCACACCAAAGTAAGTGTGCATTGCAGCCTTAGGCTTATCATAAGAATTTGTACTTGTAGGTAAATTCCATTGAAAACAGGCCTTCTAAGAGGAAATGTGTTTAAAAGCAGGAAGCCACCCCATGATAACTAAGATAATATAAAATTCCCTTTGTTATCTCACAAATCTGTGGGAAATGCTGAGCGGATAAAAATAGTTATTTTGTACTGGGAATATCAAAAAATGTTTCACCCAAATCCTTTGGCCTTTTATGCCTGGATGACTTTGCTTTTTAGGAAGGCGGGCAATTGGCCAACATCTCAGAAGAATAGAGTAGCAGAGGCTAATGACCTTTCTTCACAGTGACAAGAAGTTATAGTGAGTGTCCCAAGAATATTTGTACTAGGGTCTGTTCTTTAACATGTTAAGCACGTGAAAAGGGTATGACCAGTGATACCAAAATGATGCATGAACAGCTAAATAGGGATGTCTTGCTTTAAGCCCCACTGACATCAGTTGAATTTATGTGCTTGAGGTCAAAGCCCCCACCTTTTAAATCTTAAATAGGGATTGCTTTACTTTTAAAGTGAGAAGTTTGTAATCCTTAAAGAGATGTGGGTTTACTCAAATCTATACCAGTTCCCCAGGGGATTTTTGTGGTAACTGAGCCAAAACCAGCCACAATGAGTCACTCTTTCTCTTTGGAAATGTCACTGGTACTAGGCTGGGCTGTTGTAGGTTGAATGATTCTTACTTAGAATGAAGTTATCTGAAATTATTGGGACTTAGTTCAAGGGAAATAAATTTAGAACAAAAATGTAATAATTTTAGTTTTAGGATATAAAGAAATAGTTTCTGTATTTTGGACCAAGTCTCAACAAATCTGCCCTCTCAGCTCATGCTGTTGTTAATGCTCATCTGTTTAAGATTTAATGACTGACAACTATTGCATTTCATGCTTCAGGAGTAACTTTCTTCCATTAAAGTTCTATTCTTCTTTACTAAACCTGAAAGATAGATTTTAAAATTATGGAATTTCCAATCAAATCAGAGTGATTAGACTCATTGGAGAATTCATGACACCAACCAATGAACTATTGAGGACAAAGTTCCAGACTAAAATGACTTTGAAGATTAGAATTTACTCCTGATGAAATACTTATGAGTAGCTCTGCATGTCTTATAGCCGCCTCCCACAGGGAATAGAGATATGGGAGACTTGTTTTCTGTGGGCTGACTAGTGCATGGTGTATTTTTCTTGTCGTGCAAAAAAGTGTCAGAATTCTGAAACCTTCCATCGCTTCCTCTAGTCTGTACTGTAGTATCCTGAAATTTACACTACTAATGCAATGCCAGACTTATTTTAGTAATTTTCTGTAAGCCCACAATCTCACAGTAGAAATCCCACCCTATCACACCCTTTTATTTATGTCTTTCCATAGCCTAGAATGTTACATAGAAAATAAGTATTCTGGTATAGCAAACTGCATAACAGCATGGACCTGATGTATGCAACAAATAATAACACAGCCAGAGCACTCTGTCTAGTGGTAATACCTTGGTAGAAGAGTATATTCAGTCTCAGACCACCAGCCTATTGAACCAACTTTAAATCTGTCAATCCATGGTCTTATTTGTGGCAGTGTTTTGTTTCTTGCTATGTAAGATCCCATAACAAGCCTGCTGGATTGTACCAGTGGCCCATCTCACAATGGCGAATCAGATGCCTATGGGAAGCTTGCAAGCTGGAGATGAGTGCTTCAGCGCTCTCCCTGCAGTTCCCTGCAACTAGGAAACCCAGCCAGATGGGCGGGGTATAAATAATAAATTATTATAGTCAGAAGCATCATGCTTCTGACAGTGGAGGTGGAACATAGCCATTGTGGCTCATAGCTGTTGATAGCCTTGCCCTACTGTGCTAGCTGTCCTGAGAACATAAATTGTGTGAAGGTGCGAGATATAAATTGATTATATCTAGCTGATAATTCTAATTTATGACTGGACAGTCCTGTTTCCAGACTGCTGCATTTTAACAAAACGAGAAAGTCAAAAATATTTTATCTTTGTTCTCCTGATTCATCAGTTGCTTGGTAACTAACGAAGAAAGGTATTCCTGCATTCACATATGGGGATTAAAATAAACAAAACTGTAATAAAACAATAAAATACAGCTAATACAGTACCACCATAAAATAAAAACACTTTAAAACAGAAATATATGTACTTAGGACTATTAACACATTCTATTTTTAAAATATCACAAGACATTCTTGGCTTCTATAAGGTTTTGACATGAGACAGAAGAGAGGTAATTTTACATGCTGTGGGTTTTTTCATTTTAAAATACTGTACAGTAGATATTAACTGAAGTAAAGACGACCATTTTCTTCTTGCAAACCATTATTGATCACTTTTACTTACAGCAGGGATGTTTACATCTTCTTTAATTCCAGGATTTAGTCATCCGTATCATTTTTATTCTTGGAAATTTAACAGCAAAGAACAACCGGGCCCGGGAACAGTTTTTTGAGGTGCAAGGAAGCATTAATACCCTGATAGCACTATTCCAGGCTAATTGTGAAGCTGATTTAAATAGTAAACTGCTGAAAGGTGATGGCGATATAAAAAATCTTAAGCATCCGTCTGAAGCAGAAGATGTGCTCATCAAACTTGTAAGAGTGGTTGCCAATTTGTCCATCCATCCCACTGTAGGCACAAGTCTGGCAACAAACCATCATATTGTGACATTACTCATTACGGTACTAGGTAAGAACTGCTTTGTTCTTAGAGGAAGAAACGTTTTTCCTTAGTTTCCCATAGTGAAATAATTTAAATCCTGCTAAAGTGATGAAATTGGTTGATTAATGATACTATGAAACTGGCTGCATCTCCCAAGATTTCCCTAGTATTTTTCCAGTCATCCTCCAAACCATATTCACCATCATCTTCCTTTATCTGCAAGCTTGTCTGCTGTTTCAACTGCTGCATACCAGCCCATCCCCTATTCAATCTCCTATAAACCATACTGCATGTCATTTCTCTCCCTGATATTTCCTATATTAAATTCAACATCTCAAAACGGTACCTCTTCACACCACCCTGTACCCTCTAGCCAGTTCCAGCTCCCACCCTCAGAAACTCAGGCACCCTTTGCTGATTTAGCCCATTGAGAAAACAAAGCAAGCCGTCCATGCTGATTTTCTTCTTTCTGCTGGAAAAACAATACTGAAACCAGAGGGAAGATGGTGTATTTTCTAGTTATATGACCATGAAGCCTTAAGCCACTGGGACCAAGCTCCTTTTCACATTTCAATGGAGCTTACTACTAGGTCAGTGTGACTTAGAATTTCACCAGGTTTTTCTGTAGTGCAGTGTAGAGAATAGTGGTGGGCATACATCATAAATGCATAATACTTAATGTTTGTATAGCACACTCAAGCTTTCAGAGTTCACGTATGCATTCGGTTTGTAATCCTCACAACATCCCTCTAAGGTAAAGTGATAATATCTCCCATATTGCAGATAGGATGGTTGAGGTACAGAGAGTTGCTTGATTAAGACCACCTAATTAGTTGATGTATTCAGTCTTTTGGGCCACTATGCTACACCAACAAACTGGTATCAATGGTAAGCAGGATTGCTGGGGTTGTATTCTGTGATGATGCACTGAGCTTTGATGGATATAAATTTGAAAGCCCATATAAGTAAGATCTGGCATTAACATGTCTTGAAAGTCTCTCTCCTCTCACTTGCAAATTTTCAAAATTCTTGCTGCATATTGCTTATTAAAATAAGCAAGGAGAATGGGCACATATGAACACCTCATGGAAAAACCAGGCATGATCACAATGTGGTTTTGGAATGGCCCAAAGCTTTCTTTTATATAGTCTTTGGAATGTTGTGAACAACAGTCACCAAAGCTGTGAAATGTCAAAATGTTAAGTGTCTTGAAAAAACACATGTCTTTTTTTGTCCAAATTACTAGAAAACAAATCAGTTGATGAATGTGAGGAGCTGGTTATTAATACCACAGCAACAATCAGCAATTTATCTTTCTACCAAGTGAAGAATTCTGTAATCCAGGAGAAGAAATTATATATTGCGGAGTGTAAGGATGTTTTTATTTAAAAAGATTAGTATATCATATTTCTGTTATTATAATGATATAATATCCCTCATAGTATTGAGCAACAGTGAGAAATAGCACTGATATAAGATGTTATCTACTTTCTCAGTTTTGGTTGGTAAAGCTGATCTCATTTGATAATCCTTGTGGATGTAATGATGAATATGAAATTTGCTCAGTTTGCAAACTGGTTAGGCTGGAGAACAGCAGGTTGAGTGTAGATCTAAACTCAAAGTTGCTCTTTCCCATTATAGATTAAAAACTATGATATCAAATTTAAAGCTCAAGTATTGGGCTCAAAAACATTAAATGAGAAGACATTAACAGGAGTCTTCACATATTCCAAGACTAGAAACTGATTATTTCTTTGGATTTATTATACACTAGGTAATTTTTTTGGAGTTGTAGTTACAGGAGAACTAGAAATTATTTTAGAATACCGAAAACCCAGTGAGTGATACTGAGTTATTGCTGGCTTAGCAAGTGTAACCAAAATGTGCTTGTCTAGTCACACATCAATATTTTCATATGACAGAGATTCAGTAGTTTAGTTTCCAGCAGACTCTCTGGGTACTGAGCTTTCTTACTTCCACTCCTCTACGTTGTAAATTTGCTTCAATCATTTAACTGTGTTGCAAAGGTGACCAATTTCTTGAACTATGCTAAGTGCATCTTTTCTGCTTCTGTACTAACAGTGCTTTTAAAGCTATTAATGAGCAGTAATATGGATGGAATTCTGGAGGCTATTCGAGTCTTTGGTAATCTTTCACAATGCCATGAAATCTGTGACTTCATTATACAGCGAAAGGGTGAGTTTCTGTCCCATTAGACCAAATAAATAAATATCAGTTACATGACTACAATATGTTGCCTATTCAAGTTTAACATATCGAGTGCTAAAATCCATCTACACCAAAATGGCGCCATTTGAAAGCATATGGATTAGAACAATGTGTCCAATAGGCTGCTTATAGACCTTGGAATTCAGAGATTCTCATTATACCAGAGCAGGTAATGTTGGGTAGATACATCATAATAGCTCTCCATGGCTAGGGCCACTCTGAAATCATAGCAGATAAACCATCAAAAAGGCAGAGGTTGCAAGAATTGGAGGGAAGTTCAAGGGCACCTATGGCCCATTGTGTTGTTGAGCATGTAGCTAATGATAAAAGCAAAGATGTTAACAGTCTGAGCTGTTGGTAAAGCACATCTTATTTTAGTTGCTATAATAAAGAAGTTTAATGATTCAGCTTTGTAGTGCTCATATTGTTTAGCATTAGATACCTGCAACTTGAATGCTGGGAGTGAGAGAGTGGTATTCCGGCAGTGCACCAGATAAATTCATGGGTTGTTGGGTTCTTCAAACTCTCAACACACATTTGTTTAATTGTTAACACTGTGAAAATTCTTAAAGACAATCTTGTTCTCTGAAATAGTTATTTTTTGCTGTGCTATCTAGTGTACAAGTTCATGATCGCTTTGCTCGATACCAAACACCAGGATGTCTGCTTTTCAGCCTGTGGAGTTCTCCTCAATCTTACAGTGGATAAAAGCAGGCGTAGTATATTGAACGAAGAAGGAGGAATTAAAAAGTGAGTTCAGAAAACTAGTGGGAGTTGGAGAGTTAAGTGAGCTTTTACTGACGTTTATGTTGGGGTGGAGAGAAACATGCAGGTTTAAGGACAGCCACAGAAAAGGTAGTCCTGACAAAAGTGTAAAACTATCTTTACTCCATTATTGCAACAGGTTGATCGATTGTTTGAGAGACTTTGGGCCTACAGACTGGCAGCTGGCTTGTTTGATATGTAAAACTTTGTGGAACTACAGTGAGAATGTTAGCATGGCCAAAGCTTGCTTTGAAGATGACGAATCAAACACCTTGCTCGTTATCCTTGCATCATTTTTAGGTAAGCTGTAAAAGCCAATCTCATTACCCTTTCTTAACAAGTAGAATGAAAATACAGAAGCTACTCACTCAGGCAGCCGTATTCTGAATACTACGTATAGTGCTGGTTACCCCCTCGCAAGAAGAGGTTGGACACCTACCCTAGATAGTGTTCGCTAGTAAGATCCAAAAAGTCTTCCTTAACTGCTCTGAAGGATTCTGGGGAAGGAGAGGAATTCCTTTTTGTGCAAGTGGGAAACCACAACTGGATATCACCCATATTGTCTTCAGTTTGCTGGGAGGGAAATGCAAAAGGCAGAGGCACGACAGAATTTAATGAAGTCATTAAGGGAATGGAATATATTTTTCTTCCTCTTAGGTAATACTAGAATTTAGTGTTAATGCCATGAAAGTGACTGGCAGTAGTTTCAAAACAAATGAAAGCACTTCACAAAATGCACACGTACCTTATGGCAGCAAATGCCATAAATAATGGTAATGGCCACAGGCATAGATTGCCTAAAATCCATGGGGGGTGTATTTTTGTCAATAGCTATGTGGTATAATAGTACCTTCATGTTCGGAGGAAGCATGTCTCCGAATACCAACTGTGGTGAGGAGCAAAACATAGGGGAGGGCTGTTGCCTTCAGGCCTGTCTTGAGAGCTGTCCAGAAGCAGTCAGCTGTGGGCCGTGATGCTGTACTAAATAGCGTCTTTGTCTAATCCAGCAGGGCTCCAATGTTTTACCTCTACTTCTGATAATTGTAATTCTATTGTGTTGAATCCAACTAAGCCATATTTACTGAGAAACTACCTCTTGTTCAAATGGCAGTATAGCAGCTGTGTGAAATTATCTATGCAGTGTTCTATCTAGACCAGGATCAACACTCACTGCTGTCACATGCAGAAGGTGGATTTTTAAGAAGACATTGGCACTATTTTTCTCAGTCTTACTCACGTTTACTAAAAGGAAAATCCTGCACGTCCTGTGAAGAGACCCTAAATAATTTAAATGCATTGTTCTGTTTCATATTGACTGATAATGTCATCGTTGTTCTTGCTGCAGATGAAGAATTAGCTCTGGATTACAATTTGGACGATTTAAGAGGTTATCACAAACTTTACTGGGAAACAGAGTTCAAACCTGTGGCGCAGAAGCTTCTCCAGAGGATTCAAAACTGCAACTTTTGAATTCCTTATTTTAAGGTGGGTGCTGAGGATACTCCAGTGGCCGTTTATGCAAAGTTGTTGCACTCAAAGTGCTTTGACAGAAAGTGGCTTTAGGTAGTTTTCTTTTGTATTAGCATGTACGTTCATTGTATGATACCTTTTCTTAAATTTCCAGTGGCATTTAGGGATGTAAAAATAAACCAGCTACAGCATCTGGTTTGTGTGTCTTTTTAGAAAGCTAAAAATGTCCCAAGACAGTAGAAGTTTGCAGAAAGTTCTCATGATGAGCAAGGATTCACTGTTCCTTGTCCTGTTGACTTGGGATATTAAATATGCATTTATTAGATCAGATTGTAGAAAATAGAGCCTTAATGGGGAAAAATACCAACTTTTGGCCTCCCCTTCTGTGGTTTCCAGAAATTTAGAGGTGCACTAAATCAGCATTAAGAGGTTTTTTTTCATGTGTGTAGCTAAAATTAGACATTGCCCCCCAATTCTATATTTCATACAACTGTTTTTTAGATAGTTGAGTTAGTATAAGAACACTCCATTAAGACATTGCCCATAGAGAAACTGATTATTACTTTTTATCTTGGAAATTTTTATATGACTTGCTATCAACAAAATAGTGGTGGAAAATCTCTACTACATTATACAGAAGAGGCACATGCCCATATAACCTCTATAGGAGATTTTGCATCATTAGCTCCTATTTAATGCAAAACTACTGTATTCTACTCTTCCCTCTGATGCTTTAAAAAAAAGGACCGCATCTGTTTTAAAACTGAAACTAAACAACCTGCAAGCATCAGCTTTATACAATATCCTGAGAACTGAGAACATCTTTGGATGTTGATATTATTAGACTTCAATTGCTTTATACAGCAATTAGTAGAAGGTATGTTTTAGCCTAAGCCAATTTAAGAACCACACATTCGTTCTATGATTTTTTGGATCAGCATAAACCTTGTATTTTATTTTTTTTACTAGAGGAAATAGCAGATGCTTCCTGTTAAACTGTCAAGGGTTGCATTTTAGTTTTTTGTTCTTTCCCCTCAAACACAAATAGACAGCAGTGCAGGGCCAGATATCGCACTCACTACTCTATACTAGTTAATGCTAGTTCAAATAAAATGCCTGAAATAAGAACAGAACAAAAATTGTTTTATTTAAACAATTCAGTAATACTGACAGATTTTATAGCAGTTCATGCTGCTCATACAAAAGTATCCATATATTTTCCAGAAACAGCTGTATGCCAAACTTAAGGGTTTTATTGTTATGCTATTTTCCTGCTTGACTACATAAGCTAAGTGATGGACCATAGGCATGGGTAAGCAAATGTATTGAGAGGCTGCCTGATAGTCTGAATTAACTTTCCCACACCTTAGATAACTTCTAGGAACAATAAGAAATAGGAGAATGTTTGTCCTTGTTACCAAGCATTTAGCATTTCACATAGTTGCAGTCTTAAGCAGCTTTGAAAATTCTAACTCCTTTTCACACTGTTGATTTAGCCACACAACCACTGTGAACAAGTCCAGGCCAGTAACTTTTTTTTTTAAAGCTAGACACTCCTGTTACAATCAAAACTGTTAGTGTGAATACAGTTCAGTTTCAAATCATTAGCAAGGACTTTCTCTAATAACCATATAAGGCTCAGATTTCATTTGTAGCTTAATTGGAATTGCTAGTCTCTTCATTTCACTAGCAAGTACAGCAGCATCAAGACGTTTCCTTTAAAAAATATCAATTATTCTTATATCAAAAGCAGAAGTCTTTTTAAATTCTCCTCGTGTCCCCAGATTTTGTTATCTACTTGCAACAATAAAGATTTGCGTAATTAACTACTTGGCTGCCACAAATCATGGTTTCCTGTGCTATCAAGAGCAGGCTGTAGTGATCAAGGAGCCTCTCTGAACAATTTTGTCCACCAAGCCCAGTAGCAATATTCCACCAAGGAAGGAGCTGAAACTAAAAGAAAGTTATGGCACAATCGATCTCATGGCTTTTAGCCACCACTGGTTCCGAAGCTCGGTAGCATCTCCTAGTAGGCAGCACCTGCTGCACCTTCCAACCTAGTTAGCCACCAGCCAAACATTTCAGGTCATGTAGCGAGTAATGGCTCTCAGAGCATACAGCAGTTCCGCCTGCATCCGCGCTTCTATGAGAAGCAAATTGACATGAACCTTTAAAGAAGAAGATAAGAAACATAGCTGAGTTTCAAGTACGTCTCCTGTCCAGAGTATTGTTGTCAAGCACGCAGGATTTCTGTCATTAAATGTTTCACTGGTCAACCCATTAGGCTGTGAACCCAGTGGCATGGTGGCTACTGGCCCTGGATCTGTAAAGAGTGCATGTTTCTCCATCTGACAGCCATGGTCACAGTTTGAAAGTATTAAAATGAATCAACACAAAAAATTATTAAACCACTAAAATCCTGTGTACAGAAGACAGGCAAATGGGAAATAGTGTCCAATACATCCTCTCTGTGTGATAAGGTTGGCCAATGTAAAATGTAATGTAAAAAATGTAAAAAAGGCACTGTGTAGAGCCTTCCCTGGGATCCAAGAACATACTATGTAGGTGCAGCAGGCAGAGGCCTACCTTAATGAGGTCTTTGATCAAGCTTGCTACAATGATGTGAACCAACATTATAATCCTTATTCTCTCATACTATGAATGTAAAAAATACAAACACTGCTTATTTGAAAAAAGTATACAAGTTTGTAATAAATGGGAGATTAAATCTACGTAGAATCATGGGAGTTGCAAACAAAATGTATTGGCCTCATTATCTAACTATCAAGCAACATTATTGCTCAATATAGCAAAGTCAAAATATATGTTTGAAGAACTTACCTTCTCAGAGTGTTTGAACTGTCTCCAAAAGCTATCATACATTCTGTTTGTTGTCTTCTCAGGAGCACACACCACAGTTTTGATGTAAATTTTAAAACTGCGGTCCAGTAGCTGGTTAATTTCACCATAGTCATAGTCATCATATCTGTTTGGAATTAAGGGAAAAATTTTATCTCTCCAAAAACAAACATTTTTGTCATTACAGTACAATCAATCGTACTAGCTACTTGACAGGAATAGGTGTTTCTGTGGATCTCCAACCACAGCCCCATGACAGTAGCCTTCTGAATACTTTCTCCTCTTCTCTGCAGTTGAACAACTTCCCTTCTCCAGTGCTTTTCTTTGCTTCCCACAGCTCTGGAAGACTACTTCCTTTGTGTGAATAAGCACTATCACATGGTACTTACAGTGCTACAAGTTTCTTCTGCCTTTCTCTATCCTGCAGATCACTGCTTCCCATGCCCCTACCCACAAATAATTCCAGTTCCTTGGCGATTTCTTCAGGCCATGAACCGGAGAGTAGTATAAAACCCTGTTCCATACTAGCATTTTATTTTATTTTATTCAAATTAAGGCAAATTACATTCCAAGCCACTAGGCTGTTTGCTCTGACCTGGAACTCCTGATAAGGAGTTACTAAGAGCCACTACCTTCTCCTCTTGCTTATCCAATTAATGTATCCATGACTGCTACAGTTTGGGACAACATAACTTTTGATGTAGGTTTTGCAAAGTATTCTTTACAGGTTATATATACTAAACTCAGAATGTCAACAATGTCTACCATAACAAACAAGTGCACAGTGTTACCATAAAGCTGCCCATATACAGATAACAGGACCAACCTTATTCCAAACATACAATGGATATAATTCCAGATTGCCCGCCTGAGCATTGAGGTATCCACATCTTTATGCATAGCCATTGTGTTGTAAGTCAGGTTGTATGCAATCTGAAACTTCTCATCTATCAACTGCCCCACATCTGGATAGAGACGATTTACCAATGAATAGCCATGGTCTTCCCATGAATAGTCCTTAAAAACAAATTCAGTACGTGAGTGCAAGTTCCCAAGAAAGATGCCATTGTATTACATACACAGTTTTAAACTAAGCTTGGAAACACTATCTTATTTTCTTAGGATAATAGTAAAGCCCTACAATGAGCTTAGTGTATAAATACTAATTATGCAGCGCACTCTTCCAAGTTTTGCTACTTGCAACCTAAGTCCTACCTGAACATGGAACGTAGGTACTTGCATTCCATGTCTGGAGAAATCTTTATAGCCATAGCTAGTATCCTCAAAGTGGCGAGACACATCTCTTGTTGGCACAGATTCTTCATCTTCTGTTAAAAATGTAACAAAACATTGCAAAACTTAACACAGAAAGCCCTGATGCAAATGGCTACAATTTAAAAATTGAAAATCCTTTTCTAGACTAAAGGGATACAAACTAAATACACATGAAATCAATTAAAATTGATAGTTTATTAGACAAAACCTTTTTTAAAATGCAGCACTGAACCTATATGATAGAGGGCCGCCAGTTCCCTATCCTTCAGTTATGTGAAATTCAAGGCCGTAACTCTGTATTTTGTGTTTATTTTGTATTTTTATGCTGTGAACCATGAAGGGCAGTATATAAATAAAATAAGTAACATCCACATATTAATGCAAGTAGTGAGCATATAATTTCTCTACACGGCAGATGCAAAGTACAGATGCATTTCTTAACTATTTTCAAATGTGAGAATGGCCCTTGAGAAGAAACGCCTGACTTGATGAACAGAAAAAAATACAGGGCCAGAAATTAGTAACAAGTCTTCTTGTTTCTGGTCTTAGCATTTCAGGCTGTATATTTCAAGCTCGTCAGTATGGTCAGATGGGATTGAAACACATTGTTGCTTTAAGCTGAAAGCCAGTATTTTTAGGATTTCAGCCAAACTTTGGGATCACATGCAGCCCAACACTACACTAGTTTTTCATTGGGTATGTCCTTGTATCCATGTGCTCTTGACATGACACTGCACTGACACAACAATACTAAACTTTCTAAGATACAATAAAAAATGAATGCTACAGAAAACCATGTCAACAACTAGCAACATCCTGCTTCTAGGTTTATATGGCAGTGGAAAGGAGGATATAAACAGAATTTAAGATGGGAGTAAAACCAAAGTATAGCAAAAGGAGGACATCTTTAGTTTCAAGCACTATTTTGCCTGCGTATTTCCACCTAATCATGTATACATGTTAATGGCAAACAGTTCCTAATATTTAATGCTTTCTCTGTGTTGGTATGGCAACACTCCAGATACAGACTCACTCCCTATTGGGAGGCCATAAACTCCAGACTCACAGAAGTAACAAGCATGGTCAGGTACACAAGATTAGCTGTGGTCTTGGTACAATCAACAGTGTTGATGGAAACAAAGTCCATACTCCCACACCCCATTATATTCCAAAATAAAGTGCACAGCAACAGTGTTAGGTGCAAGCAGACTGCAGATCTACTTGTTGCTGGGTTTGTGTTTTCATTTTAATATACCTGGACTTTCTTGTGTAGGTGCCTAACAAATGAAATAAACGACTCTAGGTGGCTGTTCCAAGTAGGGAAGGCCAGGGCTCTCTTCTGCTGCTAGTGTTAGCTGACAGCCAGTGGGAAAGGGTCACCTTAATTAAGCAGTAGACACACTGGGTGGGGCATCCCAACACACACATCCCTTGGCAACATACCTCCCTACATGCGTAGGTTTGTCTTGGGCAACTACCCAGATGAACCGATTAACTTGTAATTAAGATTTTGAGTTATAAAGGAGATCAGTGTTTTAATGTGGTGTTTCATTATCTATTCATGACAGTGGAAACTTGCTGTGATCTGGAATTGACAAAAGCATTTTGCTATTTAACTTGATAGGCAACACTAAGACATGCGCCACAAGCCAAGATGGTTTTTAAAGATATGTTGACTTTAACTATGTTCCCACCTGAGCAACACACCAACATGCTTTCTCTCTTTTCCTTCTCAAAACGAGTGGCCTTTTCTTCTTGACTGGCTTTAACATCATCTCTGCATTCCTGTAGTTGCTTCAGTTTTTCCATAAGTGCTTCTACTTCACAGAAAGGCTCGGTGGTCTTAAAAAAACAAACCAATATTCTAATGCATTGGGATATTGTACTGAGAGTATACAGTCACAGGTAAGTATAAGCATTATACCATGTTCCAGTTCTATGCCTCCCTGCTTACTACCTTAAATTCAATGGTGCCCTCAGTTTCGTGGATATTCTATTTGCCTTTATTATGCAATGATGTAATGCAGAATTAACAGTTATAGCTGTTTCTGGACAGGGATACCTGGCTACAGTGTTTGATGCATTAGTAGCTTCAACTGAAGTACATCCTATTAAGTTTTGTCCAAAAGCTGCAGCTTGTGCAAAATGCTGTCCAAAGATCTAAAGTTCTTTAAAAATGCCTATTTCAAAAAAAGGTTGCACATTCTTAAAATGCTATTAACAAAAAACACAACAGCTACATTTAAAATTGGCATCACATGCCTACAAGAAAATTTAGTTGATATAACATCCAACATAAGTGACATAACATCCAATTTCTGTCTATCACCTTGTTCTCAGGCTGTAGTTTGATGTAAAAGATGTTAGGAATAATTAAAACAAATGCTCTATTCCCGCTAGTACTTCACCCCCCACCCGCAAAAGATAGCAACATTCCTGATTAAACATCTCACTTGTGAAATGTGATGTGTTTTTTATAACTGAAATTCATTAGGACTGCTTTTCACATTGTGTTGTTGTTAATAATAATAATAATAATAATAATAATAATACACATATATACAAAGTGTATGTGCATTCTTGGGAGTTGGAATCTGCTTCATGGTAAGCCTGTCTCTCACCTTAGGAACCTTTTGATAATTCTCAGTGACACATTGTTTTTGACAATGGCAAAAGTCACTAGACCAGCTAAACCAGGGGTCGGCAAGGTTTACTTTGCCTTGGGCCAGTTCACTCCAGTGGAGATCCCTCCGTGGGCTAGATCACGCCCACAATTTTCGGCGCTGCGGAAGTGAGTCCCCACACTGTGCTGGTTTAGCACAGCCCATGGGGACTCGCTGAGCAGGTGGTTTGTGGGCTGGTTAAACGACCCCTGTTGGCTGCTTGTGGCCCATGGGCCTTAGGTTGCCGACCCCTGAACTAAGCCATCATATTAAATTAGTGAGGACTTGAACAATTTCAGTTCAATTTTGGGAAACTCAGATCAGCTCCACACCTCTCACGGCAAATAAATTTCTTGAACTGACACTTGTATTTTCCATATCAAGTGTGTACGTCAGGCATAGGCAAACTCGGCCCTCCAGGTGTTTTGGGACTACAACTCCCATCATCCCTGACCACTGGTCCTGTTAGCTAGGGGTGATGGGAGTCATAGTCCCAAAACATCTGGAGGGCCAAGTTTGCCTATGCCTGCTGTACGTTATCCACATTTAGGGACCTTGGTCTAACTGGGCTTCCCTGATGTGTTTGCTTCAGAAAATACAAATACAGTTTCTACGTTCATACAAGTACAAATACATTTGCTGCTTTGAAAAGCCACTGATTTGTGCCCCCACCCCCAATGAATAAAAAAGTGCTACTGGGATTTTTCATATACTTTCATGTACATATACTTCACTACCAGTGGAAATGCTGGAAAAAAATGTTCATGTATGTAACTTACTTAATATATGTGAAATACTTACAGCAATATTTGCAGCTGGGCCCTGCGTCTCATACACACCATGGTTTCCATTTGCGATATCACAAATGCAGTAGCCACTGACAGAAGGTGGCCTGAACGTGTGACCACCATCACAGTGAATTTCTGGGTTGATTCCACAGCCAAATGTGAAGGACGCAAGCGAATGATAATGTGTAAGGAGAACTACAGCATGGATCAGTTCTGCCAGGGACCAGCTATGTTCTTCAGTCTTTAGAAGTTGCTTCAGGAGGAAAAAAGATTTATAAGTTCTCTTAGAAACTTTGCTTGTAGCTACCTCACAAATCTGATTATACAATAAGGCCACAGATGTTTCTAGCATGACACACACTCATGCTTTTATATCAGAAAGATCCTACTAAATGCAGGGACTGAATACCCATGAACAAGATTTTCAACTAGGTGAATACTTTATAGCTCTGCAACTTTATACATGATATTGCTCTATTATCAAAGTTGAAGGTAGTTTAGATAATTTTGAAACAAAAATGTACGCTAGCTAAGCTATGGGAAACTAAATAATCCTAAACACTAATTTCTAATTACTTTTTAAAGTATCTAAGGTCAGGTGTTCAGGGACAAATTAGTCACTGATACACTAAAATGATACTGTCTAGTATAATGAGAGCTAGTTAAAAATAATAATTCTGTTTTGTTTTGACAAATGGAAATAAACATTAGATGGTTAATCTCAGGGTTCAAAAAGGAGAGAGAAAGAAAGAGAGAGAAAGAGAGAAAGAAAAGAAAAGAAAAGAAAAGAAAAGAAAAGAAAGCACTTGGACCTACCATGTCCCTAAATGATCCTTCAGCATCAGGTGCTATATGCAAACAACATGAATCATAGTTTAAGGATGGTGCCCATCCATCTGAGAGCTCTATATCAAGACTTGGCAAGTACCTAGTACTATGCCATGCCCCCCCCAAAAAAAACCAACCAGCTGGTATCCCAGTAGTAAATTTCCAAGTAAGAATGTTGTTCAGCACAGACACTTAGCACTTGTGTTTCTATTAAGATGGTTTGAATGTTTTAGCATCTTATGACACAGCACGTGGTAGTAAATATTTAAAAAGGTATGGATTAAAATACTAGAGACGCTTGAAAAGCTTTAAATATAAATAAAAATGTTAAGGGAGCTTACATATATAGTATTTATATGTAAATAAGTAAGTAAGTAAAATACTCACTTCAATATGTTCTTTGGTAATGAGCCATGGTCTGTGTGCCAAGATTTTATTCAATTCACCCAAATTCTGCAGTTTTTGAGGTGCATTCTCTAGACCATTCAACCACTTAGGGTCTCCCCCAACATGAAGAAAGCAATTGACATGGACGTTAACCAAGTAGGAGCACTGGTGCCTAGCTGCAGCCTGGAGGAAAAACAAGCACAAGAACTATCAAACAGAGATTCCCTGCAGGGAAGTTCCTTGCCTATCAATATGGATAATTACAGAGTATAGCTATGCTCAAGAATGGGAAACAGCAACAAAAAACCAAACCTGCCTGTGTTGTAATGTTTATGTATTTTGTTTGCTTAGTGGTTTATTTCTGTGTGTGCTTTGTATATGGCAAAAGCAGTACCAACAGCAACTTTTATTTCTTTACCATATACAAATGTATTCACTTTATAAACCAGTGTACTCAGAATCAAGTCCCACTGACTGGTTGCATCCAATGAAATTGTTCTTTCCACACAAATACTCAAGCAACAGAACTTCTCCTCCCTTATCTCCTTGCAACCCCCTCCCAATTTGCTCCAGAGGATTGGAGGATGCCCCCAGAACAGATTTAGGGGGCATGCGGGGGGAGGGGGTATAAGAGAAAGGGCAAATTCTTTTACACAAGACGTCCTTGCAAAAAAGGGCCACTTTGTTCCAGGTAAAATTATATAAGATTGCAGCCCATAATTTTAACTTAAATATATCAGAGATACTTTGTTTCTGCTATTTTAGTCTAGTTCCTCCAATCCCTTTTATACATGAAGGCTAGAGAAAACAGCTTGAACACTGTTTTAACAACAGCCATCATTAGATGTTTCCTCCCACAACTGTCATTCTCTTTGTTCGACAGATTTCCTGGAAAGCTGCAGCAATAATACTAGAACCTCAACAGACAGTCTTAAATTATTTGGTCACAAATGAGCCAACTACAAAGTATTAAAAGATGCGTGACTCGGTCTCTTGCCATTTTAGATTTTGCTTAAAAGCAGCCACGAGGCAAAATTTGATTGCAGCAACAGTGCTAGGAAAGAAGTTGTTTAAACCTTTTCCTCTCCTACATTATTTCACTAATCTAAATCTATCACCCCCCAAAAAAAACCTCCCTATTGTTTGCCCTGAATTATGCGCATTTCAGTCATTTGTTTTGTTTGGAGGGGGGGAATACAATTACTTTCCAGGAAGAACTAATAGCAGCTTGGAAAGGAGATTTAGACCAGTGAAACCTTTTCCCCACTGCTGCAGTCAGATTTGTTCAGGGCAAATAGAACTGCCAGAATAAGTAGAAGCTGACAGGATGAGGCCACTCACCTCACCTTCCTGTCGCCTTTGCTGGTGGTGGTCACCAGGAGGTGAAGGGGAGAGGCAGAAGCAAGGTACAAATGCACTTGTAGAGCCACAATCCAGTGTTCCCATCTGTGTGTTTGCACCATGCCTTTGTCACTCCACCTCTCGCTCTCAGTAAGCAGCAGTGGCATGGGTAACAGGAGGTCAGGTGAGTGCAGCTGCCCTGTTCCGCTGACTACTACTAGCTAGAATGCCTTAAATAATTCCTCTGCTATTCTAGCCACTGAAAAATTATAATGTAGAAATAAGTAGAAATATTAGAAATAAGTGTTCCAGATTGCAAAAATTAAACACCTTTGTTCCTCCATACTTTCTGACCAATATGCACAACAAACATGCACAAGAGATGCCTAACGGTGGACCCCTGATGTTGTTCGACTTGAAATCACATCATTACCATCCATTGGTCATGCTGGCTGGAGCTGATGGGAATTGCAGCTCAATATTACCAAAGGGCTACAGGTTAGCCACAATATGAACACAGAATTCCCACAAAATTAACAAACTTCATTTATATTTTATACACACACACACACACACACACACACACACACACACTTCATTCAATTTAGAATTTTCTGACTGTACAGTCACTTAAGCATTTTAAAGAAACAAAAACTAAATTATTAAAATACACAGGAATAAAATGCATGGGTGAGCATACATGTTTTTTAGTTTAGTGCCAAAGAGATTGTAAAGATACTAAGTTTCTCTTAAGTACAGCCATATCTGATATAGAAACTTTAAAAGATGTACAAAATACTGCCATTGCTTTCTGTTTCATAGTTTAACCTACCATGATACCAATGTAGTGTCGATAGTGAAGAGGCAGTGGGCCATCCATCTGCAACAGATAATGCTGAGTTTTTAAAAAGCTCTCCAGGTACTGTGGGTGGAAAACCATCACCAAGGCAATGTTGTCCAAATGCCCTAAAGTGGTGAAAGACTCTGCAAACAAAGCATGCATGTGGGTATCTTCAGCGCTCACTTGGATAATCTGTTTGAATTAGAAAAAGAACAGTAGCAAAACAGTGTAAGAAATAAAGACATAGCAGCCAATATGAATATTTGTTAATATTTACTAGCTCCAAATCAGTTCTTAAATCTTAATATACCAAATGAGATGCTTCTCATAACTGAAGGACTTTAGTGAATCCCCAAGTATAGCAAATTGTGTGCTGGATCAATAACGTGTAATAATATGTTTATTAGTTATACCCCACCCATCTGGCTGGGTTTCCTAAGCCACTCTGGGCAGCTTACACCATCTATTAAAAATTGTAAATCATCAGACATTAAAAATTTCCTGATATGTGGCTGCCTTCAGATGTCTGATAGCTGTTTATTTCCTTGACATCTGATGGGAGGGTGTTCCATGGGGTGGGCACCACTACTGAGAAAGCCCTCTGCCTGGTTCCCTGTAACCTCAGGATTTATATCAAATTTTAACAGAGATAAGTGGACAGGGAACATATATTTATTGAAGGGCAGTATGCTAGCCTATAGAGGCAACAGTAGTACCCCAAAATGCTGAGCTATTTAAATAGTTAGCTGTTGTGGGAAACATGTTTATGACTACTAAGCTTGGCGTAATGTTAACCAAAGCCACATTGATAAAGCCTCTTATTACCACCCAAGTTTTATATCAGCCAGCGTGTGAAGTAGCCCAGGAAGATCACTTGTTCACCTTCTCTCATACACTCACACTATGCACTAAAAACATGCTGGTTAATTATATTTAAACAAATATACATGTCCACTACAATTAAAGGGCAAGCTAATCCTTACCTAGTATCCAAACAACACTGGGTTTATTAAGACAAGCTAGTATGAGTGTGCCATTAAATATCAAAATTCCACATGGACATTACTGTTTTCTAATTCAGCAGAATTCTTGCCAAACTCCTGATGATTTACTGTGGACATGCGAATAATACTTTGCAGCTGTTCCTCAGCCAATACTAGATTCACCACCACCAAAAAATGTAACAAGTTCTCTGTGTACTTGCAAAATGTAAATCACCACGCACCTCCATCTCTGGGATGAATCTGCTTGGTCCTTGTCCCAGTGGTCTAGGGATCCTAATTCCAAGTTCCTAGAAAAGAAAATTGCACTATCTGAACTTTTAGCTATAAACATTTCAGCTGTGGTTTCAGGGGAAAGAAAGAATTCACCACCGAAACCAACAGAACTGTCCTTGTTGCAGAAGTGCTGTCTGTGGAAATTTTCTATCTGTGCTTCATAACAAGCCACACTTGTTTACAGTATACCATACTGATGCCATTAAAAACAATGAGACCTGGTTCACTGCAAACCTAGTTTTGCATAAAGCACTTGGCAAAGTGTCCAGAACAAGGAGTTCAGCACACAGCTGCCAGTTGACTAATGTCAGTGATACTAAAGGCTTTTGAAGTACCTCTCTGCACATCCGCAAACCAGAATGTGAAATCTGTCAGTATCTTTCAGGAAGCAACACAGCTGTAATCTTATCGAAGGTTTTTGCATGAGTGTGGGAGTTACATGCATTAACCACAAAAGTATGTGCAACTGTGTTTTTAAGTTCACTGTTTAAAAATGACAAAGAACAAGCAATGATTTCTCAGATTGAAATTTCATGCCAATCTGAAACACATGTACCACAATACTTTCACTAAAAGCATCAACAGACTCCAGTGCACAACTAGAATCCTACAAGTCAGCAGACAGTGGGAAAATATTTGGCAAGAACCTTTGGCAAGGGCCACAACATGCATTACAAAATTAGTGAGTGGACTTGCCATATACCTTTACAATTAATGTGATTAGAAAAAGCCATCTGCATACCTATATCAGGGCCAATCCTTGCGTGGTGTGACTACATAGTCAGAAGGGGGAAAACTGAAACCTGCTGTGGCCTATCTGAAACACCAGGCCCACAGACTTATTCAAAGAGTGCTGCTCAAAGAGTGCTGCTTCTGGGAGATGCTGAGCAGTTTGGGAACAGGGAGAGGCACTATCCTTGGGCTGACATCAGAAGGGGAAGACTGAAACCAGCTGCGTCCAAATTGATGATGATGATGAAACTCCCCTCATCTTGTCTTTTCTTTTGTTCTCCTGCCCTCCCCCATTTTCTTTCTCTTCCCCTGCTTCCTTGCTCTTTTTGCTGTTTGTAGCAGTTGGTCTGATGAGCAGTTGGGCATCATTTTTTACAGCTCAGGGTAACATTTAAAAATATTTGTACCTGACTATTAATATTTTGTATTGTATTTTTTAGTCTGCATAGTTTTTTGAGACACAGTTAAGTTCTATTTGGTATGTAGATTTGATTTCTTTTGTATTTCTAAGATTCCTTTACACTATATTTGATTATTATATTGCTTACTGGCTTAGAATCAGAGAACCGTAGCGTTGGAAGGCACCCCCAAGGGCCATCTAGTGTAACCCCCTGCAATTCAGGAATCATAGCTTAAAAATCCCTGACAGTTGGCCATCCAACCTCTGCTCAAAAACCTCCAAGGAAGGAGAGTCCACAACCTTCTGAGGGAATCCATTCCACTCTCAATCAAACAGCTCTTACTGTCAGGAAGTTCTTCCAGACACACACACAAAAAAAACATGTTTACTCCATCCTTCTTCCCAAAGGAGCCAACACTAAGCATGTTAACTGCTTTAGCAATTTCTCATAATGCTAGAAGTTGTGGACATCCAGTGAAGCTGAATGCTTCAGTATTCAGTATAGATAAAAGAAAGTACTTCAAGCAATGCATAAACTATGGAATTTGCTCCCACAGGAGGAAGCAATGGCCATCAACTTCAATAGCTTTAGAAGAGGATTAGACTATTCCTTCAGGAAAGAGCTGTCAATGACTACTAGCCATGATGGCTACACTCGGCCCACATGGTCAGATGCAGTATGTTTCTGAATACCAGTTGCTGGAAACCACAGGAGGCACATGCACTTTGGTCCTCAGGTCCTGCCTGTGGATCTCCCACAGGCATCTGGTTGGCTGCTGTGAGAACATGATGCTGAACTAGATGGGCCTGATCTAGCAGGCTCTTCTTATGTTAAACTGAAACTGAACTAGTTTGGTGTTGGAGCCGCCCATGGTTCCAACCATGGGTAGATATTTCCAATGCTCTTGTTCTCACTTTTCAGTACAGAAATAATGTGTGTTTTATAAAACCACAGTATTGTACCTCTTTAGTTACATGAGAGCAAGTTAAAACTTCCATGCCTTGCTCAAATGTCACTTGAAGACAATAACTCACTGATCATGATACTGTTAATGTCAGTACAGTTAATGCATTGCAGTCATTGCATTAAAGTATTTGACATCTCTACACAAACTGATACACACTGAAAATTCATGTTTTCATTTCAGCTTGAGACAAGAATGGTACTGTCTCCAAGAGAGCTATCTAGACTCAGAGGCATACTATTCTTTTTGTCCCTCTTGTGCATAAAAATGGCATGCCTCTCGCTACTTGCAGGGCAGTAAGGTAGACAGTCAACGAGCTTCTCTTTGCTTAGTCAGAGATGTTATCCACACACACTGTTCCCACTGTAGCCTAGTCTCTGAATAACATTATGATTCATGACTGACAACTTACATCACTTTCAGATGTTTAAATTATTTGCCAGTTATTTACAATTTTGGCACTCGATGCCTTCAGAGGACTTTTTAGAAACTGAGAAAATATTGTAGTGCCTGTATATAAATGTTAAACATTCCAACTAAGTTCAGACATAAATCAAGTAGGTTTAATTGCTTATCAATATGCTGTCAAAATTGTACTGTAATTTACTGCTAATATTTCAGCTCCCGTTTTCATGTTTTTATGTTCTTAACTACAGTCATGCATAAATAATTACTTTTAGTTAAGAGAAGTACTACTAAGATCCTTGTGATGTCTCCAAAGTTATATTTCTGATATGTAAGAATGCAGGAGACTGGAAAATTCTAGCATTAGTTACTGTTATTCATAAACTGATATTGTGGTTCGATGTGAAGTTCCACATTTAATTTCCCCATCAACACTTTTACTAAGTTTTCCCCACATTCTCCAAAAATTCTAACCACAGAAGGGAACTTGAGCAGTACACTTTATACTAGAAGGTGGTTTTGAAAAGACTGCAGACTATTACAGTGGTTTTTCATTTGTTGATCAAGTTTGTGTTTGGGATTTGAAAAGTAAGTGCAGGGGTAGGGTAGACAGTGCTGTGCCCTCCACCTTGTTATTGGACTTCAGCTTCTATCAGTCTCAAGCATCATGACCATTGATCAGGGATAATGAAAGTTTTAATCCAGAATCAACTGGGAAGCACCACGTTGGCTACCCCATAGCTATTATCACAATCGTTTGTATGCTACTCTAGAACATGCACATAGCAAAAACCAGCTTTGTCCTCCAAACACCTGAGCCCTTCCAAAATAAAGCTGCAGGAGCTGCAGGAGGCTTTCAAGGGAGAAATATTGCCATCCATGAATAAACAATACAAACAAAACAATTCCGACATTTAAGCATTAAAATGGGCTGCAATACCCAGTTTCGAAGCACACCCAACAACTTTTAAAGACAACAATGGCACTTAAATAATTGCCCTTGACTCTATGTAGAATTGCTTTCCCAGGTCTGTTGAAACCACAGAAGAGGATCTTTTACAAGCCAGTCACCCTTAGGTTCTTAGCAGGAGGACCAAATGAGCCTTCAAGAACACGCCAATACGGCAAACCAGGGGATTCAGAAGCAGATCCTCACAACGCTGCAACGCTTCCAGCATCTCCCCGCCCCCTCAAAAAAGGTGCTATTCTTCCCCTACATGCTTTTTCTGCAACCCAACCTAAGAGCATGCAAGTGGGGGGTGGGGGTGGCGAAATGACAAGCGACGCCGACGAAGCCAGCAAGAACACCTGAAGCTGGGAGCCTTTCCGTAAACAGCTGAATCTACCTCAGGCTCGCTCGTTCTCACTCCCGTTGACTGACAGCCGAACAAGCGGCGCGCGAGCCGACTCTACTTCACAAGCAGCAGACTGAAGCACCTCGGAGCCCGAAGCGAGTCCCCTCCTCCCGATGCATCCCGCTGGTTCAAGCCCCCCCTTCCCCCCCTTTTTTTACCTTGCGGCACTGCTGGCTTCCGCAGTGGTTGCAGCAGAAGCCCGAGGTCCGGTTGGCTGTGCTGGCCAGCTGCATGCCTACTAGCTCGGGTCACGGGGAGGAGGAGCTGCTGGTGGTGCTGCTCAGAGCGCGCGACCGCCTCCTCGCCTCAGCAAGGGCGGCAGGCCGAGGCTTAAATGCCAGCCTGTGGGCGGGCAGGCCCAGCACAAACAACAGGCCCAGCAGAGCCCGCCCCCTTTGGCGGCTGCCCGCCAATGACCGGGAAGCGGAGGGACTCGCAGGCAGGCAAAAGCGCCTGGGAAGGGGGGCGAAAACGAAGGACCGAGGGTCTCCGGGGAGAGCGGCACGTGGATTTACGCCCCGTCCCCCTGACTCGGGCCGCGAGCTCCTGACGGCGACCCCGACCCTCATCGCCTGCTCTCCCAAGACTCCCTTCTCAACCGCTCTCTTTAAGCAGAAAAATAATAATAATAAAGAAGCCGCCGCGTTTTTTCTTTAGCGCTGACAAGGCGAGGCACAATATCCCAGCTGCAGGCAGCGACAGGTCCTGGAGCCAACTACCAGCCCTCTCCCCTCCCACTCTCCAAATAAAGTTCGCTTATGATCTTAGAAAGCGCTCTTGGCAGCGCTTACGAAGCCTGGCTCTGTCTGGCATGCCTCCCTGCCACGGAATAGGCGCTTAGGGATACTGCTGGGTGGAGGGCAATAACAACCACCACCACAACAGGGAAGGGGAACCAAGTCTTCTCAAAAACTGGACCCTTCCCAGTTGAGGAAAGGCTTGCAAAACGAAAAGGGCTCTGTTCAAAAGGTGCAGTTCACTTTAGGCTATGCTAGCTTCTTCAGGCGATTTACTGGGCATCAGCATTGTCCTCTCCCTCTCCGATCTGCCCTGATTTCAAAGTTCCCAGTCCTTTGCCCACGTTCCAGCCACAGCTTTCCTTGCTAACTGTGTCACGCCAGAAAATGATGCAACATGCTAGTTGTTGCTGGGGAACAACTGGTCTGCATATTTCCACAAACTTCCATCATCTTCATGAACAAATTCCTACAAACAGGGGCTCCAAAGCTCCTCACTAAGGTTAAAAAGATGTTCTGTCAGTCCTTGTGACTGAGTGAGCGCGTGTCAATTTGCACTATTTTTCAAGAACTGAAAGGAAACAGAAAAATAAAGTTGCAGAAGCCAAAGCTTTCAGTTGACTCAACATGTATTCACTTGCTCTGTACAAAGCACATTAACTCCGTGTGGGGATTTGTGTACAGTTGGTTCACAGTGTTTACAATACATATCTCCCTTCAGGGAGGAAAATTGCTGAACTTGCAAAAAAAAAAAGTGTTATTGCTCTCAACTGTGACAGGATAATGGGCTCTTTATTTTACTTGTCTCTCAAAAATTTGTCTCAATACGTGTGGATTTAAAAAAAGGGGGGGTTGCCTATATCTTCTTTATTGTTCATATGCATATTTGACACACCAAAATAAATCAGTAATTAAAGGAAGTCAAACTACTGTTGCTTGAACAACAAAAATATAATGATGCTAAGGGGAGTTGGACACTGCTTCACATATTACTCTAACACAGTTTAGTGATAAAGAATCTTGGAAATAGGTGGGGAAGGCATCTATCCTGCCATGAGTATTGGCTTTTGTTTTGCCAGTTAATTCTACAGGTTCTTTAAAGGATCTTTGGTAGTTAACATATGAGGGGAAATATATTTTTATTTCAACAGAACAGGAAAAATGCCTTAACGAGTAACAAAAACAAAACCCCTCAAACAGTAAACCTCCTTAAACCTTCAATAATAAACCTCCTTAAACCTTCTTACACAGTAACACAAAACACTCTACCACCAAGAAGTAACCCCAAAGGAACAACTTCCAAAGTAACAATTCCCCCACCAGACCTTCACTCACATATAACACCAGATCCAACCGTGGGAAGCCTCAGCAGTGTTTGGGTCCATCATCCTCTCCCTCCTGACCCCATTGCCCTGCACTATTTATACCTGCCTCAACTAGGTGCGGCTGGATATCTCCATGGCCGCCACCTGTGGCAGTTAGGGCTCCTACTCAGGGCAATCAAGCCCCAGCTGGGCCACCCTTGAAGGCAGGAGTGCTCCTGCAAGGACTCACAGGAAGGGTTGGCTGCCTAAAGCCAAACCTATACCTCCTCGGTTTTTCTTCCGCTTTTTCCACTACAGCTTCCTGATCTGATTGTGCACATAGGCAAAAAGAGAAGCTGTATTGTCATTACAAAACAGCTCTACATCAGATATGGGGTACTGTTGGACCTCCAAGACATTGCTGAACTAGAACTCCCATTATCTCTGTCCATTGGCTGTGTTTGCCAGGGCTGATGGGAGTTGTTGTTCAGCAACATCTGGAGGGCCAAAAGTTCCCCACACTTGGTTTACACCCACAACTTCATTTAGAATAAGTTTCTTTCAACTCACAAACAGATAATAGGCACTAATGCTCTGACCTTCCGCCCCCCCCCCCGTGACTTTTTTTCGGTGGACGCTGAAAGATCAGATATGCAAAGCCATACCTGGTGGATCCAATGTACTTTTAACTGTTTCTCATACAGCCTAAAAACTTTGTTTCATTATATCTCTTCTACCACCCTCATTCTGAAGTTCTCCTAGATCAGATCAAGCAAACATTAACATCCAAAATACCAATGTCAATGTTAAGACTGAAACAAGTACTATATGTAAATATCAAGTCCTTGCATATCCAGCAACTCTTCCCCCCATCTAAATATCATTATTTACACTGTACTAGCAAGAGATAAACAAGAAAAAGATAAGGGAAGTATAATGGAACCCACTTCCCAAAAACCCTAGGACAGCCTGTATAAACAAAGAAAACTTCCACGCAGAAAATCTTAACTCCCTCCTAATAACGAACTACTAAAATATAAATCCACAATACAGCAGTGATGTTTGCAGTTAAGAACAACAACACATAATATTTCAGTGTTTCATTTGTAGTTATATGATTCTAGTATGGAATCCCCTTCTGAAGGCTTATTTACTGAACAATTTCAAGTTTGGTCTTGTAAATGACACAGTACAAATGCACTTAATAGTACCATGATTTCCATAGATATTATTCGTGTCAAAGTGTCGACCAACACTAGAACATTATGAACCATTAGGACTCATCTGGATAAGTAAAGAAAAAGTGTTTTATATGCTTTGTATATGCATTATGGGGATGCGGGTGGCGCTGTGGGTTAAACCACAGAGCCTAGGACTTGCCGATCAGAAGGTCGGCAGTTCGAATCCCCGCGACGAGGTGAGTTCCCGTTGCTCGGTCCCTGCTCCTGCTAACCTAGCAGTTCGAAAGCACGTCAAAGTGCAAGTAGATAAATAGGTATCGCTCCGGCGGGAAAGTAAACGGCGTTTCCGTGCGCTGCTCTGGCTCATGCTGGCCACATGACCCGGAAGCTGTACGCCGGCTCCCTCGGCCAATAAAGCGAGATGAGTGCTGCAACCCCAGAGTCGGCCACGACTGGACTGACACCAGATGGGGTTTCGCCAACGCGGTTTCACATACGAAGTTTACAACGCGTTTTCCTGAAACGCTTCTTTGATGTGTCTAGATCTAGCCTTAGAATCACCATTCCCATGCTATAGAATACTCTTCCATGAGAGATTGCACAGGCATCCTTGCTAACTTTCAAATAGTTATTGAAGAACTTTTTATGCCGACACATCTATTCAGCTGCTTGAACTAAAAACGTTCTTGGATTGAGATTGTCTGGCTATGGTGATTCATGTACTGGTAACCTCAAGGCTTGACTACTGCAATGTGGAGCTACCCTTAGTCCTGGTCTTGAGACTCTAGCTGGTGCAAAATACTGCAGTGAGAGTGCTGTGGGTCCAGATTATTGCCAGCATGTAATTCTGGTGCTCAAAGGTTTACACTGTCTGTCTATATGCTACTGGACCAGTTTCATAGTATTTTGCAAGGCCCTCAACAACTTTGCTACAGGATATCTTAAGGACCACTTAATCCCTTATATCTCTGCCTGATCACTGAGGTCTTTGGGGGAGTCACTGTGTGGCCCCCCGATGGCTCAGATGCTTGCCTCAGGAGCTGTGCGTTCAGTATTGTACAGTACGCCCAATTTTATGTAACTGCCTGTGGAACATCTGACACTTATTGAATTCTCTTTTCTTCCAGCAGGCTTTCTGGTTTTATAGTTTTAACCAATTTCCCCCTTTTCTATATTCTATGTTCTGTAACCACCTAGAGATGATTGTAGTTAAGGAGTATATGAATTGCTTAGTTTAAATGAATGAAATAAAAATAATAGCATTGCCTTTATGAACATTATCACAAATGTGGCCATATGGTGGCATTTCTGTATCTTGGGTCATGGAAACACTCAACATGCAGTGTTTAAAACCAGCAACAGCCTTCATCTTTCTTCTCTGGCAACTCTTATTGTCCAGGTGCCAGAAACTATTCCTTAATTGCTGCCTGTGTGACTTTTTATAATTCAGATTAAATAAATCTAATTTTCTTCATTAAGATTCTAAGTTTTAATTTCTTGAAAACATAACAATACTAGATTTCTTTGCCTCTATATGTTCATTAGGACTAACCTACTGAAACTCAGAAAAGTTGTGTAAATTTCTAATCTATCATACCTCTGGAAAAGAACAAAAGAGAAGAAATGAAGCAAGCAGAACTGAGCAAAGCAGCAGAAGCAGTTGAAACATGCCACACTCCCCTTTCTAATTTTGCCCAGGAACAAAGAAGTGAGCCTAGCAACAGTTTTTACCCAATCAGAGATCAGATAAACAGGTATAAGGCTCGGCTTCTCAACACCTCAGAAAGGCCAGCCTCCTCAAGCAACTTCTCTGATTGTGTACTGTAAAAGACTGACTGCCATTTCATAAGCTGAAAAGGAACATTTGCTTTCCTGCTCTATAAGATATAAGGCACAAACAAATGTTTTCATGTACAGGGCTGCCTCCACTTGTTAACTAAAAACAAACGTGTTTTCCTTAATTTGAAGAACTTTTGTACTATGAACTATTCATCTATTTAGCTTCCCTGTTTATTTTAGGTCTCTCTTTTCTGTTGGACCTTGGCACAGAAGTTGTTTCATTCTGTTCAATATATCAGCTTGTCCATCTAAAGTCTTGCTTATTAACTGAGATCTCATTGTACTCCTAAACATACAAATTCAAAGATACACTTAAGTACACCCCCCAAAAAGAAACATCAGCCCAGTTTAATGCTGCTGTAGGTATTCTGGGAACATCAGTTGTTTTGAAAGCAGTATTGTAATTACTTAATTGTAATTACTTAATGCTAAATGTGAGATTTATTTTCTACAACCCAGTTTATACCAGGATCTCGGCCTCATTGCTTTTTAATAAGACTGCACAAGTGACTTGCCACTCATCCTTTGTCACAAGTGACTTGCCACTCATATAACCTCTAGTAACTCATATTTAACAGGACAACTATTTTAAGTACACCCAGTTTAGTTTCTAGAAAACATGTTTACAAGGATAGAGCTAAAAACCATGCTTAAAATACATACTATTCATTATCAGCATAAAATCTTAAATAAAACTGCTAAAACCCACTAACTTTTAAATAAGATTTTAAATAGATCTGACCAACCATGGTAAATGCACATTCAAAAACAACATGCAGAAGGCCACGCAAACTTTGGTATGCTGAAATATGTCCTCTCCTCCCACAATATGTGGTGAAAAGAGATACTGTTCTTTGTTTCCAAAATGAAATCAATGTTATTTTCATAATGTTCTCAGAACTCATGCACTACAGGGGGAGGGGAAACATTTATTGGGGAAATAAAAGAAATTAGCCATTGCTCCCAACCAAGCAAATAAAGGGAGTGCATTTTGTTCAAATTTGATCAAATTTGCAGATGACACCAAATACGGAGGGGGGGGCTAACACCCCAGAGGACAGGATCACACTTCAAAACGACCTTGACAGATTAGAGAACTGGGCCAAAACAAACAAGATGAATTTTAACAGGGAGAAATGTAAAGTATTGCACTTGGGCAAAAAAATGAGAGGCACAAATACAAGATGGGGGACACCTGGCTTGAGAGCAGTACATGTGAAAAGGATCTAGGAGTCTAGGTTGACCACAAACTTGACATGAGCCAACAGTGTGACGCGGCAGCTAAAAAAGCCAATGCAATTCTGGGCTGCATCAATAGGAGTATAGCATCTAGATCAAGGGAAGTAATAGTGCCACTGTATTCTGCTCTGGTCAGACCTCACCTGGAGTACTGTGTCCAGTTCTGGGCACCACAGTTCAAGAAGGTCAAAGGCCTGGAAACGATGCCTTATGAGGAACGGCTAAGGGAGCTGGGCATGTTTAGCCGGGAGAAGAGGAGGTTAAGGGGTGATATGATAGCCATGTTCAAATATATAAAAGGATGTCACATAGAGGAGGGAGAAAGGTTGTTTTCTGCTGCTCCAGAGAAGCGGACACGGAGCAATGGATCCAAACTACAAGAAAGAAGATTCCACCTAAACATTAGGAAGAACTTCCTGACAGTAAGAGCTGTTTGACAGTGGAATTTGCTGCCAAGGAGTGTGGTGGAGTCTCCTTCTTTGGAGGTCTTTAAGCAGAGGCTTGACAACCATATGTCAGGAGTGCTCTGATGGTGTTTCCTGCTTGGCAGGGGGTTGGACTCGATGGCCCTTGTGGTCTCTTCCAACTCTATGATTCTATGATTCTATGTTCTCTATCCTCATTAGCCATGCCTACCCCACCCCAATGATTTTTGATTGCCTAGGGAAGAGTCTCTTGATTCTCCCATCCCTTGAAAGCCAGCAGATACAGCTAGGATAGCCATACAGGTTTCCAGTCCGGGGAAAAGAGATGCACAGTGGTTCCTTATAATAGCATTCTTTCTAATCGGGCCATCACACACACACCCCATTCTCTTAGTTTTATAGGGCTCAGAGCACTAGTTAGTGTAATTATCACAATACTTTTACAAGCTGGGGAAGAAGACCTGAGCAACTTTACAGAACTAACTGCAAGGCTAGATTAAAATAAGAAACTCAAGGATGCCTCACTCAAGGTGCTGAAACTGAGAACTAACACTACAATAATACAGATGCGATGGTGTGCTCTTGAGTCCACTCACAGAACTTTGGTTACTTGTCTCTCAGCAAGTTACTGCATGCTATCTACTGCTACACTCCACTACACAAAAGGACCGGCAAATTTACATCTGTTCACACAACACTTCAAGCGCACACGGGACACATAAATAGCATTTCCCCCCAACTTGCAGCTATGTCAATGACCCTGGTGCATTTATCAGTTAAATCAAATCACCATTGCATTTAGGAGGATTAGAGCCAGTAATTAACTACCTGGAACTGAATAATGCTGCCTGACAGTCATTTCTCTCCTTCAAACTACATACAGGTGGCATCTAGAAACATATTAAAAAAAACACTGTGAAAATGCTTGTGTTTTTTTTTAAGAAAAATTGAAAAATACATTGAATTTGGCATAGCTCACTTTCGCCATCTAATGTCACATTTGTATATTACACTTTAGAACACATTTAAAGGTAAAGGTAAAGGGACATTTAAAACATTTTATTTGCAGCTGTATAGCTGAGTCCATAGTCTGAACTGTCATTTTCCCCATCACATTCCCCATCACATGTACCTAGACAAGAAAGGCAATGCCAACGATTCAAGGCCAAGGGACAGGAGTGTTTCATAGCTGGCTGGAAAAAGTCTCCAATAGTTGCGTTGCTGAGCTCCCAATCACGTGCATACATTGTTACAAAGTGTTGAAGCAGTTTTAATAGCATTTTTGAGAATTTATTTTTGATACCTCCATACACCCCTGCTGCATCCTTCCTATTTGTTTATAAGCAGGCCAAAGCTTACAGGAGAGAACAAAAGGTTTGAGAAATTTGTTGTTTCCAAGAATCGCATTAGGAAGTCAGTCACATAAGAAGCTAAAGATCTTCAACTTGAAGAATGTAAAGTGTATTGCCAGACACGTATCAGACATTTTTCCAAACTTGTGGTCTATAAATATACAGCATTCATGACCCTGGAATATTATTTGTGTACTATCTAGCTTTCTAGTCTTCATGGCTGGTGGCTGCTGACAGATGAGAATTCCTTATATGCAGATCACTGAGCAGTAGCCATTTACCCAGCCTGTAACTATTTACCAGAACTACCTTTCCTCACTCACTTGCAAAGGAGAAAACTTTATCTTTAAAACTCTCCCCAACATATTCTTGGAGACAGTTCTATTTACACACATCTCTAGATACGGTTGAGACTATCCTGCATTTTAAAATATATGTATTTCTAGGCAATTTTGTTCACTGTGTGGGTAGCAAATTAAAAGCCAGCAATCAAGATAGCCAGTATGCTCAGAGTAACATATGCTAAAATCTTCACACATACACCCCCACCCCTTGTTGCTGGCTTAGCCGTGGCAGGAGCTACCTCAGGGAGGCCTCCTACATAGACAAGCTGTTTGATGACAGCTTATCAGGACTGGATAAATGACTAAAAGTGCTGCTTCATGCATTACAAAAAGTAATATGCACAGGAGGCACTCAATAAAGGAAGTGACATGGAGTCTGTATACAGTCAGCCATAAATGACCACTTTGTGGGTTTAAATAATGTATGGTTTGACTGTGGGTCTCCTGCTGATCAGAAGGGAGGACATTTCCTGTTACCTGCACCCCCCCCCCAAACCCAGGCTATTGTTAAAGGAATTGCAAATAGGAGGTGTGATCTTCTCTCCTATTCAAGATGCAAGAACAAAGAATGGATAATATATTACCTGCCACTCACTCTTCTAAAGTAAGTGCTTTGGAGCTCTCAGCATGAGTGGGTGCAGAGAGTGGAGAGTTCAAATAGGCATTGTAATACTTTTTGGCCCAGAGTTTGTTTTCTTGGCACAGAAACTCAATCCAGATTAGACAGAGGCTGCCTAGTTTTCAGGTCCATGAGGTACAGAATGGCTTGTTCTGGACTCCCTGGGAAGAACCAAGCGTGTAGCTTGAGGATACTCCTTGATTCATCATCCCTTGAGGCCCGGGTAGCTTCAGTGGCTAGGAACATCTACCGGTACTTCCAGCTCTGGTGGGTATGCCAGCTCCAGACCCTTCTGAACAACTTTGCCACTGTACTCCATATTCTGATAACCTCCAGTTTAGACTTCGGCAGTGCATTCTACACAAGGCTTACCATGAAGACAGTTCAGAGGCTGCAACTACAGCAGAAAGGGGCAGCCCAGCTCTTTGCTCAGATATCTTTAAGGACAAGCATAACACTTGTCCTGAAGCAGCTGCACTGGCTGCCAATTCACTTCCAGGGCCAGGTCAACATATTTAAAGCCTAAACAATCTGGGTCCCAAGTACATGGAAGATTACTTCCTCCCTATATGGCAGTCAGCATTTGCAGAAGAGGATTTTATTATGTCATCTCCCTTGGAGGGATGGGAGAGCTTTTTTCACAATGCCCCCCAAATTGTAGAACTCCTTTCCTATAGTGGTGTGTCAAGAGGGATCTGCTTTGGGCAATCACTGATAATGCACTTCTCCTTGGCCTTTAATAGTCAAGCTATTGTTAGAATCCCCCATATATCATTGTATAATCTGTCCTGGGACTTTACAGTCAAGGGCAGGTATGGTAACTAAATGATGATGATGATGATGATGATGATAATGATAATAATAATAATAATAATAATAATAATAATAATAATAGAGGAGGAGGAAGAGGAGGAGGAGAAGCAGCTATGATGTGAGAAAGGGGTTTGAGCCCTTAAAGGTTTGGTACGAAGTTTACGGTATTTTTATGAATTGCATGTGTTCTTGTGTGACTACACTGATGATATAGTGTATTTTTGCTGATGCTTTAAAATATGCTGTATGGATAATTCTGTATGAAATTAGCAACTGTTTTTGAATCAAAATGAGAAAAACAAGTTCTATCAACTCTGGGGACTCAAACCAAATATTAGCCTTGTCTATGACAAAATAACTTTGCTACGTATGTTCAGTTTGCAAGAGGTCCAGTATACCAGATGGGTCACAGCTCTAAATACTGTGCTAAAAAGAAAAAATAAAGATCTGCTTCATATTAATCAAATGGAACTCAATGTATACATTTATAGAAAGAAGCTCCTGGGGGAGCTAGTTCTGAAATGTAAACAACAGTTCATTTAAAATGCATCAAAATTTAAATTTGCCTGTTATTGAAACTAGGTTTTAAGCTCACTATACAGAAAGTTATTTTGAGCTTGTCAGCTATAAGTAACATTGTAAATATGGGGATTAATGGCAAAGTGTGTGGTTAAGGTGAGAACCAAAGAGCTCATTTTCCCTAAATTGGTCCTTTTCTATATCTAGGACTCAGCCTGAGAGAGGCAAACAGAAATAGTGTCTTGTGATGGATATTTACAGAATAAGTAACTCTCTTGTGTTTAGAGTGTTTTCTGTATAGCTACATGGCTGGAAATGATAAAAGCACACACATGCCAAAGTCAGAGAACTGAAGATTAGCAAATAAATTCCAAATTGTTCTCTAAGACTGAAGCAGACTGAAGCATTGAAGCATACTATATATCTCAGGGGTCAGCAAACTTTTTCAGCAGGAGCCTGTCCACTGTCCCTCAGACCTTGTGGGGGGCCAGACTATATTTTTTGGAGGGAAATGAATTCCTATGCCCCACAAATAACCTGGAGATGCATTTTTAATAAAAGCACACATTCTATTCACGTAAAAACACCAGCAGGCCCCACAAATAACCCAGAGATGCATTTTAAATAAAAGGGTACATTCTACTCATGCTGATTCCCGGACTATCCGCGGGCCGGATTTAGAAGGCGATTGGGTAGGATCCAGCCCCCGGGCCTTAGTTTGCCTACCCATGATATAACTGGTCTTACTAGTTCAATGTCTTATTTGTACTGAAATAACAGTTGTACATATGTCACTACAGTCTCATCTAGAATTTCTCCTAGAGCCATTTCTGCTTTCAGAAACTCCTCATCTCGCAACACTGTCCTGCTAGCTGATGTCATGCTAAATACCAAGGTTTGTGATCAATCAATTTGCATTCCTCCCCCCAAATTTAATTATTGGAGGTCAATGGAGGCAATTTGCATTTTAAATTTCAGGAGATTCTTTTTAAAAAGACCTTTGCCTTCTACAATATTTTTTTATCAAATGTTTGAATCCAAGCCCCCCCTAATCTTGGGTCTATGGTGATTGCCTGGGAATAAGGTAGTTTGAGGACATGTTTGGCTTAGGACTCAGCCATTCCAAAACCATTTAACAGAACTGTTTTAGTACTGTTGCACCATATCTCACATGATAACACTGCTAGTGAGAACAGCAGCACGTTGCCTTAATAGAGATAATGTGAATTGAAGGCAAAAAACAATTAGGTTTAAAGGGGAGACTGCCTCCCACTGTTTGGCTTCTCTGCCAAACTAGGCTGCATCAACATAAGTGTTGTGCCCAGATCAAGGGATGTCATAGTACTGCTCTATTCTGCCTTGGTCAGACAACACCTGGAATACTGGGTCCAGTTCTGGGCGCCATTGTTTAGGAAGGATGTTGACAGGCTGGAATGTGTGCACAGGAGGGCAACTAAGATGATCAAGCATCTGGAAAACAAGCCTTTTGAGGAACAGTTGAGGTAGTTGGGTATGTTTAGCCTGGATAAGAGGAGACTGAGAGGTGATAAGATAGCCATCTTCAAATATCTAAAGGGCTGTGACATGGAAGATGGAGCAAGCTTGTTTTCTCCTGCTCCGGAGGGTTAGAACCAAACTAATGGCTTCAAGTCACACGAAAGGAGCGTTCAGCTAATCATATGGAAGAACTTCCTGACAGTAAGAGCTGTTCGAGAGTGGAATGGACTCGCTTAGGGGATGAAAGATTCTCCTTCCTTGGAGGTTTTTGAGCAGAAGTTGGGTGGCCATTTGTCATGGATGCATTAGTTGAGATTCCTGCATAGCAGAGGGTTGGAATAGATGACCCTTGGATCCCTTCTAACCCTACAATTCTATGATTCTCAGTTTTAAAATTTGACAAATGATAAGTCCCTGCTGGAGAGCTCCATGGTCCAAAAATTACGTGTTTCTATAAAAGGTGGCATACACTTCAGAAATGATAGACAGCAGTACATTTTTAAATTTCATGATAGATTGTGTTTAAGAAGCTTGTTCATTTTCCAGTACAGTAAACTGAAGAACGCTTTGCATGCAAACTGTACACAAAGACAGTGTTCTAATTTTGGAGGTTACTTTTAATTTTTAAGGTATTTGTTTTAAAGTGACTGTTAGTCATTATGGGGTTTCTCCAGTAAAGTTATTTCTTTTTACCAGATAATTAAGATGCATAGATAATGTCGATGTGGTGTATGTCTTTGCTTAGATGGGTATTTTGTGATTTTGATGTTTTGAATTGTTTTTTATTGATTTGTTGTACTTATTGCATATTTATTTTGTATTAATATGCTTTTCACTGCTTTGGGGTTTGGGGGACAAAAAACCATTAAATAAACCATTTTTTAAAGTGCCTTTTGTATGGTTAGGCCTTCTTACCATATTTACCACCAGCTTCAGTAAAATGCAGGCAATAACAGATCAACATGCTTCTCAGTAACTAGTTTTACCACCAGGTATTTTTTATATCCCCCAAACTTTAAGGAACTTCCTCTATAAAGCAGCTTACAATCTCCAATAAAAACACCACCTCTGACTCTAAAATATAAAAATAAAAAGTATGGCAATGTACAACTAAACAATAAACCAACATAAACAGTAAAGTACAGAAACAGAGGTTGAAGAACCACACCAGCAAGACTTAGCACCACTTCCTCCCTATGCAATATTTGAAATACAGGAGGAAAGAAGGAAATGGATAGTGGGAAGGGAATAAATGTTATTGGAGAACACCAGAGTGAAAGGAGGTAGAAACTGCAGCAAAGTTGTGACACCAGCATCCAACATTTTTCTAATTCTGGCTGCTCTGGCTGCCTACCATCTTGCCCAGCTTTTGGCTATGAAAGGCAAGTAGGGATTTAGTCTAAGAGCATGCTGTCTCTTCCTCTTTAAGCAATTTAAAGAGTTGGGAAGGAGAGAGAGCATTGATAGATATGGACTAGAAAGAGCCCCTAAATGTTAAATCTGTTTGAATACAATGGTGATGATGATGATTTCTTAAATTTGTTAGTCACTTTATCTTGCCCAGGGCAACCCAAAGCATCTTACAACCAACCAAGCAGACAAAAAACCCAAGATAGATGCATTAAAACCAAGAGGAAAAAGAAAAACATTAAAAGCAGCCCACCCTCTCAGAAAACAGTTAAAGGCCAAAGGCCTGGTTATAGAGGGAAGTTTTTGCCTGGCACCTAAAGGTATGTAACAAAGGCACCAGTTGAGCCTCCCTGGGGATAGTATTCCACAAGTGGGGAGACACTGCAGAAAAGGCCTGTTGTTGGGTTGTCACCCTACAGACCTCTTGTGGAGGAGGCACGAGAAGAAGGGCCTCAGGTGGCGATCACAGGGTACTTTCAGCTATGCAGGAAGACATGGAAAGTCTGATGATTGACTGACAAAGTGAAAGAGATGGGAAAGTGGTGGAACCAGGTGGGGTGAATGGCAGGTCTACTGCTCCACTGGTATACAGAGGGGATCACACAGGTCATCTTTTCTCCACCACTGCCCTGCGTCAATCTACCTTTCCCGATTCACTTAGACCCCTCTGTGCTTCTTCTACTCCATTTCTGTTCTCTTCTCCCTCCTGGGCCCAACACATACCTATCCTACTTCTGTCCACCATCCTTTATCCCAATTCATTTTAACAGTTATTCAAGGATTTTAGTGGGCAGCTGAGCTTTAAACAGTTAGACAATATATATATTTTCCTATGTGTAATATTTTGGATGGGTGGACATTCAACGAAAACACCTGTAAGGTCTCAATTACAACTAAGTGTACACTTATGAGTAGAAGAAGCCTAGTCTTTAAGCAAGTCATTACTTAACAAGTAAACAATGATGGTTTTATTTCACAGCAATTGAGCAAAGTGTTTTAACTGTGCAGTTTCCACTGGGAGCAAAATAGAAAGGTTAACCTGTTTCCAGCCCAATGCCTTCATGTGGGAGAGAATTGCTTATCTGCTTCCCTTTGGAAAAGCTTTGTTTCATCTTGCATTTAAATGCTCTGAGGGCACAAAGATGTTTCCTGTTCAGTGATGTATCACAGCCAGATTTTTTTATTCTTTCATAAGGAATTGTAATAAAAATGTATTGCAGTAATCCCAAAATAACTAAGCCAATTTCTAAACGAGAACCTCCAACACAGGCAAAATGTAATATTGTTATGTATTTATTCACTTTGTATTTGTTACCTGCAACTGCAAGGCAAGTTAAGGACATTTTTAAAAACAACATGCTTTACATGGAGTTACATGTGAGGAGGAAAAAAATTAAAAGGAATCCTTCTTAAATCAAGTGAACATTCAATCCAGTGCATGTCTCACATCTGAGTAACACAGGAAATACAAAAATTATTTAAGTCTCACTTGTAGGAAGGTACAAAGGACAAGAAGCCAGGCTTTGCCCATCTTACCTCCTTTCATTTGCATTATTCAAATACAAGAAAAGTTATTTCTGAAGGAACATAAAGATTTCTGTAGAAACACACAGTCTTGTTTTGATGTCTGAGAAGGAAAATTCATTCATCAGATACACAGGTAAATGTTCCTAGAGTTCTTGACCCAGGCAGCAGCCCCAAAGGAAAAAAACACCATGACATCTTCATTGGAGAGATGTTCACAAATCCAATCTGACAATCACAGAGAAAGTTTGAAGTACACTTTGCCAGAAGAATAACACTTAAAAAGGAAAAGAAAAGCTGTGAGTAGCACATGGAAGAAAATACAGTGGTATCTCAGGTTACAAACAACTCAGGTTACAGACTCCGCTAATCCGGAAGTAGTACCTCAGGTTAAGAACTTTACCTCAGGATGAGAACAGAAATCGTGCGGCAGCAGTGGGAGGCCGCATTAGCTAAAGTGGTACCTCAGGTTAAGAACGGTTTCAGGTTAAGAACGGACCTCCAGAACGAATTAAGTTCATATCCAGAGGTACCACTGTAATGTAAAATGGTGCATTAGGCTCAGTGGCTGCAAAAAGATTCAGAAGGGATATTTGACTTCACTTATGTGCAGCAGGAAGTAAAAGAGCCTCGCCAGCAACTAAAAACATTAGTTGGCTACCAAGGCCAGTCAAAGCATGTGGATCCTTGCTTATAAGGAAAGGATTGCACAACTCTGCCTTTCAACTCTCTTTTATCCCAAGATCACTGTGGATGAATTTATATGGGTGTTGTTTTAAGGAGCAATTTGGAAACTTGGCATGAGGGCAATTTATATAAAACTCAGTAGAAAAAATAGAATGCACACCTTGATTGTTTTTTAAACTAAGCCCAGATCTAAGTAGTATTTGTCCCTGGAAACAACTGAGTATATATAAATTCTTGTCATACGAGGCCCTTCTCTATGACCCCCCCCCCAATACCCAGAGAGGTTCAGAAGGTAGCAACCAGAGAATGGGCCTTTTCTGTGGTGGCTCCCTGATTGTGGAATACCTGACACCATCATTGCATGCCTTTAGGCACCAGGCAAAAACATTCCTCCTTTACCCAGGCCTATGGCTATTAAATAATCTATGGCCTGTAAAAGTGTGGGGGAGAGGATTGTTTTTATGATGACTAAGCTATCTGTCAGTGTGCTTTTTATTGTTTTTATCACTGATGTTTTGTAATGTGTTTTTAATGTTGTACACTGCCCTGAGATCTTTTGATAAAGTGTGGTATATAAAATGAAATAATAAATAATAATAATAATAATAATAATATACAGAGAGAGTACATGCTATTGTACTGGTTACCCACTAGCTCATAACCAAAATTTACTCTGTAATGTTACTTTCTTTTTCTTTTTTTAAAGAGCCGATTACTGTAACTTCTAGCTGCTTTCATTTAAAACATTTTCAAGTACCACAATTATTGTTACTTATTTCACTAGATTCAAAAACTAAAATTGTGTATAAGAAAATTGTAATATCTGATGTGGGCACATGCTAAGCACATTTTTAGTAGCACTAATAATAAAATAAGATCGAGTAATTTCTGGTTATTAGGAGTATTAGCAAGTCCTTTATTCAACGCACACTCACAACACTCACACAGGCATAATTGCAATTAGTCTGTACTTTGGGTTGTATGGGAATGCATGCACGCACACAGCAAGATGCAATGTAGTTAAGCTCTTGCACAGCTTCCTACGTGTGTCAATGTACCATTAGGTCTGAAAAACAACTAAGCATTGCCCTACCCACAAAAAACTCACATAGCACTCACCGTTCTCAAAAGAAACACACTTATTCATTCCCCTCATTCGTAGCCAACCCACCCAAATAATTTGCAAATACTGTAATTATGTTTGTTTGAATATGAAGTGCTGCAGAAAAGGTTTCACTGAAACGCACAGAAGATTCTATCTTATTTTTAGGGGATAAACAGATTCCAGAGGTGTGATCTCCTCCAGCCAATCACAAAGCTAAGACACAATGCTGCCATTTCTCCACGTCCTATTACAGCAAAGGGTGGCTTGTTTTTCTGCTTTTGTCTGAGATCTTAAATGATGAATGGCTGCTTCAGGGAAAAGATCAAGCTGTGCAGTTGAGATTTATTATGAAAAGTAGATGGAACAAACAGCAAGTGTCAGAGTAGAAAACATGTTCCTCTCTACTGTTTGTATCTCTCTAAACCTAAACTTACAGGGCCAAATTAGGCAGGATAGGAGACGACCTCTAAGCAGAATCCGGTTTGCTGCTGAACCTCTTAAATTTTAAGAGTCTAAAAAGTGGAAGGGAGGGTGCTGAAGAACAAAGTGAACAAGCAGGAGGAGCTGGAGCCTTTGCCAGCTCTTCCTCCACAAAACTATTTTAGAAAAAAGAACCCACACTCACACGTCTCTGCCTGATGTTCAACAAACATGGCTTTGCAAAAAGAAAAGAAAAGAAGGTAGCATATTTTTCTCTAAGCTGGGATTCCATAACCAGAAACGACCCCTACCAGGAGAAAAACGGCTAAAAGCAAGCAATTGTGGCTGGACAAATGAAGATGTGAGAAGTTGAGGTTACAGCAGCACTGCAATTTCGGTAGGCATTTACTTGAAATGCACGTGTGAAATTCTCACAACCTAAATGCAGGTTTCATGTTCCTTCTGTTCAGATTTTAAAGCACATGAAACCATTCTCCAGGTACCTCAAATGGCTGTCCGCTTCTCAAACTTCCATTAACAAATACATTTGAGAACTATACTGGGGATTTTAATTTCTCAAACCCGAGTCACATGCCAAAACATGGCAGAGTTACAATGGACTTTTCCGCTACCATTCACCTTCCTTACATCAAGGACCGCATGCCCACCCCTTTTGCCTGCCTCATCCATTCTCTCTCCCCACTCCCCAAAACAAACCTCTAGTTTTGGTGTTCCACAAACTGGTGGTTGCAGTAGTTGTAGAACTCTTTCTCCTACATGGCTCTTTATTTAAAGGTATTTTTATATAACTTTAGAGGTAGATCACGCAAAATAGTTCACAAAAGGCCATATAACAATAATCAGTGTTTTTTAAAAATACAGTAAGAGGAAAATATGGCAGTTTAGAGCAAGCTATGATTGCCTCTTCTCAGCTCCCTTTGGGGCAAGATAGTCTTTCAGAAGTCCCTGTGGGGCAGCTGGAGAAGAGAGGGGCCAACACTGGGAGAGGGATTGTAGCAGCTTGCTAGGCCGTTTCTATCTTCCCTGCTCTCCCTGGGGCAAGCTGGTCTTTGGAAAGAACAGCAGGTCTATTAAGCTCCTATACACGCACCACATATATGGCTCATCTTGTTTCAACCCACCTAATGGTACACAGGAAGAAAGTGTTTTTGTTTTTGTTTCAAATGTATATTCTCTTCTGTCAACCAGGCTCCCATAATAGCTAATAGAAAACCAATAAGCTTATTGATGTTACCAGCCTCCAATATATCAAACTGGTGGTATCCAACAGCGCATCTTTTTCTATCGCTATATATGGCTGACCAGCTGACTCCAGCAGAGGGACAGCGTGGGGGTGCTGTGGGGGCCATGATCCCAGCCAGAATTTTGAGAGGGGGCGCAAACAGTCGCCCCCACAGCAGACTCCTTCATCGGAGCCTAGCTCCATGCCAGAAGGAGCTGCACCAGGTCAGGCCTGACCCAGGGGAAAAGAGCAGGCGAGTGGGCGGCAGTGCTGCCACCCACCCACCTCGGCCATGGCACACTTGGTGCCCGGCAGCAGCAGCTCTGCCACTGGGTCACTTCTAACCTGACAGCAGAGAACAGCTCTCCTCAAGCTGCAGTAGCACCACGGCCAGGTCAGAAAGGTGGCAGAGAGGAGGAGGAGAGTGAGCAGCAACTTCCCACCCCTCTCCTAACCCTGAACTGTGGCATGCAGAGGGTGCCCTCCGCACCCCTCAGGGGCACGCTCCAAGCGCCCACCCCAGGCAGAATGGGCATACGCTCCACTGCTGGACTACAGCCAGGCAGGCGGAGATGCTAGGCACCAAGGATGGTTCCTGGACATCTCCATCCAGTCGCAAAATGCAACTGGCACCGGGCTAATTTTGAGCGCTGCTCCAAAACCTGATGTAGCTGGTTGGGGGACCCTGTGGAGTAGATTGCGAGGGTGCAGATTGCTGCGGCAAGGAAAAGGGGAAGTCTCATCATGTCCAGCAGTGTGATGTCATATCTTACCCCACACAGGCAGCACACTGCAATGTATTTCTGTTTATTTGGAAGTGAAATCGTATTTCTTCAACAGTGACATCTAATAAATGGCTTTCCCCCATTTCACATCTTTTTACATCTGTAAAATGTAAGGGGCCAGTCCTCAAATATCCAGCTGATCCATGCCCTATTTGCCTCAATGGCTTGTGCCGGAGGTGTTCCTGCAGCTACCAGCCGAAGGGAACAACAACAGTGTTGTATAACAAGTATAAACAAGTTTACATGCTCCATAGTTGCTAAACTGAATAAAGCACAGATATTAAGAGCAGTAGAAACAGCTTTTATTTTCGTAGTTATTTTATTACTAGAAATCACAGACTGAAAAGTCCACCAACGTTAACATTCACAAAACTATAGTAGGTAATTAGTTAGGACTACAGTCCCATTCCCTGGGTTCCAAACCTGCCATAAACCACAACACTTTTCTTTTTAGAGCTCGAGACTATCCCAAATTTACACTTCTCTTTATAAAGGTTACTATACCAGCTACTTTCCACAAGCAAACATTTCACTTTGTCATAGAATCTGTGTCCTTTTTGAGTAAACAAGTGTACTTTTATTGACCTTTGGGGGAGAACTCAGTTCAGACAATGTTTCCCATATTTAGTTTTGCCGATATTTTGGGTAGCTAAAAGGACTGTGTAAGCAAAGTCTATACACAGAGCTTGTTGCAAGACTGCAGCTTTCATATTTAATATGAAAATGTATTAACTGTGCCTTTAAAATATGAGCACCAATTTCTCTCAGGAGTTAAGCATTGTTACCCGCAGAGTAGACCTCTTGGTTGCTCACCCCCAGCTGTATCAGATTGCATCTTAGTCTGCTTCCTGCAGCTGTAGGCTAGACAGAGCCTCCATACAGGTTTGAGGACCTGAATATACATATGGAAGTACTTTCATATACCTTTGACTGCAATGATCCAGTTTCCATACAGCTACCTTAAATTATTCTACCCTGAGAAACTAGAGCAAAATTTCCTATTCACTGTTGTCTACGTATTATGGGTGGTGCTGTGGTCTAAACCACTGAGCCTCTTGGGCTTGCCGATCAGAAGGTCGATGGTTTGAATCCCAGCAATGTGGTGAGCTCCCCTTGCTCGGTCCCAGCTCCTGCCAACCTAACAGTTCGAAAGCACACCAAAAAGTGCAAGTAGATAAATAGGTACTGCTCCGGCGGGAAGGTAAACAGTGTTTCTGTGCATTGCTCTGGTTTCGGTGTTTCGTTGCACCAGAAGCAGCTTAGTCATGCTGGCCTCATGACCTGGAAAATCTGTCTGTGGACAAACGTCGGCTCCGTCGACCTGTAAAGCAATATGAGCGCCGCAACCACAGAATCGTCCACGACTGGACTTAACTGTCAGGGGTCCTTTACCTTTTACCATATTATGACATGTTCACAAAAGGCCATATAACAATAATCAGTGCTTGTTAGTTGTACACCAATGCTGCTGTTAGTTGTACACCAGTGGCAACTTAGGTTGCAGCAGTTCCTTACATGCCAGCACCTATGCAAGTTTTACAGCTGAAGTGCAATGGGTGTCGCTTTCAAAATAAGCATTGTAAAGAAAACCTGAAACCATCTCACATCTAATGAATGCAGAATATTTAGTTAAAAACAATGAAGTCACAGTGCCCCCAAGTGAGGGGGAAGGAGAAGTAAGCAGAATTCATGCAGCAATGAGAATGTCCAGACCTTCAACATGCAACTGGTGCAACTTTTCCGTTCAGCAGGTACTAATGCATGTCTAGATCACATGTCCAGTCCTTGGCCTAGCTAGCATAATGTTATGCTTGGATTTAAGGGAAATTAGTTTTGAGTTCACTTCTTTTGTTTTGATTTTCTACCACTTATTTAGATTTGAAGGTGGTGTTAATGAGCTGGATTAGCCCTTCATGCCCCCAAAGTCACTCCCTTACATCCAATCATGGTGTTCATCATTGGACAGGAATATCCTCTTTCCTGCACTATCTATGCGCTTTTGATGTCTGCCCCTATAATTCTAGAAAGTTTTCCCCTGAAGACTCCAATCTGAGCATGGTTAAAAGCATATAAGTATTTTTAGATTAGTTTTCTGTTGTCATAGCCAAGCTGTCCTATATTCATTGGGAGGGAAGGCGGTTTCACGTGTCATTTTTACTCATCCAGCTTCTTAAGCCTGGAAAGGGAGCTATATCTTTTTGAAGCAAACTGTTCAGGGGATAATTTCTGGTCATGGCATCATCACTAGTTGGTGCCGATCTTTCAGTTCCAACAGAAGACCAGCTTATAACTCAAGTTTTTGGATGAATATGGGTATCTGCATTTTATAAATAGCTTTATTTGCTGTGTAAGCTCTTGTCCAGGCTTCTTCAACCTCGGCCCTCCAGTTGTTTTGAGACTACAATCCCCATCATCCCTGACCACTGGTCCGGCTAGCTAGGGATCATGGGAGTTGTAGGCCAAAAACATCTGGAGGGCCGAGGTTGAGGAAACCTGCTCTTGTTTGTTTTTATATTTTGACTGACTAGATTGGGGTTGGACTAGATTACCCTTGGTGTCCCTTTCAACTCTACAATTCTATGAAAATATATAAACACAGTGGGAGCCTCTGGCATATGATGGGCATCTAGGTTAGGTTACTGAAATGCATTATACGCAGGGCTGCCTCTGAAGACGCATGGAAACGTCAGCTGATGCAGAATTCAGTGGCCAGGTTGCTCACCAGGGAAAGAAGGTTTGAGCATGTAACATCACTCTTGGCCTGACTGCACTGCCTGCCTATCAGTCTCTGGGTCCAGTTCAAAGTACTGGTTTTGACCTATAAGGCCTTATGTGGCTCAGGACCACAATACCTCAAGGGCTGCCTCTCCCCTTATGGGCCTACCTGAACCCTGCAATCATAATCTGAGGTCCTTCTTCATGTGCCCCCTCCACAAAAGGTCCAGAGGGCGGCAACACAAGAACAGGACTTTTCTTCAGGGGCTCCTTGCCTGTGGAATGCTCTTGCCAGGAAGACCTTCCCTGGTGGTTTTGTTACATATCTTTAGGCACCAGGCAAAAACTTTCCTCTTCTCATAGGCCGTTGGCTAACAATCTATGGCCTTTTAAACTGGGGAGGGGGGGTGTATTGTATTGTTTTGTTTGTTTGTTGTGTATTTTTGTTTTTAAATTGTGATGAAGAGCAGTATAGAAATTTTAAAAATACAAAAATATAATAAATAAATTTAATATTTGCTGATAGCTTCTCTTTTAACCTTGGGGGCCACATAAGGAAAACTCATATTTTTTGTTGGGTGTGTATAGTTTAAAAACTCTTGCTCAATGCAATCAAAACAGAAATCATTTTCTGGCTTGAAGTGGAAACAAAGTTTCACTTTGGATAAGCACAAACACTGAAACCAAAGCCTGAAAATGAACTCTTTTCGGTTTCCAAAATACTGTGGTTAAGACACCCTCTTTTTCCAAATGAAAGCAATAGCTAATATAAATCAAGTAGAACAACAATGTTCTGGGAAACGGGGGGGGAAACAAAGCCAACAGACTGTTGTGACTCTAAGCCCAAACAGGAATATTTCAGCAGGCACACACATTCTTTGAATTTATTCTGATAGTTCAGGGATATAACTTATATTTAGGCATAGCTCTGTTAAAACCAAACAACTTTTTTTCTTTGCCTCTCACAAGCTAGAGACAAGGACACTTGCCCAGTTAAGAAAGTCACAAATGAAGTTAACTGAAGCAATATGCCATGCTCAAAACAATTAGGACAGCAAATCAACTTGCTTAGCTTCATACCCATTCTCTAGCTTTGCACTTCGAAGTAAAAAGTGTGAAAACCGACATCCAAATTAGCTCTGCGCTTCATCATCACAATCGCTGTGGTGACACTGTACCCTTGGCTGCATTTGCTCCTTTATCAGTGTGGGGCTGGGAAGAAGCATATCTTGTTGTTTTGCATGACTGAACATTTCTCCACAATCTAGGAACTGCACAGCCCTTTAAGATAAGGGTCAGACTGTTGCCACAGGCATCTGAAGCCTGATTGCATAGAGCTTTTTAATTTCTTCCAAGGGCAGAAATCTTCCAGGCAAACTTCACACTGGGTGGGAGAAGGAAGAGAACAACAAAAACTGACAAAGCTTTTTTTCACAGGAGAGCCAGCTGCTGTGTAAACATACATTTCATTATCATTTGGCAGCAGTTCAGCCAGATGACAGTCAGATACAAGGCATGCAAATCCTATGACCTAACATAACCCAAGCTAAAAACACAGCAGTGCAGACCGGTCTTCTTCAACCTGGTGCTCTCCAAAGTTTGGACAACTCCTCCAGGCAGCCCCAGCCAGCTTCTTTGTTTAGAAATCCTGATATGCTTAGAAAGATGTAAAAAAATGAAGAACCACAGCTATCAGTCTCCTGACTTCAGGAACTGTGTTGTCAAAAAACATTATGGTTGCAACTCATTCTAACTATGCATCTTTGTAAGGAATAATTTTTCACAAAAGTTCAAGCAAGCTCAAAAATGGACAAACAAAATGATTAAGGGGCTGAAGCGATTCCCCTATTGCAGCATTTGGGGCTTTTCAGGGTAGAGAAATGGCAAGTAAGAGGCAACATGATACAAGTTTTTAAATTATGCAGGGCATGACAGAGAAAAGTGTTTCTCCCTTTCTCATAACAGTAGAGTTTGTGGGCATCTAATGAAGCTTAAGGTTGGAAGGGTCATGACAGATAAAAGAAAGTACTTCTACACAGAGCGCCTAGTTAAACAATGTGCAGAAACAGAGGAGCTGCCTGTAACTTCCACTGAGTTCAATGGGGCTTACTCCCAGGTGAGTTGGGTATAGAGTTTAAGCCTTAAACACCTTCAGTATGCTACATGGCTAATACCCAGTCCCTAACCAAGTACATGCTTCAAGTTCAAAATAATATTTTTTTAGTGGCCCAGAGTGCCTTCCATCAGCTTCGGTTGGTGGCCCAGCAACGCCCTTATCTGGACAGGGATAGCCTAACTACCGTTGTCTATGCCCTGGTAACCTCAAGGTTAGATTACTGCAATGCATTATATGTAGGGCTGCCTCTCAAGACGGTTCGGAAACTTCAGCTGGTGCAGAATTCAGCAGCCAGATTGCTCACTGGAGCAAGACGGTTTGAGCATATTACACCGATCCTGGTCCAACTGGAGTGGCCACCAATTAGTTTCCGGGCCCAATTCAGAGTGCTGGTTTTGACCTATAAAGCCTTAAATGGCTCAGGACCACAATACCTCAAGGACTGCCTCTTCCTATATGAACCTACCCGGACCCTGAAATCATCTTCTTCGTGAGACTCTTCCTCGAGAGGTCAGGAAGGTGGTAACATGAGAATGGGCCTCCTCTGCAATGGCTCCCCATCTGTGGGATGTTCTCCCCAGGGAAGTTTGCCTGGTGCCTTCACTATACACCTTTAGGCGCCAAGGCCTTTGCCTGACCCGATCTATATCCTATACCCTTTTTAAAATGCTGGCTCTTTTTAGGGTTTTTTTATTGGGTTGTTGTTTGTATTCTGATTTTACGTATGTGATCCTTTATGTGAACCACCCAGAGACCTTCGGGTATGGGGCGGTATAGAAATAAAATAAAGAAATAAAATAAAATATATAACGTATGACAAAGAAGAACCAACTTATTACAATTTAATGTAAGCAGAGAAGGTAATGGAGATCTCCTGACAAATGAAACTCAAAAAAGAAGATGACCATTGAGATTTAGCTGTATGTTCTCATACCATGGCGAAGTATTTTATCAGACTTTTTAATGCATATAATTGCTTGCTACCATATATTACCAGTAACAGGGTAATCAAGACTCTGAAAATATTTTAACCCATATTGTCACGTATTTTTGTTTTGTATTAGCAATTGTATTACACAAACAAGAGAAAAAGTATGTGTAAAAAGTCATTTAAACGTCAGATTTGCACAAGTCATCGAACTACAAGTTGTTGTTTTTTAAGTATCTACTGAAAGGATAACAACAACCTCCACAGGATTCAGAAACATTGCATGCCAATATAAATCATTTAAATATAAACTTTCTTAAAATGCGAGACTCATTTTTTTGGGGGGGGGTTAAAGTTGCTTTAGTATTGTTTTATTTATTGTTCCCTTATTTGGGTATTTTTAAACTAAAGAACCAGTTTATAATTGTCTGTTATTGTGATTATACATCATTATTTCCAACAAGCATATTCGGATCCCATTTTTACAATCAGTATATCAAGCGACTAAACTACCAGTCTATTAAGCAATCTAAATAATTTATATAGCACAGAAAAATAAAAAAGAAAGGAATTTATAAGAAATAATTCAAAGTGCCCACAAATATTTCATTTCAATGAAAACAACCATTAGGCCAAGACTTGAAACTGCATCTGAGGTACTGCAAATAACCACTCATTACAAAAACATACTGAAAGAGATAGTTGACTGTTCCTTTACTGAATGTTTCACTTGGAGAGGCAAAGTACCACATTAAGCACAATGCTTTTGAGTTGGCAGAATGCTTGGAAAATTCTGCTCTCAGTTTAAGTTTACAAATACTCCTCTACATAAACCTTCCTGCCTGGGCCATCCTAAGAAGCAAATGTCAAAGGCATAATCCTAAACATGTCTACTCAGAAGTAAAAGGGTTACTCCCAGAAAACCTTCAACAGGAATGCAGCCTTAAAAAGCATTCTTTCCAGCAACCTTCTAAGTACTATAAGCAGCACTGTAACACTGTAGGCTTCTATCAGTCAGACTGGAGGAGGCCAAGAGTAGAACACAGACCACTGGTAGACCCAGACAACAACAATTCCTCTTGCCACACTAGTAATGGTAAGTGTGGAACCACCCAGCAGAAAGCATTATCAGAGGACATCCTTCTTCCCAATATTGAAGCTGCAGAGGGAAGCAGGTTTATTTTACTTAACAAAATCTATATACCGCTTCACTGTAGCAAAACCGCCAATCAATTTACAAGAAATATGAATTTTTTAAATAAAAACAGTTAAAACAAGGAATTAAAAACATTATAAAAAATTACATCAGCAGTGAACCAACAAGATGTCAAGATAGGCTTGCCTAAACAAAAACGTTTAAAGCAAGTTCCAAAAAAAATACAGCACCTGCCTGATGACAATAGGCAGGAAGTTCCAAAGCGAAGGTGTTGCCACACTAAAACAATAATTTATTACAAGCGCAGAACAAATATTATGTGGCACCTGTAACCTTGTCAGTGCCAAGGAATAGTTCAAGAAGTTTTGTGGTGCTCCAAAACTGGGAAGAAGGCTGGAAGTTTTGTGGACAGCCCTGTGGCCAAAGGATCCAGGCAGCCTTGGCCATGTAAGGCCAAACCGACAAGCAATCTTCACTCTGCCATTGGCTTTTCCTGCCCCAGGCTTCCCTATACCCCAGCAGGAAACATGGACAGCAGGAAGGGGTGGCACCCAACCAGACATGATCTCCACTGGTCCCTACATGAAGAAAGTGGGGACAAAGCTGGCACACTTTCCTGCCCAGCATTCTTTCCCTACAGAAAGGATTGCAAGGTGGGGACTGATGACTACAATTTTTGGCTGGACCTGTAAGGCCAGGCAAAAGTGGTAGATTATTAATGTCCATGGACCACCCGCAGGGGTAGTCAACATGGTGTCTCCACATGCTGTTGGACTACAACTCCATCAGGTCTGACTATTGGCTATGTTGACTGGGAATAATGGGAGTTGCATTCCAACAACATTGGTAGGACACCATGGTGACCACCAATGGACCACAGAGCCTGCTGATAGCTGGGATACTTTCCATGAATACTGGACTAGGTGGACATTGATCTTATCCAACAGGGGCCTTCATATGCTCTCAGGTAACAGTGCCTACTCAGGTTAGCAACATAGAGGCCCAGATCAAACAATATTTCCTCCGTGAACTTCTACTTATGCACAGCTATTACACTTTCTTAACCTGCCCACCAGACGCACCTGTTGCATAAAACATCCATACATCAGTGCAATATCATATGCAGTCCTGAAAAGTGTTAATGAGTTCCCTCATTCAGTCTCAGAATCAACTGCACCTCAATTTTGTCCTGTGTGTGGTCTGTTCACGTGTTATCACCATGCACTGATGTGCTGTGATCATGAAAAGAAAACACCATCCCATTTCCCTTCTGGACACTGGGCGAGTGGGGCGGGGGATAATTAGGGGAAAAGTTCAGTTATATGGTCTGAATCAGACATGTGCTAAAGTGTTAAGATCCTGAGGGCCACCATACATGAGACATTTAGCACTGAGCATGCCCTTCAGTACTAGCTTTTTCTGTAATGGGTGAGTGTCAATCTGAACTTATTTCCATGGTTTATCACTGTAGAACATTTATAATTCATGCTGAGTGGATAATATTATGGTATGAGCATGTATAGCAGGACTACTAATAGTGATAACTAACTTTGTAGCTTTACTATATTGTTATATTTGTCAGAACTTCTGGCTTTATAAACCTGTAACAACAGAAGTCAGGGCTGGTAGCACGGTGACAAAACAGGAACTATATTGGAAACACTCATATTTTAAAGCAGGCTGACTTAATATTAAGCTTAATTTCTGTCAAGTTCATTGTGAAAATCCAATGCATTTTTTTCTCAATAGTATTCAGTTGTCCATATACCTTAGGGGTGGGAAACTGGATCTGCTCTGGGGTGGTGGTCAGATTATCTCCCTCACCCTGCACTTACCAAGTTTGTCCACCTGTTGATTTGCCTGATGTCACAATGCAATCAAGTGACCTCTTTTGTCCACCCACCTTTTCAGAAGCTCCTTTCAAAGAGCTATTTTCTACAGTGATTGGCAGGTCTTCAGAAACCCCTTATAAAGAACCGTCTGGCCAGGCGCTTTGCAGGCACAGCCAGTTGGAGATCCCCTATATGACATCGGGTATAGGGAAGTGGACATGACCTGGCCAGAACTGTCTCATGGGCCAACTGGGGAGGCCTGCTGGTCCCAGTTAGGCCTGTGGGCTGGAGGTTCTCCACCCCTGCTTTAACTAGTTAAAAAGTAATAAATCTTGGCAAAATCTTCCACATGGAAGAATAAAAGTAATAATCTTCATCCCAATTAAAATTTGAAGGGCCCAATGACCTTGCAAAGGTTGGAGGATTCTGACCTTTATTTCAGGCAAGTAAATTCAGTGGCAGAGCTTCATGCTCTGGCACGGGGGGCGGGGGCGGAGAGCAGGCAGGGGCGGGGCACACCAACTGTGGGGGCATGGTGCCCAGCACGGGCGGGGTGGCAGCCGTGATGGCACCCCACCAGGATCGCACGGCTGGGGGTGATGTGCTCCCCCCCCCCGCACTCCTCTTCCTCCGCTAGCAAGTAAATTAACTGCTGAACAGGTCAATGGGACCTGTTAGAATTATACTGCAAGTGTAACATTCTTTACTTGCATAGAACATAGTTACTATCAACTGCTAATTCCAACAGAAAAGGAATGGAGATTATTTGCTGGAGTGTAATTAATCAGCACTGCTACTGTTCCACAGGTCTCCAATGAAGCACAATTTCCAAGCAAACACATTGGAACCATCTTTTATTAACTATATTACTATGAGCAGATGGAGAACTTGCTCAAAGAGCCACTTTGAGCCAAAGGTTTTCCCAAAGGTGCATTAATGTTTACTGCATAGTCCAGATAAGGTTAGGAGATTGAATTTTGTCAACTGGACGTTAATGATGTTGTGTGGGGGTAAATCCTAGTTCAATTCCCCTTAAGAAGATCACTGCTTAAATTTTCTTACATCCCAGTGCAAAACAAATTTTATTAGAATGAAATCTCATCGATCATTTACTCAGAGGTCAAGGTTTGGCAGCAGTAGAAGAAACAGACCTAAATCCTTGACAATCCTGGTGAAAGGTTCTCCAACACCAGGTCTGAGAAAGACTCCGTCTGCACCCTTGAGCCACGAAGCAAAAGTAGCTGCATGATACAATTCGGCTTAAGACAGGTGCCCGCTCTACCACGGTGACCTTGGTCCCTCACTTTGCTTTACCTCACAGGGCAGTTGCAAGGGTGAAAGGAGAAAAATCCCATGTGCCTTGAGCGCCTTGTCTTGCCATCTAAACACGCACACACAAAACTTTCGTCCTGAAGACACCCAGGCAGAAAGAAGCAAGGCCTTCAGAACTCAGCGAAACTTATTCCAAGGGAAAGAGTTGCAAACTTCGAGACGCTCCCCGAGGAAAGCACAGGAGCCGGGCATTTACCTGAACGCTCATCAGGATGGCCTCGCTCTTCTCCCGCACGTCTCGGAAGGGGCACCTCTTGGACAGCATCAGCAGGCGGGCGAGCATTTCGTTCAGCCCGCCACGAGCCCCGCTGGGAGGCGGCGAGAGCCCTTCCGCCGCTGGCGACGCCGGAGGAGACGCGGCTTCTTTGGCCGGAGCCACCGCCTCGCTCTTCTTCAGGACCGCCTGCCTTATGCTCTCCATGGCGCTGTCTCTGGCGCTGCGCTCCCTGCTGCACAGCCCATCCCACCTCACCTCTCCATCTCGGTCGGCCATTGTCAGAAAGAGATCCCCACTCCTCGCTCTCCCGGGACTCAGTTCTCCGAGGCGGCCGCCATCCTCCTCCTCCTCCCCAGAAGAGTCAAAGGAATATCGGAAGGCGGCGGCGGCAGCGCTGATCGGGGTCTTGTCCTGCTCCTTTCCCCCACTTCCCTTCTTACCCGCCAGCCCTCATTATAATGGCCGGGTGCCGAGAAGCGCTTCGCGGCTTTGTTGCAACCAAGCGCTATATAAATATTGCGAAATAAAATACGTCTCGCTCCCTGAATGCGCGAAGAGGCGCCTCCGTTAGGCTGCGAGAAGCTCGGCTTGCAGAGTCCGAGGACTTGCACGGCTAAGAAAGTTGCTTCGCGCTGGCTGGGACCGTGCGAGGAGGAGAGTCCCTCCCTTCCTGGCGCTCCTCTCTGCCCGCCGCCCCGCTTTCAAGGGGAGAAAGTCCCCGTTGGGGCTCGCGTGCTCCCCGCCCAGCAGGGCCTGGGTCTCTTCCCTCCCCGGACCCACCCCTCGCCCAGCGCAGCGGGGAGGAAGCTGCCCATCAGCAGAACGGGGGCGGGGAGCAGAGGCTGGCGCGAGCCCGCCGCGAGGCTTCTCCGGACGGAACCCCAAAGAACCGGAGCGGGTCGGATTCGGTGGAGCGCCCCCGCCCACCACCGCTCCCGCTTCTGAAGCGGCCAGCCTCTCTCCCCGCCATCCCCCGGGGCGGCTGCAGACGGCAGGCCCCGCCCCTTCTCTCAAAGCTGCACGCGCCGCCTCGCCTGTGGAGTCGACGCGAGGTAGATGTCCGGCTTCAGCCAATCCCCCTCTGAGCTGTCAAACCAATCGGCGCAAAGTGTTCCCGGGGCGCCTGGGACATATAGTGCCAAGCTTTGGAAACTGCAGAGCTTTCTTCTTCGAGAGGAACTACAAGTCCCAGGAAGCAGTGCGCTGAGGGAGAAAAGCGTCAGCGCCATCTGGTCACGTGGGCATATTAAAAAAAAAATTGCAACCACGGCTATACTCCGTGTTTCTTTTGTCTTTGTCTACAGGCGACGAGGGTAGTGGTCGCTTTTGTGATGAGAAGGTGAAAGACTGATGAAAGGTGAAAGGTGATGAGAAGAAGAAAGAAGAATATGGTCGCTTTTCTGATGAGGTGCTGCATAGATATAGCTGGATATATACTGGGTGACGGACGCGGGTGGCGCTGTGGGTAAAACCTCAGTGCCTAGGACTTGCCGATCGCATGGTCGGCGTTCGAATCCCCGCGGCGGGGTGAGCTCCCGTCTTTCGGTCCCAGCTCCTGCCCACCTAGCAGTTCGAAAGCACCCTTAAAGTGCAAGTAGATAAATAGGTACCGCTTTATAGCGGGAAGGTAAGCGGCGTTCCGTGTGCTGCTCTGGGGCAGGCTCGCCAGAGCAGCAACGTCACACTGGCCACATGACCCAGAAGTGTCTGTGGACGGCGCCGGCTCCCGGCCTCTAGAGTGAGATGAGCGCACAACCCTAGAGTCTGACAAGACTGGCCCGTACGGGCAGGGGTACCTTTACCTTTATACTGGGTGACTAGCTTTTCTTAAAGATCCTGCTCCGTTAATGGTAAACGGCTGCATAGTAACGAAGCGTCTTCAGAAAGTGAATGTTGGCTATGCATGTACTTTCGTTAGGTCCATTTTTACTGGATTATAACCCATGTTGGCCCTGCTCAGAGACGACCTATAGAAATTAATGGATACGACTAACTTGCATCCATTATTTTCAGCGGCTCTCCTCCAATGTTTCTTTTAATATGAAGTTTATAAGCATTATAAATAAATCAAATTGGGCCTCTTGTAATTTTATCTCTGTGTCAATTCTTTGTGTTTTGGACTCCTAGAAGAATAGGATTGTTTTTCATTTTTTTAGAAAAGCAATAGTCGCTCAGTTCCTTTCAGTCTGTGAAGTTAAAGATACAGTACCTTGGTTTACGAACTTAATCCATTCTGGAAGTCCATTCTTAAACCAAAACTGTTCTTAAACCGAAGCACACTTTCCCTAATGAGGCCTCCCGCCATCAGTGCCCTTCCACCGTTTGGCTTCCGTTATTAGACCGAGGTAAAGTTCTCAAACCAAGACACTATTTCTGGTTTTGCAGAGTTTGTAAACCAAATCATTCTTAAACCAGACTGTTCTTAAACCGAGGTACCACTGTACTTCCTTTCACTTCTTTTGTATAGGGTCATTGAATAAATGAATACAGTAGCCAATTAGTCATTATTTTGTAACAAGGAAGGCAAATATTAAGTTTGTTGTTGTTTAGTCGTTTAGTCGTGTCCGACTCTTTGTGACCTCATGAACCAGAGCACGCCAGGGACTTCTGTCTTCCACTGCCTCCCGCAGTTTGGTCAGACTCATGTTTGTAGCTTCGATAACACCGTCCAACCATCTCGTCCTCTGTCGTCCCCTTCTCCTTGTGCCCTCCATCTTTCCCAACATCAGGGTCTTTTCCAGGGAGTCTTCTCTTCTCATGAGGTGGCCAAAGTATTGGAGTCTCAGCTTCAGGATCTGTCCTTCCAGTGAGCACTCAGGGCTGATTTCCTTCAGAATGGATCGGTTTGATCTTCTTGCAGTCCATGGGACTCTCAAGAGTCTCCTCCAGCACCATAATTCAAAAGCATCAATTCTTCGGCGATCAGCCTTCTTTATGGTCCAACTCTTACTTCCATACATCACTACTGGGAAAACCATGGCTTTAACTATATGGACCTTTGTTTTTTAAATAATCTTTATTGCTTTTAAAACTTACAAGAAAAGAAAAACAAAAAGAAAATAGGCTAGAGAAAAAGACAAAATAAAGCAGAGGAGAGAAAAAAAGAGAGAGCAGAGAAAAAACAATACAATACAATAAACAATACAAAACACAACCTTAACACACTAAACAAAACAAAACAAAAGAACAACAATTTAAAAACATATACCATACCATTTCATTACTCTATCTTTCATTCCCTTATTTCATCGACCTCCTCTCACCTCCCGTGTTGTATTCCACTTCTATTACTTATTTCAGCAATTCCTTTCCATCTTTCTCTATTTTTATCATTATGAATATCTTAACATATTTTGTACCTTATTTTCCATTAATACTGAAATACTTATTTATACCTAACTCCTTATAACATTTCTGCTAAAGCCATAAAGTTTCAATCCAACAATTTTCTAACACTCATTAAATTTACAATATTTCTATATATAAACTTTAAACTTTCCCAATCTTCTACCACCATCTCTTCTCCCTGGTCTTGGATTCTGCCAGTCATTTCCGTCCATTCCATATAGTTCATCAACCTGGAGATCTTCTGTCCGAGGCTCTTAAATCTTTTCCAAGTCCCTTCTGCAGTTTTCTTCATATTCTTTGATGCTGAGGGTGCTGAAGTGCAGGTCTTGGGGGGGCCCCCGACCCAACCATGCCCCCATTCCCTCTCGACAGACCAACCAACTCTCCACAGCTAAAACCAGTGTCCATACAATATCTCAAATCATGTTTCAAGGCTCCTCCAGATCCAACAGCCCCCACAACTCCAGTCACCTCCTGACCCAGATTCAGGACCCAAAGGTCAGTAAATCTCTGCATAGAAGAGTCTATCCAACCTTCCTTCTTCAATCCAAGCAGGGCTCCAATCTTCAAATTCTGACTTTTTCTATATTCATTCATAAAAGGCCTCCACTTATAGTCCTCAGTTTGCCTCTGTAAGACTGGGGCTTCCACTTGTGTTATTTTAGGTTTAACAACACCAACATTCTCCTTCGTCTTCTCCCCAGTTTGTCCTGTCAAGGTAGGTTCCTGTGTCAAATCCTGAACAATTTCTGTATTAATGGTCACTTTTTGTTCCAAATTAATCACTTTTTGTCCCAAGTTCTCAAGTTTGGTATTCATAGCGTCCGTCTTCTTGTGGAGCTGTTCCAGCGAATAGCTTATCTTACATAATACAGTCAATAAGGCTCCTTCTGTCAACATTCTTAAAGTCCAAGGTCAGTCTCTATTTCACACAGGTCTTATCTTGCAACTGGAAAAACCCCAGCTCCACTCTTGTAACAGTTTCAAAAGCTCCCTCTAGAGGGAAACAGTCTCCACTTGTATCAATCCTTTCAAACACAATTTAAACTACAGTGGTGCCTCGCAAGACGAAATTAATCCGTTCCGCAAGAGTCTTCGTCTAGCGGTTTTTTCGTCTTGCGAAGCAAGCCCATTGACGGATTAGCGCTATTAGCGCTATCAGCTGTTTAGCGGCTATTAAAGGCTTAAAGGCTTAGGGGATTAGCTGCTAAAAGGCTATTAAAGGCTATTAAAGGCTTAGCAGATTAGATAAAGGGGGGGGGAAGCGAAAAAAAATCTCAAGACTCGCAAGGTATTTTCGGCTTGCGAAGCAAGCCCATAGGGGAATTCGTCCTGCGAAGCAACTTCAAAACGGAAAACCCTTTCGTCTAGCGGTTTTTCCGTCTTGCGAGGCATTCGTCTTGCGGGGCACCACTGTATAAAGTTAGTTTCTTTTCCTACTTTTTAAACGCAGATGAGTACAATGGAAACAATATATTTCTCTTATTTAGCTAGCTGTCAAAAAACGTCGCTCTTTCTGGCAGCCCGTTTCCAGGTTTGGAGCAGTGGTAATTTGGTTTTTCACTCTCTCCTGCAGGCTCACTAGGTCCAAGATTTCCCCCCTCTTCTCCTGCTTCCAAGGGGGGTTTAATAGTTTTAACCGATGGAGATTTAATCCTTTACAAAAATAAACTTTCCAAGGCTTTAACTTGCAACTTCTTTGCTTCAATCTGTTTACAAGAAAGGAAGGCGGACTTCCTGTTTAGAACCTTCCCGTTTCGATGCCAAATTAATGAATTTAAAGATCTAATTTTCCGTTCTACTCACGGGTAGTTGTTTAAAATCCAATTGTTCACAGGAAAAAGGCAGCGCTCTCCGGCAACAGCGATGCGGCTTCACTCCGTGAAAGAAGCAGTCAATTCGAAGCACTGCGCCACTCACCCCACTTTGCTCCGGATCCCCAAATCAGGGTTTCCCCGCGAGTAGGGGAGGTGCAAAAGGTGCCAGCCGAATCCCAAGTTCACAGGCTTCTCCCGCCTGTGATTTCAGTGGGTCTCCGCCTTCGCCGTGGCGGTCAGACCCTAATTTCCGCGGAGCAAATTCCTCCCGATCGGAGGAACTCCGCCATTGCTTGGAGGCGCCAACCCGGAAGTCAACTATACGGACCTTTGTTGGCAAGGTGATGTCTCTGCTTTTTAAGATACTGTCTAGGTTTGCCATCGCCTTACTTCCAAGGAGCAGGCGTCTCTTAATTTCGTGACTGCTGTCACCATCTGCAGTGATCATGGAGCCTAAGAAAGTAAAATCTCTCACTGCCTCCATTTCTTCCCCTTCTATTTGCCAGGAGATGATGGGACCAGTGGCCATGATCTTCGTTTTTTTGATGTTGAGCTTCAGACCATATTTTGCACTCTCCTCTTTCACCCTCATTAAAAGGTTCTTTAATTCCTCCTCACTTTCTGCCATCAAGGTTGTATCATCTGCATATCTGAGGTTGTTGATATTTCTTCCGGCAATCTTAATTCCAGCTTGGGATTCATCCAGCCCAGCCTTTCGCATGATGAATTCTGCATATAAGTTAAATAAGCAGGGAGACAATATGCAGCCTTGCCGTACTCCTTTCCCAATTTTGAACCAATCAGTTGTTCCATATCCAGTTCTAACTGTAGCTTCTTGTCCCACATAGAGATTTCTCAGGAGACAGATGAGGTGATCAGGCACTCCCATTTAAGAACTTGCCATAGTTTGCTGTGGTCAACACAGTCAAAGGCTTTTGCATAGTCAATGAAGCAGAAGTAGATGTCTTTCTGGAACTCTCTAGCTTTCTCCATAATCCAGCGCATGTTTGCAATTTGGTCTCTGGTTCCTCTGCCCCTTCGAAATCCAGCTTGCACTTCTGGGAGTTCTCGGTCCACATACTGCTTAAGCCTGCCTTGTATAATTTTAAGCATAACCTTGCTAGCGTGTGAAATGAGTGCAATTGTGCGGTAGTTGGAGCATTCAAATATTAAGTTAAACATCACAATAAATAGCTTATTCTAGAAGCTTACAGCTTTATATACTTGTCTATTATATGTATGACTCGCTTAATGTGGATACCACTACATCTCACTATGCCACCTATTTAATGTATATAATCTTGTCTATTGTTTGTGCAGGTTAAAATGCAATTGGTATCTGACTACATCTTCACAGTAGATGAGAGGGAGTATTCTTATTGAACTTTGTAGGATGCAGTGAAGCTTGTGTAAAAAGTTGGGGGAGGAAGTTATGCAGCTGAAATATTATCCAAAGCAAAACTCCTAACACTCTCTGGTACAAAGTTTGGCTATCTTTCCAAAACAGCTCTTGACATGAACATTTGATATATAACCTACACCAGCCTAAGCCATTCTAAGCAATACCACGAATAAACCCTTCTTAACATAATGGGGGCTTATTTCAAAGTAAACCTGTTAGAACTGAGCTGTAAGTGCTCCTGAGTTGCAGTTTTATAAAACCCTTAAACTAAGGTACCTGTGTCATGCAAAACAGCTCATAGTAGAAAGCTGGTTAAAATTCAAATATGCCATAGTTACGGTAAGTGTGTTCTAAACTGTCTTGAAGGTTAAAGTGTTTGCAATTGCCTTTGCTTCTACAGTTGTGTAATCGGATCTTTGATATAATCCTCTTCCACCATGGTATAACTTCAAAAGAACTGAAATAATTATCCACAACATCTCTGACAAGCTGAAACTAAAATTCAGCAAAACTCGGTCATCGTGTAACATTTTCTAACCTGTTCATTTTAGCTCTTCTGCTTAGAGCCAAGCATTCCTGGCAAACAACCATTTGAATACTTAATTCCTGTTATGACTGAAATTTTAATGACATTTATGACTTGCTTTTCTTATATTCCTTGTGAACTAATGCTAAGAAGAAAAACATGCTATATTATTACAGTGGTACCTCAGGTTAAGAACTTAATTCATTCTGGAGGTCCGTTCTTAACCTGAAGCTGTTCTTAACCTGAGGTACCACTTTAGCTAATAGGGCTTCCTGCTGCCGCTGCGCGATTTCTGTTCTCATCCTGAAGCAAAGTTCTAAACCCAAGGTACTGTTTCTGGGTTAGCGGAATCTGTAACCTGAAGTGTCTGTAACCCGAGGTACCACTGTATACATCTATATGCAGGATTCACCTACCCAGTCACATCAATGGAAGTCCTACACAAGGACTTCATCTTGCACAATGGACCTCCCCCCCCTTCCCCAGTGCCGTCTGCAATGGGCCTTGGGGGCAAGGGCATAGCCAAGAGAGGGCAGCTGCCCCCCATCAAGTAAAACAAAAGAAATACTTAACTAACTGACCAATCACGTTGGTTCTGCCCCCTTAACACAACATGCTTTTGGGGGGTGTCAGGAGAACCCCTAGAACAGCTTATGGGGGGGAGGATAAGGGGGTCATTCTCTCAGGCAAGCTGGAATGCTTGTGCTGACAGAACAATCAGAAGAGTACAATGTTGAATTCCTCCCAATATGAGCAACAGTAATTAAATGTATGCCGTTTGATCTTACGCAGTGTTAGGCACACATAAAACCATTAGGTTTTCAGTGTCTTCTCAAAAGTGAACAACCCTGGGTTTAAGATGGTCACTTTTGAAAACTTAATATAATATATGCAAAGGGCAATTTTTTTTTACTTCATTTCTGCTTCCTCATATGAATGTTCTAAATCAATTGCTACTCTAAACAAGCTCTCAACAGGATTATTGTGGTTAATATAAAGTTATGTTAAAATGATTTAGATGGCTGTTTTGTGCTTGTGCGAACAGTCAGTTATTGGAGTTGGGATTTAATGTGACACAGTGGAGGCTTTTTTGTATGCCTCCCCTTATGTCAAGCTGGGGGCTGGGAGAGTGGAGAATAGCACCAAAATACATTATTTTCCCCAGCTTAATCATCGTAGCATGAGGAATTTTCAAAGAAACCATCAAAATAGTATGTGCAGATGTTCAGCCAACTGTTTTCTCAGTTCTGGATGGAAAACAAGGGGGGTTGGGAAGTAGGTTCATGTTCCAAACTGGCCTTTTTAAACAGTCTCTTGCCAGTCATATTGGCTTCAGGACAACAGTTAGAAGAGCAGAGAGTTTCCCAATATTGCTGCCCATATTGTAGCTATTAGCATGAATTTATTTTGGAAAGCGGTCAGAAACTGAATGATTCATAACACTGAAGGCTGAAATGTGGACAAACATATGTGGATAAATGTGCACATTCCAGTAAACCACCTTGGAGGATTTACAACCGTTTGCCTGAATGCAGGGCACAGTAGTAGTTCTCAAACCATTTTAAAAGTAAGTAATGCTATTAAACACGGGTGGCGCTGTGGTCTAAATCACATAGCCTAGGGCTTGCTGATCAGAACGTTGGCGGTTCAAATTCCCACGACGGGGTGAGCTCCCGTTGCTCGGTCCCAGCTCCTGTCAACCTAGCAGCTCGAAAGCACGTCAAAGTGAAAGTACAGTGGTACCTTGGGTTAAGTACTTAATTCGTTCTGCAGCTCTGTTCTTAACCTGAAACTGTTCTTAACCTGAAGCACCACTTTAGCCTATAGGGCCTCCTGCTGCCGCCGCGCCGCCGGAGTACGATTTCTGTTCTCATCCTGAAGCAAAGTTCTTAACCCAAGGTACTATTTCTGGGTTAGCGGAGACTGTAACCTGAAGTGTATGTAACCTGAAGCATATGTAATGCGAGGTACCACTGTAGATAAATAGGTACTGCTCTGGCGGGAAGGTAAACGGCATTTCCGTGCACTGCTCTGTTTTGCCAACAGCGGCTTTTTCATGCTGGTCACATGACCCGGAAGCTGTACGCCGGCTCCCTCGGCCAGTAAAGCGAGATGAGCGCCGCAACCCCAGAGTCGTCCGTGACTGGACCTAACGGTCAGAGATCCCTTTACCTTTACCTTAATCCTATTAAAAGTTAACTTCTCTGAAGCAAGAGAGTAGACTACTCAGAACAACATTTTTAATTCTAGAACTCAGTTCTTTCTGGCAAACTGTGAGCCACAGTTGTTCAGCAACTTTCCCAACTAGACAATGAATCAACTCGTTTGAGAAAGATTTCAACTTTGCATTTTTAAAATCTGCAGGCCATAAGAAAAAAAAGTGAACCTTTAAAAAAATTTAATTTGAGGTATTAATGTAAGTGGATAACACTATGTCATATCAACTTTCTGTATGCTATACTTGCAGACATATACATATCTATATGTATCAAAATACTATGTATAATGCAAATGTGGTTTTAACTCTAAAATAATATGTAGATACATATACTTTCCAATACTTCTGCTTTGTATTATGCAGGCCTGTTGCTGATTTGGTGTTTGAAGTTGGCATGCAGTTAACATGAGCTAAGCATCTGACTGCTATAAATGGGAGGTCTCGTTCATTAAAACATCTTCGTGTTTCCTGCACTAACACTACAGCAATAATATCAACTGCTGAAAATCAATTATCATTGCCAAAAATAGAGACTAAGGCCATAGACCTATGTTGACTTACTTGGGAGTACCATAAGTCTTGTTGGACAGGTATTTGAGTAAACAATGCAGTCTTAAGCTGCAAACAATGAACACCAAACTCAGACTAGTTATTACTTCACAATATCTTTTTATCACTACTCTGCAGGTGAGGGCTTAGATACCATCTTATCAGTTGATCCATTCTGCCACAGTGTAGGAAATGGAATTTCCTCCCTTTTAGTATTAGACAGTATTATCTTTCGGGTGCCTACTGAAGACCTTCCTCTTTCAACAAACCTTTTGAGACCTTTCCCAGTCTGCATCTGCATTGGAGTTGTTTTTAAGGTGTTTTGCCACTTGTTTGCCACCCTGGGCTATTTTCGGGAGAGTGGAATGTAAAATAAATATTATAAATCGGGCAGTAATAAACACTTCGTGTATATGGTCAGTGTTGTGAAAAGCTGCATCCCAGTCGCCTACACTGTGGCTGGTGGAGGGTTAGCCACTCCCCGCCCCCGGGCAGGGCCGTTGCGCCTTTAATAAGTAAAAATTCCAAAAGTATTGCTAAAATCCGCCATATACCACGGCGGACCATCGGTCCATCTAGGTCAGTATTGCGCCGCTTCAGGGTCTCAGCGTGGGGCTGAGCCCTACCTGGAGATGATGTGGACTGAACGTAGGGCCTCCGATGCTTTACCATTGACATACACCCCCTTCCCGCACAGGCAAAAGCGCAGCAAAAGCAAACCAGAATGTGCATGTCCATTGTCTATCCATCAAACCAGTAATTCAGCTAATGCATCCCATCGTGAGACAAACGCACTCTCCCTTGCATTGCATGGAGTGTCAGCGCAAGAGCAGCACAAACAACCTCCTCCTCCCGCCCTGAGCCAAGGAAAGCACTTCGGCGGGCGAGGCAGGAGGGCGGACAGCTTCCCTAATCCACGGGGAGCCGCTAAGTGACCTGGGAGGAGGCGGGGCCAATAATCCGGGTCACGGAGCGAGGGCGTGGAATCCCCGAGGGCGGGAGGGGAAGCGGGCGGCTTGAAAAACGGCCCCGGCGAAGAAGGGCGCTCTGGGAAGTGAGCCGCCTTTTATGGTTAGCTGTGGTCTACCCGAAGCCGGGAAGCAGAAGGCGAGCGGCATAACTGGGGCTGGGTCGTAGCGCGAGCTCAGCTGGTGCTTGCAGCTCGGGTGAATCCCGGTAAGGTGTGTACGCGGGGAGGGAGGGGGTCGTCGTCTCTTCACCTGCTGAGTTTCTGCTGGTTGCTTCCTTCCCTTCCCCCCCCCCCCCGTTTTCACCTGGCTCAGGCTCCTCGTTCCGCCCGCGTCCTCTTTGTGACCGTGGCCCAAATGGGAGACCCACAGACCCTTTCCTTTACCACCCAGCCCTCGCCCAAGGGCCCCACCCTGCAATAACTTCCAGCGCCTCGGAAGAGTCCGTAAAGAGTGTCCTGCCTGGGTTTTCCCAGCCCACCCTCCCCCAGGAGAGGCGAGAGCAATCCTGGCCACAGACCCCCCCAACAGTTCGCTTCCAAGCCCACTCTGGCGAGCCAGGAAGAAGATGCAGGCGAGCGAAGAACACTAAACCTGCAGCTGTTTTTATGGGAGGGGAAGGAGGAGGGAGCCGACATTATTATTATTATTATTATTATTATTATTATTATTATTATTATTACCACCCCCGGGCGGACACAAAAGAGGGGCTTGATGGCGGTGAAGGGGGCATCCCTGAGATATTCGCTGTATTTGGCTGCAATCTTGCACCCACACATGCCTCGTTCAATTCATGGCGGCTTGCTTCTGAGAAAACACGTGTAGGCTTGCTTTTTAAGGCCTTTAAAACACGCTCCTCCAGGACTTAATCGTTTCACTTTAAAATGAGGGAGAGGTGCTGGAGCTCACCAGCCATGGCTTCAATTCAGCTCAGGTGTGGATGCAGGGATAGGTGACAAAGTAAAAGAGTGTTCCTTAAGTAGCTTGCAAAATGATCTGTCCAATAAAAGGGTGTTGTTTTTTCCTTTCAAAAACATGTTTAAAGATCTCTCTGACTTAAGTGTCTCAATCCAAATATAAAAATTATTTCACCCCCAGTTGTCAGCCTAAAACAGAAGGATTTATTACAGCTACTGGCTGAAATTCTTTCCATCTGCCCCTTGCATAGATACTGGGATTACAAGGCCTATTTAATATTTGTACCAACGTGAAACAGTTTAGGCATCTTTGCAACACTGCTTCACCCAGTGAAAACATTTGGACAGAACCTGTCCAAATGAGCATTGTTTTTGCGTGTAATATTGTCTCCAAGTTTGTTTATTTTAATTTTCCACAGTTACATACATGCTGCTGCTAGCTGAAATTGGGTTTTAATGGTTTTCTTAATAAATGATTACGGTACTTTGTGCAAATAAAGCTGTGTGCTCCTACACTCTTGGTAATATACTTATTACTTGTTGAACACCTAAGCATTGGTCATTTTACATAATATGTAGGAAGATGGGCCCTGCTGATGGTGAGGATACTATGAACCAGTTTAGTTTTTGTAAGAATGAACAAGATTGGGGTGGGAGACTTTGGTTAGCTATGGTGAACAATTATGTAAGTATTGTACAAAGGCTAATTTCACTTGAACAAAAAATCCTTTGGAAGAAAAAAGTTGCCAGTAATGAAGGATGAAGGGACAATGCTGGAAAGAGCAAAAGTACACATGATTTTTCCAGACCAATTGTTTGAGAGATTATTGTATAGAATCATAGAATTTTAGAGATGGATGGGACCCCAAGAGTTATCTAGTTCAACCCCCTGCTATGCATTAAAAATCTGCAGCTAAGTGGAATGCAAACAGTGCAATCACATCACAAAGTGTAGAGCAGGCTAATATATTTTGTGCCATTTTCTGTTGCAAGTTTGTGGGAAATCATCCAGACTTGATGTAGCCTCAGTCTTGTTCATAAAAAATGTAATCTGTCTTCTCTTCCTTTCTGAGTAAATGTCTTAAATAAATACAAATAGCTGAGGGAAAAAAGGTCATTCTGTTTATACTTCAAAATAAGAATCACACAACATAATGACTTTTCTGTCTCGGCAGGTGAGTGGAACTCTGGAGTCTAGACCCCCTATAATGGAGGTAAGTAATGTGATGTTAGCAGCCAAAGAAACTAGCCCATTCTAAAGCAGTCCCTAAAGAGGCAAAAATGTTTGAGCAGGTTTTTTAAGTTAGGGAAAATAGTTTTCAGCGTAGTATTACTGCAGATTCTTCTCTTTTTTTATGAATCTGTCAGCTATGTTAATCTTTCTGTTTAATTTCCAAATAATCACTGGGGAACTTAATGCTTCTTAGCATTAGGGGTCTGAGGGAACCCTCTCTCAAGCAGCATGAGAGAATGAACATAGAACTACAAAGGAATCTAACCTAAATTTACATCATTCCACAGAATTAGGCAAAATAGCTTTATGGGTTTATTTTTAATGGTTCTGACTTTATATTTTAACCTTCTATGGGAGCATGGAAACAAACGTCTGTGAAGGAAAGTTTTGCCACGGTGAACTAGTTGCTCTCAAAGTCATTGCCCTCATTCTTATTCCCACCAATAGATGTTCAAGTCAGGTTCACGCATGAAGAGGAAAGTAGCCTACTAAACAAAGATAAAATGTACATTCCTTGCTCTATCCACCACTTCCATGTAGCATGTTGCCCAGAAGGAAAAACGACCCTGGGTGAAAAAGATTCCTCAGCATAGTGGAAGGTGCCTGAATTAACACTTTAACATAACTGTAAATGACACTATATATCTTTTCTGCAGTCTCTAGATTCTGAGTCAAAGAATAGCTACATAGGAAGTTTTCTTCAGCCTCCAGGTAACATATACTCCACATTTGCAAACATCAGATCAAAGGAGGCAACAGCTATGGCAAAAGACACTCCTGCACCAAACAACCAAGGTAAAACACAAAGTATTGTAATATGACACATGAGTAATGTGACATTTAGTCAGCAAATATTCTTGGCCTGTGCTGAATGTGTTTTGGAATGTGCTACTGGTTTAGAACTTGTCTGAGATTTGAGATCCAAGAAAAATAGCTAGAAAGACAATGTTGGCTTGAGTAACGTAACTTCTAGTGAACAGGCTCTCTTTGGTATTTGTTCGGGGTGACACTTCTCCCAGGTGCAGCTAGGCAGTGTGTGGGGCTACTCAGATTTCAGCTACAGAGTAAAGGGAAGCTGCCTGGGGGAAAATATGTGCACTTCTTTTTCAATTTGCTGAGGCTTCATAGGTGGCCTTGTCTGGCAAGCTACATAGCTCAATTCAGACCTCAGACCTCTAAGTAATAGTTTAGAACTTCAACCGTAGTTTAATCCTCCAAATATGAAGGCAAACCATGGTTTTGAGCTGCTGCTGTGCTTCTATTTGATGTCTGTTCAATGACATTCTAGTCGCTAAGTGCAGTGGCTTCAAGAGGACAAATGAGTTGTCAATTTTTTCATCACACCAAACGATGATTTTGGATCCTGATTTGCCAGCTAATCACAAACTAGTTTGTTGATCCATATATATACTGTATATCTAAAAGTTTTGGGATTAGCACAAATGGCTGATTCATTAACTGGATTTCATTTACCGGCTTTGCCTACATAGGTAAATTTGGGCCATGTTCCTGGCCTTTTATTTTTAGCTTTTTTAGTAGTCAAAACAAAAGAATCAGAGCTTCTGAAACACAACAAAAGAAACACAACCAGTAAACATCACTGGGGAAAAATTTGTCACAAATGAATATAATGCAAAAGAAATATATTATACTACAGTATTATGCTGCAATAGCTGTACGCACATGTGGAGACTTGATAAGTACTGCATGTGCTTCATGTTCTCTATCTTCAAGAGTGAGAGTTTAATTTGGCATAACCTGAAGCGCATTCAAAATGACTTCTCTATTTGCCATAGTCTGTTTTCTGTCTGTTTTTGGCATGGAACCATTTATTTCATGCCCAAGTATTTATTCACACAGCACATAGTTAAACTATGGCACTCACTTCCACAGGAGGCAGTGATAGTCACCAATGCAGATGTCTTGAAAAGAGGATTGGATATATTCATGCAGGAGAGGGTTGTCAGTGGCTACTAGGCATGATGGCTGTGCTCTGCCTCCACAGTTGGAGGCAGCAATGCTTCTGAACACCAGTTGCTAGAAACCAGAGGAGGGGAGAGTGATCTTTTGCTTGAATCCTGCTTGAAAGTTTCCCACAGGCATCTCATTAGCCACCGAGAATAGGATGCCTTTGGCCTGATCCACCAGCCTCTTCTTATGTCCTTACATTCTTATTTGTTTTGTTAAAGAGAAATGTAACTTTTGGTGTTGGACTATGCAGCACGTACCTATTTAATGTTTTACTTACTTGTCCTTGGAGTATTTCATTATCTTAACCTTGGTTGGTTTTTTTGAGTAAAGCAAACATGAGTGGGGGCAGGGAGACAAAAAGAATAGCAAATATCTTTGTTCTGCCTTGGAAATGCAAATCTTCAATAGAAGTCTGAAATTCAAGAGTGAGGGCGCCTGCCAGCTCTGCTGAAAGAGAGTTGCACAGCATGGGACCAGCAACACTCAATGCCAGGTGTCTAGTTAGACGAGTTAGGCCTCAGTAACTAACAGCTCTCCTCCTGATGGCCTCCGTGATTGATCTGGTAGTCGTGGGACTACCAGAACACATTGCAGTCGTGGGACTACATAGAACCCATTGCAGTAATCCATTCCCAAGGTTACCAGTGAACGGGCAACAGCTGTAGAGTTCTCCAACACCACTTTTGACAGTTCAGTGAGGAATCTGTCTTTTTGGCCCTGTAGCAGATGCAGACCCTCGTAGCATGTTCCGGAGCAGAGAGGTATCCTGGCAAATGGATTGCAAATGTTACAGGCCATAGCAAACCCCCTTGCCAGCCCATTAAACCCATGCTGGTGCTGCACCAAGTTCCCAGATGTGAACAGCTGAGTCAGATCGACTCCACTCAGCTTGCCCACCTAGGTCTTGGTAACGTTCCAGTCCCTGACTAGGAGCAGGAAATTACTGCTAGGTAGCTGTAGTGAACCTCTTTATTCTGTCATTCTTAGTATATGGTCTTGTTCATCTGAGTAGAAGAACAGCTTTCTTCTAGTGGAGCAGGATACACAACTTTATACCAAGAAAAATAAGGATGTGTGATTAGGGCGTTTTGCAGCTATCAGCAGAGAATGGGCAGTAATATTTTGTAGGTTTGTGTATGCATGTGTGTCAAATTATGCCTTCTATGATCCACCTGCTCCAATCTGAGTGGTGGTTACATTGAACCAGAAGCAGTAAGAGAAGATGAGAGAAACCTTCATAGTTTTGGTGCCTTACTGGCTTTCTAACCATAGCACCTAAATGACAGAAAGTGGATCTTTAAACAAGTCTAAGTTTCTATCATCTAAGCAAAATATATAGCAATGTAATATCACTGATGTTGCAGGTTGGTGCATAACTGATGTTCACATTAAAGTAGCTTCTTTGCTTTATCGTTATTAAAGCAGAGATGTGTCATTAACAATTAAGTTACCTTTTCACCAGCTCTAGTGGCAGCCCTTAAAACTCTTCAGGAAAAGATCCGCCGTCTTGAATTAGAGAGGTCACAGGCTGAAGAGAACCTGAATTGCTTGTCCAGAGAAGCTGCCCAGTATAAAAAGGCCTTTCAGCATGACTCCAGTGAGAAGGATATAACTCACCAGGGAATGATGCAAGAAAAGAAAGGTACCTCCTATTACCACTGATGACAGCCTTACCATTCGCATCTATTATATCTTAATCTCAAATGAGCACTCATGTTGTTGTTTGATTGTTCAATTAATGTTTAATCAGGATATGTAGTAAATAGGTCTATCACATGATTTAAATATTTAAATATTTTGTTCTAGCAGATCTGCCTTTTAACTGCTTTACTAATTGTTTAAATAAAAATGCATATTGCACTTTGGCGATATTGTAGAAGTGTGTGATCATTTGCAATTTTTAAAAAGCAGAAACTGCTGCTTACTAAACTATTTTCATTTAAATTCCCTTATGCATGGGTGGAGAACTTGTGACCTCCAGATGTTGCTGGACTTCAATTCCTGTGATCCCTTGGCTGGGATTGATGTTTCTATTTCTGATGTTTTAATCTTTTTTTTTTTTAAATTGTAGATTGTTTGCTTCTTTCTTTAAGCTACTTTGAGACATATAGTGAGAGGCAGGGTACAAAGTCCTTAAATACACAAACATAATTTCTTTTAAGAATTGTGCAGGCTTTAGGTAAGCCATAAGAATACTTATCAGTTTTCTTGCAGACTCTTTCATGAGACTCTCTGAAAATAACCAGAGCGCTTCATGTATCTCTACTGTTGATAACCTAATAAAATGAGAGGACAGTAATGGGATTGGGTCATTAGTGAAAGCAAGCAAGTTCATTTCAACAGCATCATTATATTGCAAATTAGAGCATAAATCTGTAAAATCAAATAAGACATAATTATTACTCTCTTTCCCTCCCCCTGCATTCCTCCCCTTCAGATGTGAGCATGCAGTTAAGGGCAGCACAGTCTCGCTGCTCTTTGCTGGAGAAACAACTAGATTACATGAGAAAAATGATGGTCAATGCAGAGTTGGAAAAGAAACTGGTTCTAGAACAGCAGGTGCACATGTTTAATATATCATATTCTTGCCCTTTGTTTCTCCTTCCTTTGTATCTGAGAGGCTTTGCTCAAACCTTGTTGGTGTGGTCTCTTGTTAGATCTTGCTTATCTGTCACCTTCATAGACAGTCTTGGAAAACACTGAGAAATTTGTGGCTGTGAAAAATTGGTTGACCAAGCATAAGGTGCACATATATCGGTTTACATGCATTTTTTGTCTGAAGTAATTTTAAGATGTATTTTAATTAATGTCTGTTTTTATGCTTACTGTGTTATTTTTATGATGTTAGCTGCTCTGAGCCTGGCCTCGGCTGGGGAGGGCGGGATGCAAATAAAAAATTATTACTATTATTACTATTATTATATGCTTTGTTTATCAGAAGAATAGAATAGAAATCACATAACTACAATGTATGGTGGCTTCCATAGATTCCTGTGTTTTTAGCAATAAGTCACCTTTGGCTAAATTTAACAACAACAACAACAACAACAACAACAACAACAACAACAACATTATTTATATGCATCTGACTGGGTTGCCGCAGCCAACCTGGTTGAAGCTGTTTTCACCAACACTTTGAATTGTGCTCAGAAATGTATTGGGAGCCAGTGTAGGTCCTTTAGAACCAGTGTTATATGGTCCCTGCGGCTGCTCCCAGTCACCATTCTAGTTACCGCATTCTAGACTGTAATTTCAGAGTCAACTTCAAATGTAGAGTGCATTGCAATAGTCTGCAGATGACAAATATTACCTCCCACCTCCCTGAAAGCTGCCGAATAGTGTGTAAATAAAAATGAAAATAGCCATCCAACTATTCTTATATGGATTTTTTAATACTAGGGTTTCTTTTAAAAATAAACTGAGATTTCACGAACCTTTTTCTAGGAGATCTGTTGCCTGTAAATGGGAAATGTCTCATAATTGTTTCCCATTTACTGAGGCCAAAAAATGCCTCAGTACAATCCCTGCTGAAGCTGTGTGTGTGTGTGTGTGTGTGTGTGTGTGTGTGTGTGTGTTTCACTGAAAGACATCAGTAAACCCAAGATTTTCCCCCTGCTATATTCTTTCCCTAGATACAAACTTGCAATATTGAAAGTTGGCATTTCTGTTCCTTAGCTAGATTTAATGCACCTTGGTGTTACATGCAACTAGTAAATGTGCACTGAACTATGGATAGCAGATAAGGATACACATTTCCATCCATGTTCCAAGGTGTATTCCCTTTTTTGTGCTATGCACTTGGATACCTGCAACCTAATGCATGCATGTTTACAAACTTTGTCCACCTCCACCTCAATCCATATGCACCTATACATAGTGATATCCAGTGCCAGCTGTCATATACAGAAAGCAGATGCCTGGATCTTCCCTTTGTTTCCATGTGCAGCAAGATCCTGTGCAAATCTGTATGCATTTGCAGTTCTTGTCTGTAGGCCTCCTAAACTCATGCCTGTAGCACTTGCTGCATCATAATTCCATCTTCTGTGGCGTTGAATTTGATAATATGAAAGCTGTAAACCATTTGAGCAAAGCTTGCTATCAGTTGCCAAACCACTATCTTGTGCATATTTTTCAGATGCAGCTTCAGAAGGAAAAAGACCAGAATCAGCTGGAGCTATGTGCAAAACTTGACAAGCTTGAAATTCTAGAAAAAGAATGCTGGAGACTTACTAGCACTCAGAAGACTGCAGAAGTAAGTAAATACAATAACATCATTAAATGGCTAACCTAATAACATTTAACATTTGTGAGACTAGCAGCAAAACTGCAGTTCTGGATCTGGGCATTCCTGTGGCAAAGGGAGATAGTGGCAGAAGTGGGAGGGCTGCTGTTACCTATAAATGCCACGCTTCTACATTTGGTGGGCAGAGCTGTTTGTTTTTGTCGTATTTTTGTATTTTGGACCTACTAGTGGTTAATATGGTCCCCTTATGTTTTGTGCTGCTTTAAAATGTGGATTTTTATTGTGATTTCTGTCTTTATTTCGGATGTTTTTATTGTGATGTAAACCATTCACATATTTCTTTGAAATATGGAGTGGTATACAAATTACCCAAACAAATAAATATTTTGCGTTTGCTTTTCTTTCCTCAGCCTTGTTTCCTTTAATGGAAAACTTTGGCTCACTTTCAGTGTTCTCGCCCTTAAAATGATAACTGTTGAGTTCATTTATTGTATGTGGTCCCTTCCCTGCCTCCCTCTCTCTCAAAGGACAAGATCAGACACCTGGAACAGAAGCTTCTGGAAGAGCAACACCAGCGCAAACTAATTCAAGATAAAGCTGCGCAGGTAGGAAGATGAGTATTTTTACAGTGATAAAACAGGAGGTTCGGCAGGCAGCCTTATGCTGCAGTTCTGCTTTAACCAGCAGTGATCCTGAATACAAACCGTGACACACAAGTATGTTTTGCTATCTATACAGTGGTGCCCCGCAAGACGAATGCCTCGCAAGACAGAAAAACCGCTAGACGAAAGGGTTTTCCGTTTTGAAGTTGCTTCGCAGGACGAATTCCCCTATGGGCTTGCTTCGCAAGACGAAAATACCTTGCGAGTCTTGAGATTTTTTTTTTTGCTTTTCCCCCCCTTTATCTAATCTGCTAAGCCTTTAATAGCCTTTAATAGCCTTTTAGCAGCTAATCCCCTAAGCCTTTAAGCCTTTAATAGCCGCTAAACCGCTAATAGCGCTAATAGCGCTAATCCGTCAATGGGCTTGCTTCGCAAGACGAAAAAACCGCTAGACGAAGACTCTCGCGGAACGGATTAATTTCGTCTTGCGAGGCACCACTGTATCTGCATTAGTTTGGATCTAGTGACTTTATCCTAAATGTGATTGCAGGAAATGCCATTTCCTTACCCCTGCCCCCTTTTGCTTTTGAAGAAGGACAATACCATGAGAATAGAAAGCTACCAGAAATACATTGTGCCTTTTAGTTGGGCTAATAGCCTGACCCATCAAGGGAAATTCAGCCCATCAACAAAGTATCATTTCTGAACTTGCTATTCTTGTTGCCTATCTGTGACTACAAAAAAGGTCTCTGTTAACCAGTTGGAGAGCACACCATAAATCTGTAATTCACATGGTCTTGGTAAATTGTGCAGGCTTGGTCTAATAAAAATAATAGTTCTAACATATTAGCAAAGATAGATTAATGTGTTTTAGAGAAAGGTGGTCCTGTTCCTTGCTAAGCAAGAAGTTTGTGCTTAATAAGTAGCTTTACCTAAGAGACTTATTAGCCCCAAATCCTGATGTATAAGATGACCTCTAAGTGGTTGAATGTAGAACTAAATAAAAACATATATAATACACTTGGCAGATAGACAGTACTGCATTCCCTCCAATGGTGGGCAGAGCCAGAACTGACGATGGGCAGAGGCAATAGTGTTCTGAATAAACTGATCCAGACTTGACTGTCTAGATTCAGTTTCTGCCATACCTGTTTCAGATTATAGATGCATAGAATGGTTTCAAATTCTGTTCAGATCTACTCTGAAGTAAGCTCCGCTGTGTTTGATGGTGTTGCAGACATACATACTGTATATAGTTTTTGTGTGTGTGTGTTGCCTTTCCATAGTTCAAACTATACTCAAGGCAGCTTACAACATGAAAACAATACATAAGTACAACATAACTAAAGTAGTCATACACAATCAAACATCAAAAAATGGACAACCAAAATGAATAATTTTTGAATAAGATCTAAAATATTCAAAAAATGTTATCAATAACAGCAACAACTTTTCCCGCCCCAACAAAAAATCCAAAACAATACCTCAGTCCAAAAGTTTGTACCTGGAATCAGTCAGGGCTCTACCATCCCAGGCCAAATGGAAAACAGGCCTGCAAGCCAGAGAGCAGATCTTACAGCATTCACAACCAAGATGGTAACACTCAAATTAGTATATAGATGAATTTCTTCAGTACAACAGACCAATACAACTACTATTCTGAAATTAAGTAATTATTCCCTGGCTTTAGTGTACTGCACAGACACTTATATAGCAGGATCCTACTAATTTGATATTTGATAGCAGGATGGGGAAACTAGTTCTTCTTAGGTTTCACAATTAGGAGAAAACCTTAGAACAACAATTTACTATCATCAAATAAAATTCTGTCCCTTCCAATTGTTCTGAAATTAAGTGGATCTGGAGTAAAGTATTTTTTAAAAACAAGTAGGGAAGAAAATGGAAAAGAAGAGACTCTGATGTTATGGAAGAATGGGGCAACTTCAGGCGACACCAGGGGCTACATAAAATGAGGCTGGAAGTCATTTATGATATAAAGGAATAGTTTTACTATTTTACTAGTACATCCTGATAGAAGTAAGCCCTATGTTCTGACCAGATGCTGCTAATGAGTTTAGGCAAGAGTTTTGTTCCATGCCAACATACGGTATAGTTTTTAACCCATTAAGCAGATGGCCTTTTTGAGAGCAATCATTATTCACTGTAGGGGTGTTAAACTGCTCAGATGGGTCTTACAAACTGTTAAAGCTACTTATCCATTGGTCACTTATGTCACACTGAAGAGAGGGATCACTATCTCAGTGAACATCATTGGCATCTGTTGAGAGCGATTCGTTATCTTTGGACCCAGCTGTTTTCTCTCTCTAGCTTTGGACTGAGATACTACTCTGTCCATTTAGCAAGACATGGTTGTATTTTTTTACTGCAGCTCCAAACGGGACTTGAGATGAATAGAATTCTTATGTGTTCACTTTCACCTCAAAAAGAAGCAAATAAAAAAAGCAGAAAGAAGAAAGCCATAAAGGTAATGAAATGAAATAAAAGGAAAAAAGTTAGGTCTCTCAGCTATGTATTGAATACCAAGAAGAAACTAATACCAAGAAGAAACTAGTCAAGTGGTGTATTTCTGTTGCGTTCTCTGTTGTGTCTTGTGAGCCCTTGAGCTAGTTAGAACCAGTGGGGCTTCCAAACCCAACTTGCAGCTTCTCCTCCTCGCCCTGTCACCTGTATAATTAGGTTTGGGGAAAAATCTATTGACACCAATAGGTATTTTCCAAGTCAAAAAGCAGCATGAAGCAATAACAAAAAATGTGCTCACATACAAACTGCAGTTAGGTTTGGAAGAAGCCTTCTGTTGTCTTCAATGGCTTTTTTTGAAGCTTAATGGTGAGATTGACATTAAAAGGGTGCACAGGGGGGTGAATGGATGTGTGTGCGGCATCCTCAGAAAAGGCTTCAGGTGTGACATGGTGCTACAGAGGGAGGAAGAACTGACAAGAGCAGCTTGCACAAGTGGATTTAAGATCTCTTCTGTATTTTAACACACAACTATTACTTTAACTGTACAGCAAGTTTGTCTTCTGAGCATTTTTCATATTTTGCCAAGTCTCAAGACAGCTTAACATCCTATTGCTTATTCTGAACATTAGAGATGCTGATAACGCAGGAAGTCTTGTCTTAGTACCAATGCAGCTTCAGCAAGCTATAATAATACTTCTTAAAATTGCATGTAGCAGCATGCTCCTACACAGTTGTTCTAGCCATTTAAAAGGTTGCTTGGGACACTATAGAAAAGCAATCTGGTGTCAAAATCGACACATGATACAATTGCAAGTTTAGGACACTACTTCTGCTTCTTGAAATAAAGGAATAATTCTAGTTTTTATACTTCTCAGAAACCTTCTGGTTTGAGGAAAGCATGCGGCTCACAGCCATACCTACCAGCTGGGACACTACCTTTTGTTGCTGGGAAGGTAAGCGACGTATCATCATCGCCATTGAGAATTTGTTTTAAATTACCGTTTGTTTAATGAGGCTTTCTTATGTCCTGCTTTCCCCACAAGTCTGCTAGCTCAAGTCACTCAGTGGTTGCAAATGTTCAAAGCGTCTTGCATATGATGAAATACCGTAGTCAGAGTGCAGCTTCACAACGCCCAGAAGGAGGTGAAAAGAGGACTGGCACGAGCAGACCTTCATCTTGCTCCACATCTTCCTCTGCTACTGAGCATCTTTCAGATCTTCTCTTGATTATGCAAGATGAACTGGGACAAATGAACTTGTAAGTACTCATTTTCATTTATCCATTTGAATACAAAAAAACCTGTAGGCTTGGGGCAAATTGTTTTGTAAGTTGAGAAGAAACTATTTGGGCACTTTTGCAAGTGGTGCTAGGAATAATTTTAAACCCCCATTTTTCATGTGGATATTGATGATGGCATCCGTCTGTCTCAAGAGACAATGGAGTGCACCTCTGGGAGTGAAATCTAACTGCTGTGTTAGCAGCACCAAAGTGACCTTCCTAGCGTACAAGCCTGGGCTCTGTGTTTATGGAGGTCCTGGACTGCTCAGGTGACAATACCTCCCTCTTGGCCTTGCTGATGTGGTCAAAAGGAAAGCAGAGAAAAATGTTTGACATCAGCTTGGCCACAGGAGTTGCTGAAAGGAGGTATACAAGGCACTATCAAGCCATCTTAAGGACTCCACTCCAGATTTGTGTAGGGTTTACAGATTTGTGTAGGGTTTACTCCTTAGCCTTTTCTTCTCCTGAAGATATCCTGCAAGGCAGCAGAGGTTTAGGACCAGAGTTTTCCTTTTCCTAAATGGGTTACCTTCCCAAGTCATCAAGCCTCATGTTAGTATAGTAGAATAAGTTACTGTAACAGCAGTGCAGCATGACAAAGTGCTATTCAAAAGTAATATATGATAGGGCAGGTGTGATGGTGCTGTTAAAAGAAAAAAAGAGGTGTGCCTAACACGGCTCTTTAGATTCTAGTCCTACTGTTTTTAGTATCACTTGTGAAAACACCCTAAGACTTTAGTGACAAGTCACAGAAAGCAATGAAGCATTTAAAAGGTAAAAAATGCATTGCCTGCAGTGCAAACCCCTTGTGGGCTTAAGCCTTCTGTTTTGCAACTTGCCATTTATGGTAATTTACCCATCTTCTACAAGCAGCTGAGGACTTTTTTTAGGCTCTAAACCATAATTGCAAGAATTTGTGTCTATAGAAGCCTTTGAGCCGCAAGACTCTAATGTGGTGTTTTGTTAACTGCCAACTTCTTATTGTGATAGAAGTCAAAACCCATTTAGTCCTAGTAGGGTGCATGATAGCATATCCAGTTATTGCAGCTCTAGTCTAAACAGCATATCTTCTGGTCTTTAATACATTTGCTTCTCATTGTAGCATTTGGAGCTCCAGTAACTTCAAAATAATACTTTTTCACTCTTTTATCGAGCCAAGCCCTAGATAGTCTATTTAGAGCTTGTTTGTAACTCTGTTGCTAAAGCAACATCTGCGTAGAAAACAGGACTATAGCAATATGAAATTTTTATGCTACACAGAGAAGTACCGTATTTTTCTCTCTATAACACGCAGATTTTTTCTCCTAAAAAGGAAGGGGAAATGTCTGTGCGTGTTATTGAGCGAATGTGTGTTCCCTGGAGCCGAATGGCGCGAGTGGAGGCAAAAATCAGGCAAAAATCAAATCGTGTCTCGGAGAAGGGAAACCTGAAAAGAGGAAGCGGCTGCTTTCCTGCATTCTGCCTCAGGGTCTTACTGCCCACCCCTCTGTTTCGTTGCTGTGTTTGCTCAAACGGAACAAAGAGCAGGAAAGCCCCTCCCCTCCAGGCAAGCAGAGGGAAAGCAGAGCGTCCTTCCTTCTAATTCCTCTCCATGCTCCGGAGGGAACAATGTTTGTGAAGGGAAGAGAGATTACAGGTTCAGCTTAAAATTCTGATTTGACTTCTTGCTTTTGTTTTTGAGGACACACAGCATTCAAATATGCTTTCTTCCATTTAAAAGGATGAAATCCTCAAACAGTGTTTTGCCTGTAAATTCATGCGATCTGGAAGATTACAGTGTCTGTACCTCTTAAGGGATGGCAAAGCTTAGGTTTCGCTGCTAAATAGTTCTTAATGCATTTAAAATGCTTTCTTCTGTCAAGGCAATTAAAAAAAATATATACCAGGCAGCCGGAAAACATGCAGGTGGGAGAGAGAGAGCGCGAGCTGGCTGGCTTGGGTGGGTGGGGGGAAACTTTTGCCTTCCTTTCCTCCCTCCCGTTATACCCCTCTCCTGCATTCTTAGCCAGCTGCTTCTCTGCACACCCCTCTCGTGCTCCTTGTCCCTTCTGTGTTTTTCCTTCCCTCCCCACTGGTTACAAAGCATGGATCCACATGGATCCTCAGGATCTTTGCATTGGGTCACCCCAAATTCACCATCAGAGCACATAGCATGTCCATAGCTACAGCCTGCACCAAAAAAATCACGCACCCACTGTTGCCTGGGGCTGCAATGGTGCAAAAACGTGGTTACAAAGCATGGATCCACATGGATCCTCAGGATCTTTGCATTGGGTCACCCCAAATTCACCATCAGATCACATAGCATGTCCATGGCTACAGCCTGTCCCCCAAAACCACGCACCCACTGTTGCCTGGGGCTGCAATGGTGCAAAAACGTGGTTACAAAGCATGGATCCACAGGGATTCTCAGGATTTTTGCATTGGGTCACCCCAAATTCACCATCAGATCACATGTCTGTGGCCACAGCATGAAGCACAAAAATGATACATCCACAGTTTCATTCAGAATGTTTTTTCCCTTGTTTTCCTCCTCTAAAAACAATGTGCGTGTTATGGTCAGGTGCGTGTTATAGAGCGAAAAATACGGTAGCTTATTTTCTGATGATAATGTGTTAAGGACAGTGTGACACTGCTTCAAACATAGATACTGTACTTCCTGGAAAGAGAAGTATTCCCTAATAGTACTTATGTTGTCACTGTGCATAGTCAATCATCATACGTTGGAGGACATGCTGAAATACAATAGAAGTGGTGGATTGGATTGTGTCTAAAATGACTATTGAGAGTTTGTCTTCCAACAGTGAACATCAAGAACTCCTAAAGCAGATACAAGAAACACAAAACCAGGAGGTTCGGGAAGACCTAGAACGTGAACTTGATTGTCTTGTGAAACAGATGGAATCTAAAGGAGAGCAGATATCGAAACTGAGAAAGCACCAAGAAAATGTAAGCAAACCGTCCTGAAGTCAGGAAAAGGGATTGTTGACAGTGTAGGCAGTGCAAAAAATAACTAGTATTTTCAGAAAGACAGTGCCTATATTCTATGAGTCTTGCAGAAACAATGTGTAATAGGTGGTGTGGTTATATAAAATAAATTGCTAAGGCTTATATGGGTGTATTAGGTTTTGAATGAGACAAGCAAACTAGATGTTGTGTAGGAGACATATGAACTGTCTCCTAAAAGGTTATGAAAGAGTGGGTGGATCTTGATTTTACTGTTTTATCTTTTAAAAACCACTTTCAGGATTTATTTATTTTTTACAATCAAGCAGGGTATAAATTTTATGAAATGAATAAATCAATTTATGTGTGAGAGGATGGGTCTTTCTTTCTGAAAAATCAGTCTGTAAGCCTGCAATCAGGATTTGCCATTTGTCTGCTCAGAATCACAACACGTACCCAGATGTTTTCTCACCGGTAGGCAAGGGATGTCCTCATACCTTTTTTTCATTCTCAGTGTCCAAATTCATTGGATGAGAAAGAAATAAGCAGCTCTGCTTCTTCTCCCCATCCTCCACCATTCCTCTTCTCCATGGGGGCCTCCCATGATTGCTTTTCATTAAAAAGAGCTAACCATTAGAAAACTGTTTACACATCTCCTGTGCAGCATCTGGTTTTGTGTGTGTTAAATTGAGGAATGTTTTTTATAAAACTAGATGCTAATACATGAATATGTTGTCCCTTCTAGACTATAACTGGTCTTAGGGATTAAATAGACGTCTTCACCTTCTCTGTTACTGGGTTGTAACATGACTCATTGATAACTGTATTTACATTATGAGTTGAAAATTATGCCACCACCATGATGTAATATTTTTGTGTATTGCATATTACCATATGCTTGCAAGGAAGTGTGAAGTATATCTATGCTTTCTAGTATTTTCATTCTTCCCTTTGTTCTAACCAGCCACTGCAAGCAAATTCCGTAACTGCAGAAAAACAAATGTCCTTGCTTGGCCTTCCTGTATCATAAACAAATATATCTGGAAAAGTACTCAATGTATACTATCCGTCTTGGTGGGGAGAGCTGTGTGGTGTAGGCACTGCCTTACAGGGTCCTTTGTGCCAAAAAGTGCATGTTTCTTTGTACATTAGATATATTATAGAATTGTTCTCTTCTTAGGTTTACAGACTGAGGCAAAAGGCTAAAAAACTGAAACAAAAAGCAACCAATTCAGCATCAAGACCTAATGGATTAAAAGGAGCAAAAGAGACTGCAGCCACTTCAAGAGCCAGTGTGAATAGTGCCTGTCCTATGAATAAAAGCACAAGTTCTCTCCAGCTATTAAAAAATGCTCAGAAGCTTCAATCAGTATTGAAGAAAGATGATATTGTGTGGGAACCTTAGTTCTCAAAATTGGCTTATAGATAAATGCCCATTGGGAGCTGATTTTATTATCTTGGCTTGAACAAATCTTTTCATTAATGTGCCCTTAAATTCTGCAGCTTAGTTTTGGAATAAATATTTTTTCTTATTTCTATCTTGACTTTTAATTTTACCTTTAAAATTATAATTGTAATTGTTCTAATGAAGTGTTCATTTTTATTAAAAACAATAACAACAACCTACCAGCCTATATAGAATAAATACCACTGGTTTTTGTACAGTACTGAGGGGAGAAAGACCTGAATCATCCATGAGCAAAAATTAGCATTTGGCTACTAAATGACTATCTATGCTTATTTATTCATTTATTTAAAACATTTACAGCCTGCCTTTTGATATTTTCCACTGAGATTTAATCTATAGTTTTAAGCTGCATCACTGCTTATCTGACCATTATTCTTAGTATCCATATGACTGAGGCCTCTTTAACAGCAATCTAAAGAGCTTTCACTCATTTACCATATTTTTGGCTCTATAAGACTCACTTTTTCCCTCCTAAAAAGTAAGGGGAAATGTATGTGCGTCTTATGGAGTGAATGCAGGCTACGCAGCTATCCCAGAAGCCAGAACAGCAAGAGGGATCGCTGCTTTCGCTGCATAGCGATCCCTCTTGTTGTTCTGGCTTCTGAGATTCAGAATATTTTTTTTCTTGTTTCCCTCCTCCAAAAACTAGGTGCGTCTTATGGTCTGGTGCGTCTTATAGAGCGAAAAATACGGTACTTTTCTGTTTTGAGAAAAAGGATAATTAATGCATAGCAAAAAAATTTAAAATTCAACAGAAATAGTTAGGTGTCAGCCCTGCATGACTTGAGAACTCAATGAGGTGCCCTGGATTTGTCCAGGAGTTGGTTCTTGTGAAGGGGGGGAGGGGGTAATGAAATTAACCAGGAGGTGTTGGGCATGTAATACTCTTTATTTGCATGTGAGAGGTTTCGTGTTCAAACTCAGTAGGTAGTTGACTGGTGTAGCAAATGCTGTACATGCAGGTGTCCAGTCCTCAGTCCATTGGGCACAAGTGGACTTTGGGGCATGCAGCATGATTTATTCTCTTCCCTGCACACACCCCAAATATGTTTCAGAGGCTCCCTCAACAATTAGGAGTACATCTTGGTTGAGTGCAGGGGGTAGAACAATCTGTTCCACTAATGGTGTCTGTTCCAGTGGCAGATAGATGCTGGATTTCACCCGAAGAATCTCTGAGCTGCTTTTTTTAATTAAAGTCCCAAACCAGGTAATAGAGTGGTGGTCAACTGATAGATGTGTGGTATTCTAAACTTTTTACTATGGTTTTTCCACCTACTTCTGTGATTTCATGAATATGGATATTTTATTTGTTGTATACCCTGAGGTCTTTAGCATATGGATAAGATATGAATAGTCTAAAATAAATAAATAAGGGACACAGATATAGTGGTACCTCAGGTTACATACGCTTCAGGTTACATACGCTTCAGGTTACAGACTGCTAACCCAGAAATAGTACCTCGGGTTAAGAACTTTGCTTCAGGATGAGAACAGAAATCTTGCTCTGGCGGGCCGGCAGCAGCGGGAGGCCCCATTAGCTAAAGTGGTGCTTCAAGTTAAGAACAGTTTCAGGTTAAGAACGGACCTCCGGAACGAATTAAGTACGTAACCCGAGGTGCCACTGTATGAGGAATATCCACATTTCAGCCCTCTTCATGCCCCCTCCAAAAAGCCTCTCTTGAGAGTTGGTGTACCTTCTGACTTGGTATGTGGGGCAGGAGACTGTAGCAGAAAGAAGAATTGGGGGAAATCGGGTGAAGTTAGGTCATGTAAGAGGAATGTGATCATTGAATATAATTATTAATGTTTGATAGCAAAATGCTTTTTAATAGGTTTTGCACTTCTCTTATTTAGCTTCGTAGCAGAACTGTCTGCATGCCTACTTTGTCTTTTGCCCTCCAGGGCTGAAAGAAGTATTTGTTCCTCTCCTTCTGTGGAAAGCTCCTGTATTCTGCATTGCAATGGAGCAGTGCATGACCCATTAGTTTTAGAAGCATGGTCAATTCTTTTTCAGTGGATTGTGTGTATGCATGCTGAGGTTGCTATGGTTACAGTTCGGCCTGCACCAGCACAGTGATGAATGCCTCTGTTGCTACTTCGGTGTTCGATTTCACTAGCTATAGAAACCTGTGGGAGACGTGGTTTGCTGCTACAGTTTCCAGTAACACAACAGGGTTTCTCTTTGCTCTGCTGGAGGCTGTTTACCTTCTGCACTTGGGAGGCTGCGACCTTGCTGTTCCTACCAGGTATCATATTGCTCTCAAGCTGTGAGATCTAAGATAAGGCAAAACATTTTAAATAATTCGAAGTAAATCAGTTTATCGTTTATCACATGTACTGCACTAGGTGCAGTCTGTTAAACTCATTTCCTTGCTTATTAATTCATGCTGTAATTGCTGCATATAAAATTTTCAAAGAAAAGTTAGCTTTCTGTTAGCTGACGCAGAAGCCAATATGTAGCTCTTCCCTTGGCAAACTAAATCAAAACTAAACTGAAATAAGTTTTTTTTTTAATCATCATGGAGATAAGGGGAGAATAATAATTTCTTCAATCTAATTAAAAGCTTTAAAACTGTATTTTTAGTTTCTGTGCAGGTGTGTTGGCTGATAGACTGGATAAGGACTTCCCAAATCAAAACAAATAACCTTTTTTTTTGTCTACTACCCCACTCTCTCTTCCTTAACCTTTCTGCTGACCGCCCCCCAGCCATAACAACAGGCATTTCACTAGCTGTGTTTTTAAGTTGGTAGACAAGTTTGATGTCATTAATCATGTATCCTTTGAAATTTTATACACTTATTTCACAGTGCTGATCTTAATCTCATTACTAATTCAACTTGTTCAGTCATGTCTTTGGCCTTTAAAGGAGGGAGTAAAACTGATCAGCTGTAATTTCAGAAAATAATTAAGGTCCAGACCTTGGAGACAATGTACCATGGAATAGATACGGTGCTTCGAGTAAGAGCTTGCATGTTTAGTTTTTTTTTAAAAAAAGAAAAAGGGTGGAAAATTGCTTTTTAAAAAAGCAGTAACAGCTGCTCATTGTCTTTTGCTGCGTCCATAAGAAAATTACTTTGGTTTAACAAATGCACACACACACACAAAGGCACGGCTCTCAGGCTTCTGCGTTAACTTGGACAGTGTCTTTTTATTATTATTAAAGATTTTCTTGATTTAAAAAGGTACATACCTTTTCTCCCCCCCCCCCAAGTTGCAGACTTTTCTACAGATCAGTTACATTTTTTATGAGACATTAGTGTTGAGTACAGCATAACGTCAGGAAGATGGTGGGGGGAGAGGAGGGGTGGTGGTGAAATTTATATTTTTTGCCATGTACGTGTGTGGTCTCGTATCAGCGTCAACTAGATAGATTCTTTTTCTATTCACTTGTTATGTTTCCTTGGTAGTGAGAAAGGTTGGGGCCCAGGTTATGGTTGGTTGGCTGCAATGGGGTTTGTTTGCCTTTGTGAGGGGAGGAGGGCTTGTTGGGTCAAGTAAGCCAGATTGATTCGTATGCTGTTAGTGGGTAGGATCATTCTTTTTGATATATCACATTATGTTTTCAATTTGTGTGGTAAACAGCCTCCGGGTGGTTTGGGCAATTTTCTACCTTCCTATGAAAATGCTTCACATTGCAATGTATTCCAGGGCATGTTAACTGTCTCATAGATGAAAAGTGCCTGTACTATGTGGCTGCAGGTTCACACAAGTTACTTACCATGAGACAGAGATTTATGTGGCATGACTTCTTGGCAGCAACTAATGCAATCCAAGCAACTCAGAAATTGAGCCTTCGTATGAGCACTGCAGGAGTTAACGTGAAACTGGACTATGGAGTCATACACTTAAGAGAATAATTGGATGTGATTATCAGCATAGACTGGTGGAAGTGGTGGCCTTATAACATTTTGGATAATTTAATGCATTGGCCTCACCCTGCGAGGCGCCGAGGGAAATTGCTGCAGCTCTCAATGCAATTTCACCCCAGCACCTAGATGTTTGGACGGCTTAACTGGGGCACGGGAGGGCTCTTGATCCCCAGCTGAGCCATCCCTGGTGCTCCCCCTGCTCGCAGACGAGTGGGGAGAGCATCGGGGATCCTTTGCGTGGCTCTGCCGGGGATGGAGAGGCCTCCCCATCCCTGGTGCTCCCCCTGCTTGTGCGGGGCTGGGGGATCCTTTAACTGATTAGAGGGGAGCAGCAACTGCACACTCCTCAGCTGAGCAGTTTAAAAACATGCAGAGGGAGGAACAAGCTGTAGCGGTACCTCGCTGATGCAGCTTTTTCCCTCCCTCTGCGTAGTATGAGAGCAGAGTGGGATGTCGGTTTCACTCAGCGATATATGACCGGTGAAACCGCCACCATTCCCGAGTCCCTCTGCCAGCAACGCTCGCTGAAGGAAGTCACTAGCAGAGGGACTCAGCATTGGCGGTTTCACCAGTGATACACTGCTGAGTGAAGCCGACATCACAGTCTGCTCCTCATACCGGTCCTGGGTGATAAATTGTTCTGGTGGTGTAGTGTTAGACTAGGACTAAGGAGACCCGAGTTCAAATTCCCACTCGGTTCACTTTACTGGGTGGTTCTACAAATAAATTGCATGAGGAGCGGAGAGAACCATGTACACGACCTTGAGCTCCCTGAGGAAAATGGTATGTAGATTTAAATAGTGTCATTTCACTAAGCCGAAACGGAGGGAAGGGCTTTGACTTGCGCTTCTCATTATTGGCAACAGATTTAGGCAGAGTATTGGGCCTACTTTAGTATTTCATGAAATCTGTACATTTTGACACACTAAACCAAATGCAGCTCACCAGCCATGTAATGTGACCTGCTGACACATGACCCCACCCAATACAGGAAACATAAAGCAAGAGAGTTCATGACTCCCACCCCCACCACCCGACATGGGCTACTGTATATGACTGCAAAGCTTTGTAGGCCTAAGTTTGTCTTTCTGTGACCGTTACAGGAATAGCAACCCATTTCTTTTCTTCCTGAGGTAACTTGGTTCACCATAATGTCTGGATGCTGGTGCCATAGAAAAATAGTATCCAATTATTAGTGTGTAAAACACCCCCTGATTGTTATCAGGCAGCAGGAAGCAGGTTTTAGAATTAAAATAATAATAAATACATCATCCTACCTTGGTTGAAGTAAACCACCATGCCTGACTGTTTGTGTCAACTGAAAAATCATTTTGTTTTAGTTTGCTTGCCTCTGCAATGTATGTTTGTTCAGATTAGCATAAGAGCCTGTTGGATAAGACAAATGGCCCATCTAGTCCAGCATCCTGTTCTCACAGTGGCCAACCAGATGCCTGTTCAAGCAGGATTCAAGCACAAGAGAAATCTCCCCTCTTGTGGTTTTCCAGCGACTGGTATTCAGAAGTGTTGCTGCCTCCAACTGAAGGCAGAGCATAGCCACCGATAGCTAGCCCTCTCCTGCATGCATTTGTCTAATTTTGTTTTAAAGCTGTCTAGGCTGGCGGCCATTGTTGCTTCATCTGCACTGAATGAGGACGCTGCTTCCTTTTACCTGCCTGAATCTTCCAATACTCAACATCATTCAGTTCTAGTGTAATGGGGGGAGGGTTACATATGTACTTTCTCCATGCTATGCATAATTTTATAAATTTCTATCGTGCCACATCTTACTCAACTTTTCTGTAAACTAAAAGGTCCCAAATACTGCAACCTTTTACAACTCTGCAATATCCTTTTTGAGGTGAGGGGACCAGAACTTTACACAGTATTCCAAATGTGGTTCCACCATATATTTGCCACAATGGCATTGTGATAGCAGCAGCTTTTATTTTTTTATGATTTCTAGAATAGAATTTGCCTTTTTACAGCTGCCACACACTGGGTTGACATCTTTATTGAGTTATTTACTACAACCCCAAGGTCTAGTTCCTGGTCAGTCACTACACATGGGTGGAATCTGAAGAGGCACATAGGTGAGAGCTGAACTTTTTCTACTTTACTTTACTTTCATTCACATTTTACCCAACCCTGTCCGGTCACTTCCACTACCTTCCAGGTTGAGGGGAAAGTGTCCGCAGCAATGAAGTGCGCACACGCATATGGGAAAGTCTAAAAAACAGATACTCGGTTTTTTAAATCAGTTTTTAAAGTTCTCCTGTCAAAGGGTGTGTGTGTATTTGTCCTATATTGCAATTCATATTTATGTACACTTTAGGAAATCTGTGGCTCTATAGCCATGCTGAGTTACTAACCAATATTCCCTTTTTGTGAATCAAGGCAAAATGGATGAAATTTACAAGATCTCTTCCACTGAGAGGGTCCAGCAGGTGGAAAAGGAACTAGCTGTACAGCTGGAAGAACTAAAGACAGAAATAGAGGGAAATGGGGATCTGCAGGGGACACGGTACTGGTAAAGAGAACTATTTTCCTCAGACAGAAACATGGTTCTAGTGCAAATGAACTGCTCTGGTTCAATGCAACTCCCATGCATTTAACTGTTTGTTAATTGCAAGAGTAGATGCCTATCTGTTACTATAATAACTATTATTTTATGTATTAAATTTATTAGTCGTTTGTTTGCCACCGCAACACAAAGCAACTCACGGTGTTTTAAGCAAACACATGCATACATTAAAACCAGCATAAAAAACTGAATTGTTATTTTAGCTTCATGATAAAGTCTCAATTAAAATAAATAAATAAAGATTCTATTTTTTTAAAAAAACTAGAAACAACCCACCCACACAAGAAGATAATAGATAATTAAAAGCCAAAGCCCTAATGAAAAGGAAATGTTTCTGCCCAGCACCTAAAAACCATGGCAGCAGGTAAGCCTCTCTGAGGAGAGCATTCCCCAAGCAAAGAACTACCACTGAAAAGGCCCATACACGAGTCACCACTCTCAAGACCTAACATGGAAGGGGGCACACAAGGGCTTGAGATGATGATTGCAGCATCCTGGTCAGTTCATATGTAGCATTTATCATATACTGATTTTTCTGTGTGGTGTGTTTGCTTTCTCTACTTCAATCAAATATTATATTAGAGCAGTGGTTTTCAGCTTTCTCAGGCCCAACCTGTAGCATGGTACTCATTTTCACTTTAGTTTAAAATCCACAGATATTGCTAACTTTACTTGCTCTTTCTGGTTCTGTCCTGCTCTCCTTTCTCAAAGTGTGAGATGAACTACCCATTGAAATTAAATGGATTAGGGTGTTGAAAACTGTCACTTTGACTGAATCCTGCTAAACGTTTATGTTTTGTTCAAAATGCGTGACTCCGCTCAGCACAGAGAACCTCTTCCAAAGGAGATGGCCAGTCAATCTACCCAAATCTAGTTTCTGAGAGCATCTGATGCACATCCATTCATCCAATAAGTATTCTGGTGTGCTGCTTGTGATTTATGAATGTGTTAGAAGACCATTTTGCTAAAAGCAGGGATCTGCCAATGGGCAAAATTGAAAGAGTCGTCTTGGGCAGGGTGGCAGTGTATTCATGACTACTGCTGGCATAAACTATATGAATTTTACAAGTTTTTCAGATGATTGACTAATGTACTGAATACTAGATACCACAATGTTTTCAAGTATTTTGTTGCTAATTCTACATTTCTCTAAAGGAAGTTTGGTAATCTTTCATAGCTCTGTCCCCCTCCCAAAGGATGTTGATTACTTCAGAAGAGAAAGGGAATTGGCGCTGAAGAAATGTTTACAAGTAAGTGATGAAAATGTCAGTGTGAAAATACCCCCATTAGATAACGTTGTAAAAGTCTCAGAGAAACCAGCCTTAGGTAATACTGCAGTCCTGTGCCTCATGCTTACCTGTCCTACTGAACTCAGTGATGCTTGCCTCTGAGTAAGCATGGTTAGGATAAGCCTGAAGTTCAGTCTTTTTAGTAAATAAACTGTATTCTATTATTTCAGCTTTTATAGTTTTTACAGGAAAATAAATTGGGGGATACGAGTGCAGTAAAAAGCCCAGTGCAGCTTGTAAGAGCATGTAAGACCTTCTTAATCCTCTGTGAAGGGTCTGGATCCATCTGGCACTGTTAAAGTGGTGTCTGATGCCCATTGAGACTATTGGGGTAGAAGGCAGAAGGCCAACAGTAGGTGGAGCTAGAGCCCATGACAACTAATTCTAGATTTGCCCTATTCATGTCCCTGCTGAGTTCTATAAGGTTAACAATGAGGGCTCATCTACAATGTCATTTAATTCATCTTATTCATTTATTTATTTTTAAGTTAAATGTTTTGCAATAACCATATGACATTCCTACTGAGAGGACGACATCAACGTTTCTATCGTTAGTGTGAAAACCTGCCTTTTCACTAACCAGTAGTAACATGAAAAGGTTTTTAAAATCCTCTGTTAAAGTAGCACCAGTGGTTGTTTCCCCCACCGAATTTTCACTCTTGCAGTTTGGTTGCAGCCCACCTTTCTGCTGCCTCCACCTTCTCTGCACGACTCCACTTCTCATTGTTGCTTCTGGGAGTGACCCTGTTTAACTTCCGGCTGGCTGGTGACTGCGGGTGCTGTAGACAGAATGAGTTGTGTTTTATTAACCCATCGCCACAACTCACACACTTAATTAGCTCTTTTGGAAAAACCAAATGTGTGCAATATCAGTGGTACTGATATAAGTACTACAGCCAGGCAAACCAACAAACAATGAATGGGGGGGTGGAGACTTGGAAACACCTTTTCTTCTTTCCTTTCCAGACAGTGTGTGAGAGAGACAGGTGCTTTCTTTACTTCCTTCTGTCCTTTCCTCTACTTGTGGGGGGCAGGGGAGAAGAAACAGCACACGTGTTTTGCTGGGTGTGCACGTACATGTGCTGTTGAATAAAGAAGGGACAGACTGAAGAGCAGATGGTTGGGAGGTGGGAAGAATAGCTAAAAGAGTACAACACGTGTGGTTATTGAAGCCCTGCCTCCAGGTGGTTATACATGCACAAAGCAGTCAGACATGGACCTGCAGAGGTCAGCAAAGGACAAATCGAAAAAGAAAACATGGATTTTCAGGTGCAGTGCAGATGAGTCCCGAGATCAAGCGCAAAGAAGCTGACAGCCAGCTCCAATTCTATGTAAATAAGAAGGCAGGCCGGTGGGGTCTGGTTTGGTGGGGCAGTGCCCCATTTGGCCTAATGGTACGGCCTCCAGTGTTTACTTCAGTAACCTTTTGGATTTTTAAGTCTAGTGGTGTGATAATTAACTAGCAGTGTTTTTTCTAGTTCTTTAATTCAGTAATTAAGTTCTCCCTATCATAGGGACTCAGGATGAATAATATAAACCGTAGTATGTCCCTTTCCCCATGGGATCACAAACACTATATTGAACTGAGAAAGGAGAGGGGAAATTCTGGAAAAGGAAATATATTTATGATCACAACCAACTTTTCTAGAGTCTTCATCTTAATCTAACATAGTGTTCTTAACCCCCTGTGGGTTATGGACCCTTTGAAATTCTGATGAAAGCTTTGGACTCCCTCCTCAGAAAAATATGTGTGTGCGCACACACACACTATTTATTGCTTTGGAAAAAAATTGTGGTAGGTTCACAGACCTCTGAAACCCACTCTAGAATATGAAATTAAAAACAGCTTTAGTGTTCAAGACTTTCAAATGAAAGTGTTTTTGACATGTGTAGAACTCAACTGCTGCACCTAGGGTGTCCTGAATACAGAACTTAATTTCAGAGCAAAATTATTTTTCTGTCCTTCATTTACAGGTAGCAGAGGCAAAGCCTCTTGTAATTCAGGCTGATGTCATGCAGAGGGAGCTAGAGATCTGTCTAAAAAGAGAATATACATTTGAAAGCTTACCTTTGTCACTGCACCAGGTAATATTTGTCATGTTTGTGATTTGAAGACTCATTTGGCATTTTTCAGTGTGAATTTGCTATCATGGTCAAACATGAAATGAAACGTCATACAGCTATGTCAGTGAATAAAAATAGGTGCCTTTATGTAGACTTTTTTTTTTTTTACAAACACTGCAGCCGATATTTAGTATGCTCACAAGTTGGTTTTCACTGTGGCGGCAGCAGTGCAAGGAATACCCTGTACATCTGATGGCAAGGGCATAGCTTCATTCAGCTGATTGCTTATCAAATGCCAGGAATAATCAATTGATAATTCCCAGGTAGGAGTTAATGACTAAGGATGTTTCCCCTTAATTATCAGTCAATTTGCAGGGTGTGGTCTAAGATCATTGCTCTGCAAGCTGTTCTGTGTGACAGAAAAGAAGGCAGTTACTCTTTGCGTTGTACAAAGAGCCACTGAAAGAGAGAGATTTGAGAGACTTTAGTTTGATTTAGCTTTAAAAAGGGCAGGTTCCAAACAGCTGCTTAGCCTTGTGACTTCTGTGCTTTGAGGATCTGATACAGGATTAGTATCTGCCTAAAGTAGGATTCTGTTGGCTTCCGTTGTGCTCTGCTTATATGTATGTAAACAGATCATAAGCCTCCAGTGTGCTGCTTTCCCTGTCATCCAGAGGAAACCAGTGCAGCCCCAGACTTCTTGTTTGCTTTATTGAGAAGCGAGGAGAGCATAACAGCAGCAGAGCAAGAGTGATTGCTACATTACATGATACAAAATATGATTATATGTGTTCTTCCCCACAGAAGTTGTACAGGGGAGCAGGAGAATATGAGCCAAATTCCACATAATTACTTTGACTGGGGATGGGGAACCTCAGGCCCAGTGGCCCAAAGCGGCCTTTTGCAAGTCTTTGGGGGTCCATCCCCAGGCCACATCCTCTCTCTGAAGGCCATGCTCTCCCTGACCCTGTTTTGCACCCTTTTCAATTGATTTAGACTAGAGGGAATATACTCTTGAACAGTGATAGTTTTCTAGAAAAAGAGATGCCAGAACTTGCCACAAACACCTCCCTTGTTTTATTGGAACCCACCTGAGAGGTGCCGGAACTGAGTTCCAGTGAGTTCCAGCTGAAAAAAGCCCTGCTCTTGAACTGTGAACGTGTCTGTTGCCTGTGGGATGGAGAGGAGAAACTTCTGAATTGTGTGTGTCCATAACATAGCCTATTGTTCAAAGGTAATAATAATATCCATTGCTCCACCCATTTTTGACCTCCGGCATGTGGCCTCTGGGTGGTTGCAAATAGGGAAAGTGGCCCTTGGTCTAAAAAAGATTCCTGACCCAGGTCTTACTTTGGACTCATTCTAGTGCACTGGAATGTTTTGCTTTGCCCCATTTGGACAGCTGATTCCATACTGCATCCTGTTTTTCAAATGCCTCTCCATTCCTTTCCTTTTCAGTATTTTGCATGTGCTAATAAAAGAGGCTTATCAGTAGGTCACTACTCCCTGATATACACTTGGGTCTGGCCATTTCCTTGAAGGAAATTAGTTTTGACAACTCAAAACCTTTCATAAATTCCAGCACCTATAAATCTATAACAATATATATAAATAAAAGTACCGTATTCTGGAAACAATGCTACTGTGGTTTTGTGTGTGGGGTTTTTTTTTTATAAAATCTGTTGCTTTTTGTATAGTTTTTTACAGAGAGAATCACGCAGCTGGTCCAAAGCAAATATTTACACATGCTTAGATGGAAGAGATTTTGTCAGCACAGCAGTGTTATTGAGCAATTCTATCCTTTGTACCAGGTATGCTAATCTCATAGTGCCACAGATCCTAAAAATAGAATCATAGATTTGTTGAGTTGGAATAGGAACATGGGTTTTCCTCCCAGGTGTGTAATAAAAGCTCAGCTGTGAGTTTGGCTTGATTTCCTTTGCATGTAGGGGACAGAACTGTAAATATGTACATACGGTTGAATCCAACTAAGTCCTGCTTGGAAATAGACCCCTTAAAATCAACAGATGCAATTGACTTAATCCCATTGGGTCTACTCTGAATATGTATGGATACAACCCATTGTTTTCTTTCTGTATAAATGAATTTCACCTTATAATGCTCAGTAAACGTTATGTGCAAGATTATGTGCCTCATACGTAATTAATCATAATGGGCAGCATCCAGTTGTGACAGCCCTCTGTGGCAACCTCATTCTCAGTGTGTAGCTCAAAAAAAGATGCTGCCTAGCCCCTGTTGCAATATTATCCTTAGACTTGGTCATAATGAAGCATGTGCACTGCTGCTTGTACAGCAATGGCAACTCTCAAACACTTTGAGCTAATGTGAATTTCAATTAATAATAATAATAATAATAATAATAATAATGGTACTGCTCCTTCATCAAGGAATAAAAAATTCCCTGTTTGTAGAAAACAACTGTGAAAGCCTTTCCCCCTGCTATGCTAATTTTCTATGTGCAGGAACTGTGCATAGTAACTATTACAAATAAGAGATTCAGTGCCCTGATAATCTGAAGTGCCAAAGTCTATGGAAGTTATACCATAAGTGCCTCTTCCATGTGTAAATCAGTTTTAATATTGAAAACCAGAGGCTCAGGGGACTGTTAAAAGGACATGGACCATATCAGCAATGCCAGTTATCAAGATGTCAGCAGCCTGTGGTGGTTTTGAAGATGTCTATTAAAAGAGTCTCGTGTTCTCAATATTTCTTGGTGCATGGACCTCCATACAGTGAAAAGCTCTGAAGACTTTTTTTTTAAAAGCCCTTTCCAAAACATTGTTTTTCAGATTTTATCTAGAGGACTACATCCCCCCTCCCCCACAAATGGCACACTCCTGTTCATGATTTGAGACTCCTTCTTCGGAGGGAAAGGCTAAAGCAAGGATGTTCTAGATAATTAATTAATCTTTCTGAGAAAATAATGTCTCTTCTCTCTATCTCCCTAGAAACAAGTGGCTCATATTATGCAGGAGTACAATGACGCTGTTCAAAGGGCAGCAAGATTGTCAAGTGCCCGGGAGAACTTCCTGGCAGGAAAGGAAAACCCTACAAATTTAGTGACCCAAGAAGACCTGGTTATTTACACACAGTGGCTAGTATGTCACCTGCACTCACTTAAGACCATCCATAACTACCTTCAGGTGAGATGACAATTATAGACTGTAAAAATGAGTAACTTAATTATGGAACCTTTCGGTCCCACTTGTGCTTTGAATACAAACACTAAATGCAAAATATGTGTTCTTCTCTGTAGGTACTCCAGTACTTGCCTGTCTCTCATAGAATGGAGATTAACAGACATCCTGTCTGGGGTGATGGTGATAAATTCAAAGCTGTTGGCAAAACTGTATATTTGTCTCCCAGTATCCAGCTCTCTATTCACCCTGACACATCAGCAACAGATGGTAAGAAGGAATTACCCTCATGTGCCTTAGGGCCTCACTGTACAATGCAGCAATGCGGCATTAGTTTGCAGTTGTTGCGTGTGGTCTGTCTTTCCCAAGTTTTCCTTCTGTTGTTGGGATATTGCATTTTCCAAGCATGCAAACTGTTATATTGATGCTGGGGGAAATACAGAGTACTCCCCATTTGTTTTCTGTTCATTGCTAATTACGTGTGGTGTGTGGAATTGAGCTGTTCAAGCTTCACAAAGGAGATGGGCCATAGCTCAGTAGTAGACCACTTGCTATGGATGCCAGTGGGTCTTGGGTTCTGCCCTCGGCAGGGGTGCCTGTCCCATTTCACCACCTGAGGTGAAATGAGAAGATCTCCCACTGCTGCTGAAGCCTCACTTACTGGGGTTGCGCAGTGACAGCTTCTGTTAACATCTCCAGAAGTCTCACGAGATCTTGCAGAGTTCTCATAAGATCGCGCCACCACACAGAATTCCGCCACTTGAGGCAACTGCTTTAGTCTGCCTTATGGGCAGGTTGTCCCTGGCCCTCTGCATCTTCAGGTAAGACTGGGAAGGACAAACCCTGTCAGAAATCCTGAAGAACCACTGCTAGTCAGTGCAAACAATACTGAGCTAAGATGAATCAATGACCTGACTCAGCATAAGGCAGTTTCCTGTAATCCTATTCCTACAATTTGAGCATTAACAAGGGCATACCATACGGTCCTTCCACTCTCTCAACCTTTCAATCTAAGCAAAGGCCATTTCAGGATAGCAGCCAGGTGGGGATATGTAGATATACGCAGACAACATCTGGGCATTTATTCTGAAAGGAAATGAACTTTTATGGAGACAGAAAGTTAATCACGATGATTTGCTTCTTTGCTGTTTACTTTCAGCGACGCGTTGTCCAGGAACATTTGTTTTATAGTGTTATATTAAATAAGGTCTCCAACTCAGTCCGCTTTATAGATCTAAGCTTGATAGATTAAACAGAAAATTGATTAAGCAAAACATTAAAAGCTAAGATAGAGCCAAGTGTAGAATAGGAACACAGATGGCCCATTACTGCCAAGCAGTGAGATAACAAATTAGATTACATATAACTCTACAGATCCTCAGGAGCCTTATTGAACTTTAGCAAGTTGTTGCATGGTGATTAAAATTCTTGGTGTGTCAATGAGCTGCTGTACGAAGGACACCTGTGTGGCATAGTGATATCTGGGATTCATAGTATGACTTGGAAGAAGTTTATCATCAGAAACAAAAGGATACCTTGAAGGGCTGCTGCAAAAGTCTTGAAAGCACAAGACAGAAGCTGGTTACTAGTTCTCAAGCTGTATTAGTACAGTTTGAAATTGAGCTCAACAAGAAAACTTAATAAGAAACTGAGGCTTATCGTGCAACCCAAAATAAGTGTTGACTCACCAAATATCTTCATAGCAGAGGGCTCTGCTGTTCAAGAGTAACCATTTTTTGTTATGACCCCAGAAGACAGTTACAAATATGGAATTTGGGGTGTGCATCTCACAATAACGTTTTTGTGCCACCACAAAACACACCCACATGTTTAGAGGTATGTCCTCTATGAGGTTAAATAGAGTCATAGCAGTCCCAACACTTAGCACAAGACACTGACAGCTGTGTAGGCACATGTTAATAATTGCCAGTACAGTGGTACCTCGGGTTAAGTGCTTAATTCATTCCGGAGGTCCGTTCTTAACCTGAAACTGTTCTTAACCTGAAGCACCACTTTAGCTAATGGGGCCTCCTGCTGCCGCCGTGCCACCGGAGCATGATTTTTGTTCTCATCCTGAAGCAAAGTTCTTAACCCGAGGTACTATTTCTGGGTTAACGGAGTCTGTAACCTGAAGCATCTGTAACCTGAAGCGTATGTAACCTGAGGTACCACTGTATATGTAGAAGTATAAGGAACAGGGGGTGTGCATCTCTCTGCAAGTGCTGGTCCACACTAAATCATAAACCCACATATCCAGATGGATGTAATGTATAGAAGATGGCATAGAAGTGTCTGGCCCAATGCTTCATTTTGGTGTGATATACTGTCATACATGGTAACATTGTCATCTGGGGTTATCACGTGCTAATGAATATTGTACAAAAATGTTGTGATGGTTCATAATTGTGGTGGTTCTTGAATGGGAGAGCCTTCCAGTTAGAGAAGATGGGCCAAAGCTTACTTTGGAATGCAGGGGCATATAAATCTCAGTTCTTTTAAGTTGTTCTATTGAACTGTGTTTCAAACTGTCAGGTGAATAAAAAACTGGGAGCTCATGCCGCCAAGACTTTTGCAACAGCCCAACTATATTTACATCCTTTTATTTGTGATTTTAGGCTTACAACCTGGCCATTCAAAAGGCTGGCCATATACTTTCCCCCCCGCTCCTTTCTTCCTCAGTGGACTACTGTAATTTTAATAGTTATGGGGGCTGGGTGTAATATTGTATATATATAATGATGCACCACCAGAAGCATAAATTCACCTGAAGGCAACTTGTTTTATGCATCTTTTCAGTTTATTCTTGCTCTCTTATAGGATTCCAAGCCATACTTCCCCAACACACTGCAGAGATTGAGGAACTAAAGCCTCAACTCAGACGTTTACTTTCTAAATTTCGTATCAGCTATGATGTGGAAGACCTGAAGCATTCTGCTGATGAGATGGAACTTTTTTCTATGGTAATTTAATGGTTGCTCTTATATTACTGTATACAATATGTATACTGATGTGGTCCCTCCCTCTCCTCCCACTGAAAGTCTACAGCTAAAAGAATAAGCAGTTCAACCAATTATTTACTTTGATATCAGCAGAGTTAAGTCTATAATGATCTCCCTTCTGAATTTTTTATGATCCTCCAAAGTGTAATAGTAAGGAATTTGGGGCAAAATCCAGAGTAATATAAGTACAATTAAATCCCATTTTAAGTCAATAGAAATTCATTATGATGTTCAATGAAGCTTAAGTGCATACTACTCCTCTCTCTGAACTATCTAACATAGTAACTATTTTGCGGTGCTCAGTGGAAACCTATGTTTACTAGTAGGGCATCTTTTTCCTGGGATGCTTAGGTCATGCATGAGTTTAGAAGCATTTTCAGTAAACAAGAGACAATGAGAACATTTCCTGTTTATGATGCTGGAACGCCTGGATCGGAAACCTGGGGTATCAGAGACCCCAACATGGCTTTGAAAAAGAGAGCCAACTGGATTCCTTTCATAAAGGTAATAAGAGCTGCATTTGGGTGATCTGATAAATTGTCTGCTCAGGCTAAAGGAAGCTGCTCTAAAGCATCTAAATTCCCAGCTTCTCATTAGCAAACCATGTGTACTCATCTTGAGTTGAAGTGGGTTAAATGGTCTCAGTTCAAAGGCCCTTGTCCAGAAACTTGGCATGTGCAGAAATCTGATTGGCTGCTACCTTTGACAGAGCTGATTGGATATTTGGACAGAGTAGCAGGGTGCCTGGATTCATCCCTTCCACAAGTGGTTAGCACTAAGAGCAGCAAGCAAATGGTAAGATCTTTGCACACATTCATTTCTGTACAACATTGGCACACCTGGATCAAGCCCAAATCTGCTGAGTGCTAGGTTTTTTTTTCATGCAAAGCATCCTTTAGTTCCTGTATGCGCAAATTTGTGCACACAAAACAATTCAATATGTCCCAATCACCTGTGCTGCATTAGGACGAGGAATGTATTTTCTTTATGTTCCTTACACATGGTTTTTTTTACTGACAAGCAGATTAAACCTAACCAAGATCCATGGCAGCAAAAAATGTTCAGGAAACTGAACCACCGGAAGGTTGATGAACTGCTGCAGATTCAGTCAAAATTTTTAGAGGTAATAAAAACTGCTGAGTAACTGTTTCTCCACTCCCCACGTCCATTTTTTTGCATTTCAAGGTTCTTGGTATATTTCTTACTTGTATCCACTTCTATCAAACCTGTCTCCAATTTGTGTGATATGTAGCAGGTTTACATTAAATTACTGTATTTATTTTTACTTTAAGTGAATCAAAACCCTTTTGGGTATTTCAGGATGAAGTTTTTAAAAAATCTACACTCATTAACAGGAAAGAATTCCACAGTCAGTGATTCCAAAGATTGTTTTTACTCAGGACACCATGAACTTTCATTTTCACATTTTGTCTTTGCGATTTATAGTGGGGTAGTGGTTGTTTTTTTTTTAAGTACTCTTACGTTATGTCTAAACTTATTTTCCATTCCTGAAATTTCAAATCACTCAGTTGGATCCAGACAAAGTTAGTCTATATTATCTGAACTGTGGCTTCTTTTTTTGCTAAAAGTCAAAATATGTTGCTGTGACAAACTAGGTTTCCAATCCAGAACAGGTGATGGAGGTTCTTCAGGAGCAAGCATCTGCAGTGCTAGAGCCAAAATCAATGACATCGGCTTTTAGTACTTTTACACCTTCTTTTAATTCACAACAATATGATCAAATCTGGAACAAGATTTACCACAACTCCAGATTCCATCAGGTAAATATACAGAAGATTTTATAAACTGAAATTTGTGTAGGTCTCTATAGGGATTGTGTACATTTTCTTTTGGAATGAATTTTGTTACTTTTGAAGAGGATCCTCCAATTCAGGGTAAGTTCTAATATTATGTGACAAGTGAGCTCCCATTTGACTACCATGTATTTACGAAACTGCTGTCCTTGCTTTATTTTGTGATGACTTGCATTTTGCTTCATAATAGCTGGACCTGATAAAATGCCACCACCAAATCCTTGCCTTTTTATTACTTCAGATAATCAGGCATCAATATGAGTCATGACCATAAGATTATCACTCAGTGGGGTTGGTTTCATGAAAGTTGAGAGCATCGTTTATGATGCATGTATCTCAAATGGAGTCCTGGAAGGTCTGTGTTCCAAAATACAACCCCACCACCCCACCAGTTACTTCTTTGTTTGTTGGTGACTTTGGCAGTGTAAGAGATTCTCAGTCTGCTTTGAAGTTGATAATGGTTTCTGAAAGTCCAAACAGGAACATAATACTTTTGTAAGAAAGAAATGGAGGAGGATGTTCCATTGCATAAGGAGAATCCTTGTGCTGGCGAAACATTGTCCTTAGTCCTGTGTTGAATACAATTCAGAATGTGTGACAGAGGGATGCCACCCACCTCCTTGGAAAATAATGGAATAGAATGGAGAAATCTGCTTGGTACTTCTTTTTTGTAGTCCTTAGTAGGTAGCAAAGGTTGATCTCTTGGTCACCATATATTGCTGCTGTACGTGCCATTTTGATAGGTCACAAGTTGTACAAGCAACAAGAGAACCAGTGGGCTATGATGTAAGGATTCCTTTGTTCATAATTATATAGTTACAAAAAGCTTGAAAACGAAAATTTTTGTGTGTGTTTGTCTATAATAACTAGCCCTTAAATATGGACAGGAGCAAACCAGTGATGATGTTGATAATCCTACCATGGCAACTGGTGAGAAGGATATGGGACATTCCAACTTTAACAAGACCTCCACTTTTTCAAGAAAGAAAAAAGACCCAAGGTGAAATGAATATTGCCGGTTCTTCTGTGTGTGATGCTTATGTTTAATGCTAAAAATGCATGGGCTGTACCAAAGCTGTCAAAACACAAATGGAAGGGCAGCTTCTCAAATTGCCCTGTCTTCTTCCCAATGTCAGGCAAGCACTTACCCAGGCATTGGGAAGGAAGTAGGAGGGCTCTAGGACCCTGGCAGAGCCTCACACCTCTTTCCCAAAGCTTGGTTTAAGGCGGTACCACAGGGATTGGGGGGAGGGCATCAAATGGCCTCACACTGGGCAGCATATTATCAAGGTCCACCCCTGCATATGTGTACTTACTGGCACCACCTTAAATGTGATTGCACTAACATACTCTCCTGGGCCTTCTAAATGTTGTTCTGTTCTGGAGGTTTCCATGTGAGTGATTACAGTAGGAGCTTTACCTCCTAGAAAGCAAATATAAAGAGATTATGCAATTTAGATGTAACTGAGAATCTCTTTGAGGAACAGTAATTTAATTAAATTTCTCCTTCTTGGGGAAAAAATGTAGTTACACAACGACCTTGCAGCTGCTGGGGTTAGATGAGGACATGGAGGCCGACAGCAAGGGGCTTCCCATGAGGAAAGGAGCCTACTTATCTCTCCTTCTTTTGCGTCACTTGCAAATCCGAGAGCTGCAGGTAAAAAGAAAAACCACATTCAAATGTTCATATTATGCAAGACTGTACATAATAAGCCTTATTTTTATTTCATCGTAACCGTCTCATTTGTACTAGAGAATTTGTTTGGGCATCCTCAACTACTTCAGATCCGTTGAAAGAACCCTAACCATCAGCACCTCAGGTCTTGCCTTGAGTGCCGGCCATCTGGTCTCCACTGCTGAAGACTCCTGTTGGGTAAATGCAGCCAAAGGGGGAAGAGGTGCCTATGGTGGTCTTGGTTCACACCCCTATGTGCATTACACACCAGCTGACTATAAGGTGAGGCATTTGGGTACTTTGTAAAATAGCTTCATAGACACATTAATAAAAATAGGTGCGGCACCAAGGTCAACGGGTGCTCCAGCTGACCTTACATGCAGAAGGGCCCTGGTTCAATCCCTGCCACTTCCAGATCCCTGGAGAATTGCTGCCAATCGGAGTAGAGGATCTGAGATAGATGGACCAATGGTCTGACTTAGTGTAAGGCAGCTTCCTGGAGTAGGTCCTGCATGTTAGAGGATATAGCATATGGGGGCATTTAGGGGAATCCCCAGTCTCCTTACAACCCCAGCTCTATTTACAACAAGCTGTATTTACCCAAGCTGATGAAGTGCAGGTCATAAAATCAAAGCCATATGCCTTATGCGGAAACGCATTTGAGTGTTCCACATCTGACACAGAGTTATAGATTTCTTATCTCTGTTCAAAGGTCGAAGCAGACAAATTAACATTAGGCATATGCCTTCGTTGTATTGCTTTCAATGCTAGCTAAAGCCTTTTTTGCTTAGCCAGGCTACCCTGTTATGTAATTTTCTGGTGCACATTTGCTTTTCAAACTTTATTTCTCATTTGAAAAATAATTTTATTCTATCTACTGTTTTTGTCTGTTTTTATTCCTATTGTTAAATGGCTATTTTATACCATTTTATGTAAACTACTTATGGAGAAGTAGTTTATTTAGTTTTTAAAATTAAGTTTTTAAAATTAGTTTTTAAAATTAAGTGGTGTATAAATTTCACTAACTAAATAAATGCAGCAAACACATGCACAAAGTCTCCCTCCTGTACATTACAGCCTCCCCCATTACTAGAATTACTACCCTAATCATGTATTTTCAGAAGTGTCCCATGGATCTCATTGGGACTTGCTCACCAGCAAGCATGCTTAGTCTTGCAGCCTTAAAGCAATCTGTTCTATGGATGGGTCAGACTTTTAACATTCAAAATTCGCCTTCAGCTTGAAATTCACAAAAGATACACTGCTTCCCCTCCTAAATCTCATTGCCAATCAGAACTGAATCTTCCTCCACAAGTTTACAGCAGGTAAAACTCTTCCATACCTTTACAAAACTCTTGAAAGTTACACACACACATGTATGTATGTGTGCCCACATGCCCACATGTACATGCATTGTTTTATTTGGTACTTCTAATATAGGCTTCATCATGTATTTATTTTTAATCTGTCCCTGGCACAGGTTCACAGTGTGCAGTTTATGGAGTTTGCAGAGGTAGAAAACCATGATGATTTTTACACCACAGAGGACATGTATGTTCACACCCAGGATCAGCGAGGGGCTTTTGTGATGTACGATGTAGCCCTCCAGGACCTGAAAGAGCTAGAAAAACAGCTTTTGCTTGTGGCAACCCAGTACATTGAGGCAGGGAAAGGTACGAATCAGCACAGTTTGGTACACTTCTGCAAATGAGAAGGACAGAAAGGGGGGAAAGGAGCACAAATGGGAATAATCATTCACAAGGATGATCACCAGCCCAAAAGTTGGTATCCCAAAATCTCGGCCAGGGTGCCTGACTTTGCTAAATGTCAGTTTATAGTAAGCTGCTTATTGTCAGCTACTGAGCCAGCCTAGCAGAGTGGGACTCTGGACTGTTTTCATATGGTTGTGTGAAATGTTGAGGTCTATGTCAGTGTTTTCCAAACTTGGGTTTCCAACTGTTTTTGGACTACAACTCCAACCATCCCTAACTAGCAAGACCAATGACCGGGGATGATGGAAACTGTAGTCCGAAAACAGCTGCAGACCCAAGTTTGGGAAACACTGGTCTGTGTCGATGGTGACACAGCAAGCACCTTTACGCACCTCATATCACAATGTATCGTCTATATTTGTTGTTGGACTGGGGCAAGGGACCTTTTTCAAGTAGAGGACTACATTCCCCTGTGGGCAACCTTCCAAGGGCTGAATGTCAGTGGTGGGTGGGGCCAGAGGTGTCACTCTTTTGTGCAGCAAGCTTCTTTCCAGCCAGTGCCAGATTTATGTATAAGCTAAACAAGCTATAGCTTAGGGCCCCACTCTCTTGGGGGCCCCCAAAAAATTTAAAGGAAAAAAACCTGGATGTACATTTCCAAAATATAAGATAAAAAACAGATAAAATAAAACCTACATACAGCAACAGTGGCAATTGACTTTAGATATCTATTAGGTCCATAAATTACCATACAGCATATATTCAATTCAAGTGACAGTTTGTTGTTGACAAAGGACAGCTGGACATATAAAAGGCCCCATTACCTTCAGTAGCTTAGGGCCTCATCAAACCTAAATCTGGCCCTGTTTCCAGCAATGTAAAACCCAGAGGTTTATCACACTCATCTCTCCAGCCTTCATCCAGGCAAGCAAGAGGCATCATTACAGTTCAAATATTCATCTCGCCCAGGCAAAAGCACTTAAGAGGTTGTGGAACGAGGTTGGTGGGCTGTGTGTGGCTTGGGAGAGCCCTGGGAGCCAGATAGAAAGGTTGGGAGAGCCACATTTTGTTAAGTAGGCATTGTTCTTCCTTAGCTTGCTGGTTTCTGTGGAAATGCCTGTTGTGCTGTTTTTCCTTTTCGAGGTCACAAAGCATGCCGTGATTCCAGTAATAGCAACTACTCAGCCTGGGCTCATGCATCAGTGGATCGATCTGCAGTAATCCTTGACCTTTGGACTTGTGAAACAGCTTTCTTAGAAAATAAATGGCAGGTGTATATATATATTCACACATTATTTTTAAAAACCAACCAATCTGAGCTCCTGTTACATTCGATATTTTTTAAAATTAAAATTATTTCTCATCCTTGTTCCCAAAGTTGCCCAGGGCTCGCTCTGTGTGTTGGACTATTCAAACCAACTATACTTGCAAACAGCGATCGTTAGCCTTTTTGGAATACAGTATTTGATATCCCCCTTCCCCCAGTCATCTTATGTAGCTCTAATAGCTATAATGTATCTGAAAAACTTAAATTAATTGGTTTGGATATTTTCCAGGGCTATCATATTTCAGAGACTAAAAGTGTGAGATATGACAAAATCCAAGGCAAATATCAGACTAATGTTTCATTGATTTTCAGTGGGCTTACTCTAAGTATCACTTTAATCTGAATGCTGCATTGTTATTAAATGAATATGAAGCTGATTTTTAAAATTATACTCAATTTTTATCATCTAAAACACAGTACTACAAAAGAACTTGCATTACAAAACATTTTATCTTGAAGCATTTTAACTCTCCTGTTCCACAGCCCATCCAGCCCTTTCTTTATAGAAATTAAGGTCCCTCTTTCCAAAAGTCCCATCCCCAGAATGGCTAAGCCACATAAAACATAGCTGACTAAATTAGCAAATAAGAGAGAGAGGTGAAATAGGGAAAGTTAACTTTTTTAAAAAAATAGAGAGAAATTATCGTTCTTTTTTTTAAAAAAAAACCACCTACATATTTTGCTTTAAATCTATTTTCAGCTTTTGAATAGTTACTTCGAAGCATATCAACATGCATTGGATTCAGAAGAAAGATTTGCTTTGGCCCAAGTTGTAACAGACATCATGTACAGACGCCCTCGATTTGATTTCCATCTTGGGTATTTTGTGAACATCTATAAAGATGAGTGCGCTTGCCTTGAGCTTCACCTACAGCTGGTGAGAGGTGTACTGAACAAACAGGTTAGTGGACTCTTTGAGTTATTTATTTATTATTTTTAATCTGTTTTCTTACATTTATATCCCACCTTTTCTGCTACATGAGGCTTGTGTTTTTATTTATTTGGTTTTTAGATAGATAACCAACGTGAATATAACCACAGGATTTGGCGTGATGGTCCCAAAGGTGGCACCTGTGAATTTGGTTTCCCCCCATATATAATTGCAAAACAATTAATTGCTATTAATAACACCCCGTGAGTAATGACTCTCTCTCTCTATCATATGATGCAAGTACTGTATTATAAGGGAGCCCATCTTTAACTTGCTCAGTCAGAATCTTCCACAAAAAGTCACTCTGTTATCCCTTTGAATTAAAGCGAGGTTGGTGCAGATAAGCTAATCAAACTGTAAATGAGTAGCTTTGTTTTGTCAGCTTTCACACGGACCTACTTTGCACATAATGTTAAGCCAAATGAACAAACGTGGCTTTTCCAAATGAAGATTTTATTGACAACATTGCAAAGGGAGGTTTACAAAGGAATTCAGCTCCCCAACCACACCCCACATTACTCCTTTAAACTATGGAGGTTTGAAGGAGAAGCAGGAAGGACAGCTGGGAATGCACCTTCCTCACCAAACCGCCCATCCCACTCCCCATTGACCTTGCCAAACCTCCCCTTAGACCCCTCCAATGTTGAGGGAAGGCCAAGAACATGAGCAACATAGGGGAGAAATATTTTCTCACATTTGTCTCCTACTGACTAGCAATGGTAGCAAATAACAGCAGGATGGAACGGAGATATTCTCTCCTTCACTTCCGCCTCTTCGGTGGCAGCAGCAGGACAAAGAAACAAAGGAGAGAAGGCCTTCCTATCCTTCATCCTGCTGTTGCTGTCACTGCCACTAACAGGAGGAAGGGGTGACAGGTGAGGTGGGCAGTGGCAGCAGAGTATGGCAGTTGCTGAGGTAGTTTCCCATCCTGTCCTGCCTGTTCCTTTGTTGCTCACCCGAGATAGCCACCACCCATGCTGCTAACTCACTTGGCTTGTCAGCCTGCTCTGCCTGCCTGAGCTGCTCACCTGCAGTGCAGTTTGCATGGTTCCCCATGATGACATTCTTACATTGTCATTATATACTAGGATACAGAATGATTTATAAATGGAGAATATGTATTTATGCAGTTTACATAAAACACTCGGTATGTAAAGGTTTGCATGGAATGTATCAGATTTCAGGTTAGATTAAACAAAACTATCATTTGTCCTATTAGGCTCCTTGAAAACAAAAGTTATTTCTCGTAATGTAATGATTCTATCCTTTCAGAATGCTTTTTAATTTTGTTTTTGTTTTTAAAGTTCGGCTTTGAAGAACATTTATTTGCTCGAGTTCCACCCTTCCCTTGGCCTAGTATCTTTAGTTCCTAAAGCTCTGGGTCATATCCTTCAGGAGTTCCAGCAAAGTTGTAGGCCAAAGACAGCCAGGGAGGCAATTAATCTGGAAAAACATGTACTTCAACTTGCCCTGGACACATGGCTGACCATGGAGCAGCCAGAGTCTTTCTATGGCTCTCAAATTCAGAAAGATGTACGTATGTCTTCTACATTCTAAATCTGTGGTGATTTTGTCTTGTTTTTAAATAATTCAGGCTATGATATACATTCTTACCTGAAAGTAACTGCCCTTTTATTTAATGGGAGTTTCTTTCAAGGAGACATAGGACTCTGCTGTTAGTGATCTCTGTTGCAGACTCTACACATTCATGTCAGTTAAAATGGACTGATCTGTTGATATGGTCTACAAATCTTCTTTCTCTTGTTGACACAGTCAACTGAAAGTTTCAATACAAACTTTTAAGGATTTTATGCTTGTGAGATGGACAAATTCAATGGCACCCATGTGATCTAAGATTAAACACTCACGTATTAGCTAGTAGAGAACAATAACAGTTATCAACCCATCTAGGAGCTCAGAGAACCCTTATTGTTCTTCTTTAGCTTCAATGGAATCTTCTAGCTAATCCCTTTCGCCAATACACATAGGCCTTCTCCATTTCAGTGTCAATTAAACCATTATATTTAACAGCCTTAACTTGTCATCTGAACCTGGGCTCGTGGTTTGATACGACAATTAAGCAACAACATTATTTTTACTGACTGTTGAAAGGAAGTGTATGTCCCCCATAGTTATTCACAGACGTTCTGGTTGAAGATCCTTGTCTTGTAAGAGAGATTGCTATGTCAGCACTGAAATCAGCAGAAGAGGGAAAGCAGAAACAGGGGAAAGAAAAGCAAGCTTTTATTCTGAACATCTTCTCAAGGCTCCTTGAACTTCTAACCCTCCGCCATCGATTGATAGAGGCAGCAGTAGAAAGTGCACAGCTGCAGAGGTAAAGTAATGGGCACATGGGATGGCAATATTGAAATCCCAATGAAGAAGGATTGAAAGTAACCATTAAGGCTTTTGTGCAGCAGGGTTTTTCCCCCTGCTCTTGGGGTATGTAGGTTAAAATGCATATCCAGTGTGCCATAATATTGGGACTCTTGTTGACATTTAGGACTCTCCTCTCATCAGTCCCTCCAAACCACTATTTCAGTTATGCCGCCTTTATTCCATCAGGATGGGGAACCCCTTTCAGCCCAAGGGCTGCATTCTCTTCTGGGCAACTGTTTGGGACCCACATGTCAGTGGTGGGCGGGGCCAGAGCAATGAATGTGAATTTTACCTTTGTAGAATAGGCTACTTTCCACACCACCCACCCACTCTTCCATCTAGGCAAGCAAGAAGCACGATCAGAGTTCAATGACACATTCCAGCCAAGCAAAAACAGTCAAGGAGTGTGTAAAGCATAGCAAGTGTGGGTCCTGAGGGTCAGACAGAGATGTCCCCCAGGCCCGAGATTCCCCATCCCTGTTTTATACCCACAGTCAGATTGCCCACTGTCTCCCACACCTATTGAGACACAGAATGATTCTTAAACTCCATAATCAATAGTGCACAGTTGCTGGCAAACAAAATTTCTGTTTCTAGCAAAGCAAGAGTTGCCAGCAAGGGTGTCCCTGACAGTGGCTAAAGAAACATTGCAAAGTTAGATGTATGTGTTCTTTTCCTTTTAGACTCTACAAAGAATTTGCAGGAGAAATGGGCTTTGATGAGTTCCATTTATACTTAAGGCCCGTGTACTTTGAATTTGCAACTCACAAAGAGAAAGCAGACCAGCCCTCACCAATATTTGTTACTTCTCTTCTAGAGCATCATGACAGTAGTGTGGATAGGTAAACCAGAGCTTTATGGGTATTTTGGCACATTTTCCTCTTCTTTTGATCAGCCCCAAACGCAACATATCTAGGTCCAAATGATGTGGAAATAGAACAGCTATTCTTTCTTAAAACTTTCCAAATTGATCTTCTTTCTAAGCATTGTCATAAAGTGTGACTGGAGCTTCTGTTGTTTTAATTCACCCTTTTCAATATTAGTATTTTAAAAATAAAAAGCTAGTATAATTTCACAAAAGAAAAGTGCATACAGTATAAGGAGTGAAATCAAATCCCCTCCCCCGCCGCCGCCAAATTCAATGCAGCTCATCTATTTCAGGGTTTCTGAGGCACCAGTGTTTATTATTAACACAAACTGCTGAAGGTTTATTCCATGAAAGAGACCATAGCTGCCATTCTTCTCCGGTAGTATTTCTTAGAGACTGGGATGTGGATACTCCATAAGCATACAGATATATTGGGGGCCAAGTAATCACATTTATACTTAAGGTCTGATTAACTTTGCCCAGTTAATCATCCAGCCCAGCTCAGTTGTAGCATAACTCTCTCTCAGTCTACTCTGCATATTTGTACTGTATTCTCAATAGGCCCAGCCCTCCTAGATTTGCAAAATTGCAATGACTCTATGTCCCCTGGCTTCTATGGGAGGGGGTAGAAGAGTACTGTAATTAAACAAATGGCTTTTGCAGTTATTTGTAACCAATCACAAACTAGCAGAATGTTTGATTTAGCACAAGTGCATTTCAGAAATTTGTTGTGACTTTCAGAAACAGATTTCTTTAAATCTATACAAAGAAATATGTCACACATCTCCAATGTTTCCCTTGTGAGACAGTCAACCCCTCTATTTATTTTAAATATATACTGCTTTTATGTTGGCCAGCATTTGGAAATGTGTCTGATTTTATTTGTCTGTTTGTTTAATTTATATCCCGGCCTTACTTCCAAAGAAGTCCACTTTGTAGTGGTATAATTGGAGACAGGGGCTTAGATCCTAACTAAGCTTCTGCTGGCAGGAACATCCCATGAGTGGAGTTCTGTTTACAGGACACTCCAACTTTCACTGACCGCTTCCCCTTTGCTCTTTGAAAATTTACTCTGCAGGTGCTGGAAGACTCTCTGAAGAAGCATGACAAACAGAACCAGGAGCCCTTCAGTTCACACAAGGGTAGTTAGGATCCAAGTCATGTTCTGTAGATAAGATTAAAAATATTTGTAATAAAAAATGTGAATAAGAAGCAAGCACAGCACTTTCCCTTTTCATTTATTTACATTTCTACGTTCATGAATGCTTGCATATTGGTTTGTGTAATTTAGAAATATTTACCTCTTGCAGATATATTCCATCCAGCTTAATGTTAAACATCCATGATATTGACAATCAAATTGGAAAATTTAGCTTTCGTACAAGAGACAGCATTCTTCAGGTGACTGAATTATTTCCCCCCAGTAATTCTCAATACTGTACAACCACAATGAATACATTTTATTCCTTCCCTTCCTATAAATTTTCTTTTGTCTTGCACCAGAAGTTATTTGAGAACCAGCAGTGTTCTGGGTTGTCATTTTTAATATAACTGCACCCTGGCTATCTCAGTCACTGTAAATCAGGTAAGGGGGATCTACACTGTGCGTAAATTACATTGTAGATGCACCATTTCTAAGTTGAAGTACCTAATTATAGCCATTCAACAAATTTTAAAAAATGAAAGGAACACAATGAAATATATTTCAACGTTCCTTTTTGTTTTCCTGGACTTTCCTTCTCATGATTCACCTGGGAATGTACCTGATCTGCAATAGTATGGGGGAGGAAATAAGTATAAAATATGTATTGAAACAGACATTTAAAAGGTGAAGCTACCTCTTCTTCAACATTTCCTCCAAATATTCTGATGAACATTGCTACTTTATTTCATATTCAACTCCATGTGGCATCCAATTTTACTATTTGGGGCTGTGAATGCACTATACATTTAAAGTGCATTTTCATTCCTGTTAAAGAATCCTGACAACTGTGGTTTACCCTTCACAGAGCTATACAGCTCTCAGTATCTTTTGCTACCTTCAGCTCCCAGTATAAAAGTATACTGTATATGCAACCTTATATTGCACTTAATTATGGTTCTAGATCTATGCAGAATAAAATCCTGTATCTGAATGCAAGTGAAAAGTTTTCAGTGAGTCTAATAATAAGTACATCTATATCAAGAGAAAACTGTGTAACTTCATGTTACGGTTATTATATGAGTCCTAATAGTTTTTACCTTAATTCTTCAGCTGTTACTGAAGTCTCATGGACTAGAAAATCTTCAGATTGCTCTTGCCTGCCAAGTCACTCATAAAAACACACTGCTTGTTGCTGTTCAACAGGCTGCATTTTGCCCCATGATGCAGCCCTCACGGACTCTGGATATGAAGGTTTGCATTTTCTCCCTCTCTCCAACTATACATGGAAAGCAGTTGTGTAACTTTTTCTTACTTTTTGAAATGAAAATCACCCACCAGAGGCTACAGTTGGAAGGTGAGTGGGGAAGGTATATGTAACCCTTCCCCTATAGGCTACTACATTCCTCAGAATCGTCCTGTCATGTTGTCAAGATCCAAGTTTGGGGCAAGTACTCTTTAAATCACACAATATGCAGCAAAGTAAAGCATGGAAGTATAGGCCATTAGACCTTTAAAACATGCCTTTCCAAGTGAGTTCCCAAAATAGTACCCTATTCACCCAGCATAGGAAAAGACCACACATTTAGTAAGTTAACAATTGTTTACATACGAGCTCTCTAAAGGTCAGGTTCATGTGCTTTTCCATGCATCAGTTAGAAATGTTGCACTGGCAGTAAAACTTAGTTTAGTTCCAAATGGTGAAAGGTCCTAAATTATTGGTATAAGAATTTAAGAATGGCTTGTGAGAGCCATGCGGTCTGAGCTGGAGCAACTAGCTCAAACCTCTTTACACATTGAGTTTCTCAGGTAGACAGAGAGAGGAACAAAGACTTGATTACCTAGTTCCTCCCAAGGTGAGCTAATCATGGCAGGATAGCTTACTCTATGGTCTTAACCCCTTAATGCATTAATTAGACCAGCAATTTGGTTATATGAGGCGGTTTATCCCACAACAAGAACCATTAGGTAATGGGCAGTGGTGTAAGTCTGTGTAAAAGGAAATGTGTGTCTTTAATGTTTCAGGAAGGAGGTCTAAGTCTGAGGAGTCAGAGCAGTTCAGCAAGTAGAAGTTCTATGGTTGGAACTGAAACAGAAGACCAGTTTCTGGCCACAGCACCACTGGTTTTGCATTCCATTCGACATTTTGCAGCAGGACGCAGCATTTTAAAAAGGTAGGTTGATAGTATAATGGGCTGCAGGGTGTTTTCCATGTATGTACACACGCATGTTTCAATGCACACGGCTCTTTCTTTCATTTTCACCCTGAGGCTACAGTTCTAAGCATTCTTACTAGGATGCAAGAACCACTGATATCTTCATGTTCCTGCCTCTTCCAGCACTTTCAAAGACCGCCATTCCCATAGCTTATGCCATGCACATATATCCATTGACATGATCCCACAGTGTTGCAATTTGGCTCAATCCATACAAGTATTCATTTACAATCTCATGGATATTTTTACCAGCTTTTTTTGCTCTCCCCTTTCTGGCTGGGCAAGGAATGGATGAGAAATTAATTTATTTTATGTCCTGCCATTCCTCAAAGGACCTCTATAATACTGTACTGGGGACACCCTACATAATAGGTCCTGCCCATACTGTTGGAATATGTATACACCTTCAGCTACAGAGGTGGTGTTGGATCACATTACGGGAAATAAGTGTTTTATTGTTAGAAAGAAGCCACAGCCGACAGATAGTATTTACAAAGTCACTATATTTACAATAAGCATGGATTCCTTAGTTAAAGTCAGTCTGTTTAATCATGGCATAAATACTAAATGTTTATAAAGTGTAGATATGAGGTAAATATTATTTCTTCAACTACGTTGTTTGCCTATTAACAGGAAAATGTCAGTATTTCTACCTTCAGGATAACATTATTGCTCATTCTCCAGGCCTCGAGAAGCTTTTGTCTCAATTCAGTTGGAGAAACAGGGTCCACGGGACATGATGCTGAACACGTTCATTCAAAAGAAACAAATCCTGGGGACTAGAATGCAAAATCCTGTAAGTGTGCCAGGAAATCATCTCGGAATTTACATACATTTTGTTGTATGTGTTTTCAGACTAACGCTTAGTGAACTTTTTGGCTTCAGAATCAGTGCACTCCCAAATGTTTGGGAGTTGTTTAAAAACACACACACAATATTAGAAGCTCAACTGGAGTGTATTGTGGAAACTCAGCCTAATATAAACCAGCATGCTTTGGCACAAAAAAGGTGGAAGCAGCTAGCAAGGGATGCGAAAAAAGAATTTGAGGACCACATTGCTAAATATATCAAGGCCAACAATAAGTTATTTAAATACATTACAGGGAGGTGGCTGGATGACAAGGAAGTCAAAGATGTGCTAAAGGAGGATTAGGAGATTGCAAAAAAGCTGACTGAATTATTTGCAACAGAAAATATAGGGAACAGTCTGGTGCTTCAACTAATGTTTGAAAAGGGGAGTCTGAGAAACTGAGGCAGATAGTGGCGATAAGAGATTAATTTTTAGGCCTGAAAAAGGGCGATCACACACATCAATAGGAAGGAGCAACTTCCCTATGAAGAGAGGTTGCAGCATTTGACTTTTTGAATACACAACTTTCCATTGACGTGTGTCTTTGTAAGATAATATATATGCATAATTATGTAAAACTGGAAATCTTATGTAAAAAAAAGCAAATGGTATAATTTGTTGCAGGAGGAAGTTGAAAAAGTCAAAAGAGAAGTTATTGTTGAATACTGCCATAAGTAAGTACACAAAATCTATACAGCATATCTACACCAAAGGCTAGTGGAGGAGGTTTGTATGAATGTATATAAAAAGTTTATTTTCCTATTCTCACTGCAGGCTGATGCTATATTATATTGGTACGATGTGGACATTTCAATAATGGGGAGACAAAGCCAAACAGTCTGTCCTTCGATCAGCTAGAAAATAGAAGAGAGTAATGTCCAAGCCTATAAGTAAAAAACAAAGAGCCTGCCAAAATGTAACAAAGCAAAACACAAACAACATAAATAATACTAAAATAATTTCAACAGGGCCAGTTGGGAAGTAAAAGCAATCATGCTTCAGGCAGTTTCTGCAAATAAACTGCCTATATAAGAACAATTGTAATAATCTGGGTCACAGCAGTTGTTAGACAGTCCATTATGTTCTGGGAAGGGGGAAGAGAGGGAGGGAGGGAGGGAGAGTGCTACCATTTATTCTTCCCTAACATTGAAAATACAATGTATTTTACACAACACATTTTGTCCATTCATGAGCAAGAGAGCACTAAGAAATTGCGAAGTTTCTTCTGTGCTAATATTTATAATTTGGATATGTCCTTTACATTTCAGTGAAAGGAAACAATAAAGCAGGGAAACTGGTTCTTCAGATATGAGCACTATAGTGTTTTGCTAATGCTAAACTTTGGTACCATTTTAGGATGAACCATCGTATATCACAATACTCTCTTCGAAGTCAGATCATTGCTTATTACAACAGTTTAAAATCTATGCTAGATGATTTCCCCAGCGTGAGAGACAAATACTTCATGATTGGGTTACCGCAAGAGAAGAAAGAAAAACAAGAATTAAAAGAAAAGCCTGAAGATGATCCCAGGTATGTAAATACTCTAAGCTGCTTGTTTATAGAATTCCATATCATGTTGTTTTGCTAATTGGGGACAGTGGGATTACTGCTGCTAGCCAATAGTTTATTTCTTTCTGGCTATTAGATAGATATAATCCCATTAGAGAAAAAGGCAGAGTATAAATAAATTAACAACAACAACCCTGTGGGGTAGGTTAGGCGGAGAGACAGTGACAGGCCCAAGGTTCCGGTAAGCTTCATGGCAGAATGGGAATTTTAACCTGGCCTCCCCAATTCTAGTTCAGCATTCTAATCACTACACCTGTTTGGAAAGGTCAAAGGATATGAGGGTAAGCTTATAAAGAGAGGGAGAATCATGTGAATAAAGCCTATAAGTGTTATCTTCAAAGTGGGATTAGAAGCCCACCTCCCTTCCCCTGTTAGACGGAGAGGTAGCTTAGGAGGCTGCTATTTGGTTTGCTTGTTTTATCATATTTTCCTTTAGAAACTTGGAGCATCTTGTGGGGCCTTCTGCTGTCTCTCGTCTAATCACTTTATCAATTCCACACCACCTCAGTTTCCACACTGCTGAGCCTATTTTTGCCACTGTTGTGTTGTGGGCCGCTTGGGAGAAATTTGTGTAAAAAGGCACCACTTAATGTAGTAATTATAAAATTATGGTTATATAGGTTATATTTCTTGTTTTTATATATGAATGTATCACATGCAGCAAACGAGAAACAACTGTATAGCTATTGTGCAAAAATACCTGTTGAGTGCCACAGAACATTGCGACGTGATTGTGCAAGTAATTCACTTTCCTCCCAAAACAACTCAGGTCATTCCAGACCCGGCCTCGTGGTTTGCTGTCCACAGATGGACGGTCCTTCTTGAATCTGTGGTTCATCCCTCACCCTTCTGAAATCCTATCTGTGTTTAAAATGCTACCAGAGAAGGTTTGTACGCTATAGTCCTGAAGAAAACTCTTGTCAATCAAACTGTATAGATTATGGTGGTCTAATATGCTGCCCTTGATTCTTTTTTTGGTGGCCCCCTAGCAACATTTGGCGCCCCTCCCAGTCCTTGCACTGCCTTCTCAAGCTGGGTAAGTGAGGCACTGTGATTTGGGAAGGAGGTGTGAGGGCTCTGACAGGTCCTTTCTAAAGCCTAGTTAGCACTTTTTGAGCATGGGGAAGAAGATGGGAGGGCTCTAGGACCCTGCCAGAGCCTCGTGCCTCTTTCCCAATGCCCTGTCCTGCACTTATCCAACTTTGAGAAGGCAGCAAATTTGGCCTTGCTCCCCGCCTGTTCGCCCAACAAGGCAGTGTACAGCTTGCGGCTTCTGTGTTGAAGTACTCCTGTGGCCCACTTGGTATGAAAGGTTGGTCTGCCCTGGTTTAGATTAACCTGGTACTGGTCTCTTTTGTCATGTTGCCATATTGTGCTGCTGTTGAAATATTATTAGGGGCTGGATCCAGAGGAAAGTGTGCTATAGGGGCCTTAGAATGTACCAAGGATTCTGCTGGACTAGGGAATATGGGAGGATTTCTGAAAACTGGGAGGAGGACATTTCCATGAATGGGGCGTTCCATTCGCAGAAGTACCTCCCTCCCTTTTCTCCAGTCCCTTGCACCACAACCTTTACTCCCGAAGCAGCCGACAATTAAAATCCACACAAAGATAAGAGGCTGTATGAGTCGCAGAGTCACAGGGTTGCAGTGGCAGAGGAGACTTGCCCAGAATCTAGCAGAAGCACCCTGTATGAACAGAGTTGCATGCAGTTTGGGCCCATCCCCCCACCCTTGCAGTGTCCTGTGTAGCCTTTGGTTTCAACCCAATGTAATTAGGAGTGTGTGGTTAGGCAAAGATTGGTCTCTTCTGCCCATGGCGATTAGTAAAACACTTGGTAAAACAATCCAAGTTCTCTCCAGTGGGAGAGAGGATTCCAGGGGGGAATGGGTGATCACCAGCTGTCCAGCAGCCATGGTGGAGAGAGCCTTCTGAACTCCCATCAGCTGCCTGAGGCATGGTAACAGTTGTAAGAGGGAGGAACTTAAGACCTTAAAACTGAAAACCCCACTCATTTCTTGAATATTAGATGTTCTATTGCTATATGATGAGATACATGGGAGGGAGGCAGCTACAAAATTAACCCCTAAGCAAAAACTGGTCCTCTCCAGTGGTAATCCCAAAATCTACCAACTCAAGTGGACTGCCTCTTTTGTCTAATGGCAGAACTATCCTTGAATGAAATAAATATAGAAAGCCTATGGGATATTAGTAATATTTTCTGGAATGGATTTTGAACTGTTAGTAAAGGTAGCAGTCCAATCTAGACACTCCCTTGAGGTGTTTTCAGATGAGGCCTCAATATTGCCAATGGGTTGTTGGCAACCATTTCTTTTAACTTATTGGATTTCCCCCAGAAATAGGGGGGAAATGATTAAATGGGGGTGGGGGCAAGCTGGTGTTTTGATGTTGATGATGTTGTGTGATGCTGCAGTGCATGAGAAGCACTGATCCAGGCCCATGCAGAGCTTGCCTAAGGCCCAGGGCAAGAGTCTTGAGTTATAAACGCAAACAAAAAAAGCACCTGGTCCCTGGTGGGGCCCCCCAGCCAGCTTAGCCCTCTGAGGCCCAGGGCAAGTGTACCTGGCTGCCCCCCTCCCCTGTGTGGGCCTGCACTGATCCCACAATTAATACCCATTAGATTGCAAATAGCAGCTGCTGCTTTCAGTTTGTGATTGCTAAATGGCTAATTGATTATGATTTGTGTTTAATTTTTGAAAGATTTTTCTCCCTGTATTTCCTTCCCTTTTCCATAGACTGGCTTCAGAGCCCTGAGACAGACACTGCAAATTGTTGCAGCTTTTCACGACATTATTTCCTACATTTTCAGCTTTGCACAGCTAGGAAATGCAACAGGCTGCCTTGATTATGTGTGTCCTCCTGACCATCTCACTGCAGAATGGGGAGGGACTGAATGGATCGGTTAGTAACAGATGTTCTTCTTTGAAACAGATAATGAATGTAAGGGCAAGTTTGAAATGCGCTGTTCAAAGGAATACTTTGGGTATAGATGTCTTAAATCAGAAACTGCACATTTATGCTTAACATCTGTGATTTTCTCTCTCTTTCTCTCCCTCTTCCTCTCTCTCTGTGTGTGTACATACACACATACATATATATATATATACATACACACACACACACACACACACACACACTATTTTCAAATCAAGAGCTTCTGGTTTGGGAAATATTTCCTCAAATCATATTGACTGGTGATCCAGTCATGTATGGGTTTTCCTGGAGCGGGGGGGGGGGGTCTTTCCCTCACACATTTGACACAGTTAAAGTTAAACATTTCTGGGTTTTTGTGGTAAATATTCTTACTTGATTGTCTTTGATGCTCTATGAGACTGTAATCTGATATCAGTGAGATTTACTGCTGAGTGAAACATCTTCAGCTGAATTGTCAGATGTTCTAAAGAAGGACATCCAGTTCATTGAAACAAAAGATGGGCAGGGAGGCGTTTTCTGGGCCCATATTTAAACTACAAACACCTAATTTAATGAAAAGGTACTATACATTTGCTATTATGTATTCTGTTGGATCTTGTTCACAAACCAAATTATTCAATCAAATAATGTTTTAACTGTCTGCTGAAATGGTTATATTGCATGGCTTGCTGGTAGCTGAGATTCATAAGCTGGCTTTTGTCAGAGTTTTCTCTAGAATGGAACGTGGTTGTATTTTACCAGTTCTTAGGTTATGCCTGACTGTGTGTGTGCATCCATGCCCATGAGTGGATATATGCATGCATGTTTAGACTCATGATCTTTGTGCATGTTTGCACTAGGGTGTGACATACACGCTGCTGATGTTGATTGTGTGGGGTGCTTTCAAGAAGTAAGGAGCAAAGTAATGTTTCTATAAGAAACTAGGCAACTTTCTCTGCAATGGTTAAAAATAGATTGTGTGTGCATTCTGATCCTATCCTTGGCTGTAATTACAAGGGCTAAGCCAGTTTGCCTCCTTGGATTTATTGCCATCCTTGGGACTGTAGGGACTGAGCTCCTGTTGTCCCAAAGCCACCATTGCCTCCCATAGGTTTCAGCTTGGACTGAAATTAAATGGGTAGAAGCATTGGATGTAAGAATGAAATAAATAAGGCAAATAAATGCCAGGATATTTTATTTATGCCTGCTGTCGGGATTCTAGGAATTGAGCTCCAAGACCTGCAGAAAAAAATAGACAATCTTCATAGTCCCTCAGATCCAAAGAAAGTGGCCCAGATGCTGAGCATGCACAGAGAAGTTACACTTCTGCAATTTGAGGCAGCTGTTAGACATTCTGTGCGGTAAGAGATTAGCATAGTTCAAAAATAAGGATGTTGATTCAAGTTGGGGGAAATGTCAAAAGGAAGGATCTGGCAGGTGTTTTCTTTAAGGCTGAAACTACACATTATGAGAAGTTGTATATCACTTTCCCCTGACTCTTTAAATTTCTTTTAACCAAAAGCTGTCATATGAAGCTGTGGATTTAAATAGAGGAGGGGAGATTCACATAGGCTGCCCACCCCACCCCCCGGCCATTTGCTCCACTTAAAAGTAGCTCCCTGCTGTTTTCCCATTTATTTGAGAAAACATACAAGTACCACTATCTTTTCCCCTGCCAGCTAAAAAGCAGCTGGGGGCAGGGGCAAATATTTTGAGGACAAAAATGGCAGTGAAAAAGAGTTACACGACCTGTCTTTCTCCCCTGCCCCATCATTCCTTCATTTAAATTTGCAGCTTCTTGAGTTTGCTTTTAGTTGTCTTATTTATATATATTAGCTGGGGAAAGTTGCACATGATTGTGTGTTTGTGTGTTTCAGCCTGTGATTCCAAAACTTATAATAGCAGCGCCACCTGCGTTCTTACACCTGTTGTTTTGCTTTTATTGGAAACCTTTCCGAAAAACGAATTCTAAAAATAGCAGGTTTCGGTATTGTGCACCAAAGCCACCTTTAAAATTTCTGATCATGGGAGGTGTACATCTAGCAATATTTTAAACACTGATTAATCTCAAGAAGATATATAATAAAGATATTTAAATGAAATTGATGTTTTCTTTGTTCATTTCCATGTGTTGCAAAAAGGTACTGCATTTCTGTGTTTTTGTAGAACCCTATGCTGTAATACATAGATTTAAGATAGTTGGTCATTCAGATTATTTAATCTGCACATTAGCCAATAAGAAGGTTTAAAATAATATAGCAGCCTTCACTAACCAGGTCCCCTCTAGAAGTTTTAGACTACAGTTGGCATCCGTCCCAGCCAGCATGTCCATACCTGAAGGGAGAACTTGCACATCTGCCCTGTGGTGAGATGTGTGTGAGTTCCAAATGCACATAGGTTAGGAGCCAGAGTAAACTCTCAGCAGTGAGAGAGCGCAGTGGGTTTGCTTGCTTTTCTCCATCTTGAATCATAGAGTTGGAAGGAACCCTGAGGCTCATCTAGGGTTTGGGAGAGTTCTTGAATTCTACCAGAAATGCTACATTGATTGCTGTTGCTCAGGGGCATATTTATACAAGAAGCGTAGGAATAATGGGAGTCATAGTTCTATGAGCAATAGGTCTCAAGCAGAGAATTCTCAGCATCCATTCCTGATCTCAGACTTCCTGATTTCCAGGATTTGGGGGAAGAAAACCATAACAGTTAAACTGGCCTAAAACCTCTCTTCAAAAAGCAGGGCTTCTCATGTCACTTTCAAGCGAAGCACATCATCATGCTAATTTTCTAAATTATGGATGTATGGAGCAGTTTGAAAATAAGTACATGTTAAAATCAGACCTTTTAAAAAACAACATTGATTAATAAATAGGAAATAATTTTATTGTATTTGCTTTTATAATGTTTTTTTTTTTCTGGTAACCCTCCAGAGAAGCATTTTTATCATCTGGAAATGTTTCTGCCTATCAGAGCATTACGGATCACATTTACCATGGCTTGCCTCCCATAAGTAACACCATTGTTGGAAGTGCCTTTGCTTCCCAGCTCCGGCTTCCGCAGCCACTAGACCCACATGGCCACAGAGTGAGTAAAATAGTCTTCCAAAGATTTCTCTTCCTTAACTGTTTCCTTCTCATTTGTATCATTGTTAGCTGTGCAATCAGCACAAGGCTATATGTATGTGTCTCTTTGTTGAAAAAGCCAAGATGTCTCCTTGGGGTATTTTCTCAAAGTACAAAGGGTTTCATCACAACAGTCTCTGGTTTTTTTAGCTGTTTCTCTTTTCGCCAGTCCATTCTAGTCCACCAGCAGTGGCATAACTGATGTCAAAATCTGAGCCTTTTGAGTCTCTTGCATCCTAAATCTCATGATGGCTTAGGACCTAAAGCACTTGGTTCACCTCCTTATGGCAGCGAATGGTCTCTTCTCTTGGGTGGTTCCCTGCTTGTGGTAGGCAGGTGGCCCAACTCTTTTGCTGTGGGGCACAATCTGTGGTCTTAACTGCCATCACAAGATAGCACAGTGTGGATAGCATGCAAAGGTGCAGTTTTTGCACAGAGTCAAGCCTGGTGGCTCATTAACTGCAAATTAGCAGCTGCTGTGGGCACAGGACAGAATTGGCTGCCAAAAGCAGATCACTGCTGTGCACTGCCCCTGGATCAACTGGTAACTTGGGTCTAACTATATTAATGATATAATTAGCAATCATATTGTGGGCTTTTAAAAATTAAATACCAGGTGCATGGAGGGTGGGAGGGCAGAAAATGTCATCACTGGCATCGCAGCCTATAAGGAGAGGGCTTTAAGTCTTCCCTCCCCAACTGCAGTTTCAGTAAAAATTCACCTTCCCTGCACATGGCAGCTAGCATTATTAGGAAAATACATCTTGTTTATGTCAATGCAAGTTTTATCCTAATACTGTTTGCTGTATGGGGGGGGGATGGATTTGAGAAAGGCTTAATCCTCCTATGTATTGCTATGCATATAACATTTTTCCCCTCCAGCTTTTCTCTGATCTGGTATTTAGAGTTGCATCCAATGAAGTTACAGTGGTACCTCAGGTTACAGACACCTCGGGTTACAGACTCCACTAACCCAGGAGTAGTACCTCAGGTTAAGAACTTTACCTCAGAATGAGAACAAAAATCGTGCTCTGGCGGCACGGCGGCAGCAGGAGGCCCCATTAGCTAAAGTGGTACCTCAGGTTAAGAACGGTTTCAGGTTAAGAACGGACCTCCAGAACGAATTAAGTTCTTAACCAGAGGTACCGCTGTGTTTTGATTAGCACAAGAACTTCCACCTGTCAGCATTGAGCAACTGTTGGATAGTTCCATAAAGTCCCACAGGGGTCTTCTTTTGTACCTGGCTTGATTTCAAGCTGAACTGTAACGGATAAAAGGAAAGAATGGGGGCATGATTTGGTGAAGTTGGGTAGCCTTACTGCCACTTTCTGCCTAGCAGAGAAAGGTGCATACTGTTAGTGAAACTGCATTTTAGGATATTTGGTTTATATGTGCTTGTAGCTTACTATTACATTTTAAAGTTGCAACTCTTTGTTTTTAGGCAGTGTTGTTGTTCCCATGGAGAACATTCCTAGCAAACACAGGTCCATTTCCTGTTATCATCAGCAACCTAGACCCCATAAACTATAATATGCAGGTATGGTACTCTTATTACCTCTAAGGTGCATATTAAATTCAACTGGGGGCTGCCATCCCTACTCACCAACCCAACTAAAATTGTTTTTATGTGCAGTTGTCCTTAACCAATTTTATATATGTATCCTTAATATATGTCATTATATTGTAAATTGCTTCGAGGTGCCTCGTCACAGGAAGCGATTCATTCATTCATTCATAAATAAATAAATAAAGTATTTTGTAAGTAAAACTTGACTGACTGACCTTTCTAGCTATGTCTGTGTGGACTGAACGATGAGGATCGAAAAGTAGTCCATGGGGAGCTGGTCGAGATGCAGCTTGCAATGGAGGATGTACTCTGGAGTAATTATGAGGGTCTGAATGGTCATGGAGAACAGAGAACATCTTTTGGAAAGGTAAAGTAGAGACAGCAACGCCAGGGCTTTTTCAGCTGTGGCTCCGATCTGGTGGAATGCTCTGTCACAAGAGACTAGGGCCCTGCAGGACTTGACATCTTTCCGCAGGGCCTGCAAGACAGAGCTGTTCCACCAGGCCTTTGGCCAGGGCACAACCTGACCCCCTCCTTTGGCAATCCTCACAGAGCCCAATGGTTGCCATTAATCTGATTTGAACTGATTTTATAATGAAATGATTTTAGAATGTTGTATCATTTTACTGATGATGTTGGGGAAGATGGAGGGCACAAGGAGAAGGGGACGACAGAGGACAAGATGGTTGGATAGTGTTCTCGAAGCTACCAGCATGAGTTTGACCAAACTGCGGGAGGCAGTGGAAGACAGAAGTGCCTGACATGCTCTGGTCCATGGGGTCACGAAGAGTCGGACACGACTAAACAACAACAACATCATTTTACTGTTGTTAGCCGCTCTGAGCCCAGCTTTGGCTGGGGAGGGTGGGATATAAATAAAATATTATTATTATTATTATTATTATTATTATTATTATTGACATCTGGCACCATCTTTGCATGAACAGTTCAGTTTAACTAATGTGTTTTTATTCCTTTTTTGTAAAAAGATTAGTCAAGTTTCAAGTTCAACAAAATCACATGGCTGCAGCACTTGTTGGAATGTAGCATGTTAGAAGATATTATATGGGATCTTATATTAGAATTGTAAACTACTGTATTGTTGTTGTTTAGTTGTTTAGTCGTGTCCGACTCTTCGTGACCCCATGGACCAGAGCACGCCAGGCACTTCTGTCCTCCACTGCCTCCCGCAGTTTGATCAAACTCATGCTGGTAGCTTCAAGAACACTATCCAACCATCTCATTCTCTGTCGTCCCCTTCTCCTTGTGCCCTCCATCTTTCCCAACATCAGGGTCTTTTCCAGGAGTCTTCTCTTCTCATGAGGTGGCCAAAGTATTGGAGCCTCAGCTTCAGGATCTGTCCTTCCAGTGAGCACTCAGGGCTGATTTCCTTCAGAATGGAGAGGTTTGATCTTCTTGCAGTCCATGGGACTCTCAAGAGTCTCCTCCAGCACCATAATTCAAAGCATCAATTCTTCGGCGATCAGCCTTCTTTATGGTCCAGCTCTCACTTCCATACATCACTACTGGGAAAACCATGGCTTTAACTATACGGACCTTTGTTGGCAAGGTGATGTCTCTGCTTTTAAGATGTTGTCTAGGTTTGCCATCGCCTTTCTCCCAAGGAGCAGACGTCTTTTAATTTCGTGACTGCTGTCACCATCTGCAGTGATCATGGAGCCCAAGAAAGTAAAATCTCTCACTGCCTCCATTTCTTCCCCTTCTATTTGCCAGGAGGTGATGGGCCCAGTGGCCATGATCTTCGTTTTTTTGATGTTGAGCTTCAGACCATATAACTACTGTATATATGAATACAACTACTGTATATATGAATATATATAACTACTGTATATATGAATACAAAACCTCTGCATGCAAACTGGCAAGCGTGTGTCTGGCACAAGTGACTTACACAAGTGGCACAGTAGATGACTGAGTCAATCAGAATGCTAACAAATGTGGTGTACAGTTTTGTATCTCTTGAGGTTCTTCTCTTTATCAACGTGAGTAGTGTGAGGTGATGCAGCTTTTGTGTCTAAAACATCTGCTCTGCTACATTTTCTCTGCCTGCAACACTGTCAACACTAGTTAACACTGTAATGCAGCCCTGCCCTGTGCCAGCCTGTTATTCTACAGTTATTCGGTCTCTCTAATCCTCCCTCACATATACACAGAGAAGTCCAATCTCCCTTCAATTCACTCAGTGTGGAATGGGTTTTTGTGTAGGAGAAGCAGAAAGGATAGCTTCCGGCCCTTCTGCCAACTTCTGAGGGCATGGCTGTCTTGTGAGTGGCTGATCAAAAGCCACCTGTCCATCAGAGCGCACCTGGGTCAAGAGATGACTGTAACCAACAGACCTTTGTTCTCCATACTCCATCTGACTTTCAGTGCTGCTACGTCAAGTGTGAGGAGACCAGAAGCAGCTACTGCAGGATAGATACAACTGAACTAAAATTGTTTTCTTAATTTTCTTAAAAGCACCATTCTGCCTCTTCCCTTTGTCATCCTAACTTTTATTCTTAATTAACTTATTAATATTGACTGTTCAGTTTGTGTATGCATTTCTGCCAGGCTCAATTATTTCTTCCTCCTGTGCCTAGACCATTTGGCTTCATGCTTCACATGCATTTATAAGTGGGATTTGACAGAGAAAAACAAGCTACCTTGGGCTCTGGTGAGAGACCAGGAAGCTGGGTGCTTTCTCTCTGTTTCTCCTCATATAAATATTTACCTTGGACCCTCAGGTTTCATATTCCCCACCCCCAGATTGGATGGCATGTAAGGAAAGTGTGGTAGGCATCTACTTGAGAGTCCCTAGCATGGCTAGCCTATCCAGACTGGCAGTCATGGCAGGAAGAGAGAGTAAAATTCTTCCCTGCCATTATAAATGTATTCTGGCTTTAAGCTTCTGTGTCTGACGCTTTCCCCACAATGATTTTAGCAGAATTTGGCAATGACAATTGAAGCAAGTGGAAGGACTTCAAAAGCACTGTTGGAGCTGCCTGATTCAGTGGCTTCAAGTTCCTTGCAGAAATCTTACCTGATACTGTGGAAGCAACTGGAAATTTTAAAAGCAGAATGGGGAAGGCTTAAATTAAAAGTTGATGATATCAATACAGTTCCTCTATACAAGCAATTTACTGAACAATACGGGTAAGTTCCATTTCGATGTAATAGATTTTGGACTGGAGGTTAATCATCAACAGTGCAGACAACAAAGTAAAGAAAAAAACAGTACTCAGTGCTTTTTTGTTTTCCTGGGTTTTCCTTGCTCTTTTATTATAAATTTGATTTCATTTTCAACAGTTAAAACTAGATTACTAGGAAACATGGCATTTCAAAATCTTGTCTATAAAAAAGCAGGGTGGGATGGAAAGGAAAATAAAGTGGAAAAGGGCTTTCTTTTCTTTGGCTTTCTCCACTGCAACCAGAAACCAACCACAGAGTGTTTAATAAGGCACAAGGATGCAGGAACCTGCCCCACCCACCCTGCCCATGGTACATTATGATGACTAAGTTACTGTATAATGTGATTCATAAGGAAAGCATTTTACTTGTATTTCAGTCATCCTCACAACAACCTTATGAGTGGCAAGGGAGTGACTTTCTTGCTTGCAATCAGCCAGTTAGAAATGTGATCTATGAGGCTTGTGGACTCATACACAGTGTAGATGATCAGTTGTAGGTTTCCTGACCATTTTATCAGTCCAGTTAGATCCCATCTCACACTTGCCAGGTAAATCTGTTAACTCCTTTAGGGAAATTGTGAGGAGATGGCTGACATGGGATCAGGGAAGTGGCTCTCTTGACAATGTATCACTAGGATTTCTTGATTTTCCTGCCAAACAGGATTCAATTAGGTGCTTTTTGAGTGTTTAGGAAAAGGAACATGCCTTATTCTGGAGGCATAATGGAGTCAGAAGTTCAGATTTTGCCACATTCCCAACATGGAATTCACCTTCTTCACAATTGCCACACATTGGGTCAACATATGACCCCCAGATTTCATTGTTTATCATTCACCAACCCTTCAGACCTCATGAGCAACACGTTGGTGTGAAATTAAGAAACTTTTTTTTGCCCCAGTTTTCATCACTTTACACTTGCACTGCCCATTTACCCAGTTTGGAGAGATTCTTCACAATCCTTTTCTGTTCTAACACCCTTGAAAAAAAATGGTATTTTCATCAAACCTGGCTGCCTCAATCACAATGAGCCTCAATCACAATGAGTCTCAATCCTTTATGAACAAGTTTAAAGGCACATAGAAAATTGTAATATTGAGGGCATGCTAGAAACCAATTCAAAATAAATGGAAAACATTAAACAAGAGAAATTAAGCATGTACAATGTCTGTATCTCTGCATTTTTCTAGTACTGAAGTTCTGTATCCTGCTATGAGAAGCATAGCTATACATATGGGTATAGAAGATGAACTTGAAGCATTTGGATTGATATATCACTCTATTCTGCCCCCTAAAGACGCTTCAGAAACTGAGATAAAAACACACCAGGTAAAACATAGCTAACGGGAAAGCAGAATACAAAAAGAGAATGAGTTTATACTTTTTAAAATTGTAGTAAAATATAGTTTCTGTGGTACATTAGAATGCCATACATTAGAATCCTTCCCAGCAGCTTAAGATAGTACAAATGCTGTGAGTTGTCTGTCCATATTTTACTTGTTGCAAACAAATCCTTAACGTGACTATGCTGCCTACATAATGGCTGACTAAGCCTCCACCACCCTACACACACACACACACACACACACACACACCCGCCCTGATCTTACACACACAGGTAGCCTGAATAGTGTCTGCAGGCAGAAGAAGCTACCTTAATAGTTTTCTTCAAGCAGAAGTTTTGTATCTGGCTCTGAAGCTGTTTGGAAAGTTTGCAGAGGCATATACGATAGTGGCTTGTGCTCCTGGCAAATGGTTCAGATAACCTTAGACAACATGGCCCACCAAACCAAATGCCGCTCAGCAGGTATTTGTTGGAAACATGCTTATACCAAATAAAACTCTTGCTCCAGCCATTGCTTACACAGTATTGTTTACACAGCCTGGCAGTGACTCTGCCTCTGAGCTGAAATGTTTGGTGACTTGCTTGGGGCTTGATAACTGTCCTGTTTTTCCTGTCCCCACCAAGCAGCAAAAAACCAGAAAGTTTATAAAGTCCTTAATACATTCATCAGGTCAAAAGGCCTGAGTCAACCTTTTTGACAGGTCAGTCCTCAGCTCACAGTACCTCTGGCATTGCTCCTGATGCTCTCTGACAATAACTATCAAAATATTGCTTGTATAAAAATGTACTTTTGCTAGGTTTATGATTTTTTAAAGCTGTCAGGCTGTCACTTGATTAAAGAAATCTGGCAATTAATCAAATTAATTTTCATAGTTTAATCAATTAAATACACATAAATAAGTCATTGTTTTGAAGAAAAAGCATACTGTTTTAATATAGTGCATGCAAATGTTGTACCACTGTAGATGTGCGCTTTCCTATTACTTGAGAGCGCAGGGAGACTGCCTCTTCCAAGACAGACCTGCAGTCTCATAAGTACTATCATTTTAAAAACAATACACTTTAAAGTATGTGTTGTCTATTTAATTCAGATCCCATTTTAAAATATATTAAAGTGATTGATTTAAAATTTTAACCCATTGATCAATTAAAGATTGTAGGCCTTAAAAATGATTAAAGCTGCTGCTGCCTCATTTAGAGTTTGGCCTTTACTTTTTCATTTTAGGAAGTCTAAAGTGACTATATACTTTCTGAAGAAACATGGCTTCTGAATGGTTAAATGAAGATATAGTTAAAAGCAAGCTAGTTTTTTTCTGCTTTTTTTTATCCTAGCTGCAAAAACTCTTGGAAAGTCTAGAAATACATATGATCCGTGATGTCCAAAAGAAAGTTAACAAAGAAATAACGCTGGTTATATCTGAAAAAACAAGAGAAGAAAGAAACCTCTCTACAGGTAACAACTGAACCCATCTTGCATCTAGCTTCTACTCCAAGTTTTGTTTTGACGGGGGGGTGGGGAGTGAGAAACAACACCCAGTAGTTTCTTGTGTACATACCACAGTCACTATGTCAGCACCACCCTGAATTTCTCCATATATCATCTGTCTTTGGTGGTTAGCCATGACCCACATAATACTTTCTTCAAAGCGCTGCAACTAAGGAGTCATGGAGAAAGTTGCCACACTAAAAAACACTAAAGCTGGACGCTTGGAGATGCTTTCTTCAAACAGCAAGTGTAAAGAGGCCTCTGCATATATTCAGTAGCCCACATTTGTGTTGTGTTAAGCCAGAGGTAACCAACACTGTGTCCTCCAGACATTGTTTCATGTCCTTCTCATTCCACTTTTATCAGCATGTGGGATACATCACTCTTGCTGCACCTGCAGGTTTTCTTTTTCCTTACAGAACAGTGGGACTTGTGCTCTGTCAAAGAGCATGTCTATAATAATGATAATGATTATGATAACTTCATTAGTCACATTCAGGCACCCTTTGTCTGCCTGCAATTATGATCTTCTGTGCTCCTGCACATTTGGGCGTTTTATATTTAAAAAAAAAGTAGCATAGTAGGACTTGTGCTCCATCAAAAAGCCTGTCACATTTCAAGATACCCAGTGTTAGTCATACTCAAGGTAGACTGAGGCTTCCATGTTTTATTACTCTGAAGATTGAAGAAAAAGACCCCCCACCCAACCACAAACAAAAACTTGTTCTTTCAGAGCTCTGGAAACATCACGGCATGCAAGAAATCTTCTCTGTCACAAGGCCAGAAATTGTTGAATCATTTGTACAGAAGCTAATGGAAAATCACCAAGAAACTGATGTAGAGGTACAAAAATTGTGTTTCTTTTCCAGTGATTGAAATCTCATGGGGCAAAATAACTGCATAACTTAGGTTTTTCTTGCTCAAATATGTGCTGTGCTACAGGCATTTTCTGCTAGAGATAAGTACTGTCAGTCATATCTAAGTCATACTGAGAGGAGCCCCATTGAAATCAGTGGACTTAAGTTAGTTGTCACTATGATTTAGTCAGATACCATCCAATGAGTCTGTTCAAGCATGTTCTCCAATTTTCATATTCCAAATTATTTTGCTGGACCCAGGGCACACATTTCCCTGGAAATGCTGTTTTTGCCTCCTCCATGGGCACAAGCTGTTTTTATCCCATGGTTAAGGGGAAAGTTCTCTTGCATATTTTTTAATTTAAATATTTCACCATCTAGTCCAAGAAGATACATTTTAGAGCTGGGTCCTGCCTGGCAGAAATTATTAAACCTGGCTACTGAATCAAATAAATTATCCATCTAGCCTAGGAGTAGCCAAAATGGTGTCTTCCAGTTGCTGTTCAAATGCAGTTCCCATCAGGCCCTGTCAGCATGGCCAGTAGCCAATGGTTAGGCATGATGGGAGTTGTGGTCCGGCAACATCTGGGGGCATTGCATTGGCTACCCCTGATCTAGTTGATCCTGATTGGTGGAAGGTACTAAGGATCATTTTTGAGGTTTAGGCTATCCTATGCATCATACCAGAAATCTTCAAGCAGAAATTCTGGTGACAGGACCTTGGATGTATGTGCTCTGGCACCAGTGAACAATGGAGGAACCACTGGAAGTGAATAGATTTATCTGTGTGACCATCAGAAAAACCTGACATTTTCATTTTTTGTTTCCCCCCTCAGATAACCTTTCCAAAAGACCACGTACAGAAATGCTTCACTGCTTTGGGTTGTGATGTCATGGCCAGAGAACGCAGCAACTTTGAGACCTACTCCATGTTTTATGAAAATATACTCCGTCAGCAACATCAGCTCCTCTATCAAAAAGAACAAGTATTCTCATACTGTTGATTGTGGTGGAAGAGGGGTCATGTGCTGCATTGATTGCTCGGCCAAACAAGTAAAAAAAAATAGTTGACAGAGGCTGTTGATGGAGAAACCAAATGAAAAATGCTTTTTCATTCTCTTTCAGGAAATGCATGTTATAGAAGACAAGCGAGGAAATGCTGAGCTGGGTCTTAGTCAGGTTAGTGGCAGTAGTTTTATTGTTTTTATTCAGGTAACCTCAGGAATATCTCTCAGGGCCTGGCATCTTAATCCCCCCGTTATTCATTTTTGAGAAAATGAGTTATAGCATAGCATTTTCCTCACCTTTTGCTAGGTAGCGGAGCTGAGTCATGAGATGATTATGGAAATGATGGCTCTGAGAGCTAGAATTGCTGATCTCCAAGGAGAAGCCCATGGCCTCAGAGACAAGATCAGAAAAGAGGTGCAAGAAGATTATGAAGCATTGGTGCAAAGCATATTTATGATCTGTCTGCAATTAAAAGTAGGTACAAAAGCAAGACTTAATTGGATACAGCCCATGACTTGGATTATATTGGAGATTACAAAGGCCATTTCCTTTGGATTCCTGTCCATAGATTTATATTCTAAGAAAGTTGTGTTTGTTATAATGGCATGGTTTCTTGTTTTGGTTTGTAAGTCTATGGATATACAAAGCCAGGACTTCAGGCTATAGCCAGCCTCCTCTGCAACATCTGCCTGCTGGTTGTGTGAATGTGATACCTAGAAGCAGTAGCCTCATGACCTTTTCAGCATTTCTTTGGTGCAGGTTTATTTTGTGGAGTAACCTGTTAGTTATTGCAACATATCTGGATATTTTTTCTTGAATGGAGCACTTCCATTGCAGAAGAATCACGTTATTTCAGAAATAAATCATTTTGTTGCTGGAAAAATAATTATTATAATTATATTTTAAGGAAATCTTATGGAATTGCTTGCCTTCCTTTAAATTTATGTACATTAAATGGCATGTGCAGTCTATGGCTTCTTGTTGTGGTTGCAGGGAAGGGTGGATGAATATCGTCTAAGCATGAGCCAACGCATGTTTGAGATCATCAGTGAGGTGAGAAGAGAAGGAGTGGACAAAATGATTGACTTGAAGAAAAAGTACGGCTCCACAAAAGATAACAAGACACTCAAAGAACATTTGGCTCAGGTAAGTTGATGTGTGAGAAATGTGGTTTTAAAGAATGTTTTCTAGAAAAGGAGTTCATAGGCCCAATTAAAATGCCCAGTGCCAAAAGAACTTGGAAGAGCATGTTCTTGCTGTTGTGGAGACCCTCCTCCCATAGGAACCACTTGGGGCACAAAGGCCCCAGGGTCAGGCCCTCATCAGGTGATCTTTCTGAGCTGAGATAAGGGCTGGCATCTGCAAGGAACAGAGTGAACACAGTAGAAGGATGTAGCTCATTGGTGGAATGTTGTTCACCTAGAGAATATGCCCTACAGGCAAACCGCCTGCTTTGCTTTAACTTTTTTCCTTTCCATAGGCCTTTAAACATAGGGCTCATTATAAGAGACGGCTTTAATGGATTTTCTTGTGTTACGGTTTATTTATTTATTACATTTGTAACCTGCCCTTCCTCCCAAAGGAACTGAGGGTAGTTAGCTGCTGCAGTGTAGCAGCGAAAGGAGTGAGCTAGCAGACAGGAAGTTCCTGGTTTGCATCTCGCCTCTGTCATGAACTTCAGGCCAGCTACTCTCTCTCACCCTCACTTCCTTTCCACCTGCAGTACTGGGAACAGTAACACTGACTCATTTAACATTTGCATAATGAGTTCAAGTGTTCATAGCACTTCAACATGTATTATATGCCTATTATCCTTATAGCGACTCTGTTAAGTATTACTATAATGTTTATTATAATGAGCCTCGCTCGGCAAATCCAAAGTTGGGTGGAATGTAGTTAAGCAGAGAAATAAATATGATTTGGCTTAGAACAAAAGTTGTTTCTTTCCTAGAAAGTTCTGAAGCTGAAATGCACCTGTGCTTAAAATGGGCATTCTTATGTTTTTGAAGTGTTCTGTTTTATGATTTTAAAATTAAATGTAATCCCATTCCAGTTAGGGTAGGTTGTAAATTTACATGTTGGTTCTTGCTCATCAAATCATTCATATGCACTCTTAAGAGTTTTGCTTGTATGAGACCACACAGAGTAGCCAAGATGCTAACTGTTCAGATTATTGACTTTCTAAAAAAGCAGATGTTCTGGAAGATAAATATAGTACAAATGGAGGAGAAAGCTCATATATCAGATTTGACCCAGAACTGGAGAAATAAAACCCATTATAGATACTTTGTGTGCATCATTGTGGGCACAGCTGTAATGCAAAAATAAAAATTTCAAAGCTTAGCTCCGTGTGATAATAAGCCAAGCCACTGGTTTGCATAACAGTCACAGAGTGAATACTTTGATTTCAGATATGGGTGTGTTATCATGGATGCACACTTTAGTGACTTGAGTTTCTGCTGAGTGTTCACTTTTCTTTTTTCACAAGTACAGACTCTGATGCTTATTCTTAAAAGTGCATAGTCAAGCAGCTGCTGGAGCTTACCTTGACTAGAATTATCTGCCTTCTTAGCAGGGGCACCTGCAAGCATTACAGGATGAAAACAACCAGTTGAGAGTTCTGCTATGCAAACTGAAGGCGATGAGCTGCTGGAAAGAAACAGTGCAAAAAGCACACTCATCTGCCACATTGAGAGAAATGGAGAAGGTGAGAGCCCCTACCCCCCCCCCCCAAAAAAGCCTGTTGAAATAAAGACATTCTACATAATTGAAATAAAGAGAATAATTTGTTCTTTAGTGAAAAGGGCCATTGGCTTCAGCCATGTATACTTGGTAATACCAGTGAGTGACTGCATGAAGAGTGAGATGCATCCTTTTCCTCAGAACAGTCTATTTAATTCTTAACCAATGAAACAACTGAACTGCATATTAGGGCCAGTTCAAGCAGACACTAATCAGTGAGCCGTCAGGACTGCATGCACACCTTACAAAACTGTGCATGATATCTAGGGGCAGATGAACCTGCCAATTTTTGTTTCTGTCCATTTCTTGTCACCCCTCCCATCTTTTTAAGTTCAGTTCTCCACATTTCAGATCAGTTTGCAACTTTCTTTTTTAAAAATATATTCATGAAAAGTACATTCTGGTGTGAATTTATCCTAACATACACACTTTTGAAAACCATTATTTCTAATGAAACACATTTTTGTACTTTGTTTTCACGAATGCATTTCATGTACCGTATTTTTCGTCCCATAGGACGCTCCGTCCCATAGGACGCACCTAGTTTTTTGGGGGGGAAATAAAGGAAAAAAATTTTCCCTTTATTTCCCCCCCCCCCAAACCAGGTCGGGGAAACCAAACCAGGTCGGGGAACAGCGGTATGGTGGCGCTCTGCCTCCCCGCTGTCCCCCGAGCTTGTGAGGCTGGCGCTGGGGAGAAGCCTCCAAACCAGGTCAGGGAACAGTGGGATGGTGGCACTGCGCCTCCCCGCCGTCCCCCGAGCTTGTGGGGCTGGCCGATGTCTGCCCGGCGCGCGGGGTGCTCTGCTTCAGCGCGCCCTGCACTCCATGCAGCAGGCTGCTATCCGCAGCCTAGGGAGCCCTGCAGGAACTCCCGCAGGCTCCCCAGGCTTGCTGATAGCTTCCTGAAGCCTGAAGAGCGAAAGGGGTCGGTGCGCACCGACCCCTCTCGCTCTCCAAGCTTCAGCGAAAGCCTGTATTCGCCCCATAGGACGCGCACAGATTTCCCCTTCATTTTTCGAGGGGAAAAAGTGCGTCCTATAGGGCGAAAAATACGGTACACCCAATATACCCATTTTTGAACATATTTGTTTGGTTGGAGAATTCAGAGAAATGCAAATTGAAACAATGGCTGTGTTTGGGTTCCACATATGTTTGTCAGTTATGTATGGAGGTATGATGAATGTGTGAACAAGAACTCAGAAAGTCCGCCTGCTTTTCTCTGCCAGTTTAACTGTAATAGAATAGTTACGAGATCAGCAGCTCTGGCTTTCATTCTTCTCCTTTGATGCGTGATGTGCTCACATGATTGTCTCACTTCACAGATCTTGATTTATCATACCACTGCAAAAGTTTCCAAAAATAACCATGCCATCTGGTGTTGAGCCTGATTGTAGCCACATAATGCAAAATCAGAAGCTTGACAAGTGCTGTAGTTGTAAGATGCCACTTCAATGCATGTCTGTGAAATGCCTCTTGCCACCTATAAATGACTACATGCATCAACCCTTTCCCACAAAGAATGTGGTGGGGATTACTTACGCCAACCTGGCACTGTATATGATTATTTTACAATACCCATCAGAAAGATTGCGACTGCTCAAACAAATTTTATTGTATTGCAAAAACACCATGAAATTAAAAGAAGTAGGGTTTCTTTTTCTACATGTTAAAGGGCACAAGCTCAAATACTTAAATATTTTGCATAACACTTCTCCCTAAGTAACCCAGTGTAGGGTGTTTGTTTGTTTGTTTTGGGGAGAGGGTTTTGTGGCTTGATTCTCTGCTTCACATCCTACTGAACCCTTTGCATTCACAGGAGGCCATTCAAAACAAAAAAGAGTATCTGAAATCCAAGCTGATGGCAGAACAAGAAGCGATTATATTTCAGCAGCAGCTGCGGGCTGCAAGGAAAGCTTTGGCAGAGTCTCAGACTGAGAATAAAAGGCTGAAGCAACAGCTAGACAAACAGGTATGTAACCAAACTCTGCTGTAATACTGTCTATACAGCAAATCAAATTACTTTCTCTCACTCACATTGACTTCAGTGCTGAAGCTACGAGAGGGGCAATGAGAGATAGTCTTGGGGTATAATGTTCTGCACCCCTCCATGGAAGACTTTAGGTGTATATAGGTGTAAAATAAACCATATATCTTAAAATGCTACTGCCTTCACTGTGTCTGACCCCCAATGAAAACATGAGCCTGGGTGAGCGCCTGGAACCCCTGGAATCTTGCTACTGCTTGGCAGAGAGTGGGGGTGGCACTGAACCTTTGTAATATTACTTATGTAGGAAGTGAAATGTGCACTATGTGATGTGTCTGTCCACACCACAATTTAAGATTCCAGAGATGGATGTAATTTAGAAATTAAAACCCTATAAGTGAATAACAGTGGCTTAGAGAGGATTTGCCTAGCAGCTCCTTGTAGCTCCTTGTCATCATAACACACATTGTAGTTCTTATTCTGCAGAATTTCTGGTTTAAATCTTTCCTACATTGGACACTGTTTTAAACCAGAAATTCTGCAGAATAAGAACACCTTCACTGCCAATAAATATTATTTGAAATAAAATGGTCTTCATCTGCCTTCTAAATGCCAAGAATGATATCCAAATACTGGAAGACATACTTGAAATAGACCTACTGAAATCAACGGGTCTACTCTGAGTATGATAGCATTGGATATCACCCATGTTCCTCTCCTCCTGTGTTTTACAAATCTCATTGGTATTTTATGCAAAGGGACACATGCTACAGGAAGTAGAACACAGGATGAACCAAGAAGTTCACAGAAAGCAGCAACTAGATCTAATTAAGACAGCAAGCTTGGAAAAAATGCTGGAAAGCCTTGGAGAGAGAGAACTGAAATTGCAGTGTCTAACAGAAGAAACTGAAAGATCATCCAAGATAAGGCAGCTTCAGGGGGAAAAGGTTAAAAAAGAAATCCAACAGGTAAGTTTATAATACATACTTTCAGTAGCTAATGTGCCAGTGGTTATATGTTCCAAGATGGGGGCTTAATATTGCAAACAGGTCATTGACAGTGGGCGATTTTTATACTTATCCACACCAAACCATCCCGCCCCCATCCCAAAAGGGTAAATCAAGGTTTAATGGTGGAAAAATGCAGACAGGCAACTAGACACCAATGATGTTGTGCAGACTGGGTGAAAAACCTGTATGCATGATCAGTGCTCATCCCACAATTAATACCCAAAGTTTCATAAATATTGCTTAACCAAGCAGCATCTGATATAATCATGCAGGTTCATTCAAAGTTTGCAACTTCCAATTCCTTCCTTCTCTTATGTATTTCATTTTCATAAATGGAAAACAAAGATACATAGATTTGGAACTGTAATGTTCACTTAGAAAAATTTAGTATCTTTTTAGGTAAGAAGTCAGCTGTCCCAGGAACGCAGTTTAAAACTGGATGCTTTCCAGAGGATAAAAGAGCTGCAACATCAGCTGTATGACTCAGAAGTTGCAACATCCCAGAGAAATTCTGCAGGTATGAATGAATGTAGGTTGAATGATAGCTGGTTGCAAGAATATTGGTGTTCAATAGATTGTTTATTTCATGCCCTGCTGTATTTTGAAAATGTATTATACTTTGCTTGTTAAACAGTTAACAGTAAATGTGCTGGTTAATAGGTTATTAAATGTGAACCAAAGATGCAGACCTTGGACTTAGTTAGGTCACCACGCCCTCTCTCATATACCAGGAATAGATCAGCACAGACAGAGACTTCTGAGTACAGCCTCCGTTACAATCCTAGGCTGTGGTGTGGGAAGCAGGTGCCTACACTAAGCTGTTGCCAGATTTGCATGAGAAGAAATACATGCACCCAGTGTGGCCTTGTAACTCCTATAAAGCCTCTCATGGGGGGCAGGAAAGGCCTGGGAAGTGCAGTGGGAGTTGGAAACAGCCCAAACTCAGGCTGAGGCAGCTTGTGCGGGAAGATTTCTCAGGGTGTGTGCACACCTGGGTGACCCATGAAGCTCCGTAAAGCCCAGTATTGTCTACTTTGTCTTACAGCAGCTCTCCACAATCTTAGGCAGAGGGCCATTCATATTACCTGGCTGCTTCTTGTAAAGGAAGACCTCACGGGGGGATCTTCTGCATGCAGAGCTCATGCCCCCTCCCCTCAGTAAGTTAGGGAGTGGACTTTCACTTGCGCAAGTCTGGATACAACCCAATGAGGGCAGAGGTCCTAGATCCCGTCTCACACTTCAGCTAACAGCCGCTTTGAGCTAGGAGTTTCTCATTACGCTAAGCTGCTTAGTGTTAGTGTCAAGCCTGTACGGGAGGCAGCAGTACCAAGTTCTTTGGCAGGTTTGTAGCAATGAAGCAGCTACTTCTTGTCCTGTCAGTATATTATTGCAAGATTGCAATAAATGTGGATGGTGGTATGAGCACGTAAGGATGGGATAAATTAATTTCTCAGCCAGTTTGACTATTCACTTAACCACCCCAGCTGTCATATTACATTGTGTTTGATAACTGAGCCAAAGCTCCAAGTAGATCCAATTTGTTAATCTATTTAAGAGATGCTAAACTGAATTTGAAAGCTGATCAGATTACTGCTCCCCACCTCTAAACCTTAAGCAATAGCATTAAATGAATACTTTTTTGAACAGGCACGCAACTGAGACAAAGTATATTGCTAATGTGATACAATAGTAGTGACTGACCATTGTTTCATGTGAACGTCTTGTTGCATTGTAGAGAGTAGCAGTTTAAGGTGCTATCTTTCCAAAGAAATGTCCATTTTACTAAATCAATCCAGGAAGCAAAGTGTTTACATGACTGTATATTGCACAGTATTGATTTCTGGAACAAATGTATGCCTACAACTCACGGCATTGCCATCTTAATTTGCAAAGTTTGTAGAAATGAATTAAAATTATTTTCCTACTGGTGAACCCTCTATTGTACAATTAGTTCACTTACACTAGTTAATGTTCAAATCCCTTTTGCCTGACATAGACAATTCAGTTATCAGCACACTCAGCTGCTGAAGTGGATGCAAAAAATTCATATTAATTTACTCTTACTTTTCAAAATAGTACAATTAAAGGAAACACCTGTATCTCCTAACATTTTAGTGTGAGGGATACACAGCACAAATCTTGGCAATTTAAACAGCACTAGATTCAATCAGTGCTGGGATCACAAACATGTCTTGCTGTCTGTACAGCCCAATACATTTACCAGAAGAGAAGTGCATTGTGACTCAGAAAGCAAGGGCATTTGGCCATGTCTTCTACCTTTAATTGTTTCAAAGGTGTCTTATCTTACTATATAATAAAATTGTGGAGTGTTGCCACTGTTTCAGAGACCACAGAGAATGTGGTCTGACCCCCAGATGATGCTACACCATGACTGTATTGGCTTGGAAGTGTGGGGGGGGCTGGTGGTCTCAGTGGTGGGCCACCATGGGCATAGAAAAGGCAGGGAAACTGGCTGTATAGCCTTAGCTTTCACCTCATAGTGGTGTTGGTGCTTGTCTTGAGATGCCATACTATATACATAAAAACATAAAGTAGGTAGCCCAAGCCAACTGTTTAATGGAGGGAAGTGCTTCAGAAAACTGCTCTCTGAAGTGTCTCCCCACCCCGTTTAAATGGTGATAGGGCTTGGATCAAGCTGTGAGAGGACAGGCAAAGGTGTAAAGGGAAGAGGGTTGCCAAGTGGAGCTAGCAAGGGCAGTTTAAATGAATATGTACATGTTTCATTTTGGGCAAAGGAAACCAACAGACATTATAAAAATACTCTAACAGACGTCGTTAACTTTTAAAACTTTGTGCTTTGTAGGGCTTCTTCTCACAGATTATCTAACTCATGTCCTTGGCTTTCACAGCTGTAAGAAGAAAGTCTGCTAATACTTCACACAGTGCCAGCAGTATAAATCGCTCACTTTCAGGTAAAAAGGAATTGTACTACTAGCATCAGCTGTTTTACGATGCTTTCTTCTACTTCTTTCTGTAAATTTCATCCGAAGTTCCCAGGGCAGTTCACAATATAATAATGCAAACAAAAATACCTCCGCCCAACATTATTTCTTAGAAAGCCTCTCTCTCAACTCACCTTAAGTCCACATTTCCTTAAGCTAGTCCTTTTCAGTGTCAACCTAGACATAAAGTTAACGATGGAAGATGTGTACTTTTCTGGTTTCGAAATAGCAGCCATGAGTCTCTGGGCCCATGCAGGGTGGTGAGGGAGAGTTTGACGTCCTCTTCCACTGTGGAAGTCCTGCGACATGAATTGTTTCTCAGAAGTCTTTGCATTTAAAGGGAGACATCCATTCCGGGCAAATGGAAGACATCCTTGAAATGCAAATAGCAGCTTCAGAGTCTTTGGGGTGGTGTGCACAGTGGCGGAGAGAAAACGTTCCATTTCCCATTGCTCTGATCCTGAGGCTCATCAAGCTTCCATGTAGCAGCTTCTCACAAAAGAAATGAGCTCCCATTGCCCTAAGATAGTATACCATGTCCTAATTTGAAAACGGTTTCTTTAAAAATTGATACACAGAAGCCTATTGCTAATAAACACTACTACTAGATAAACCGTGATTGTTATCAGACCATTTATTGGGACTGCATCAAAGATCATTCACATTTTAACTGTTAACCATTGACTGTGAGAATATTGTAGAAAAATGGAAATCTCTCCTTTACAAAACAATAGTGTCAACAGCATGTATTACCAAGGAATACAGTGTCAGCAGTGTTTGCACACAAAAGCATGTTCTAGAACAGTTCCACAAAGGCAGCACTTAAATGACATTATTTAACATTATGTTCCAGGCTCTGCTTCATGGAGCCAGAATACAGGCATTTCAACATTCACGTTAACCAAGGACTTCAGGCAGCAGCTTTTGGTTGCTGACTCTGTGGGTAGCAGCAATATAAAACCAGAAAAGATTCAGAGGCCCAAAACGGTGAGTAGCGAAGTATTTGGGGAGCAATGTTAGTATGAATCTCTAATGCAAGACAGTGACAATTGGGTTGTAGAGACGTTAAGCAAGCTATACTGAGGACTTGCTTTATAAAACAGTGATATTAGATTAACTCTTCATTCATGCTTCTCAGGGAATTCCTCCTGTACAATAAACTTTTGGCCCACAGCAGTTAAGCAATCTACCCCCCCCCCCCAATGAATGAAATTTTGACTATTCAAGGTGAAACAGATGAGAATTACAACAGTTTTTATTTATATTTAAAGGTACCTTGTGGGTGGAGAAATAGCGTGATAGATGTTCTCTTGCCAGCTCTTACAGAAAACTCTTCTATGTCACCTGTGCAGTTTTGTGGACAGAAGACATCTGAAAAATAAGCTTCTACTGCTTCTTTGAAGAGTTACTTGTTGGTTTGATTCCACGATAAAGTACAAAGCAGTCTTGCTTGAGAACTCTGGTCATGCTCAAAAATGGGATGTTTTAATTTGCTTATAGTTATCCATAACTTTTAATAAGCCACTTTCCCACCAGATTTTCTAGTGCCAAAAATCTGATGACGTGAGGTTATTAACTGGTGAAGCAGATTCAGGACAGGCAACTGAAAGCCTTTATTCAAACAAATATATAAGGAATGCACTATCACAATATGTGTTTATGGCAACAAGCTTATTTGGCTGGCCATGGTGCATTTGCATGACTTTGACCAAATTCTGCAAAGCAATTATGTAGCTGATTTGTGTTTTTATAAAATTATTTCATAGTATGACAAGCTACATCTGTATACTTTCAATTTTATTTTTGTCTTTGACAAAGAGCTTTAAATGAGAGATCTGCTGGATTACCCAACAATCCTCACCACTTGAAATTTACTTTGGCAAATGGAGAGGCCATGTACAACACACATTGCTTTTTATGGCCCAGAACAAGCTGGATTTTTTGGGGAGGAGAAAAAGATAGGCAGACGAACAGAAACAGTTTAATAAATGATTTATTTTGGTTTTGTGATTAATTATTTTGCATTTTCTTCCAATGAAGACAACACACATATGCAGTACAGTAATGTCTATAACATTCCATTCTAGATGCAACATACTTGCAGGTGTTAAATTTTAGGGAAAATCTGTATTAAGAGCTTGGAAGTCACAATTCACTGCCTTAAAAGTCTATTTCACAGACAGGGGTGGTTAAAAAAAACCAAAACCCTATGTATATACTCCAAAAAGCAGACAGAAGCTGTGAAAATCTATTAGTTTACCTAATTTGTACGTAGTCAGGTTAATGTCACTACCAGAAAAACAACAACTGTCACTGATCTAGCTATAGAAGGTAAGAGGGCTCACCCTCACAGTCTTAGCCAAGGTTTGGTAAGTTAGTGATAAAGCTTGGGTCTAGAAAATCAAATATGCCACTGCATGAAGATATTAGAAATGTCTTAAAGACCTGGTACACGCCTATACCCCAACCAAGTAGAAAATGCAGACTTCCTGAAGAGTAGCAGTGAGACCTGAATTTCCTAAAGTCATTGGAAAAGAACAATTGCTGGCAATGGGGCAAGACTAGTGACTAAAATTCCTCTCCCCACATTCCTTCAACAGACATGTAGCTGACAGTAATAAAATTTAAGGCACTTGAAAGATTCATAATGTTAACATCAGCACAGAATACATGACTATTTAGTGGTGTTTTAAACAGCACTTACTCTTGGCTCAGTAATAAAATTGGCTCAAATTTCAATTCTGGAACTGCAAGTTGCACTGTTAGTCTTGAAATCTTCTGCTACAAGTTTACAAGACGTAGCCATTCAAGAGCCAGTAAGGAAGCAACACTAACTAGAAATAATTTCTAAGTCTCACCACTAAGCATAAGCTTATTACAGCTTTAGAGTGCAAAGAGGCTTTTTTTAAACTGTCACTGTTTAGAAGTGCTTTAATTATGCTTAAGGTTTAGAATATATTCTAAGATTTTATCTAAATTTATGAAGCTAAAAGAGATGGGGAATTATGTTAAACAATGGACTATACAGCTTAAGGCCATTAAATACCACCTACTACAGATGTGTTGCTTGCTGAAAATTGGCTGATCAATTTACCATTTCATACACCTGAGCTGATTGTCTTTTAGGAGTGCAGTTGCCTGAAAGTTACAGTACTGTTTGCTAAGTATTATTATGAATAAACTTTCTATGCAACATTATTGAAGTGAATACTATTAGCTACAAGGGCTAGAGAAGTTGAGCAATTAAAATGCAGTAAAATTTAGCAATAAGCCATAAACCCAGACTTATCATCAGCAGCTTAAAATCAAGCAAGCAATAGAGCTAATCCAAAAGCATCACTTAATGTTGCATTTCTGGCATTTAAACTATGCTTGCCATATAACCTGCAAAACAAGAATTAGCAGTCTATTTTGACAATTATCAAAAACTTACATAGCTCCAAGTGCTCGGGCTGCCTACTTCCACCATGACTATCTGTGTTTTATGAAACTTAAGGAAGGAAACTGCATTGATATAAGAGCAAATATTCTCTCAAATCCATACAGAATTATGGTAGGTTTGCAATCACAAAATGTGTCTACTGAAAGTACTGCTCTGAAATGTAAAGCATGTCAATAGAACTTTCCAAGGCAAGTGTTTTGAAGGCTAGAGACACATGGCTTTAGGAACAGTATATGAAGATTGCTTACACTGTTTTCTTTCCACATCTGTCTTCACAAAAACTTATATAAAGACAAGTATATATAAATAATGCCCAAGTTCATGTGTCTACTAGAATGAAATTGCTGCAAGTGGAATGACATTCACTGTACCTCAAACAAATAAAATGGCACAAACGTTTCAGTTTGCAACCTACTCATTAAGGCACTGGTCTTTCTTCCTTATGCACCAAGGAACTAGCATTCTTTGACTATCATTCTTCCTATGGCTGCTTACGCTTACATTAGAAAACAATTATCCTTCTGACACCAAGTATAGAAAAATATGGGCTTCCATAATCCTTAAGAAAAAAAACATAGTTCTAGAAATTTGCCCCAATCTCCTAGCAGTACACTATAAAAAGCCAGTTTTCACACACATAGTGTTTTATGCCAAGTCACCAGGAATTCACATTTTAATAGTAATAATAATAATTATAATAATAATGTAGGGGGCACTGCATTTAAGGCTAACTTATCAATTGCAATCATAAAGTTATATATCAAGAACACTGCTGCCAATGAATATAGTTACTATTAAAGTCTACATTTGGCATGTCAGATAAAAGAAACGGTTTCACAGCAGCAGCCACTAAAGAAATTTCAGACAGCCAATGAGGATTCATGCACAATATTGCAAGTATTCTTGCAGAGCAAAACATGATTCTTACAACCTTCTTCCAAGCATGTTGCAGAAACATTTTCTTTTTTTAAAAAAGTCTTGAAGAATAAGAGTATTTTGAATTGCTGTCTTCTATAAGGAATAAAGATATTTTGGTGCAGCTAACCACAAATGTTGACCTTGTAAAGTCCACTTAAAAGCAACGTATTCTAGAGGGTATGATAGTTTTGTTCTTTGGACTTGCAAAATTTGTAGAGAAAGAATATTACTGCTTGCAGTCCCAGCACTAGGACGATACCACCAATGAAACTGGCAGCATCAAAGGTGGATTTGTGTGGAGATGGTTTGGAAGTTGGTTGGGGAGAAGCTGAGCCTGTCAAATGAAAGAAGTAGAGTTACTAGTGATAAGCTGTGCAAATTTAGAAAGCTATTCTTTAATGCATGGATCACCACCGAGCACCAGGTTGGTGGCCCTAATGTCTTGGATTCCTACCACTTGGATCCCCCCCACCAAAAATAATAATATTTTTGATTATTATTTTTAAACAAGAGGCACTTCCTTCACCAACGGAGGGGTTTTTCTGAATATGTCTACATTCATGCACAAGTATGCTTTGAGTGCACATGATTGAGAGCTGTATGTATGTGCATGCGAGAGAGATGCTAATGTCTCTGTGACATGACTGATTTTAATCTTGCTATAAATCAAATATTACCTGGTGTAGAAGTTGTGTTGCTAGCAGCAGGTGTAACTATTGTACTATTAGAAGTAGTAGGTCTGGCAGAAGTAGGTTTGGCTGGTGCAGTTGCGTTATGTGTAGGACCTGTTTCAAAGAAAATACCACATCTTGGAACCAGCTTTAAATAACTATTTTAATCTTACAAGTTGAGCAAATGATTGCAGAACAAAGGCACTGTTAGATGCATTTCACAGTAATAATTATCAATGGAAAATATTTATGCATGGATAGAAAAATTGGTAGTAGTTTTAAAAAGTCATTTCCTCCATTTTGAAGGCATTTTTTTTTCAAATTATGAGATTATCTGAAATCTATACAATATAATTCAAGAATCAAAAATTAAACACATTAGGGAAAACATTACTGACGTTATGTAAAAAGCTAGGTCCCCAACAAAGTGGACAATTAACAAAACCAGACAAGTAGAAATCATTTTAGCACAGATCCCAGGAACCTCCTGCCATATATACAATAATGTCGATTCTTGACATTCCAGAAGAGAATGAAAGAAACATGGAAGTATGCATGTAGAGGAAGTGTACATGTAGTCACTCCCCTGTGCATTCAAATTTTTTCTTGGCTAATTCTACTACATGCTCTTCACTAACATGAATTCTCAATACACGTTTTTCTCCCATCAATAAATTGTATCATCTACCTTAGTGATCAAAGACAATTCAGTAAAGGACAGGAAATTATCAGTATTCTGGCCTGCAACTCATAGTACTGGTAGGAGCATCTCCATCCCCATCGTTCTACCCAGACACTGAGGTCCAGCGCCGAGGGCCTTCTGGCGGTTCCCTCGCTGTGAGAAGCCAAGTTACAGGGAACCAGGCAGAGGGTCTCCTCAGTAGTGGCACCCACCCTCCCAACAGATGTCAAAGAGAACAATAACTACCAGACATCTAAAGGCAGCCCTGTTTAAGGATGCTTTTAATGTTTGATGCATTACTGTATTTTAATATTGTGTTGGAAGCCGCCCAGAGTGGCTGGGGAAACCCAGCCAGATGGGTGGGGTATAAATAATATATTACTACTACTACTACTACTACTACTACTACTACTACTACTTGCCTGTCCTTTATAGTGATTAAGCCATTTCAAGAAACTGGATAAAACCACGAGCTCTCATTTCTGATTTTCCCAAAGTAATCCTGGAAACCTTATTACAGGTGAAACCTTTATACTTGTTTACTTATTAATGCACAAAAGTTTGTTACCTGGGGTAGAAGTGTTGGCTGTGGTAGGTGCAACTGTGGTAGGCTTAGGAGGAACTAAAAAAAACAAAAATATGAAGCAGAAAACAGAATATTTAAACACTGAGGCTACAATCTTAACCCCATTTACATGTGAAGAAGCTCCATTGAATTCAATAGCTCTTAATTCCAAGGAGATGTGGATTATGCTATAAGAGGTACTAATGTTATCAATAGCCACCTCTGTTCCCAAGATACATCCGAGGCTGTGATGGAGAACAGATCATACAATTACAATTGTAACTGGCCCCAAACGTTGACTTTCGCCCTTCAGCTTACATCTTTACTGTGGTGAATTCTTCTGAGATTAGGTACCCACCCATAAATTATTTTCTGCACATACTACTGCACAATCACATGCAGGTGGATTCAGGTAGGTAGCCGTGTTGGTCTGACACAGTCGGTCTGACACAGTCTGTCTGTCTGTCTCCCTACCTTTCTATATTGTCCAGTAGCACCTTAGAGACCAACTAAGTTTGTTCTTGGTATAAGCTTTCGTGTGCATGCACTCATTAAGGCACTCATTAAGAGTGCCTTAAGAGAGCCAGGCACTCATTAAGAATTCACACTAACAGTACAATAATATACATGTCTACTTCACAATTAAGTCTCTTTGTGTATAATGGGCCTTACTACAACCTAGGCTTTGGTTTATGAATGGCATCGAGTGGGGAAAGGGTTTTGTGTCTTGAACTACTGTATCTCCATGATCAGGACCAGCAGAACATCACTGACTTCCCCTGGTAAACATGAAGCGGGACGCTGGGAAGAAACAATGACTGTGCCTTGTCAACCACAGCATTCTCTCAATATTTAAAGTGTGCCCGCTGGTCTTAAAAACAGCTGCTCTACCTACACGTGGCATCCTACTATGGTGGGGCAAATATTAAAAAAATAGATGTTTCACTAGCAAATTAACATCCCTCAGATACAGCCCATCCTAAAAAACAAACAAAGCACCAAGCCTATACCTAAAGTGATGCAATTATTCACTTTCTTCTTATTTCAAGAAGCATTTTCATCGTGGCTCAGTTAAAAGGTCCTCAACTGTGGTACAGTAAGAGCACATGCTTTGCATGCAAAAGGTCCCTTTTGAATCCCTAGCACCTTCAGTTAAAGCTGTAAAAGAATACTTTCTGAAACCCTAAGAGTCACAGCCAGTCAGTGAACAATCCTGAGCTAGATAGATCAATGGTATGACTCAATAAAAGGGAGGATCCTATGTTTCCAAACTCCTCCTATTTGGATAGACACACGACATCAATTTGCTATTGCACACTCACCACTACCTGAAGCAGTGGACAGCCATGTTATCCATGAGAATCTACTTGTAGTGAAATGAAAGAGAAAGGGTGAACTACTACAGCACTTACTGTTTGACAGCTGTCCAATTCTTGCAATAGACAAGAGCTGATCAATATTGTTGGTGGCATGCAATAGTTACTCCTGTCTGAAGATATTCGCATACAACCTAAGTGAAATTACACTTCCCCAACTGTTTTACCATAGGGACAGAAAATAGCTTCTGCTATCCGTTCAAGTGCTAATTATTCAATACTGGTGGGGGAATAATTAAATAAAAGGTAATTTGCCAGATTACATCCAAGAAACCCATGTTTAAAAACCTCTACACCTCCTATCCTGCTCTTCCACTGGACCTTTTACCTAACTTCTTCCATTGTCCCAGGTGTGGCAGATCTGTGCAGCAGCAATAATAACCTCTCCTGTGGCCTTGGGTCAGGGATCATCAACATTTATGGGGCAGTGGGCACACTGAGAAACCCATGAGTCCCACACACGTATGTTCCACCAGCAATACAGCTTGAAAAAAGTGTTTCAGCTTCCATCCCCGCCCCACCTAATTTAGGAGTGGGGAAACAGATCTTCCTGGAATGTGCAGCTAGAGGGGGAAAGCTTTAAGTTCCTTCCCCAGCAACATTCTCCAGGATGATCATCCACATATACTCCCACAATAATGAGGCTTGAGAAAAGCTTTCTATTAAGACCAAATTTTGAAATCTAATTATGGTGGGGGGGGTAATATACCCAATAGAAGAGGAAATGGGGATGCTGTGGAAGTCAATGAAGGTTTCATTGGATGTATGTGCGCCTGCAAGTGCTGCACTGGCAACTCCAGCTTTGGAGACTTTAACATTCCCAACTGCATGGATCCTAAACAACGAATTGATTTTACATCACAAGTGTAGTAGTAAATATTTACCTGAACAAGTTTCATTTCTAAAAGTAGACGTACAGTTATCACTTTCCGTTGCATTTGTACAGTAGGACAAAGAACCTTACAGAAAAAGAAGATTGAGGAAGAATTCTCAGTTTAGTTTTCCAAGAGTGAAACATTCAATGCAATATTTTGGCTACAAGTTTCCATTAGAAACATTTATCTTCATTGTCCTAGAAAAGCTATACAGCTGCTAAATTAGCTTCACTTGTGGTGCTTGTGACATTGCCATTTAGGTATTATCTACTCCTAGGTACTATCTACTCCTTGGTTTAGCAGAGGTGTTATTTTAGCACAGAGCAGTTCACCAACCAATATACTGAGAGTTCCAGAACTCTGGAAAATTAAGAAGTGTCACAAAGATTCTTCTTTATGTTTGTCCCTTAACCTCTGAAAAGCTCCACAATACAAGTCTGCGCCTGGTCAAAAATTCTATACATAAGGGCATTGGTTTCACTAAACACATGTAGGTAAAATACACATGTCTGTATACACAGTGGAACTTATTTTCGTGAGCTACGGTGTAAAGTTAGTGCGCTGCTACTTGGAAAACTTGGGGGGAACCCTGTTTACTTACACACAACCCCATGCATATATATAACAGAGCCTATAAGTAACCAAATGTTTCAAGACCTTAGATTTTCACAGGCCGGCGAGAGGTGGACCTACTAGTCAAACCTCAGTTGTCAAACGTAATCTGTTCCGGAAGCCTGTTCAGCTTCTGAAACGTTCGACAACAGAGGCACAGCTTCTGATTGGTTGCAATAGCTTCCTGCACTCAAGTGGAAGCCGCGTTGGACGTTCAGTTTCCAAAAAATGTTCGAAAACCAGAGTATTTACTTCCAGGTTTTCGGCATTCGGGAGCGAAAACATTCGCAAACAAGGCCGTTTGGGAACTGAGGTTTGACTGTATTTCACCAAGCAGAGTACACACACCAAAGAAAAACCAGAAGCTGAGAAATGAGCTGGTCAGTATGTAAAATTCAAAAGAAATTTATCATGCTCCTGCTTCTTGGTCCTCATTGACCCCTTAGGGCAGAGGTCAGCAAACTTTTTTCACAGGGAGCCGGTCCACTGTCCCTCAGACCTTGTGGGGGGCTGGACTATATTTTATGGGGGGGGGGAAATCCCCCCGACTCTCCCCTCCCTTCTCCACAGCACCAGACGAGCCCTGGTGGCCGCTTACCTGCGCCCTGCAAGCGGCAGAAGCTGGCAGCAGCGGAGAGACAATGAGTGGCGTGAAAGGGCTGGCTCCGGAGAGGAGCTGCTTAAAATGGCGCTCAGCCAACCGCGGCTCAACAAAGCCCAGCCCCCTTCCTCTAGGCAGGAGAAGACCAGGAGGAGGGAGGGAGGAAGTGCCGCCGCGGTGTGGGGGGGGGGGGAGAAATGTCGCAGCCCGAACAATCAGAATCCCCACGCCGATTCCCAGACCGCCCGCGAGCCGGATCCAGTAGGCAATTGGACTGGATCCGGCCCTTAAAGTTTGCCGACCCATGCCTTAGGGTTATAAGGTTCTGTGGGGCAGCAGTAGTAAAAGCCCCAATTGACAAAACCTTCCATGCAACTTTAAACAAACAGCAGCTGCCAGGTTCATGTTTCAAGACCCAGCAGCCCTGTGCCTCCTCAACTCCCTGATATTTCAGCCTCAAACCCTCCTACTTTCCCCCACCTCATTTTTTCAACACCCATGGCTTTCTCTGGTTGCAGTTTTTTACTCCACTGTGTACTTTGCCCCACTTCCAATAGCGAGCCTGTCGCTTGCTCAGAAAATTTCCCTTCCCCAAATAAAAAGCCTGAACCCCAGCTTACAGCCCAAAGGACAAACTACACAGATATGCATCTTTTTCCTCAACTGAAGACAGCCTCTGAGTGTGGCAGTGTCAACAGAGGGTGGGCTTATTAGCATGCAGTTTGGCTCAAAAATGATAAGTCCAGGTTTCACACCTCAATAAGTGCCAACCACTATTAAGCCAGAAAAAGCAAACATACTTAACTACTCTTAGGTATTACAATTCAAAATAATTCCATTTACCGTTGCAAAAAATCCAGGTGCAGTTTATTCCAGATTTGTCAGTACTACTAATGCAGGAACTACAGTTGGTATGTTTTTCACAGCCAGCTAAAAAGGAAGAATGCATTTTTAAACAGTTGATAGATCACAATTTCAAAAGGTAAATGAACATTATGAACAAATTATGAACATTCTATGGCACCCCTGAGGTATAGAAGGGTGTTAAATGTGAATAAACAAAAGCAAGCACTATAAAGTAATTGTTTTTTTATTTTCAAATGAAAAAATTAACATAGGAAATTAACACCTGTAACCAAGGAGAAAGGATCCTAGACATTCATTTCTGGTTACTTCTAGTTGAGTTAGTTTTACAGTGTGGACAACACAAATATTCATTCAGTTTTTATGTAAACTTCCTGTCTTCCTTTACCATTTCTTCATTGCTGAACAGCCCAACTACCTCCATGGCTCCTTCTTATTTGTGTAAACAAATGTTTGTTACTTGTCTTAATGTTTTTAGCAATATGCTTCCCACATTTTTTGTTTGTTTAATTTACTGTATTTTAGCTTACCAAGTCTGTAATGTCCATCATTAATACAAACTGTAACTAATGTTTGTTCTTGGCTTACTGCTTATGGTTTGTCTAAGGGAGACAAACCATGAGTGATTTTGAATGTGGCAGTAAGTCAGGGTGGGTGGGACCCTCCAGACATTATCCCCCATCAGCCCCAGCTTGCGTGGCAAATGGTCAGATTGATGGGAGGTGTACACTGGCAACATCTGTAGGGCAACGTGATTCACAATTAGAGCTGCATGACATAGAAAATGATCGTTTATTGAATAATTATTTGAGGATGACCTAACTTTATAGAAAGGCTAGCTTTTTGGCTCCTATGTGTTGGTGGTGGTAGTCTGCAACAGCACCAATAAACGGAGGCTACTTCTGGCCTCACTACCTCTTGCTTGCAAGTGTCCTTTGTCAAATGGAGCAGTTCCGAGATGCTATATTATAGACCTTTCACAATGACAGTGATGCTAAGTCCTAAATTCCAAAGATTGTTATGCATGCTGTATTAGACCTATTATTTTAGCTTATCGGTGCCTAAAATACTACACTCTGCCATTTGTACCAGACCTGAAATTGCTTTCCTCTTTGAGATTTTTATGGAAAGCAATTCATAAAAGAAATAATAACACAAACTGCCTTCAGGCCTTTGCACATAGCTACAAATAGGTTTCAGTCACTGTGTGTAGGCACAGAAAGGAGCCCTGGTCAATGCTGACTGCCCTGGTAGCTATGTCTTACAAATCTTCCCTCCTACTTCCTAGGAATAGGCTTGGTCAGCTTCGCTTTAATTCCATTAAGCACATATATTGAAATGAGTTTGTGTGCCATGTTCGGGAAACAATTCTAGTTTTAATTTCATACTCCAATTGAAGCCCCACCAGTGCCAAGGAATATGTAAACTACTGCAATGAGATATCTGCTTTGAGAATTAAAGTATGACCTTTCCCCTCTTCTGAAAACTATTGCTAGTGGGCAAGGAAGGAGCTCGTAGAGCACTGCATATAATCAACTATTTGAAGTTTTCCACTCCTGTTTTATGAGGAGAGCATTAACCTGCAAGCTAACACGCCAAATATGAAGTATCCTAAAATGTTATCTAGCTCAAAATAAGCAACTGGTCGTTTAAGATGAAATTCGTAGGAATAACTTCTTTGAATGCCCAAAGTAGATATTAGTAAATAAAACTATTTCATTCCTCCATTTCCACTTTATTTTCTCATTTGGTTAAATCAAAACAGGCTGAATGATACTAGCACCAGCAACATCCACTTTCAACTGATAAAACATTCTACAGAATTTGAAATGTGCTTGTGGGAGGGAGTTATTGGTTTGTTTTTATTATGTATTTTGTGTTCTCATTTTGTATTTTTATGTTGTGAACCCCCCTATGACCTTCTGATGAAGGGCAGTATACAAATTTAATAGATAATAATGTGGGTTTATCTGTTAGAAGTATGCACAACATATCTAGCATCAGTTCAGCCAACTCAGCTCTATGTCCTTCAGGTCCATTCTAGTCAAACCGTTTTCAATGGGTTTTAAAAGATGGGCTTGCATGCTATGTGATGTGTGAATAAGTGAGCAGAAATGAATGTCAACAATTCAGAAAACTCCAGTGAGGTAATTTATTTTTGGGGAGAAAAAATCTAGACTCATCCTGTACAGGGAGCTGACAGGGAGGATAGGGCCTCTATGAGGCAGGTCAGAATGGCTTTTCTCAGGGTGGGAGGTGGGAGAATTCAACTCTCTGTGTGTGTGAAGGTTAAGATAAAATGGTGACCAAGGGCTACATAGATATATTTATAATTTTGTGTTTTATGAAGATTATCTTACTTTAATTTTGTCTTTAGTTTCTTTCTGTTTGATACATTCTTTCATTTTTCTCTTTACTTTAGTTTGGAATTTTATGGTATATTAGGTTGAAAACCTTTAATGCAATTGATTAAAAGAAATCTAGATTCATCCTAATAGCAGCTTCTACAGACATTCATGGCAAAAGCAGCTGTTAAAACACATCAGCAGGGGAATCCTTGGAGGGTGGAAATCTTTTCCCTCAAGGCCTTCTCCCAACTTACTCAACTTACTTGCCTCCATCAGTTGTGCAGTTGCAAAGACAAACGAATGAACACAGCTTTAAAATAAGAGAACCAAAGTACTTTTTTCTGTTTATAGCTTTCATCCTGTTAATTTAGACAAAACCTCTTATATACTGTCCAGTGCCATGAAAGTTGATGGTGCCATCGTAACAACCATGATGATAGAAAGGCAAGGAGGAAAACAAATACCAGTAAATACTTGAGTTATCTCCCTGAAAATAGAGGTCAGATTGCCGATTAGACGCTTGCAACCTCTCTCAAAATAGCTCCTACGCTGTAAAGAATTAGGGCTTTTGAACAATAAATCCTTGCACTTCATCCCCTGCGTTAACTCATAACTGATATACAGATCGTGCGTCACTACAGGATAAATAAATATACGAAGAGAGAGGGCAACGTTGCTGCATTGTCTCGGCTCGAATGTTCGTAAACTTTTCAGAGGGGGAGGCGGAGCGCAGCGAACACGGAGGCAACACAATCCGAAACCAGACCGAGCAGGGCAGCTGCCAGTGGCCCTTCGCCGCCTTCATCCCCACCACCACACCCCACGGTTTCGTTTCTCTTACAAGCGACGAAAAGGCAACTCTCCTGAGCCTCAGGTCTGGCGGTGGGCGGACCCTTTCCCACGACCCAAGCTTCCCAACACCGCGAATCCTGCCTCCCCGCATTCTTCCCGCCTGCCGATGCCTCTCTCGGAAGATAAGGGGACGCAGAAGCCGCCCCTGCCCCAATAAACTAGGGCTAGAATCGCCCCTGACGCGGAAGAACCGCGATGCTTGAACTGAACTGCAGCCGCGGCGGGCCATGTTCGCCCCTCAGCAGCTGCGTGCCATGTTTAACCATTTCAACCCCTCGGCCTTTTTCGGACCGAAATCAACTGTTTGCCACGTGGGGAGCGGGGGGGGAGGGGAATTCCACGTTGGCGGGGGGGGGTCTGCATGCCTTCAAAAGAGTAAAGGGGGGTCGGTGCCGGAGGTGCGCTCTGCCCCCCCCGCCTCGCCTCCGCCCCTTGGCAACCCGTAACAAGACCACCTCCCCCCTCTCTTCATTCCCTCCGCCCTCGGGGCTGCTTTCTTCGAGGAGGGGCTGCACTACGAGCCCCGTCTAGCGCCGCTCCGTCAAGGCCAGGGCGGCTATCTGGCAGCCTTCCGGCCCCCTGTGTTCCCCCCGCTTCGCTTTCAAGGCTTCGCAGCGACGCAAGGAGCCTTTTCGCTCCCGAAGCCCTGCGCCGCCCGCCCGCCCGCTCCGTCTCCTCACCTTCCTCCTCTTCGGCCGCGGCCAACGCGGACGTGAGGCAAGAGGCGACCACCAGCAGGAGCAGCGCCCAGCCTAGGGCAGCCCAGCGAAGGCGGCTGAAGCAGCTCATGGCGTCTCTCGGCGAGGTAAGCGAGGGGGATTCGCCCCACGAGGAAAAGAAGAAACAACGACGGGAAAAGCGGCTCAGCCCTCAGCTCACGCAACCCGCTCCGCTTCCCGGCCGGTCGAAGTCTGCAGTCACGTGACGCGGCCGTTGGGCTGCCCGCGCGAGCCGTTTGACGCGTGGATTGAGGCAAGCGCCAGCGCGCGCGCGCTCTGTCTCTCTTTCTCTCTCTCTCAGCTCCCTGCGTAATAAGAGATGGTCTCGTCGACGCGTAAACCCCTTCAAGCAGCGCACACACCCCCGCCTGCTGCAATGGAACGGCCCTCGAGGGGAAGAGCCGCTTCCTCGTCACGTGACCGAAACCTCGAATGGCGTGGAAAGATCCCGACGGAGCGGGCGTGGCTGCTTCGACGTCCGCTCTTGTCACTTGATGTCTCAATTCGTGCGAAAATTAGATCATGGGTTGCTTTGTAGACGCGGGTGTCGTTCAAAGATCAATATTGATCTTTGGAGTTGGGATCACTTAAAATAGCTTTGTGATAGGAGAAAAGCGATTAAATTAAATGTGAAATTATTAACTGGTAGTTCTTGACCTTGGGCAGCATCAGAAATACGCTTTGCGTTTAGCAAGCCGCAAAAACCAGACGGGCAGTAGTGATGGCAGGGCCTAAACTCCACTCAGTAGAATGAGCGGAAGCCCCGCTGCCCACCAAATGCAGGCGAGCTGCACAATATCACCTAAAAGCAGAGACGTTGAAGACAATGCATTAAGTCCTGAGCCTAAAATTATTTTTGTGTTAGGTTACTTGCCCTTCGCTGCAAGGTCCCAGGGCGCGTCACAACAATGTAAAATATCTCGTTAAAAACAGACTAACAACCAAGGGTGAGGGATAATGACTGCCAGAGGACTTGAAGTCAATCTTTAACAGGAGAGCTGACTGGGCAGACTAAGAAACCAAGCAGTTTCTCTGATGTTCCAGTGTTGCATATAGGTGCACGCTTTGTAATACAGTACTGCAATGCTTATATGCAGAGGATATCAAGGCACAAGGCTTGGGCTGCTCCTGGCGGCCACACATGATGGCCAGGTTCCTGTGTGACATTACCAGGAAGCCCTGGTCACACCAATTGGACCATGCAGTTCATCTGCTTAGGGCAGCAAAACATCTTAAATGAACTCTGTGTGACTGAAGCAAAACTTCAATCCAGATACAGTGGTACCTCAGGTTACATACGCTTCAGGTTACATACTCCACTAACCCAGAAATAGTGCTTCAGGTTAAGAACTTTGCTTCAGGTTGAGAACAGAAATTGTGCTCGGGCGGTGCGGCAGCAGCAGGAGGCCCCATTAGCTAAAGTGGTGCTTCAGGTTAAGTACGGACCTCCAGAATGAATTAAGTACTTAACCCGAGGTACCACTGTACAAGGCCAGGGACAACGGTGTACGGAAAGGCGGTGTATGCACTTAAAATTGTAAGAAGATGATAGAAAGAATGTCAATTCCAGTTACAGCACCACTTTCCTGGCTGATTATTCTTTTTAGGTGGAAATTGACCTATGGAGCAGCTTGCAAATAGTATTCCAGGAATACTGACATTCCTCAATGAGAGTATCAGTAATAGCAGAGAAGTAAACATATTGTGCACAGCTCAGTACTACTAATCTTTCGCAAGGTGCAAGTATGAAATTTGGGGTGCTTCTATACTCACTATTTTCAGGTGGGATTCAGTCACATACTGGAAAATTCAGATTGTGAAATAACTTATTAGGTCTTGTGCAATGAACCTACTTGATTTTCTCACAGAAAGGAAGGTTCTAAATGTCCAGATAAATAAAATTGTCAGACAACATGGAGATGTGAAGTGACAAGAAGCATGCTGCACTTGTACCTCCTGTTCCTTCAAGGCTGCATTTAATGCAGCCTTCACCCACAGGACTGTTGTGATAAAACACTGGAAAATGAGAGAGGATTCTTGTCATTCTTTGTTAAATGGATCCCCATTACAAACACAGGATGCACAGCCAAAGCAAGAGGAGAATGGCCAAGAACATTATAGCTTGCACCAGAAAAATATATGCAGTGAGCCTCTTATTAAGTATGCATCTGTTTCATTTCAGCTGACTGAAGAAAGACAGTACCAATTACTGTTTAACCATTTTTCTTAGGGATATCCATTTACTGAATAAAAGGACACACTGTCACTTCCTAGGAGAATATTTTATGAATCTTTCTGATAGCTACATAGCTTTAGCATCAAAAATTCCCTTAAAATGTCAACTGGAGTAAAAAAATAAAGTGCCTTTTCAACCTCTTTCAAAGTCTGTAGATGAGCCAGCTAAGACACTCTGGCTCCCAAAATTATGTCAGTGAAATACAAATGAGAAACAGAGTGCAATTGATGTCTCTTTCTTACCATGTTCTGACTGAATTTAAACTTTCTTGTGCCTTAAAGAAACAGGATGGGGTATACATAATTGTTATAAGTGCGGGTTTAAGATAATCCCAAATAGAGATCATGATAGAATAAATGATCAATTGAAGTTACTAAGATTAAACTGTAGTGTAGTTAATTACTTTCAGAAACAAAAGCTTCCAGCCTCCTCACTGCAATACCAGAGGAGAAGAGGGATGGTGTGGGAATCTGAAGCTCAGACACACAACAGTAAACACTAGCTGGATCCCCTCAGTATAAGAAGCTGGGTGAAGAAGACTTCCAAATCTCAAGCGACGTATGTTTGTCTATATAATGCAGTCAACCAGTGGAAAAGTCATGCATTAGAATTGTAAGGGGCCCAGAGGGTCATCTAGTCCAACCCCCTGCAATGCAGGAATCTCAACTAAAGCATCCATTATAAATTTAGCCAAACTGTGCAGGATGCAGAGTAGTATGCGATTTTGTCCTGGCATTTTATTTTAAAAGAAAAGCAGTCACAGGAACCTGCAGTCATGAGTACAAAACCAGCAGGGCCATTAGGCAGGCATGCTCCATTCCCACTGAGCTATTTTTCCTGGCCCAGTTGCTTGCTTCCTTATGAGGGAAAAGAGACAGAGAGAAAACAGCTTGGGAGATGAATTTTGACTGGGAAAATGTCAGTGGGAGAGAACACATTTTCCATAAAGTTTCCCGGTATGGTCCCTGGCTTGTCCTCAGTGCTTGCTGAGCTGAGAAAAAAAGCCTGCCTCCCAGGTAGACAATACCTAGGAAAATAGACCAATGGTCTGACTCAGTGTCATATAGCTTGATAGCTACCTACCCGCCATGAGTTAAATACGTTACTGAGCAGTGATAGTGCTACCCCCCCTCCTTTGGATAAGAAGTGCCCTTCAGATATGGTGAGCCTAAGCTGCTGTGTGCTGGCATAATTTTTCTGGGCAGCACAGTCTGTAGAAATCACTGTTTTCAGAATCTCAGTTTATTCTTTCAGTATTCTACACTCCCTTATATCTCACTCATTTAGTATGGTTTCTCAGTCTCTCTGTTATCTTGACCTCTGTTTTATCAAATTATATCACGAGACCAACCTGATCAAGTGTTTTGCCACAGAATGCATAAAACCCGTACTCTTAACTGGGCTATAAATCAGGCAGTTAGCCTTCAGCAAACACATGGTGAACAGTTTCTTTTGTCAGCTATAACAGATCATAGGACTAACCACTGCAGATTCTTTCTTTAATCTATGTTCACCTTTATACATAGTGGCTCCCTCATTCATTAGCCATATCACAGGTCAGATGTCACAATTCACCCAGTTTTACCATTTCAGTTGAATAATTACTATTGTCCTGTGTTTTTCTGAAGGGTTTAATTTAAATAAGGCAAAAAAGAGGGTGGGGTGGGGAATAAGAAACAAACATTAAGAATGGCAACAGACAGCCTGAGCTACAATCACACTCTGGAAGGCTCCGAGTTGCATTCAAAATTTGCAGCATTATGTTGCTCACTAGGCATACAGCCTATAACGGAATGGAACTGTTTCCGCAGTTTTGTGTTGGTTTTGGTTACAAAAGTATTTTTTGATTTGTTTTAGGTTGTTCTGACAAGGATGGTCAAACGTTCAGCCCAGAAAACTGAATTTTAAGGGGAAATGAAACCTATAAATTTAAGGTGGAAAAGCTAAACAGAATTTGCTGACCTTCTGATTGGCCAATAAATTGTTACTCCCACCCCCCCATACATCTAAAGTGCATGGCTTACCCCAGTGAATCCTGGGAACTGTAGTTTATTGAGGGTACTAGGAATCATAGCTCTAGCTTTTGAGAAGAGTTTCACAAGCAGTGTATGGTCCAGAACTGGGAGGCTGTTGCTTAAAGAAAACAAGACTGGAGTCCTGATGCACATATGCAGCTCCCTGGGTGCACTTAAGAGAGCTCCCTGCATAGTGGTCACATTAATATATTACATTAGGTTCCCAAGATCCTGTAGTCTCAAGTATAAGGCTGTTTGGCAATGAAACTATTTGGCATGGAAAAGGACACATATTTTTCTTTTCTTTTTTCAAAGTGAAAAAAATGCTTTTATATTTAACCCCCTCAAAAAAATTAACAGGATTTACTGAACATAGGTTCAGAAAACAACAGTGTCATGCATTACAGTAAAACAAAATATATCTAACATCCATGGCTATGGCTGAAATATTCCACAGTTAACAATTTTACATTCTACAACTGGCCTCTCGTTGAATGTTTCCACTGCTTCCAGTTCCCTGAGAACTTCTGAGCCCTCGATCAGCTGTCTAAAGTAGAGGGGGAAAGCTAGGTAAGTACTAGGAAGCTATTCCAATTATTTTCAAGTCTAGTCACTGCTGTCATGCTGTACAAATATAGATACTGCATCCAGCCAAGTAAGCAGTACTGCCTCCTCCATATTTTAACTACAACATTGCACTTGAGATATACTGCAGAGCTCTTAAACATACCCAAAAGCCACATATTTCTCATTCAAGTAGGGTGCTGGCTGTAGTGTGATGTAGAACTGAGATGCATTGCTGTGGCGTCCTTGGTTGGCCATTCCCAGAACACCTCTCTTGTCATGGAGAACTGCAAAACTTTCATCTAGGAAACAGTTTATAAATGGTGGCAGTGTTCTTTCCACTCATTCACATTTTCCACATTTTCCATCTTCCTCACCCATTTGCCCCAGTGCGCACTAAGCTATCAGCTGAACAACCTGAAATAGTTATGAACTTTTTAGGTGTAAAAGTTAGAGCTGCATAGTGTGCATAACCTGTCCCAACCAATATCCATGTTAGGTTTCTTCCTGCATCCCCATAATACGTACCAAGCCTTATTCTATTATGTTGCAAGTTTATCTGATTCCACACTCAGTGGCAACCAGTGTTGTAGAGTGGGGCAAGAAAAATCACAACATGCCCTCAGAGAATGAATGTGCCACTTTTAACAGCATTTCTGCATTGACCATAAAAAAATATTATTCAGTCTTTTGCTAAACACTTTCTCCAGGATTAAGTTTCACTCTGTTCAGCAGCATATCTACAAGTTCACTTAAATTTGCAGCTATTCATTTCCTCACACTCATTCTAGTTTGGATTTTTCAGGCATATGGTTGCCAAAATGATAAATTGCCAGCGATCAAAATACAACAGGCCTTTTTACACATGAGCCTTATGCTGCCTTTGAGTATCTTCTGCACACAAACATCTGATCATTGTGAGTAAGAGAAAGTGAGCACTTGTAATGCAAGCTGACATTCTTGTTAATGTAATTTTTGCATCTGCACTACACATCTGATGGAAGCAAAAGCCACTTTAAACCTCATGTAGAAAATCACTCAGTCTATTTAACTAATTTCCAGCAGGTATTTGAAAAACATGCATTTTGTGCTTAATTGAATCCCATTATCTATTACGCTTGTACATTTTGTATTCAGACAATATATTCAGCATAGATTATGCCTCCTAGTTGTTGTCACCAGGACATTTGAAGAACATGCTCCTACCTTCAAAAAAAGGTCCATAAATTGACTCGCCTCCAGTCCCTCTTCCTCCCCTTATGTCTGTATATTAATTGAGAAAAACTAAGGTTATGAAATTACCTTTTCTGTATTAGAAAAAGAGCACGAAACTTCCAAATGTCACCTTTGGAAAGGCTTTTATCTTGTAATGAGAATGCATAAATCAGTCTTCCTCAACTTGTTACCCTCCAGGTGTTGTGACATCTCCCATCACCCCAGTCCCCATAGCCAATAGTTAAGGATGAAGGAGGATGTAGTCCCAATGACACCTGGAGAGCCACGGGATTGGGAAGATTGGTATCAATACTAGTATCATCTCAAAGCACTCTGATGAGTGCAAATGCAATTATACATGTCAAGTAAGACAGGAAAGTTGCATTGTGACTTTATTGTATAAACAGGTTTCAATACCCACCTCCTCCTTGTATCCAGCCATTTTTTACAAGTCGGTGAAAGATAGAATCACGGTAAGTGAGTGGAAGCCCAGACATAGACTTCTTTTTCTCCCCTGAACACAAATACTGGAAGTTTTTACATGTCCTGGGGCAGATATCAGAATAGAGCTGCACAATGGAGATAGAAAGCATGTGTTAAGTTTCTACAAGCTCAGTCCCAGAGAAGGCCCTTTGTCATGTCAGTAGAGACCTCCCCCACAACTCTGGACAATTTTCCAAAGAGAGAATGCCTCTTATAAGATGGTACTTGTCAATTTGCTATTGTATAAAAATAAGGGGGGGGGGGAGAGAGATAAAATATACTTTCAACTAATGAGGGAATATTTTCAGTATATCAAAATATTTTTAATTGATTAGTCTGTTGATTATCTACTAACCATTCCAGGCTTAAATGAATACAAACGTTCAGCAGCGCAGCATCATAAGGCTGTGCCTATTGTAACCATTTTGAGCAGCTATCCCACCCATCCAGCTCATTTTGGTTCATGCTCAGCAGCAGAAAGCATTAACTATACAGCCATCTCCTTCTCCTCAATTATATCTGTACCTATAGTTTGCAATGGGAATATGAACACCTGCTAGGATGCTACTTGCCTCTGCCCCTGCTATGCATTACGCCTCCACATTTTCTTGACTCACTCAGCTTTTAGCAATCAATTGATCAGAATACCACAAAAAAAAATTGGACATTCAGAAAGAATTAATACATTTGAGATGCAATCCTAAACTCTAATGGGAGAGAAGTTCCTTACATTAGGTATAGGGCCGGTGCTACGTTGTACGATAGCAGTGGAGTATAATAATATCCAGGAAATGGCACAACTGTGTGGCACCCATGACTGTGCCCGGATGTGACTGTTCTGCTGACCAATATTTTCTGGCAGCAGAGCTCCAGTGGCCAAATGTTCCACTTTGTTGTTGTTTAGTCGTTTAGTTGTGTCCGACTCTTTGTGACCCCATGGACCAGAGCACGTCAGGCACGCCTATCTTCCACTGCCTCCCGCAGTTTGGTCAGACTCATGTTGTTAGCTTCGAGAACACTGTCCAACCATCTCGTCCTCTGTCATCCCCTTCTCCTTGTGCCCTCCATCTTTCCCAACATCAGGGTCTTTTCCAGGGAGTCTTCTCTTCTCATGAGGTAGCCAAAGTATTAGAGCCTCAGCTTCAGGATCTGTCCTTCCAGTAGGCACTCAGGGCTGATTTCCTTAAGAATGGATAGGTTTGATCTTCTTGCAGTCCATGGGATCTCAAGAGTCTACTCCAGCACCATAATTCAAAAGCATCAATTCTTTGGCGATCAGCCTCCTTTATGGTCCAGCTCTCAGTGTACTTCAATGGTGGCCATTTATTATCCCACAATCCGCTGGTATAGGAGAGCTTCCATTGAACCCTACAGCCTCTTGGGCATTGGATCCAGAATGCAGAATTGTGCCTGTAACATTTTTACATTAACTTAACTTTTTACATTAACTTTACATTAACTACATTAAAACATGCATATATGCTTCATTTGAATGAGTTGCAGTTCCTTGGAGTTGAATGTGGAGTCTTTTTAAAATACTATGCACTAGATCCAATGCCAAGGCCTGATTTTTCTTCAGCCACTTACCTCAAATAGCAATTTTCCTTTAGGCTCTGCCTGAATAGATATTTCAAAGTACACAAACACATGCTGCCAAAAAAGATAAAGAAAAAAGGCAAAGCCAGTTGTCAAAATAGAACACAGTGACTAATTGGATAAAGATTCTCTTTTGAACATTAGTTATGCTTCAGAAAGTAAAAGGTTGAATCCCATAAGCAAGAAGCCTCCCAATGTGTTCTGCATCTCTCAAGCTGCCACTTTCCAATTTCCTACTTCTGAGAAATCCTGTCATCAGCTAAGCTGCCAAAGAACTCCAGGTCAATGCAGAAGTTTCTATGTGTTTTAGGGTGCACATTCTTTTCTTAGGCCAGTGGCAAGTCCTTTTGGGCTTAAACTAAGGAAGCATAGTGTTAGGAGTCATTCTGCAAAGAAACAGAAAAAGATGATTGTAACTTTAAGAACTGTTTCTGTGTGCTCTGGGTGTGGTTTTCTATGCTGATTAGGTACAGCTGGTGATGAGTACAAAAGGAGGAGAAGTTGCAGTTTGAATTTGCCTGCAAAAGAGAATACCCACATGCTTTGTGTTTGTAAGGTTGTAAATAAAACTCTTGCTTGAGTATTTTACACCTGTCTCATGGTTATGCCATCTGCTGCCCGGAAGATACAGCTCCAATACACAGAACATACCCAAAACTCCCCTGTGGCTGTGCAACTTGTGTGAGGAGGAGGGGAGAAGTTCCATCCATGAGCAAACTGGCTTTCAAGGAACTAGTCTGCCATCCATAGGATGGGCCCTTGTGGGCCTTCTCCACAAGCTCCAACACCATGTTGCTTTCTTCCAAAAATTGAAATGAGAATTTTGTTAGCAAAGAGCCCTCATGTTGAAGGACACAGCATTTTCTTGCCATAGCCAGTTATGACCCACAAAGCAATCGTTTTATATACTCTACCTTTCTTCCAGGGACATCAAAGTGGTAACATAGGGTGCCCAGGAAAGAGTGTTCGGAGATGCAGGGAGAGTGTGTTTTGACTACATGCTGTTTTGGCTTCATGTACTATCCCAGGAACATAACCCCTGCATAAGTTGAGAGTTGACTGTATTGTAAGCAAGCAAAGTCATATACCATATGACCTGGTTCAGATATCACATTACAACACAGCAAACCATGATTTGGAGGATGAGGAATGTGTAGCAGACTGGCACACTGTTTTCTATGCCAATTCCCCCTTCTATTTCCCGATTTCCTCTTACCAGTTTGCTGTGATGTCTGAATCAGGCAAATTATGGTTAGTACTAACCTCCAAACCATGACTTGAAGTGAGTTAGCAAACTATGATTTGGAAAATAGTGCTTAGCAAAGTCCACCTGATTTAGATATGACAGCAACTATGGTTAGTGAATTTAGAAATTTAAAAAGGTGCATGCATGTGCAAGTCCACAGAACATTTCTAATCCTCCGAAGGATTGTTCGAACTGAGACGATAAGGCAAAAATAAATAAATAATGAAGTCACACAGGATCACAGCCAATCTAAAATATGGTGACCAGCAGTGAAACGCTCTAGCTGAAGACACATTTTGAAGGTACAATATTGTTCACAGACCTATTTCCTTTGGAAAACCAATAACCTACCTGCTTGTTTCTCATGTATTTAGTGAGGAAATCCTGTGTAATTGCTTCATAAAGTGCAACAGGCTTGAAGTCCTCATAATCCCAAACATCATAGGCCCACTGTAATAGCTGTTTTTCATCTCCAACAAGCTGGCCATCAATAAAGCACATCACGTTGGAAGGATATTCCCATGTTTCCCCTTTTAACTCCTGTGATGAAAATGGCAGTGTTTCAGAATCAGCAGGCATTTAATAGAAAAATTAAACATGAAGATTTTGCAAACAGGGAGAAAACCCACAGAATAACAGTTCTATCGGCAGTACCATGCCTAAGTTCCCGAAGTCAGGTGTCATCACTTCCAGGAAGCAGAGTGCTGGTCTATGTCTTGGAACAGGTGGTGTAATCTGCACCTGGTTCAATGCGGTGCCCTTGATTAGTGTTTAACTTCTAAGTTCTCATACTAGGGAAGTACTGTACCATATTATTCAGTACCTCTTCCAATGTTCCTCACAATGCCTGGACAATTTGGACAGAATTTGGACTACTTCAACTTTGTCCTGTGAAGCAGCAAGGCAGAGCATCAATCCTGTCAGCAAAACTTCTTGGAATAAGGATGTGGCATTTCAAATATAAGGCTATGCAAGGATGGGGAGCTTGTGTCCCTTCAGATGTTGTTGGACTCCCATTAGCCCCAGCCAGCATGGCCAATGGTCAGAGAAAATGGGAGATGTAGCACAATGACATCTGAAGGGCCACAGGTTCCCCATTATTGGGCTAGACTAGTGTCCATCAGTGGGAAAGGCTACAATCATATTGCTACTAGTCTGTGGGTGCCAGACTCCCCTGTGTTATGCATTTCAGATTCCCATGTGTTATGAGTTTCTGGGTGCCAGACACGGAACCTACTTGTTGTGTGCTCAAGCACCTATCTGTGCTTGGTATAATGCAGACTAAAGGCTCATTTCCTGAAAAGATGTTATGAGCAGAACCTGGAGAATAAATAAATCATTCAGTCAGAAAGTTTCAGGAGAGTGTATCTGCTGTAATACCAAAATCAAACCAATCCACTCTGTTTTGGAAATAAGAGAGAAAGAAGAAGAAGAAGAAGAAGAAGAAGAAGAAGAAGAAGAAATACCTTTTTCTTCTCCTGTAAATATTCATCCCATGCAAACTGCAGCAAAGGAAGCACTTTTGGCTCTGCTATCTTGTTTGGAAAATTTTTCCTCAGGCCCTGGTTATTCAAGAGAAAATGACAATATTAAAAAGGACAGTACAGACCTCTTTATAATTGCTGGTGATGGAATCAATCCAATCATAACTGTACTTTTGCCTTGTTTATCTCATTCACGCTACTCTATTTCCATGGGGATGGATGAGTTGTACTTGTGATGAGTAAAAACCATGGCAAAATATAAGAAGGTCAATTCCTTCTCTGTTTACTCCTGAAAGCAGTTTGAACACTAGGAATGGTAGTGGCAAAGACAACGAGCTAAAATTTAGGATGTCCTAAGTTCACATCTTTCTTCCGTCATGAACTTACTGAGTGTTCATTGCACTCTTCATAGTCACACATCCTGCAATAGGGAGAACATAACAGTCATTTGCTTTACAGGATCGATGTGAGACTTACAATCCCAATTTTCTCCCTATGAACCAGTGTAACTACACACCCTGAAGTCCATTGGCCATAATGCAGCAGAGCTTGCTCTGTGTCTTTGCCTGGGCAGTGACTAGTTTTAGGCCTTGATTTTCCTCCTTGTTTCCCTGCATCACATCTCTGCCTTCCCATTGGACTACTCCTAAGGTCCCAAACTGATCCTGCAGATACATAGGGTTGTAGCCAGTGCTGCACATGCAGAGTTCCACTTGCCTGAGAAGGCTTTTCCTTTGTCTCCTCTCCCTGTATGCCTTCATAATATGCTCTGGAGGGTCCCCAGACCCCTTGGAATAGGCTGGGGGGGGCAGGCTGCAGGGAGGAGGAGAGCAGGGGGAAATCAACTGAATGAATAGAACAACAGTGTTGGTTACAACCATCATACTCCTAGCAAATTTGAGCACTCTCAGACGTCTCAACCAGGTGTATAAAGATGGATATTTATAAACAGATGTCCATTCTTAATCCTTCCTTTTTCATTCCCCTCAGTGAGCTCCTCCATTGTTTCCAATCTTACTCTTCCTTCTCTGTGTAATAAAACTCTCTTGTGTTTAGACAGCCAAATTTGTTTATTGAAGTGTCAAAGGCCACATAAGACAAGAGAGGGTCCTGATGTGCCTTGGAATGCAGACATATTGAAGAAACAGCCTGTCATTGACACAGAAGAGCTGCCTGCCACTTCTCAGTCGTGATATCCATGAACATGAATGTGTCATTTTCAAATGAAGCACAGCTAGGAAGCACTGCCGCTGACTGAATTCAAAGAGGTGCAGATTGGAATGTTCCCTCTTCCATGTGGCCACACTCAGAGAGAGTTACACAAACATCTAAAGTGGTTTAGAAATTCAAGGCAAACACCTGGAAGGTGGCACAAAAGATTTTTGCTACCATACTGTATTAGTTAAATGACCATCTTTTTTTGAATCAGGGAGTTGGACATTTTGGCTCCTTGAAAGCAGAGCTTTCCAAACTGTGTGTCGCAACACATTAGTGTGTTGGCTGCAGTGTCACAAAAATGCTCCCCGGCTGGAAAGGGGTTAGTTTAACCTCTGCTTTGCTAGTAAAATTGAATTACTGTGTTGCAAAATGATGCATTTCTAAAAAGTGTGTCACCAGCATGAAAAGCTCTGCTTTAAAGTCTTGTGGGTTACCACAGACTGCAGTTTCAGTTCTATGGATTAAATGTTAAAGGATAATTTTTATCAAGCAAAGGTTGATAAAATATTAACGATGTGGCACAGAAAATATTCCAGTGCTTCATTTCTCTGCAGAAAAAAAAAAATCAATTTCATCTGTTCATTAGTAACAGTAAATGGATGCCAACTGCAGTATTAGGCAAGTTTGGCAGTTTCAAAATGTTTACTTTGGTTACTGAATACAATGAAAATAAATATATTCCCATTCAAACTGATAATTTTCCGATGCAAATTACCCTAATTCATGTATAATTTCGAATTCAAAATTTTCTTGTATCATCATAAAATATTACAAGAGGGTACTCAGATAAGCCAAATGGAAGTGGCAAGTTTCTTAATTAAGCTTTATTTTATTTTATTTTATTTTGGTGAGGAGAGCCCATTCCACAATTGTGCTTTGGAAGGATGTGCTTTCTATTCAGCAACTGCAACTATATGTAATACAACAGCTGAGGCATACAGTCTACATAAAGACCACACAAGAAAAAGAAGAGGAAGAATGATGTTAGCAAGTGGCTCCAGTAGGAAGAAAAAAGGTCTGCAACTTACGTACCTCTGCTGCACATTTTGCCATGTGAAAGGAGGGTTCTGTGAGAAGCCCTACAACCTCCACCTCTTGCAGCCTCACAGGCTGCACAGCACCCTTTCTCCACATCCTTCACAAAGCTTTCTGTCTTTTCTCCTCTTCTCCTTGCTGCCTCAGTTGCCTCCTTCCCCTCAAACATCCGGGAGAAGGAATAAAAACAATCCTGGTCCCTATAGCGACTCCAATCAGATGCAAGCATTCTGTGCCACTCTGAGTTCTGCTAGCCTGTGATTGGTCCTTGGTTTCTTTAGTATTTCTACAGCACAAGATGACAGAACCAATCACCTTGCAGCTTGTGAGTGATCGTAAGTCCGATGTTGGGGAATGTTTATACAGTGTTCAGATTTCCCACCTTCTCTCTTTTTTTACTGCAGTTAGTGAGAGGTTGTAACTTTATTATTTTTTTAGTTGTGATGCTAATTGAGGTAAGATTGCAGAATTCAAACATTTCAATTAAATAATTCTCATGTTGTACAGGTGACAGTGCCATGACATATTAAGCTATGCCTAGCAAAGTGAGGTCTATAAAAATGGTCTAAAGTCTCATACAAATATTGCAGATATCCCCCTTGTTTTTATTGGGTAACTGTTTATGGCAATATTTTCTATTAATTTATAAACCCTTTAAAAAAAACTATTGCAGACGCCAGTGATTTTAGAATAGCTGATAAGAGCTACTCCAATTAATTTTTTTTGGCCCTGCTGTACTTCAAATCATGGCCCTACTTAAATGCTTAGATATTTAAATGGCACATTTATTCTATGTAGGCAGCTTGGAAGAATATAAATTTGACAGAGAGTACATTTTAAGGAAGTAAAATATTTATGTACAATTTATTTTGATAGTTGCATTCTTCTTGTACATTTTTGCCATGCAGTCATAATTTATACATTTAGAGTATACCACTTTAATCAGTAATGATTCCTAAAAATCCTGGCAACTGCAGTTCGTTAAGGGTCCTGAGAGTTGTTAGGAGACTCCTGTTCCACTCCCAGAGCTACAATTCTCAGTGGTTTAGCAATCAATCCCTGTTCCCAGGGAACAATGTGACACATTAAGCACATGAAAGTATTCCAGGGTAAAGCAAAAATAATAATAACAACAAGTCATTTTAATGCTTTTACAGTTATTAGAACCAGTTTTCTGGATAACTCATAACTATATTTATTCTTGTAGCAACTATCTAGGTCGTAGATGCCTAACATTATTTTCCATTATTGGAAATATGCAGAAGCAAGTTACTTTTGCAATTGGATGATTTTATAAAATAACAACATTGCTTTACCTTTAATTTATGTAAACACAATTTCTAGAACAAATGATTTATGTGCTTCTCATTCATATTGCAGGAGCATAATCAGAAAAATCTGACTGGGGGAAAAGGTTGACACCAACAGGATGCAAATGAGCTCCTGGCTAGGAAGAAGTGTTAGCAGCATGCAGATAAACTACACAGAGAAAAATGCTAGAAGGATGAATTTATGCATTGTTTTTATTTTAAAGGAGAAACAGTTCCATTTCACATACAATAGTAAATATGTATAAGCATGAAAATTTAACCCTTAACTGAGGAAACAGCATTATTTCCCCTTCACCTAGTGATTTATTTTTGCAACTGCATCAGTCACAACAGAATTATAAAGTCAGAGGAAGAACTGTTACAATTTGGAAATTTATCCCCCAGAAATTATGTCTTTCTTTTCCAACTTTCCCCCTTTGAAATTTTTTAAATAACATTCTTTTTTAAAAATCCATTTAAACTTTGATATTTATGTTGTATTTTTACTATTACCAATTAAAGAGTTATAGTTTTTAAGAAATCATTTGAGATTTGTGCCATCTTAAATCTTTAATTATGAAACCATTTTTAACCTAGAATAAAAACAGTATTGTGTTCTCAAGGCAAAATATGAAGCTGTGTTTAAAATTTAAATATGTGATTAAGGTATCCTGCACTTATTTCTAGCATTTGAAAGTAATTATGTTGTTTTGCAGAGATGATGAATGTTCATTCTCATCTCTTTTTTTGCTGTAAAAGCTTTTCTGTTGTAAAAGCTAAGGCACAGAAAGTTTACGATTTGGCTATAACTATACTATCGGCAGAGTGACTAACTGAATCAAAGATTATTAATAGCTTATTCTCATCATCACATTATATCACCTTTGTAAGAAGAGCATGTTTGAATGTTTACATAAGGAACATTCTTATGTAATACCAGCAATTTGTGGTAGGGTCCTTACTACACTCCCCAAGGCTTTTGTATTTACTTCACTAGACAGGACAGCTCTCTCTCTCTGTGTGTGTGTGTGTGTTCACAGAGAGGCATTCTAGACACATTGCTCGACGGTAGTGAAGAGGAGGATTTGATTGTGTAGCTCCACATATGCATCACCACATGGTCTCTGGGTAAAAGTGACAAAAACAGTCAAAAGATGCACTGATTGCAAGTGACACATTTTTGGTGCCCACTGTATTGCAGAGAATAGGTACATGGGTGATTGCAGACATGATATGACATAATATTTGTCCTTAACTTTGGCTGTGTCAAGAGCACCTCTCCTTAACACAGCTTAGCACCACATCCAACCGTTAAGCATGGATAACACAAGGGTGCCAAGATAACCTGGAAGGTTCTACTTCCAACATTGATAGTATTATTCCACTGGTGCAGACAATGCTGTTGAAGCTTTCTTGTGGTCAATTGTATCAGATTTACTTCCAACCTCCCAGAAGAATGGTGGTTGGATGTGCAAACTGTTGTGCAAGCTGGACCAAGAAATGAAAAAGCAGAGGCCAAATGCACATCAAAATGTTTATCAGAGGATGGCTATCTGCCAACAGTGCATTATTGAAGTAGAATATGAATTCCTCTCCACAACAAGCAGAACTAGACTATGGTCTATTTCAGGTCCAGTAAAACAGTGGTTTAGCAGACTGAGAATGAATGTTATGTCTTCACGTTCCCTCCCCACTGCTTAAACAACTGTGTCCGAGTTCACAATCAGAAACTGTCATTTAAGAAATCCCAGAAGCATTGCATTAAGATGGAAGAGAGAAAATAGGATGTAAGAGGGGGGTACACAGTCACAACACTTCTTGGTCTAATAAACCATGGCTTACTGTTGAATTTGAATTAGGCCTATATACAACTAGAGGTGAATCATGAATTGAATCGGCAAAGCCTAATGTAAAACCCAAACAAGAAAAACAATTTTCTTTAAGCCTGTAGGTGGCACTTTTCAAGATGGCCTGTCCACACATGGTCAGAAGTCCAACTTTACTCTTCCATCCTTTTGAAATTACACACATATGCTTATACATCAAGACAAATCTTAAAACTGGATTGGAAATTGTGGTTTAACTGGCAATATTGCACATGTATTAGCACAGATAAAATGGCAATATGTATGTTCCAGCTTGCCATTGTAATGCACATAAATAAGCACAACTGCTTTTTCATGGGGAAGGAAGGAAGGAGGGAAGGAAAAAGAAAATAATTCTGTCTGTAGGTATCCAAGAGCAAAGTAGAACTCTAAAAACAAGCACATAATTATATAGTGCATGATCCAGGTGAAGTTAATTTTTACATCCCATCAGCTTAAATGGGCGCAAGTGAAAAGCTCTTTTCCGCTAAAACAGCTAAAATGGTTGGATCCTACCAACAGTATCTCAATAACTATTGCAGTTCAGGCAAAATAGGCATGGGTCTTGACTATGAAATCACCCTATCAATATATATTTAAGTTAAGAAAACATAAAAATAAAAAATACTCAGCTTTACAATAAAGTGAACCATCAGTATTACCAAAATGCAAAATTAAATAGACAGATGAAATATGATGTGGTCTGACGTCATTTCACTTTTGATAAATAAATAAAGAAGCAAAACAGCCCTTATTTTAAAAAGTCTGCCTCTCAATATGATGATCATCAGATGACTGGCCTACAGTCAGAGACTGCTGAGGTGATTCAGAGACATGTACAGTTTGAGTCTGTCCCTTGTTCATTTGAGGAGGTAGGACTGTAGCTTGGCTGATGCGAAACTCCTGGCTAGGTTCCTGAGCCACCTGCAAGTGCTGGCTTGGATGTGATGTTCCTGTGGTGATCTGGAGCACTTCTGCTGGATTCTGATTGGCATGCAGATGCTCCAGGGCTTCTTTAGAGAGCGTGATGACGTGCACTTGCTCAGCCTGTCGAGGCTCCATCTGGCTGCTCACAATGTTAATATTCTGAATCTGGTCTGCTGGCTCTGGCTGGGTGGAAAGGAGCAGGTTCTGTAGCTGCTGGGGTGGCTGAGTGAGAAGGGTAAGACTGCCTGCATGGTCCGTCATCACATTTTGGGTGCCATCTGCAGTGACAACGCTAATACCTTCGCTATGGCTGGGCACAAAATTGATATTGTGCACAGAATCTGTGACCAGCAGCTGGATCTCCTGCGCTCCAGAAGTGGAGAGTTGATACTGCTGCAACTGAAGAATGTTCCTGACTTCGTCTGTGCTGCTGCTGCTGCTGCTGGGAGCACTGCTTGCTTCCTGTAGTTGCTTTTCTTTGATGTGGATCTTTAAATGTGACTTCAAATTGTCTAGGCGCGCAAACTGCACGCTGCACTCCGAGCAAGAAAAGGGCTTTTTGCCAGTGTGTAAGATACAGTGTCTCCTCTTGGCACTGGAATCAGAAAAGGATTTCCCACAAATGCTGCATGTGTAAGGTTTTTCTCCTCTGCAAGGGAAGACAGGTTAGCTTCATTAAGTACATGAAAGCTTGGAGGATACAGACATTTCACAAAATTTCATGACGCAGTGCACGACAGGATCACCCCAGTGTACTTATGCTGTCTGCATTGCCTTGGTATGGTTTTATCTCTAGTTTACCAAGTTGGCATGTAGACAGCAGCCTTGTAACGAGGTGGGCAGGCCACAGCCAGGCCTACAGGGCCCCCTTGCTTCCATATACACATTTAAGCTGCTGTTATTTAGAAGACTGCCAGCATGTGACTAGAAATGTCTTGGGAACAGGGAGTATTTTGAGAGTGCTGATAAAGCTGTATTACATCAGCAAAGTCCCCATCATTGTGATGAGCACACTGATAGGAGCTGGGAAGAGCTTGCAGAGTGCTAAGTAGGCAAGGCCAGACTGGCTTTTGTTTTCTTTTCCCTTCTACTCCAGGCTGCCACTAAGGGTGGCATGACACCATCATCGTCTTCCACACTGCCTTGCAGCAACCAGTTGCCTTTCCTGCAATTTGAGATCAGATGGGAAGCTGAACTAAAAAGACATCGCACTCCTTCCATGTTCCCGTCACATTTTCTGCACCCCCATCTTCCCAGTCTTTTAACGATAGGCTTCCAAAGCCCTTCATGAGTGACCAAATCATTATCCAACTAAGTTCTACTCAGAGTACGCCCATTAAAATTAAGTTGGTCATGTCAATTAATTTCAGTGGATCTACTCTGAGCAGGCTGAGCATTGGGCTAAAGACTCCTGTTTTTATATACCTATGATTTGTAGCCGGCCCACAGAATATAAATTTTAGTATACCTTTGGGGTGCAAGGTCAGCTTTTAAACTGTTCAAAAAATCCCATCTTGTATTTTCAGCTAAATATTCAACTTCTGTAGTTACAGTGGACACCCAGTCTGCAACAATTTAGACTCAAAGCATTTCCCATAAAAAAACTAGTTCCTGACATGCAGCCACACAAAACAAAAGGAGGAATAGCATACCTGTGGATTCTTATGTGAGTCTGGAGAGAGCTTTTCGCTGTGAAGGACTTGCCACAAATTTCACATGTAAATGGCTTTTCACCTACAAAAACTTGTTGGTTAGTGTAACAGCAAGATACCACTGTTTAATTAAAGGCTAGCATGATTTTAAAAAATACGCTCAATTACAGTGTGTGGGACTTTGACATCTGAGCAATATCTGAACAACAGCACCACTCTAAATATCATTACACCAGAACACTGTGTGTGATGGAACATACCAAGAGCTATGACTGCAGAGCATAAAATATAATAGCAGCTACCACATATAGGGAGTATTCTGGCTGTAGGGAGATCATCGTGGCAATAAATTTGGGATTAACTGGAAAGCCTGTCAGAATTTAAAGAGCACTGGAAAAGAAGGGACTCTTTTTCATCTAAGTAATATTCAACAAATCTCATGGCTAATCAACACACAAAAAAGAAGAGAGATAGAATCCATCATGCTCTTCTTCCTCATCAAAGTCGCTTTGGATGTCAGCAGCTGCATCAAGAATTCCTTCTGTACTGTTCCTAAAATGTTGCTAGACAATATGGAAGGAATTCACAGTGCATGCAGCTCCTTTTCCTGCAAGCATTGCTTCCCCTGGAAGTTGAACCTATGCTAGCCTGGGAAGGAATATGGCATTGTGGCTTCCTTCCACACAGCTTAAGTCCTTCAATGTTGCTGGAAGGTCCCATACCACTAAGGTAACATGAGAAGGAAGCTTACAGAAAAGTTTCACAGTATAACACTTCATTTTGTTGAAAAACAATGCTTTATTTGGTTTTGGTGGGGGGCGTTGTTTGAATGATTGAAAACTGTTAATGTTTTATATAGCCTTTCTTCTTTTTAAAATGGCACAATATATTCATGTTTTTAAAGGTACCGTATTTTTTGTCCCATAGGACGCTCCGTCCCATAGGACGCACCTAGTTTTTTTGGGGCTGGCCGATGTCTGCCCGGCGCGAGGGGCGCTCTGCTTCAGGGCGCCTGGCGCGCCCGGCGGCAGGCTGCTCTCCGCAGCCTGGGGAGCCCTGCGGGAACTCCCGCAGGGCTGCCTAGGCTGCGGATGTGTTCCCGAAGCGCCGGGTGCTCTGCTTTCAGCGCGCCCGGCGCTCCGGGAAGCAGGCTGCTATCCGCAGCCTAGACAGCCCTGCGGGAACTCCCGCAGGGCTGCCTAGGCTGCGGATGTCTTCCTGAAGCCTGGAGAGCGAGAGAGGTCGGTGCGCACCGACCCCTCTCGCTCTCCAAGCTTCAGTGAAAGCCTGCATTCGCCCCATAGGACGCAGCCAGATTTCCCCTTCATTTTTGGAGGGGAAAAAGTGTGTCCAATGGGGCAAAAAATACGGTAAGTAGCTTGGAGACTTTCTTACAAACAAGTGACTAATAAATCCTACAAGCACTTATCCATATTTCTTTTTTGTCATTCTGCTCATGGTTTTCAATCACATAGCCTCCACATCCCTCTGTTCTCTAAAAGAAACTCAAGGAGTCTGCTTTGTATCAGTAAAGTCCTGCACATTATGGATTCGGCGCTGTTTAGCATTCACCAATCCATTTCAACCTCATTTATTCTCTGGGGCATGTTGCTGTCTCTTCCAATTCAGCTGTGCATCAACATTCCCAATGTGAATTATCAATTTGTGCCTAGCTGGTGCTAAACTCTCCCAGTAGGAGGGCAGATCTCTTATTTGACCTGACACTAACCATAGGCTTGTGTGTTTCAGAGGCCCAGAGGCCAAACCCAAAGGACAGCTGTCTCTTCTCTGAAAGAAATATGGAGGGGGCATTACCTGTATGTGTTCTTAAATGTTTCTTTAACTGAGCTGCATCCATGAATTTGCGATGACACAGGTTACATTCTGGCAAAGAATGGCCTTATTACAAAAAGAAAAATAGGTATCCATTATCTTTTCTGAGTCTATTACTATTATTTATTAAAATATCTGTCCTGCCTTTTGGTCCAACAGTGTTGTCAAGGTAGCACACAAACATACAAATCTGACACATCCCGAATCAAACCAATGCCACAGTTAAGAGAAGCAACATAAGGCAGTTATAGAAAGAACATTATTTTCTGATATTCAGAGAGATTTGAGTTGGTTAAATATTGTTTCCAGCATAACATTAGTTGTTTTAAATACTACTGACAGCAGAGTATTAGAGAGACAGCAGAACATTAAAGTTCACATAGGCTTCTGTGGACCAAAAGGATCATGTTTGCCACTCCTAGCTTCCCTCTGGAGCCCAAGACCAGAGGTGCTACACACATATAGGCACTGTAACCCAATGTGTATAGGTTAGAACATCATGAAGAATGTAGAAGCATAAAGCACAAGGAAATTCATGCTACTTTTACTGTGCTTTGGGATGGAGAGAGGATGTGCAAAGTTGTAATTATACATCTCCCCGATTGGGAAATGCATGGGAGCAGTAGTTGCACTCTTCACAAGAAAAGTTATGTTGTGCTAGAAGTGTGTAAGTGTGTCTAGAGGAAGTGTGGCTCACACTCCTGTGCATGCTTGTACACAAAGTCACCTTGAGGTGGTATCCTCAACTCTGGAATAGCCTCAAAGAAGGGAATATTCAAGCTAAGCATTCAAAAGACTCACATTCTTCCTTCGCATAGAACTATTATATAAATACCCTTGGATAGCATGATACAGTTATTAAAAAGAGACTCATTTGAAAAATGTAAGAAAGACAATGTGCTAAAAAATTTCCAACAAAATCCACCTGCCTCTTAAATTTGTTATACCTGTGTGAACTCTGTAATGACTCTTAAGTTGTCTCTTTTGGCTGAAGTATTTTCCACACTGATCACAAGTAAAAGCCTTCTGACCTGAAAGAAAAACAGAGGAGTTTAGAAGATATTTCAAAGAAATCACAACAGATATCACTGCATAGCTTATATTATGTTTAGTCTGGGTCTTACTCAAACATACAACTAAACACCAAGCAAAAACAATCCTGTGCATGTTTATTCAGAGGCAGGTCCCCCTGTCTTCAATGGGGCTTATTCCTGGGGGAATTCAGAGAGCCTTATATGTGTAATTATCAGGAAAGTTACTCCACAACATGTGGTGGTGGAGAACAGCCTAAAAAGCTTTTTAAAAGGATTCAACCAGTTCATGGAGGATAAAGTCTATGAAAGGTTATTAGCCTTAGCAGCTAAATTGAACTTCTGTGTGCTGAGGCAGTATACCAGGTGCTGAGGACAAAGCATTAGGAATGATACCCATTATGTTAGTCATACATGTAATAGACCCACTGAATTCAACAGATTTCAGAGGGCCCAACTTAAGTTGGATATCAGGATTAGCCAAACCCTTCATGTACTACTTTTTAAGGGCCCAGAGGCCTCAGGCATTCTGCAGTTGGAAACCATGTTGGGCTTAATGGATCTAGGAACTGATCCAACCAAACAATTATTCGCTAATTAATTTACACTCTTAGCACAGCTAAAATGCTCTTGACATTACCTGTATGAAGGCTCATGTGCTCCAGGAGTGAATGTTTTGTTGTTAAAGCCTTACTGCAAACAGTACAAGTGTATGGCCGTTCTCCAGTATGCATTCGCTCATGAACCTGGAGAGAGTGTTTCTGGGAAAAGCCTTTACCACATTCACTGCACTTAAACGGGCGCTCCCCTAAAAACAAGGTACCAGGTTTGTGAGTGGCAAATAGTTAGACAATTCAAGTTGACAGAAAGATGTTTCAAACCACGTTATTTAAAAGAAAACCCCAAACATTTTTTCAAAACTGTAGGTTAAGAAAAATTAATTGAATGGCTATCGTGAAATCATTATTAATAACTTGATGATATTCAAAGTGCTTCACATACTGTATTTACACAAATCTAATGCACCATCAAATCTAATGTGCACCTCAATTTTCAAAACCTTTAAACCAAAAGTGTTTGCTATGTCAGCGTTGCAGACCTTCCCAGTCAAGATGCATTGGGGCAATGAATGATCATGACAATGTAAGTCCACTGCCATCCCCATAAACCGTAGCAGCTGCCCATTATTGCATTACGTTGCAGGGAGGGAGAGATAATCAGGAAAATATTATGGAGAAACCACCTTCATCAGTTCCTCTTCTGAAAGTTAAGAGCCTGCCAAAGTTCTATGCTGAAGTTTTAATGAAATGTTTTGATGAATAGATTCGGTAAAAGATTATACTAGAAAAATCAAGCAGTATTTAGACAACAGTATTCTATGCTATGTGTAGGGATGCGGGTGGTGCTGTGGGTTAAACCACAGAGCCTAGGACTTGCCGATCAGGTGGTCGGTGATTCGAATCCCCATGACGGGGTGAGCTCCTGTTGCTCGGTCTCTGCTCCTGCCAACCTAGCAGTTCGAAAGCACGTCAAAGTGCAAGTAGATAAATAGGTACCGCTCCGGCGGGAAGGTAAATGGTGTTTCTGTGCTCTGGTTCGCCAGAAGCGGCTTAGTCATGCTGGCCACATGACCCGGAAGCTGTACGCCGGCTCCCTCAGCCAATAAAGCGAGATGAGTGCCACAACCCCAGAGTCGGCCACGACTGGACCTAATGGTCAGGGGTCCCTTTACCTTTACTATTCTATGCTATGTAAATATTTTGTGCTGTATCATGTCATGCAACAAAATATATATACACAAAAAGGTACATCTGAATGCAGTCTATATAGAGTCAATAGCTGCTTTTCATATCATAAATAAGATGTTATTTGGTGTATGGGTTTTGTTTTCTCGACTTTTGGAGTGTGCAAAAACATTTTTTCTGCTATATTGTTTATAAATTTAAAATGGACTTTTTGTTTAAACTATCTATCTAATGATTTTTAGTGTGTGATTTCATCCAATTTGTTACTGGATTGATTTCATTAAATTTATATACTTACATAACTGTTAAATCATTAGCATATGGTCATGCAATAAAAATTACATTACACCTTAAGAGCTAGCTAAAACATTTCAATAAAAAGCACAGTTTAAGGAGCATTGTGGCTATGGTATGCTACAATTATATTACTGAATGAAATAAACTGATCATTAGTACCTACCCGTATGACTTCTTCGGTGAATAGCTAAAAAATGGTTATATTTAAATACCTTCCCACAGTCTTTGCACTCAACTTCAGAACCTGTACGTTTTCTTCTCCTATCATGTCTCTTTTTCAGCCCATTGTCCTCTTCATCACCAATAAGTTTATAATCTCTTAGCTTGATAGACCGCTGTATCCTACGTTTGCTGTAACGACTCTGACTGGCCTGTATACTTTGGCACTTAGGATCATAGTTCTCATCTTTTTCAGTGGAGACACTCACCGCAGCATCTGAACTACAAGCATGATCAGTATCTCTTGCTTCTCTGCTTACAGGAACCTCCTCATTGGAATCTCTGTCTTCCACCACAGCATCTTTATCCATAAAGTTTTGCTTATTATGAACAGAGTTGTTCTCTCTTAACTGAGCATCTTCAGCAGATATCCCAAGTTTTTCCTCTTGGATATTCTTCACTTTTCTTGGTCTTCCACGTTTTCGCTTTGGTGGATCTTCACTTTTCTTGTCATTTGTCAAGGCAGCTACTGTGCCCCCATTAGTAGGCGTGGCAGATAATGCGCTGCTAAAATTCTTCTCTTGTTCTGTGTAAGCCCTTACTAAATCGTTCACTTTGAGGAGATGAGCTGTGGCTAAAATCTGCTCTGTACTTTTTTCACTAGCCTGCAGAGAACCAGTGTAGATAAACTCCAACAGCGCACCAAAAGCATCTGACACCATTCCTTCCAGCATATAGATCGACTGGCCAATCTCTCCCTCATCAACAAACATCATGGAGAAATATTCACTGCTGGCAGCAAGTAAAGCTTTGTGTGCTCTAAAGTGAACATTTTCTACAATTAAAGTGATATCACACAAAAAATCTTTTCTCCTCTGTTCTTCAAAACTGGCCAGAATAGTATCTCTGTGAACTTGTGAGTGGATGATTATACGCTTCTCAGAAGCATCAGGAACTGCTGCATCCATTGTTGCTGTAAACAGAAGAAAGGTTGAGAAACACTGCTGTGATTCAAGGAGCTTCTTCATGATTGGAAAAGTTCTTGTGTATGCACATGGGGCGATTACAGATTACACAGAGCATTAACTGCTGTTCTGGAGGATTCCCCAATCTCCTAAAGTGGCTTGGAAGTTAGTTTTTTTTATCTCTCCCTGTTGGTTTGGATGCATGGAGTATTCCTCCATGAAGATAGGAAGCTGCATTGTACTCAGTTAGATTATCAGTCCATCTGTTTAGGGAAGTTTTTAATATTCAGCTGCTCAGAGTGGCTGGGGAAACCCAGCCAGATGGGTGGGGTATAAATAAATTATTATCATCATCATCATCATCATCTAGTTCAGTATTATCTACACCAACTGGCAGCATCTGTTCCGGTCTTCAGAAAGGATACTTTGCTTGGGTAGCTATACTTTTAAAAATAAATGTAGTAATTTACTAAGGAAACTATTCATATTGACCAGGCATTCTTCTGCTTGGAATTCTCTATTCCTGTTCACAATAAAGGACCATGAGACAAAGTAACTCTATTATAAATAATGTCTCTAGAGCAGCCTAAGGTTCATCTGGCCCAATGTTTTATTTCTATTAGCAGAAGGCCAGAAATTCTCAAATAGAGCTTGATGGTGACAGAATTAGTTGCCCCAGCATCTATACTTGAAAATGGAGGCCACACTTGGCTTTTATGGCCAATACCCAACGACCAACTCAACTTCTATGAATTTGTCTATGCACTAAAGTATTCAAGTATTTCTTGCATTCGTGGTAAGAAATGCTTACCTTAGAAGACACAGTGTTGTAAGGAAAATAGTAGCATTAATACTGTATGCCAGAAATGGATTTAAGAGACCAAAGCAAGAACGCGCCTCTTAGGAATATAGAAAGCTGCTTTATACCAAGACAGATCATTGGTCTATCTAGCTCAATATTGTCCGTACTGATTGGCAGTGGATTTCCAGTAAGGATTCTGTCCCAGACCTACCTAGAGATGCCAAGGACGGAATCTAAGATCTTCATGTAAAACATGTGCTCTGCCACTGAGCTATGGCCCCTCCCCATAGCTTGTTTTCTCAGTATACCACATACCCCAAATTCTAAGCATAACTCAGTCTAGATTGCAGCCAAATAAATAATTTGCATTTTGAGGAGGGAGGGTAAAAGAGACTGCCTGGTAGAAAATAAGTGTAAATTTACAGAAGGACCTTTTCACAGAGGTTGTGAATCTACCGGGCACTACTCAAAGTATGCAGAGCAGCTTGCAATATAACCAAATAGCATAGCAAAGCCCAACTGAGCCTCAAACTTATGTGTATTATTTCCCTGGAATAAGGAATTGTGTAGTAACCACCTTTGCTCAATAAGATTAGTCTTAAGAAAGTCTTTTATTAGATCACTATTGGGCTCATCATATCAGCAGAAATCATCTGGTTTTCTTTTCCAATGCTTTTGCAAGTTTAGAGTAAAGGAAAACAATCCCAGGCTGTTTCATGTCCTGTTCCGACGTAGCCTTTATCTGCAGTCATCCGCATGTGCCATCTACTCACAATACCATCACTAAGAACATCAAAGATATCAAGTTGTACGTATTCCAAAAAAATATTTTTATATCACAGTTCCATAAAGACAACAAGAGTATGCTAAAGTTCCTTCCAATGAACTTGTTCCAGGAGGGAAATATCTCACTAATGAAAGAATAGGCAAAACTAATTTTCTCCCTTATTATTCTCTAAACTCCTCCCACCTAATGACTCCCATTGACAACCAATGAGAAAAACAAAAACAGAAGAAAAGGGAGTTATGATGATGATGATGATAGCAGAAAGATAAAGAACCGGAAAAGGGAGTAAACTTGCCCATTCTCTTCTCTCCTCTCTCCACGGGGGAGGGGTCTGTGTGGGAAGAAATCAAAATTCTATCCTCTGTCCCTTTTTACTTTTCTTGACAATAAGTTCAACAGGTGATGCTTCTTCCATCACGACGTGGAGATGCCAAATACCAGAAAGGCTCCACCTGCCGAATTCCTGCTTCTTGGGCGATTACTAATTTAAAAGGCACAAGAGCTTTGCCAGGAAAGACAGCGCTGGCAGCCCAGCCCCACACCAGAAATTGCTGTCAACTAGGAGCAGGACAAGGGACCACCCTGACTGGGAAAGAGTGGCAGGCACAGGAGCATGGAGGGAAAGGGGAGGGGGGAGGCAGAGCCCTCCTCGGTGGAGACCGTTATCAGCGCTTCAAAGGGAAGGCAGACTCACCACGCGCGAAGGAGGCTCCGGACCCCGAGCCCCGTGACAGGGAGTTGAGCAAGAAGCCGACCGCGCAGGCCAAAAGCGGCAGCCGCGCACCCCGGAAGTGACGCTAGCGCGGAGCAGGAAGTGGATCAGAAATCCTTCGCGCGGCAGTGGGTGGAGCAAGAGAGGAAGTTCGCTGCGATGGACGGGAGCGGCGGGGGAGACTCCGGAGGGCGCAGGCGGCTCGGATGGTTCGTTTGCTGCTCTCAGGCAGTCAAGCGGGAGCTGGCCGCGGAAAGGAGGCACGTCTGGCGTATTGCTGCACCGGCAGGGATGAGTCAAGGGCGGGCGTCCCGTCCTCTGCCGCTTCCTTCCCCGAAGTTGGACGGCACAAGGCAGCTGACTCACTTGCTCGCCTGCAAAAGCAGACGTGGAGGCGGCAAGGAGCAGCAAGCCTTGCCTCCACGTTTGTTCGTCTCTCGGGTACGGATCGGACTTGATTTAAGTAAAAGCTAAACAAGCTATAGCTTAGGGCCCCACTCTCTTGCCCCCACCAAAAACCGGAAAAAACCCCTGGATGTACATTTCCAAAATATCAGATAAAAAACAAATAAAATAAAACTTACATAAAGCAACAGTGTTTTTTGTTGTGTAGGCTCCTATGATGTAAGTACAGTGGTACCTCGGGTTACAGACGCTTCAGGTTACAGACTCCAGTAACCCAGAAATAGTACCTCAGGTTAAGAACGTTGCTTCAGGATGAGAACAGAAATCACGTGGCGGCGGCAGCGGAAGGCCCCATTAGCTAAAGTGGCACCTCAGGTTAAGAACGGACCTCCGGAACGAATTAAGTTCTTAACCCGAGGTACCACTGTAATGGGCCCCGCCTGCTAGCCTGCTCCCTAAAATATCACTGGTTTGCTCATTTCTGTATATAGGGTGTCTACATTCTGCATGGACTGGTTGCATGGCAACATGTGCAAATAGCTTTAGATACCTGTTAGGTCCATAAATTACCATATAGCATATATTCAACACAAAAAACAGTGACAATTTGTTGACGACAAATGACAGCTGGACATATAAAGGGCCCCATTACCTTCAGTAGCTTAGGGCCTCATCAAACCTAAATCCGGCCCTGGACTCGCAGCACCACCCAGAGGGACAGTTCTGGTGAGTAAGCGAGAGATGGGATAAGCTACCTCTGCTCTTGGCTGGAAGGATTGGGGCCCACTTGCTATCGTTGCAGGCCAACAGGGAGGATTGGAAGCGCTGGACTCGTTCGTTGCCGCTTCCACCATCCAAATGGAGGGGGCAGGCAAAGGGAGCGAAGGAGCAGGAGTCAGAGCTATATAGCAGGTTAACCAAATAAATGACTATCCGGACAACGTTGCTTACACATCAAGCTGAAGCGAGACATAGAAAGTATACAGGAAAAACCACTTGTTCAAATCCTAGTCTTGGCTGATGTTAATTCTTTGGTCACAGGAGAATCTTGTAGTTGCTGAGCTGGGAGGCTAAGCATAAAGGCATTACTTGGAAACAAGCCCAACTGAAATCCCTTTATATAAGACCAGAAAAAGTGATAACCCACCACCAAAACACTGTTTAATGGGGAAGTCCCGAATAGGAGATTGATGAGAAATGGTTCAGCACAGACACTAATTTGCTACTTCCTCGAAAACAGGTTTATCAAGTACAGCAGAAGATGCCACATCTTCTAAGAAACATCTGATTTTCCACTTCTATAAAGAAGGAATTGCGTGAAGGGAGATGCAGGCAGGTGCAGTCTCTTTCATCTGAGAACCTATTCAAAGTATCTCAGTGTGTCTGTTCTGCCATATAGGAACACAGTTCATATATTGACTGCATATTGACTGTTCATATACTGTATTGACACACAATTGACTGCATTTCTTAGATGTGCCCACACATGAAATAGCAGCATGCAGCTGTTTCAGCTGCTGACAGTGTACACTATTACTCTATGCTAAGTGTGTTAAGTTGTGGGTGAACATATCAGACGACACAGCAATTCTTCAAACAGCTCTTGTTTATTCACAGGCCAGAACAGAACTGAACTGAAGGGTTCAGCCAGCCTGCTTATATAGAGCTCCACTAGAACACAACAGTAACCATTTTCTGTAACTATCCAATCACTGAACGTCACTTTCGATCCCTTATTTGCATATGTGGACCTGAACTATCTACAGTATCCCCCTGCTGGCCCAGGGTGAGAACTTCAGTACATAACAAAGTGGCTCTCGTTCCTTAGAAGATTTACACATGCAGAAATAAAATGACCACCCTGTTCATAATACTATGCAGAAGGGCAAAATAAAATTATTTACTCATAACTCTTCAGAATCAGTATGCAGCAAGCAATGGGCATTAGTTGAATATTGTTTAATTTCAATTAAATATACTTCACAAGGAATAAAGATAAAAAAACACTAATTACAGAAGACCAAAAGCATTCTCTCTGTGGCTTTATAATAAAATACATTACATTTAAATATCTGCATTAACAGCATTAGAGAACAATAGTTTTAGATTGAATATTTTTCAATGACAGCAATATAATTAAAAACCAAGTATATTTTAGTATTAGTTGCAGAATATATGAGTAAACTGCAAATTGTCCCATTAAAATGCATGAAACTATAGGACTTTTGTTTATGTTGCTGAGGCTGTTACGCTAGATCCATCATTTATTGGGCACAATCAGCACAAAAACCAAAAGAATTTAACATTCAAATGTGAATATATTCCAGGCTAATGAGAGGTTGGATCCACATCTTTGAGAGACAAAAAGGTATGTAATTTGTGATCAAAGTCAATAGGTCGATTTTGAGGTTCTTTATACCTCTGTGTCATTTTGATTCCCAGGTATGGGATAAGTTCACAATGATCTATGAAGCGTTCCAACTTCCTCTTGTACTTCTTTCGTATATAATCAGAGCTCCTGGGGTTATATGCTGCAGGAAGTTAAATAATACCGATTATGCCATATCACTTGTACTTCTTAATTCATTGTGCAATTATACAACACTTAAGGACATAGTATAGAATTATTTATGCAACATCAAGTGCCTACAAGATCTCCAGACTGAATCCCTATCGACATTAATGTTAACAGTGATGTGCAGTTGCTTCTAACTAGAAATCCAGATTTTAGGTACAGTGTCTAACTTGGTTATCTAGTGGCCAAAACTGCATGTGATGGAGGTAGATCCGTGTAGGTCTGCACCATTAACATGCAGAGGAAGGGGTATATGTGCAATTTAAAGAGTCAATTTAATATGTGCAACTTAAAGAGTGCATAGGTATTGGATGTCAAATCCTTCCTGCACCCCACACCTGTGCTTCCAGCTGGGCTTCTTCTTGGAGCCAGGTGTAAGAAAAGTATCTGGAGGGATGAATTAAGAGGGCCAGGTAGGAGAAGGATTCAGCACCCATCTCCCCCACTTTCCACTTCAATGGGGCAGGCCCATATCTATAGACATGGGGTTGTATCCAGGGTAGTGTGCTTTGTGAATGTTCTGTCAGAGCAAGGATTTCTCCTAGCACAATAGAACCCTACCTTGTCACTTCTAGTTTGATCATAGACTATTCTAGGATGAATGTGTCCAGCTTGCAGGAGAATAACCTTCCACTCGCATAAAGGGATTTCCCCTTTCTCCTGTCCCAACACTCTTTCCCATGGCCCCCAAATCTCTTCTGGAGGGTTGAATGGGAGATCTTATTGCATGAGCAGAATTCTGCTTGCATTGACTTGTGTCACCATGTATGTTTTAACAAAATAATAAAAGATCAATGTCAAAAATATGAACTAATTTTTATTTTATTTTATTTCATACTATAATAGCACAGGTTTTACTGTACCTTTCAAATGATAGGCTATGAACAGCAGAGCAGTCTTTTTCACACTTAGGAAAGGAAATTTTGGTTTTAAACAACCTACTTCATTCATTGCTTTTATCAGAGCTGTGGCCACACCCTACAAACAAACACAAACACTAATGTTGGCTGAGCAATACAAACACTACTCCGTGAATAAGGTTTTATGTATTGTAATCTTTACTGCTTGGTGCTATCATTCATAATCTGGCCTTTAATTCTCTCCTCTGTATTAATTACAGTGCCTTTCAGTTTTGTATCACTTTGAAAGTTGCTCAACATATTCCTAACTCTTGACATCCAAGTCATAGTTTCAGCAGCCCCTGGAATTCTGATAAAGACCTTTATCACTACCTGTCAGTTTAGAGAATACCGAATGACCTTCCAAAAGCTTACAGAGTTAAAACAAGTGCAACATTTGGGCCCTTCTTTCCATTACTGTCCATTACTTTTGAAAAAGGAAGGAAGGCATCAGTCATGTTTACCAGAATGAAAGAAAACCCTTTGCAAAAATAAGACTAAAGCTGTGACATGGCTTCATTACATTACTGAATTCATTTAGCAACGTTGAGATTAGATACTGCCCATTTGAATCTTGGCCCCCAAAGTTAAGTCAATTTGAGTGTCATTAACAGTAAATAATAACCTGTTCCAGGTATCCAGTCAGGGGAAGAGCTGTCAGCAATATTGGCTCCTTTATTGGGGGAAGTTTATGTGGAAGAGTCTGGTTCCAATATTTCTCTGGTAATCTAAGAATACAGAAATTTCAGGTTTTTTAAAAAAACAAACCAAACACAAAGCAATAAATAAAAGTAAAAAAGTGATGTATTCAGTACCTCATAAACTTTTGAAGCTTTTCTTCACTTTCAAAAATATATAGCTTGTTGCGATAAAGTACAGCATATTCAATGTCCCCAGGTACCAGTGCTTCATACCTCAAAACAGCAAATGAAAGAAAGATATCACCACATTTGCATCTCATACTTGCTGCAGTTGTTCTTTTACCCTGGTTTTAAGTGATTTGTGGCTTTAAACTGAAATTTTATATTTAGTCCAGAAATTGATTTGCAACCAGTGAAACTGGCATAAAAGAGGAGTTGCATGCTCCAGAAAAACATTTTGGACCAGGTGTTTTCAAAAGCAGATCCAGCATGTGGCAAGAACCAGTCTTTGTATAATACTGCAATCCTATACATGCCTGCTCTGAAGTAAATCTCACTCAGTTCAGTGGAGATTGCAAATAAATGGGTATAGGATTGCAACCTGAAGCATGCATGCCCAAGGCCAGGTCTACTTTCTCCAGAAGTCACAGTTGATACACTTGCCTATGAAGTGCTTCTGGCCACACCTGCCACCTGGAGGAGCATCCCCAAACTATGAACCGGATTGTTTGAAAAGAGTACAACCACATCCCAAGCATGCTACATCAATATCCTTGGATCAGGACTTCTAACCAGGAACATTTCTGTTAAGTGGATTACATTTGTATGTCCTCATCCAGTCCATTACTGATTGTGGATTCATGTGGCTGATCTAAATTTTTAATCCATGAAGGGTAACAGTTGCATAGTTTTTTGAGGTGCAAAACAGTCCTTTTGTGAATGGAAGGTATTTACAGAATGCAGAAAAGCACCTTTAGATACACCCAAATAATGCAAAGATTCTTAAATCCTATGTAAAGTTATCAAGTACCCCCACACACACCATGTTAACTTCACCTTCACCACTTTAAAATTTTATTCACTAAAGTCCAATAAATAATACAATGTGATGCAGAATAGTAATGATTCTGCAAAGTGGAAGGTGTTGGAGTTCGCCTGTTTGAGAACTTATTAGCACAGATTGCATTTTTCTATATTCTATATTAACAGAAATCCTTGGAAATACAAGTGTTCACCTTTGCTTCCCATCTAGGTAAGTAACTGGACAGAATCCTTGCAATTCAGCTTGCATAGGAAATAAAGCCTTCACATCTGCTGCAGTCAGTTTCTTTGGTAGTTTATGTGGGAGAGGGAGAGGATAAGGTGCTAATGGGGGGACATATAATTCTGGATTCTTCAGGAATTTCTGCATTGAAAGCAATGTATGAGAGAGGAGAAACATTTCATGTTTTCATTCATGGTCAAAATCATTTGAGGCTACTTATTAAGGAACAGATGTATCCTCCCCCTTATTTCTTATATAACAGAAGTTCTGAAATTCTAGTCTACAGACCAGTGGTCCATGAGCTTCAGTCAGGTGGCATAGCCACTGTGAAAGGCAGACATGGTGAATTAAATATTTTTTATTGTATATTTGTAGCTGCTTTTATTTCTTACGTTGTGTTTTCTTATCTATTGTATTTTATATTATGTGGAATTCAATTTGTAATACAATAAAATATATAAGAAATAAGATCAGCAAGAAAAATACAATTAAAAAACATACAACATATAGAAGAATACATTATAAGTCATACAAAAGGCAGAAAAATCTTTTAAGTGGTCCACCAAGACTCTTAGCAATTTTCCAGTGTTCTTGGGGGTTGGGGACCACTGTTATATATAACATTCTACACCAGTTGCATTAGGTGCACTTCAGAATAAAGACATAATCCAATTTTGAATGAATGGATCTTTATTTGCGTCCGCCATCAACCACAGCAACAAAACAACAATGCGAAATACAAAGAACAGAAATAAAAAGTCAATTATATAAAATACACTTTAGGGTCCTGAATCAACAGTCAAATAGTGAACCTTACTCTGATTGCCCCAGCAAAAAACCCTGCAACCTTTGCTGTCACCTGCTCATCTTGATCTGTCAAGAGAAAGGACACAGTGACAGTGGTTGGGCGACCCGGAATGGACAATAAAAGAAGAAGAAGAGGAGGAGTTTGGATTTGATATCCCACCTTTCACTCCCCGTCAGGAGTCTCAAAGCGGCTAACAATCTCCTTTCCCTTCCTCCCCCACAACAAACACTCTGTGAGGTGGGTGGGGCTGAGAGACTTCAAAGAAGCATGACTGGCCCAAGGTCACCCAGCAGCTGCATGTGGAGGAGCAGAGACGCGAACCTGGTTCCCCAGATTACAAGACTACCGCTCTTAACCACTACACCACACTGGCTCTCCAGTGTGGAGTGATAATCAAAGAGGGGTGATAATCTCATTCCTCAAGTCTTTATAAAGAGTGCAAGCCAGAAGGGCAGGCGCCACCGATTTGGGACTGCCATCTCCACGGGGACATGTGTTTTTTGTGTGGAATCTGTTGGACTCATCCCTCAAGTGCAGCCAAGGGCAATACATTCAATCTTGCGAGGGTAAAAGCATGTCTATATTTTAGAATTGCTAGGTTATGCAGATAGGGTGCCAGAGAGTCAAAATGGGAAGGTGGAAAATAGGCATACCATGGGCAAAATTTCCTTATCGTGGCCAAGTTGTTCTGATGCTTGATATAATTTAGGTGCTGACAAATTAGACTGTTTGATTTACTAAAACCCAAAGTGAGTAGCTGTTGTGGTGATAAACCACAAGAGTGAAGTTTTTGATAAACAATTTTAGTCCAGGGGTTCTTGTGACAATCTTGCAGCACTAGGGATATTAGACTGGGGGGATTTGAGTTTAGGCAAAGCCAATAGTTAAGTGTCCTATGCCAGATCCATAATTCTACCAAGGGGAGGTTAGCCTGGCGCAATGATGCGTTTGGGACACAGGGAGGTACAGAAAAAAATTGCCTTAAGAACTTTGATTGGACATCTTCCGTAGATCTAAAGTGAGTGCCTGTCCAAATCTGAGCCCCATATAATAACTGTGATGGGTTTTAGCTTGGAACACTTCCAGGACTGATGGTATATATTTACCACCTTTTGTGTGGAAAAAGCATTTCAGAATTTTGGTGCTTTGGGACGCTTTTTCTTTTGCACATAATCCAATCTTTGTTTAAGGGACAGAATCCAATTCTGAGAGATAAAGTAGTCCAGGAGAACACAATAAAGGTAACATCATCACGGCCCAGCTTTCGGTGAAAAAAGAGGCTATGAGGACAAGCAGGTGATATGATAGAGGGTGTGAACTTATTCAAAATAAAGGCAAACGCTTGGGTATTGCCACCCTCCTCAAAATCATCATTTCACTCAACACACATACATCAAGAATGCAAACATTTGGAAAGAAAATTCTAACCTAACAATGGAACTTCCCTTTCACTGGGGTCATTTTGAATAAAGGGTTTATAAAAACAAGGCCATATGACAAATGTCACAGCAAAACAATGGCTAACTACCGTATTTTTCGCTCTATAAGACGCACCAGACCACAAGACGCACCTAGTTTTTGGAGGAGGAAAACAAGAAAAAAAATATTCTGAATCTCAGAAGCCAGAACAGCAACAGGGATCGCTGCGCAGTGAAATCAGCAATCCCTCTTGCTGTTCTGGCTTCTGTGACAGCTGCACAGCCTGCATTCGCTCCATAAGACGCACACACATTTCCCCTTACTTTTTAGGAGGGAAAAAGTGAGTCTTATAGAGCAAAAAATACGGTATTTCTTGGAGTCAGCATCCATAAAACAATAATTCTTAACACTTCTATATAATTAAAGCATTCAAAGTGCTTCCCATAACAGTAAACTACAGTAGTTTGAGTGCCATATTGCAAATGGTTGAAGCTAACTGGAGTCTAGTCCTCAAATACATTTGTTAGTATTTAAGATACCCCAAAACTCTACAATCTTTTGGCTTGCCTAAGGCCACCTAGTGAGTTTGTGGCAGAGGTAAGACTGCAAATAGGGAGTTTCCAGCCCACACTGAGCTACTGCTTTCCAAATGGATTATGTATATATATTCTACCCCTTTTGATACTTACATCTAGTTCCTCTTGTCCAGCCATTTTGTAGTAATGTCCTCGAAATTCTGCTGCAAACTTTAGAGAAGGCGTTACAGAACAATCGACGAGCTCTCCCTTTTCTGCAAGGCTGACAGGACAATATTGCCCAAACTCTCCCAGCCGAGACAGCAGCTCTTGCGGCATGATACACAAATCGGCAATACTGGCTGCCATTCCTGTTAACAATTGGATACAATGCTGTGAAGTTTCACCTGTGACACTGCAGATTTGGAAGATTATACCTATTCTACTGATATGTGAAAATGCAAAAGCTATACCAAACAATACAGAGCAAATCAGTATGTTATACTGTATATAGCTAGGTTGGCAGGTCAGTCAGATTAACTTCTGTGAATATCAAGAAGTTAGAAAGATGTTTCTAATTTAATCTAGCCTCCATGAAGCAGAGGAAGCTCACCAGTTTGTGGAATCTAAAGGCTTACTACACATGACTAATTTATTAGAATGAGTCGTGCAAGTTAGCTTTACTAGCAGTATTGTATTTCATTCACAGCTGAAAACAATTCATTTGCTAAATGGGTTCTTTACATGGAGGACACTAAATTATAACTGGACTTTGACCATATGTAGCGTTTCACTTCAGTTTTCAAACAGAATCTGGAGTCTGCTTACAAAATGCTGCTTTGAATAAAAAATGAGTAAGAACAACAACAACAATAATAATAATTGAAGTCAAGTTTCAAGCTGGCCCTACCTCATATTGGTGAAAGGGCAATCCGGAAGGATCCTGACTCTACCAGATAACAGCACTACCATCCCATTTACCATTTGGGTTGACTTGTAACCCCTTTGAAAGATGATGGGCAAGAAGCAGGCCATAAATGTATAAATACAGATAATAACTGCAGAACTTTTGAATTGGTAAGAGTTGTATCCAGTGTTGCGTGAGCTGAAAGTAAACTTCCTCTTTCCTTTCCTCTCAGTAGGGAACCTACTGAGCATTGTGGGCTGCATCTTATGGGGTTGCAGTGGGAGGGAGGGAATAGTCCAAAATTGGTTGGAGTAAATTTGCACCTGTGGAGTGCTAGGTTCTTCCACCTGATTTGGTGTGATTCATGGGATGAGTTCTGGTTGAGAGCAACATAATGTGAACAATGGCCAGAAATCTGGGACTCAAAAAACTTCAAAGTCATGATAAAGCCCAGTGTGGACCAGCCCAAAGATTTGTAATGGGTTCATGTTCTCTTTATTATTCAAATAGGTCATGTGCTTCTTCATCATCAGACTCTGAGCTTCTATTTTTAAGTTTCATATTAATCTTCATTTATTTGACGTTAAAGTCAAATCCAAGTAACATAATAGAATTACATATAAAATCCACTAACAACCTCCCCCCAATTAATTTAAAACAGGATTCTTTGCTTACCTTGTCGTATTCTTTCCAGATAGATCTGGATCTGCTTGGTGATTGCTTGAGTTTCCTCAAGTATTTTGTTCCAGATCCACCATTTGCTGTGTGTTGCATCAATCACATACCAGTTTTGGTGCTGTTCCTCGTAGTAAGGTCTTATTTCTTCTGTTTGTGCTCTGTAACACGAATTCTTGATAGAGAGAATATGGGAGCTGTCGTGCATTGGATAAGGATATCTGAGAAGACAATTTTAAGTGCATTAATATTAGGCTTTAATATCAGCCTAGTATGAGCAGTAGGTTAGTGCACAATGGCCAACTGCTCCCACTTCACTACTTCCCTGGTCCATGTGTGAGAAACCTACCAGGAAGCTACCACTAAGCTTGGCTTCCTGTTATGTCCAAACCCTAACAAGCCACAACTGCTAATCAGCCTTAAACCATGGTTTGTTGGTGGCTTACATATTGTGGCTTGTTAGGAAATAACAATCCACAGTCCATTGTTTGGATGTAAAGGGAAGCCAAGTATAATGGCAGCTTCGTAATTTGTTTTTCCTGTTTCTGCCAGGGGAGTAGTGAAGTGGGAGCAACTGGACATTGTCTACCATGCTGCTCCTTCACTGTAAACTATGTTAAGCCAGAAACCATGCCTAATTGTGAAGTACAGTGGTACCTCGGGTTACATACGCTTCAGGTTACATATGCTTCAGGTTACAGACTCCGCTAACCCAGAAATAGTACCTCGGGTTAAGAACTTTGCTTCAGGATGAGAACAGAAATCGTGCTCCGACGGCGTGGCGGCAGCAGGAGGCCCCATTAGCTAAAGTGGTGCTTCAGGTTAAGAACAGTTTCAGGTTAAGACTGGACCTCCAGAATGAATTAAGTACTTAACCCGAGGTACCACTGTATTAATGTGCCCTGAGGGAGTTATTACTTCACACCCTTCATGGTGTTGCTACCTGTTAGGGATCTGTTTATCCTGCAGTGCTCTTCTGAGGACCTCCTTCACATCAATATCTAATTCAAAGATTTTTACTGGAATGATTTTCATTTCTTCAAGAAGGTCTACTTGTTTTCTTGTTACAGGGTATCCATCAATAACAACTCTGTGGGAGGGAAAATGACCACAATTCAGATTGGGTTCAGATTTATTATTTATTTGTATAACAGTAACTCTTGTTGATGAAGCCCATACACATGCCAGGATATCCTGAATCAGGAATAATAAACAGAGCCAAACAGCATATTCATTCTTTATTATTCCTGTTGGCACTGTGCCGATTTCCAGAATTATTTTAAAGCTTTGAATCAGCCTTTTTATAAAGAAACATAACCAGGGTTACATTTTGAAGGGACTGAATAAAACTAGAATAGGCTGTCAAAACATAACATAGTATCATTCACCAGGGAACTAAGTAGGTATTTTTGAGCTAGCAGGCCTCAATAGTATTCCAACATTGTACATAGTCCTAAATTAGGAGTGAGGAACCTTTTTGGCTCCGTGGGCAAACTTTATCAGGGGCAACCCACCTGTCAGTCACATGATGTTCCTTCCCACCTTGTGTGGGGTTCCCAAGCTTCTTGGGTGCAAGGACCATTGCCAGCCCCACAGTTTGTAAGCCTCTCCATGCTTTTCCTTTTCACCTATAATGTCAGGGCAGCTTCACCAAACCATCAGTGCTGGGATAGAGAAGCTGTTTCTACTGACTGGAAGTTGCTTCTCCTCCTTGAGCAAGTCACAAACTTACTGCCCATCAGCTGATAGGTGGTTGGGATCACACCTTCTCCAGTACAACAACTATCATAAGCCCACTTTAAGCTCCCAATTGTTCTTTGAAGCCTCAATTCACACATTATGTATGACAGATGTAAGGGAGATGGGTGTGGCTGCTCCGCTTTGCAGGGCAAATAGGGAGGCCTAGTAGGCCAAGTTTGACCCTTAAGCTGGAAGCTCATCACTCCTGTGCTAAGTTATAGCATATCAACTACAGAATCTGTTCCTCCTGTCCTTAGTCAGGAATCTTATACAGTTGTACTTTGGAAGCCAAACAGAATCTGTTCTGGAAGTCCGTTCAACTTCCAAGGCACGGCTTCCAATTGGCTGTCAAAGCTTCCTGCAGCCAATTGGAAGCCCTGCTGGATGTTCAGCTTCCAAAAGAATGTTTGCAAACTGGAACACTCCTGGGTTTGTGGTGTTTGGGAGGCAAAACTTTCGACTGCTAAGGAGTTCGTCAACCAAGGTACGACTGTACATGTTTATAGACTCAGATAATGGCCTGGTTCACAAGTCATACTAAGCCAAACCATGGCTTGCCATGAATGTGTGGGCTCCAGGAGAGGCGAAAGTGACCGCTTTGTTCCTCCCCAGTTGCTCTACTGCTGTTCTGCATGAAGCTAAGCCATAGCTTTGATTAGCATGTACTCTGAACCTGAGTTCATGGTTTAGCTTGCTCCAGACTTACCATAAGTAGTAGGCAAGGTTTGTCCTATGGTTTAGGGCTCATGGTATGTCCGGGATAGCTAAACCACATGTCTGGGTTTGGATGACATGCTAAGTCACGGGTTAGTGTAGTGTAGCATCAGAGCAACTGGGGAGGAGCAAAGGGGCTGTGATCTCCTCTCCAGGAGTCTGCACTCTGTTGGGTTCATGCTAAGTCATGGTTTGGCTTTGTGTGTTGTGCAATCCAGGCAATTCTGTTCAATGGGATTTACCCCCAGATAAATATGCACAGGACTGCAGCCAGAGCCCTTCTCTGTTTCACCAGGGCTTTAAAAAATATCTAAAAGATGTATTTGCAGGATTAAGACACAAACTACTTTTCACAATTTCAAGTACGATTTTTACTATCCTCCTCCTTTAATGAAGAATACCAAAACACCCTGATGAGAAATGCTTATAATCTGCCAGCATGCGTATCTGAACCTTTATGACCAAATTGTACAGCATTATTTATTACATTTTTTGGTTTTATGTTAGGCAAGGCAGAGTTGCATGGCAGACAAAGGCAACTGCCTTTCATATCTGCTGGAAGCAATGTTATGCAGATGTAGTCCTAAATGTGACCCATCTGGAAGCAATGCTATGAAATAACTAAAATGAAAGTCTCTCACCCTGAGGTGTTACACACAGTATCCATCAGTGAAATATCTAGAGCCCTCACAGCAAGTTCATCAGGTGCAGTCAATCCTTTCTGCAGATGCCACTTCAATATAAGCGCTAGTTCTGTCTCTGGCTGATTGTTTAACACCATACGGATGGCATCTCCCATGGAAAGGCGCAACAATCCATATTCTTTTGCAAATCTTTTGGCAACTGCAAAACAGTTTTGTTGTTAATGAGCAGCTTTTGACCACACTGACACATAATACTGACCATTATGTTTTAAAAGAAAAATAATGATTGTGTCAATAGAGCAGAATCACAGTCATAGGTGACCCTCAGACACCACACCGTTAAAGTACATGGCTTCCCCCCAAGAATCCTGGAAACTGGAGTGCTGTTAAGAGTGCTGGGAATTGTAGCTTTGTGAGGGATAAACTACAGTTTCCAGGTTCCTTTGGAACAAGCCATGTACTTCAAACATATTTTGTGGATGTGTCATTAGACCTAGACGGTTATGATAAAAGCGTAAGGTTTACTATGACTGCTTTCTGAAAGTAGCCTGCTAAAGGCGATCCCTTGTACAGTTTAACATCACACAAGAAAAAAATAATGTGTTGGAAAAAACCTAAATGAACTTACCGGCAGTATAGTTATCTGGTAGAACAGAAAAATACCATCCTCTCCATAAATGCAATATTGTTATACCTATATAAACATCTATACACTCAGGACTCAAGACTTACCTGTAGTCTTTCCAGATTTTGGAGGCCCCACAACTGCAATCTTAACTGGCACAGTTGGCTTTGGCTTTGGCTGACGGAGATATTTGATGGGATTTTTCATAAATGTATCCCTGTTCTCTTTGCTTGTAAAGAAATAAATACAATTCCGATGGATAAGTGGAAAGCTAGGAGTATCTTGATTTTGAAAAGGCTTGATTGCATCTCCTTCACTTAGCTGTAATAAACACAGAATTATTGACCTCCAGAACTGCTGCTATAACCATTTTCCAATGAAAAATGTACCGGTATATTCACAATTTAACAAATATTATCTTTTGATTTATAAGAATGAAGCAAAGTTTTCCTATTTTCCTGTTGAAATTACTTATGCTAGCACAAATAATTGGTGAGGAAAAGTTGGCAAGAACAGTCACATCAGCTAAACTAGGGCATTAAAGTAACCAAGCAGCTCTTTTAATGCATTCTTTTGCAGAAAACTATTATGTTAGTAAGAACAATAATAATTTAACAATTTAGTAATTTCTTCTTGGCGTGTCAAGTGCCTATTAGTTTGCAAGTGAAATGTAGCTCATCCCATCTTCCTCACTGTCACTGAATGTCAAAGTTAGGAACTATTTTTGGTTCAGGGCAGATATACCTCTACTAGGGGCACAGCTACACTAACTTGGGTTTCTCCTTTGTTTTATATAGGCAACTCCCTTGGTGCAAAGAAAAAAGGATCTAAAGAAAACAGGCGTTGGGTAGACTGTCTTGAGGGCTTCTCCACACTTTTGCTTGTCCCATGCCTAGAAAGCATGGGTCCAAGTGATTACGCTTGCCTGGCACTTCCCCCTGGAAAACCTGCTCTTTAGTGCTAAATTGGAACAAACTGCATTCTTCCTTCAGGGCAGGAATGCCTAAAGTCCAGCTTGGGGGCCTAATCTGGCAGTTTATTTCCTGGAGTTTATTTTCTTTAAAAAACTGAGTAATCAATCTTGAAAAAAGATCAACAAATTTGGGGGGAAATCCTAAAAAAAAGGTCAACAACTTCGGACGGCCCTCACGCATGTTCACTTCATCAAATCTGGCCCTCTTTGAAAAAAGTTTGGACTCTCCTGCTTTAGGGGAAGGGCTGCAATCCAGAGGATCTGCCTTGAATACAGAAGGTTCCGGGATCAATCCCTGGCATCTGCATGTAAGGCTGAGAATGTTCCCTGTCCGAAACCCTGGACAGCCACTGTCAGTCAGTTTAGACAATACTGAGTTAGATGGACCAATGGTGAGACTCTGTAGAAGGCAGCTTCCTATGGGATGACTATAGCTAAGCACTGGCCTGCACATGGTCATCTTGCCTGACAGCTCTTGAGATATGATCTTCTGTCTAGCTGAGAAAGAAACTGATGTCCATGCAGACCATGATAAGCTATCACTGTGTCTGCGGCCACCACCTAATGAGAAGAGGAAGAACAAGGAAGGCAGGGAACAAGGAAGCCCCTTCCATCCACTATCTGACCTTTGAGATTCTCTACAGGCCACACACACCCTGAAACACATCCTGAACCAGACCTGCTTTGTACTCTGTTTTTCTGGCTGGAATGTACTTGAGCTATGATCATGGTGTTTTTTTTCTTGCTTAGAGGGATGATAAAGGGGAGTGTGAAAGCCTGAAGAGATTAGCCCACTGTAGAAAGCCTACTGACTGGCATGTGCCCTAGGAAGGTTGATCAGAAGGGAATGTAGCCTTCAAGGTTAAAAGGTTTCCCACCCTGATTCTATTAGCAGCAGATATTATATCTGCACAATCAATCCTATTTTACACATTTAGAATAATAAACAATACCTAGAAACAATAGCATAGCACAATTATGCATAAGAATTGATATATGACTCCACATAACTGATTTAAGAAATAATGGTAAAAAACAAGCAAAATATTCTTTCCTAAAGGTTATTTACCTTGATTGGGTCCCATTGGCCAAAATTGCTTGGATGTTTATAGGCAAGAACTAGCATCTTGCGTGCAAGGGATAAGCTTATTGGATAACATTTCTCAAAAATGCTTTCACGATTTTCTATTAGGTCCTTCAGCTTTTTATACAATTGATAGCACACAATGTGAGGCTTTCGCTTGGATACAAGAGTTACTTCGGGTATCAACAATTTTTCAAGTTCCTCCTGTGAACAAAAGCAAGCAAAACAGAAATAACAACAACAAAAAAGCCAAGTAAATCCTTAAGAACACGAACAGAGGCCTACTGGATCAGACCAAAGGCCAGTCTAATCCAGCATCCTACCAGATGTCTATAGGAAACCCTCAGGCAAGACATGGGCACAATAACTCTCTCCCTACTTCTGCTCCCCAGCAACTGATACTGAGAGGGATACTCGGGTCATAGAAGTAACATATAACCATCATGACTAGTAGCCATTGATAGGAAGTACAAAGACTGCAGACATGCGAAGTGAGCACCCAAACAAAAGAGAATGTGTCTCAAGATGCTGACAAAATGGATCATATTTTCAAAGCAGCCCAACACATTTCAGACCATTATATTTAAAGACCGCCTTTAGCATCTTGAGACACATTCTCTTTTGTTTGCGGTAGTATGCTCCATCAATTTGTCTAATATCAGTTTTAAAGTCCTCCATGTTGTTGCAACAAATTCTATTGTTTAACTATGCCTTTACTTAACCTTGCAAATAAAGCAATATATTTAGCAGGCAACACAAAATATTTAGCAGGAGACTTGTACCTATGTGTCAGGTGGCAGATTGACTTGTGATATCTGGCAAACTACTGTATTTTTTGCTCTATAACACGCACCCGACCATAACACGCACATAGTTTTTAGAGGAGGAAAACAAGAAAAAAAATATTCTAAACGAAACAGTGGATGTATGATTTTTGTGGTTCATGCTGTGGCCACAGACATGTGATCTGACGGTGAGTTTGGGGTAGCCCAATGCAAAAATCCTGAGGATCCATGTGGATCCATGCTTTGTAACCACGTTTTTGCGGCCCCAGGCAACAGTGGGTGCGTGATTTTTTTGGTGCAAGCTGTAGCCATGGACATGCTATGTGATCTGATGATGAATTTGGGGTGACCCAGTGCAAAAATCCTGAGGATCCATGTGGATCCGTGCTTTGTAACCAGGCTCTCTGTCCTTCTCTTCTCCCCATTCAGCAGCTCTTCTCCCGCTTTGCTGTTTCAAAGCGAGCAGAGCGAGCCACGGAGGAGGGAAGGGAGGGGAACCATGGATCCTCTGCTCACGACTGCAGCAGATCCCCCCGCCATCCGTAGGCATTCGCTCCATAACACGCACAGACATTTCCCCTTACTTTCTAGGAGGAAAAAAGTGAGTGTTATGGAGCAAAAAACACGGTACCTACCTCACAATCAACAACCTACAAGGCTGCTCGACAGATCTCTGATCAAAATTTACAACTATGGGTATTAAAACTGACATAGGATTGGCTACCATAAAACCATTGAATTGAAGGGTTGGAAAGGGTCCTAAGGGTCATCTAGTCCAGCCCCCTGCAGTGCAACCTCTATTTAGCTGGGTATTATAAATCATTTTAAGTAAGCTCATTTTCTCTGTTTTTAAAGCTCCTTGAAAACATCTTTTCCCCATAATCCTAGACCTTTGTAAAAGAAACAGATTATGGTACAGTATTTGAAATCATTCTGCTCCATGATAACTCCTGCAATAGCTGTGGGAGATAGCGCCAATTTATAGAAGAAGGCCAGAAGGAAGGCAAAAAACCACTTGGGTGAAACAGTCCATATTGTATATTTTTTACTGGGAGGTGCAGTTAGCAGAAAATTAGTGATCAGTGGGAGGGTATGTTGTGGGTCACATAAGATCAGGCAGTGGGCCAGGTGCAGCCCAGGAAGCTCAGACTGCACACTTCTGAACTAGAGATAGAAAACAACGGCTTTTTTCCTGGAAATTATGCATACTGATTGGAGAATGTGTTTACTGTACTTTATGCACAAAATTCAGTTAAAATAGGCACATTCCTCACAGCCTATTGAAGATATGCATATTGACCATAGAAGTCAACTCCTAGGTCCCTTCACCCCCCCCTAAAATATTTGAGGGGGCTGCCCCTCAAAATCGATGGGCATTGCCATTCAAATTGTGTGCGTGTGCCATGTATTGTGATTATGTGTGGTAGGGCTTACTTGAGCCCCCAATATATTATTCCATTTGGCACATCTGATATGCAGCAGGAAATGTCTACAATTTCCTCTTCATGAACAAATTATGTATACATTCTCCAGGAGGCAAGTCTGTTGGGGTGTTTAATTTTGCTCTGTAAAAGTGAATACAACACTGATGATTTAAAAAGAAGATATTTCACATATCTTCTTTTTAGATATAGTAAAATAGTGTCATTTAGTCTCTGTTACACTTATGTTAAAGCAGAATACAATACATCAGACAATGCTGAAAATACCTGCACTGCTTGCAGATTAGTAACATCAGTTTCATATTTCTCTGAGAGTTCAGTTCTCATGCGCTCAATAGCCTCAGACTCCTGCTCCTCTTCCTCATCTTCTCCCTCATCTTCTTCTTTCGGGAACTCTTCTTCCAAAATAGCTTCAATATCATCTTCCTCCTCCTCCTCCTCCTCTTCATCAGGAACTTCATTTTCAAGCCTAGCAGTAGCCTCCTAAAAGAGAAAATGGAAATATTTAATTATTATATTATTCCTGAAAATATTTATGTAAAATAGAATTTATGGCAATGCTTGTTGATTCTTGTTCTCAGTTCACTCTATGTGTAGTGGTACAGAAAAACTGTGGTCTGGAATATATCACAGTCAATAAAAATTAATTCCTGTTGATTTCTAAGGGATTAATTTTATACACAAAAAGTGTATTATTGTTTTGCCTGTTTATTAAAACTGCTTCCAGCCCAGGTTTTTCCTGCACATTAATTTATATGCCCTAATTTCAAAGTACCTGCTCCCTGACTAATATGTAGTAGAAACTTGACTATATTTAGACAGCTGTCATATATAAAAAGGGAGTCATGCGTTGGATCCAAAATGCCCTTCTGTGAATGGGAAAGCTCCTATATACCGTATTTTTTGCTGTATAAGACTCACTTTTTCCCTCCTAAAAAGTAAGGGGAAATGTGTGTGCGTCTTATGGAGTGAATGCAGGCTGCGCAGCTACCCCAGAAGCCAGAACAGCAAGAGGGATCGCTGCTTTCGCTGTGCAGAGATCACTCTTGCTGTTCTGGCTTCTGGGATTCAGAATATTTTTTTTCTTGTTTTCCTCCTCCAAAAACTAGGTTCGTTTTGTGGTCTGGGGCGTCTTATAGAGCGAAAAATACGGTAATCAGAAATACAGTATAAACAGCAATTTCTCCCAAGTCCATTTATAACACAGTTATCTTTTTAAATAAGCATCATGGATGCCAAACTGAGAGCCACTTTACAAAATCCAATATACAGTGGTACCTAGGGTTACAGATGCTTCAGGTTACATACGCTTCAGGTTACAGACTCCGCTAATCCAGAAATAGTGCTTCAGGTTAAGAACTTTGCTTCAGGATGAGAACAGAAATCGTGCTCTGGCGGTGCAGCGGCAGTGGAAGGCCCCATTAGCTAAAGTGGTGCTTCAGGTTAAGAACAGTTTCAAGTTAAGAACAGACCTCCAGAATGAATTAAGTTCTTAACCTGAGGTACCACTGTAAAGTGATCATAATGTTTTTTGTTATTTTTAATGTGTATCTTACCTCCATTTTCCTTTTTGCTTGTTCTACCAAAAGCTCTGCCCTTCTTTGAGCAACCAGCTCTGCCTGTTAAAAAGAGTAAATATGATACACACACACACACACACATTAACAACTGACGTGCTAAAATTCAATTTCAAAAGGTTTTTCATGGGCATCTGAGGATACATGGGAAGGTTAACTTTTTCTAGTTTTCCTATATACCTGTGGAAACCAGTGCAGATCCAAATTGCAATGGATGTTATGTTGTTGTTGTTTTTTTGGTGGGGGGTGTTTGGGGATATCCATCCCAAAGCTGGACTGTAAGGCAACATTTGGCTGGGTAGATATACCTAAGAAGAGTTCTACTAAGTTTATAATAGTATGATGAAGCCCAATAGCAATATTTCATTATTATTCTTCATTTTTTTTTAAAAAAACTTCTTTATGTGGTGACCTGCATACCCTTCAACATTCCTCAGATGAAAATAGGAACATTTCTCACTCCCCCCCTAGGGCTGTCCATGGAAAATTTGAACACTTGGAGGGTATGAGATAAATGCAAAATGTATGTCTATAGATGCAAAATTTAGTAAGAATCAGAACCCTATTCCACTTAAGAAATGCTGAAGACTCAGTGAGAGTCAGGAGCTTTGATTTTGTTTAATCTGCACAAATCTAATCGCAACACATGGTTAATAATGTATTGCCATTAGTTTGATCATACTACAAAATTAATCAAACTAATGGTAATACGTTATTGGGCATGTGTTGAATTTGGGCATGTGCAGATTATTCTGTATTGCAACACAGTGTTTTTCCCCTCTGTTTATTTTGTTTAAGACTGCAATCAGTGCATGCTTATTAGAGACTAAATTCCATTTAACTCAAAGGGCCTGGGTTTTTTTAGTAGACATGCACAGGATTGCACTGCAGTTTTTGTTCATAGAAGCCTTCTGACGAACTGGATCATTTGAATTACCGCTTACTTCAAATTAGCACTGCATCTGCTTCAAGCCAGGTGGGGAGTCTCAAGCAGGCACTCTCATCTAGGCTCCGGAAGGCAAAACAATTCTGAAGTGGTTAGGATACCTATGTGCCACAAAAATTAGCTGTCCATCTTTTAGTGCTGCACCAATATTTGCTTTAAAACTCCTACAATATGAGTTTGGATCCTAAACCTGCAAGCAGGGATACTGTACTTTTTTATCTGTGATATACTGCCTATTAATAGATCCTGAATACTTACTCTTAATTTTGCCTTCATGTCTTTTATCTGCTGCTTCTTCTCAAATTTTCTAGCTTGTCTCTCTTGCCATGTTTGCACACGCTTGGGAAGAAGTCGGTCAGTAACATCCTCTTCATCAACTTCAAGGTAAACTGCAACATCAGGACAAAGGCAGCGGTCTGCTAAATACTGAGCTTCCTCTGCTGTTCGAGGAAAACCATCCAGTATAAAACCTGTGGATCTAAATGCAAAAAAGTAACTGTCAATTTTCCATGGACTTCCCAATTAATAGCAAGAATGTAATTTCCTACTAGTAGGCAAGGGATGGGCATAGCTGGATGGAAAAAAATCCAATCAGGATTCGTAAGGTCAATATTCCAGGCTCCTAAATGTATCCCTTGTGCAGCTCTGCATCTGGAGAAGATATTTAGGGCTTGTAGGGTAGATTGGCATGATGGCCACTTACTGTGAAATGTTCCTTCTGGTCCAGTGTAAGGGAGTGATCCAAATGTGGATTGACTCTACTTATTATACAGAGCAAGCAGTGTTACATGACACAGATTTGAATACCAAGGCTGGCTTAAGAGGGTCCATTTCAATTCTGAACTGTTGGGAGAGTCAAAATCTCTCTCTCTCTCTCTCTGTCTGTCTGTCTCTCTCTCTGTCTGTCTGTCTCTCTCTCTCTCTCCCCCTCTCTCCCCCTCTCTCTCTCTCTCTCTCTCTCTCTCTCTCTCTGTGTGTGTGTGTATACATGACACTGGAGGAAAACAATGGACCCTGTATGTAGATGCTGAAGGAAAAAGAGAGATAGCCTGGACAGACAGACTCTAGTGAACAGAAGCCAATCCATGGCACTTGCAAAGAGACATCTGAAGACTGGGTGGGACTTGATGCCTTAACTGATTGAAGAACAGAGGGAGCCAGGAGGAACGAACTGCTTTTGCCAAGGCAGGAGTGAAAAAACTGAAGAGATTCACTCCACCTCCCACAATCCTGCTCCTGCCTTTATCACAACTCATGATCATTACCCAACCCAGCTAACACTTCCATAACCCACTGAAATTTTTAAAATATATAAGTACTACAAACAACAGAAATTACACTAATACCAAATCTATGAGAAACTTAGTAAAAAGCTTTTAAATAAAAGCTCGCCTAAACAGCAGCTATAAATGATCTGCAAGGCTGAACTGCAGTGGATCTCATATGGTAGTTGATTTCAAAGAATAGATGACACTTATTCTACAGCAATATTTAAATAGAGAAGTGACTAATAAGTTTCATAATTCAATAAAACTAACAAGACCAAGCACCAGCCAGTCTCATGTTACCGTGAGTTAGGCTGTTTTTCAGATCTTCTGGGTTCAGATGAAGAGAGGTACTTGTCTTGATATGTTTGACCCAGGATGCTGAGGCAGTGCAATCCTATGCATATCTACCATGAAGTCCCACTGAATTCAATTCTTTGGATCTGAGTTCAGTGGGGCTTATTCCCAGGCAAGTAACTACAGGATTGCAGCCTAAGAGCTATAGATGGAACAAAAAAAGCCAGACCATATTAGACACACAAAAATTACCGAAATGGTTCCTTCATCCACCAATCAAGAACAATGCCATCAAGCACCTCCATGGGCAAGGCTTCACCTTCTATTAGATTTGCCTTGATTGCTTCTTCTTCGTCTGTTAACAGCATCTCTTTCTGTTGAAATGATCCAAAATACATGTAAGTATTTGCTCTCTTCTTCGCTTGACAACAGTTTAGCAGTATAAGGGTTTTACATAACTCATTCTCTTTGCTCAACATTTTTGTAACAAAATACTGTATTTTTCCGTGTATAAGACTAGGGGTTTTGTTTTTTTACCAAAAAAGTAGGTTTAAAATTGAGGCTCGTCTTATACACGAGTAGTGCTGAGGGTGTTTTCTTAATTTGGAGTCCTCAACAATAGGGGACATCTTATACATGGGAGCGCCGTATACATGGAAATATACAGCACTTCAATATGTTTAAATTATATTGCATAATATTTTACATACTGTAAAACAAAGGTTTGTATATGTATTGATTTCTGTTTCCTAAGAGATACATTTATGGGTCAGGTATATAGGAAAATCCAGGCTACTCTATCTGTAATATTAGTTGAAAAACCTTTTTTTTAAAAAAGGAATAGCTGAATGTTTTTCAAGCAACTTTGAATTATTCATTTTCATTTAACTCTCATGGGAAATTGGATCACTATAGAAAGTGTGGAACAATGGAAGCACTGAGTTAATTCATTCAACATGCAAAATTTTTGTTTTGTACTGGGTACAAGAGCTGGTTGGCTCATGCATATTCAGCATTTAATGACTGCACTATCAAGAGATGACTTGCATGTGAGGATGAGCCCTCCAATATCAAACACCATAGAAGATTTTCATACCACATCAAACACACAGAATTGGACACAGAGCTTAAACAGTTGTTGTTGCTTTCCTGAAAGGTGTCTCTATGTGGATGTTAGGATAAGTCCAAGTGGGATTCATGTTCCTCTATTGCTTGAAGCCAGGAGATGCTAGGACTTTAACAGGTTGTCTGCTTTTTCTTCCTGCTGAAGACTCAGTTCTATCCTTGGCCAAATTAGAACCAAGAGAGTAAATGTTCTCTTGGATTTACTCCTTCAGACTTCAGGTGTGAATATGCATCCTGTTTTTAATTCACAAAAGCTACTGAGCACTGCAAACTAGCACAACAGGGTGAAAGGCTAGGCCTAGCCTTTGACCTGACATTACCAGTACATCCTGTACCATCCCTCAAAGTAGCTCTGGCAAGCATGCTGTTGTTCAACATGCAGGCAGGGTTTCTGGTGTATGTCTAGGGAGGACTGTAGCATGCAAACCTCCACCTACAGTCTAAAGTTCCATGGTTTTGATTTTGTTTATTATGGGACTTGATTTTGTTTATTATGTAAACTGGTTCAAATATTCATCTCAGAAAGCCATTAATGTATCCTAGGTGTTACCTCTTGAAGTCGCTTAGTTTCTTCTTCACCCTCAAGTTCTTCAGCTGCAGATTGAGGGGATTCAACCATTTCTTGTATGGTAGCCTCTTCCTCATCTTCCTCCTCTTCTTCAGGTCCAACTCTTTTTCCAGTTTTGATCATGATCAATTCCTGTAGTCGCTCCTCAAACTGAATGTGGAAAATACCTAATTTGTCTGCTAACCAACGGGCACAAACCGTTTTACCTGCTCCATGTGATCCTAAAAGACATATTCTTATAGGGGGAGCCTTAAATAAGAAACAGAAAAAAATATAAATATAAATGTTTGGATTTTATAAGAGCAGGTTTCTGCTGAATAATACATCATTTAAAATCTTGAGATATTTCAGAGAAAAGAACTGCATTTATTTCTTAAAGGCAGATTATCAGATGATTGTACATGCTTCAGTGTTGGTAACAGAAATAAATTTGCTCTCCTATCCTGCTTGTATGCTTCTCATGGGTTGGCCACTATGGGAAAGAGACTAGTGGACTAAAAAAGCCTTTGGCAGGGCTCTAAAAGAGGTAGTTAACAGTGCTATCCTATACATGTTTACCCAAGCATAAGTTCTACTGAGTTCAATGAGGCTTACTCCCAGATAAACCAGGCAACAGATTGCAGCCTAAATGTATTCCCATTCACTTCAGCTACTCAGTATTCTTCATTTCCTTCATTCAGCTCAATATCACACCTTTTTCCCCTTAGTAAAAATGATAGTCCATAAACATATACTCATTTAACAAAGTTTTTAGAAATTGTAACAATTATGTCTTCATGCAATGTGCCTCCTATATTTAGGTTTCTCATAATTGAGTTAATACAGTGTCTGAGACTTGGACTTTGCTTTACTAATCTCTTATCTATAACAGACATGTGAAAGAAGCTGAAAATGTTGCATACTTTCAGTGGCTCATTACGAGACACATATTCTTCGGGGTTTTCCAAAAATTTATCTCTGTTTTCTGGAGTTGAAAAATAATAGTGTTTTTCTCGATATTTAGCTGTGTTTTCAGTAAGTCCTGGGTAAAGGATAAAGTTTTCCTTTAGAATCACTGGACAAAAGTGCTTCGTATCTCCCATTTGTCTCTTCCTCTGAGCAGCTTTTTCTTCATCCTTAAAACAGCAAAATAATTCTGATGAGGTGTTGAGCATAACTTTGATAAACACCCTTAAAAAATTAGTCTTACTTATTGGCATACTTATAAGCATCCAAATGGCCGCTGAAAGCTGCATATCTACCACTGCCCCTCACCCTTAAATGTGATCAGGGCACTCACCTCTGGCGGTGCTAATCATATGTAGGCAAAGTGGTGAGGTAGGAGGGGATGGGCAAGAGGTTGTTTCAGCAGAGTATGGTAATCATGCCTGGCTTACCCCCCATGGGTGATAACTGCTGTCTGAGTAAATACTCCAGCAGCTAATTGTGAGGTTGCCCCAACAACTGTTTTTTGCATTCTGCAAAAGTAGATTAGCATAGAAAAAACTGATTCTACTTGGTGGCAGCATTCACTGTAACTCTCACTGGATTGTGATGATGTGGAGCAGTCTAAAGAAAGGTAGCAGTAACCTTTCTTTAGTGATTAACTTCTGTATTAACTTCAGTGAAATGTGAACACATAGTGAAAACAGTCCTGCATTTCAGTGTTATGCAGATCAGTGCTAATGAACTTGTATAGTGTGACAGACTGAATTCTGCACTTGGAATGTAAGAAGGCATTGTTTTCCATTCTACCCTGTATTTGTTGTGGGCAGCACTGTTTCTATTCTGCTGCAGTTAAGTCTTCCTCCAAAAACTATCTTCATCTCACTGCTGCTGTGGCAAAATTATGTAACTTATGTAATTAATTTTGTAAATTACGTTGTCATTACGTTATTTTATTCCATACATTTCATTTCTAAGGAAACGCCATACAAACGGGACCCCCACTCATGCAGCAATCAATTAGGTATCATTTGTGAACTGAGAGCAACAACAGCAGCCAATATCAATCATATTTGCTGGCTTGATTTCCATCTGGGACATAGGAAAAATAAGCTATCACAGCAATTTCTGGTGCCATTTTCATTGGAATTCTCCAAAATTCCTATTGGGCACTCAGCACAAAGTTGGAGAACACAAACCTAATTTTGCATCAAAATGTTAATTCCAGAGTTTAGTATCTCAAATCCATCCTAAGTTGGCTGGTGCTACAACAGACAGCAGCTGCCTTTTTACTAGTTTTATCCTTTGCTTCTTTCCCCTAAATATGGTTCAATAACTAGAGGTGCCACAGGATGTACTGTTGACTCCTAAAGTGCCCAAGAAGAGCAATGGACTTGGTCAGACACCCCTCTTCTCTAGAATGTGTCCATTATGCACATACTATCCACATTACAATAATGTCATAGCACGTAGATAATGCTGAAGAAAACCTCCCAGATCTCAGCACTCCCTTACATGAAACAGTATAAAACATGTATTGAGGCTGAGAACAAACTGCACCATAGTCTTCAATCTGCGACTGGGGGGAAAATGTATTTAAAATCATTGCTAAACATAATCTTACATTTAGGCTGTTACTTACTTCTTCCTCCTCTTCTTCCTCATCTTCATCCTCTTCTTCCTCTTCCTCTTCCTCTGCCAGTGCCTCGGCTTCAGCTTGCAAATCTTCTTGTTCTTCATCGTCATCTTCAGGACCAAATTCCCAGCCATGGTACTTAAAAGGTTCTGCCAGAGATAATCACGCTCTAATTTATTTTCTTTAAAATGCAAGTATAAAAGCATGCAACAGCAGAGATAAATCATGACATATTCTTTCACTAAAAATCGATTGAACATATAACAACTTTATCAGTAGCAGTAATGTATTATCTGCTCCTGACCCAGGCTGAGTCATCATCCACTGAAGGTTCAAACCTCAGAGCCAGAAGCTCTCGTCCATCAGCTGTCCACCAGAGACCACTGTAAGATCAGATCCAGAGAACATTACCCTGTTCCACTTGCCAGAGGGCCTACCAAGAAAGCACCATAAAATTCTAAAGCTCAGACAGAGATTGGGAACCTGTAGTCCTACATATTGTTGTAGATGATGTGCAGAGCATGTTGCATAAAGAGTAGGAACTTATATAAGCCCTTTGTTTTCACAGCCCCAGCCAGGCTGGCAAGTAGACACTCACAAGGTGTTCTGCTACCTTTGGAAGTAGATCATAAGCTCTACAAGCCTACCATAAAGAAACTTTTTATGATGATATAACAGAAGCATCTTGTTAAGCCCTTTCATATTTTTTGAAAAACTAGCACTACTGCTCTTCTAGAGTTCTTGATTTATTTATTGTTTCTTCTTTCAAATATCTCCTGGTCTAGAAATAATGTGAATCAAAAATAATTATGAGACTTACGTTCCATAGATTGAATAGTTTGGTCAAGAAGCATTTGCAGAGTTTGCCCATCAATCTCCAATTCTGAAACCTGAATTAAAGGTGACTCTGCAATTGCTGCTTCCATTCTTTGCCATTCATGCAGAAATTGGATAATCTTGCTTTTAAGTGGATCCATTTCTACTACATCTGGGAAAGCATCCTCAGGATATTCAGGTAGCCTGACTCCTGGAAAAAAAGCAAACTGCATTTTAGATAAGTTTGACATTGTAAGAAGTATATTGCCCCCTCTATATTGATATTCAGGCATGAGTGCCCACACTTATGTAGCCAAAATGGCACCACCCTCACACAGGAGGGAGGTACCAACAGAAACTGGATACTCCACAGTGTAACATTTTATTGCAGGTCCCATTTCTCATAAGGTAATTTCAAAGAATGCTTTCCCTTCTCATTGGCTCTTTGTAGCACATGCTTTCAACAAATCAATAGTTATTTTCAGCATAACATGCTGGTTATATTCAACTCAGTCAGAGTAGATACACTGAAATTGATGGCCTTAAGTTCATTAACTCCAGTGCATCTACTGTGATTATGATTTATGTAGCATATCACCCCATATGTTTAATAATTCATTTTTCTCACTATCTGAGAATCACAATGGCCAAGTTATTGCATTGTTTCTTCATGGATATACTGCTAAAGAAAAGGGAGAAAGGAAAGAGGCTCAGTTACTTTTTATGTTTGCGTATGGTTATTAATTACATAGTATGTCAATTCAAGTGCACAATTCTTCACTACAAAACTGGATTTATGGTGGAGAAAGCAAGACATGTGCATAATTGTCATTACAATATGCAACACAGGATCTCTAGATAATTGAATGGCTAAGAAAAGGAAAGAAGGGAAGGAGAGAAGAAGGGAAGGTGGAAGAAAACTTGATCTCTAACCTAGTTCAGATGCAACACTCTTCAGTGGTGCTGGTGGCTGAGGTTCTTCTTCAGTTTCAATGTGTTCTGCTGATTCTTTTGATTCTGTGAGAACAAGCAGAAAATGATTATGCCTTCTGCATGTTTTATAGAAGAGAAGGTTAACCTGTAGCCTTCCAGGTGCTCCTGCACTACAGCTTCCCTCATCCATGACTGCTGACCATGCTGGCTGGGTAGGAGCTGGAACTCCAACTACTTCTGGAGAACCAAGGATTCCCATTTGCACTTTATAGGAAAGGTTCAAAAAGATTTCAAAATATCAAGGGAGTTACTACAGAGATACAATGCTGCAATATGCAAGAGCAGGACTAATGGTAAAGGTTGACATGACTGAAGATGTCCACGGTGGAGGGAGAGGAAGAAGGAGAAAGAGCTGAAAAGCATGCTTTGGAAGCTACTACAGTTATCTGCAATTTAGGAATTTAAAATGTGGGTACGATACTGGTGTGTCATCAAAATTTATATTATTGACAGAGGATTTATTTTTATTAGTAATTTAATATGCAGTTGGCAGGCTGAGAAGACACAGCCACTGAATTAAATTTAGAGGGACCATGTCAAATCCAGCTCTTATTGCTCATTATTCACACAGTACATGCACACTATGAAGGAAATGCTCTGAATGTAATTCTTACATGTCTGTTTGTTTGGGAATTATAGAGTAGTTTGGGCACACACTTTCCATGAGATCTACCAGCTGATCACTTAGTACTAACAATAGAAAACCAAGGAACAGTTGTGATTAATTCTCCTTTAAGACAGGTTTTGGATTTGAGGCTAGAGACAGTTGCTGAGACCTTTTAAGTCCTCGGCTGTCTCAGAATAACCTGGGGAATCTTTGGAAGTATGACTCTTCTTGTTTGTGCTCCTGAGTGAAGTAATGTAAAATTGAACTTTGTAGTTGCAGAAACCAACTTCAGGGCACAGACAAACCCAAAGTTAACAATAAAGAAAATCAACATTTCCACCAATTATGTTGGAAGTGAAATAAATGGCACCACCCAAATAAATAAAAATAAGTAACATTTTATTGTTTTATTTATTTATGTGGCAAAATGTATGCACAAAAGTCTGATTGTGAAATCCTACCTGTCTTGCTCTCCTGTTGCTCTTTGGAATCCAGAGACACTTGCGCTTCATCAAGTTGACCCTCAGTTTCTAATGATTCTGTGATTGGATATATTAAAAGATAAAATCACTATTGAAGATAAACTGGGATTCTTTACATAACTGAGACACACTTAAACACAAATTCATGTTAGAACTAAAAACTTTGGGGAAGCACACAGTTTCCATGAGATCTACTGGCTCACACAAAACATCATCTGTGTGGTGCTGTCTATGTACAGTGCAATGGCTCAGCTATGTACGATTCTAAGGCCTGGCTTTTTTGCAGCCTGAATGTCTGAACTAGGGTACAGAAAGATGTTATTACTAGAGAAGATATGGTCAAAGGAAAATGGAAAAGGAAAATAATACAAGACAAATGTCTTTGTTAGGCAAAAATCAATGGTATTGTGTGCAAATCTTTGACAGCGACATGTTTACATTATTTCATTATTGAATAAATGATATTTGAGAGAAAGTAAGTGCAAGCAAAGGCATAGAATAATGTGGCACAGTGTTTCTTTTAATATAAAAAAGGATAAGCCACATGGTACAGAAGACCAACCTCCAGATTTTTCTTTCTCTTTAGTCTCGCCAGAAGCAGAAGGTTGTATTGTTTGGCCTGATTCAGTCACTGGTGGCATTTTGGTCTGTGATTCAGATGCAGATGGATGATCAAAGTCTATGGATTCTGTAGGCACAAGAAAACACATCCTTCCTAATGTTCACAAGCCACTTTAAATCTTCAAGGATAGAAATCCATAGTATCATTAACAATATAAGGATTCTTCATGTGTTTTAATGTGTTGGAAGCCACCCAGAGTTGCTGGGGCAACCTAGTCAGATGGCTCACATATAAATTAATTATTATTATTATTATTATTATTATTATTATTATTATTATTAACCAGGCAACAATTCTCTTTTTAGACTAGATGTATGTTCCAATAGGTAGTCATGTTTGAAATCACACAGGAGGTAGAAGAACAAATAAGGCCTAGTTATATACATCCCAGTGATTATGACTAAAAGCAACTCTGAATTACAAAATATCAAAGAGATGTCAGTCATGTTCAGAACTTGGGATATTTCCCTAGATAAGTCATCAGGGACAGAGGCTTTTTAGTGCTGGATCCATAGCTATAGAATTCTACCCCACCCCTACCCAAGATCTACATAAAGCCCACTCTTGAGATATTTCTAAATTGATCCCAATGACTTTTAAAAAAATTATCTGTTCCCAAAATGTCCTATTCAGACTTTTTAAAATTGTTTTACCCGCTGCTTAGTCTTTAACTTCAGATAGCTTGTCAAGAGGACATAACACCATGAAGAGCGCCTAAGATCTAACAAGCATAAAACCAGCAACAGATGATAACATCTATACAACAGAGTTCACAGCCACACCAAATGTGTTTTGGCCCATCCCTAGCTTTGTTTACTTACCTACTCTTCTGGTCCTCCTAACCTTCAGCCGCTCTCTTGGATCTTGACCTCTGTCTGGTTTCAACTATACATCTGCCTCTAGTCGTTTGATTCATGATTTATTGCTCTGGAAAGTGCTTGTGTTAGACCATGCATCTGTCCCATTAGAATAGCCTGCCAGGGTCCCAGAGTCTGACACTCAAGAGTCTGACTACTTCTGAGGCCTGAAAAGTATGCTTAGTGGCAACATTTGTCACTGTGTAATGTATGAAGCCCCTTTTAGTCAAAGAACACAACTAAAAAGTTTCAATCAACATTCCTTAGACTCAATGCCCGCAGCAATAAAATTTGTTATGCTTGCTTTGAGAGAATAGAAACTGAGTATATGCAGTTATATGCAGGTGAAATCAATCTGCAATAGTATATTGAACAGGAGTAGCATCATCAGGCAAAGGTCAGCATGACTGAGATGTTTGATTAGTCAGTGTTTGATTATGGAAATCAAATTGTAGCTTGGGGAAAACATGCTTTTCTCAGGCAAAGAACTGTGGCTCATCTTCAATACAGGCATTTGGGCATGACATTCTTTTTTTCCTTGATGAGTAACTGTTTGAATAGAAGATAACAAGTACCATCACCCCAAAGCTAACTTTATCTCACACAAAAATATTTCAGTAGCTTCTATAATTTTTTTAGGGTTCAGTTCAGAACTTTGTTCACGAGTCCCTGAGCTGGAGGAAAAGAGAAGGCAGATGCAGCAAATTCCTCCTTCCCATCCTCCAGCAGGAACCTGCACTGGCTATCAATCCCTTCTGCAAACAGAATCAAAGGAGTATACCTTTTCAGAAGGCAACTCCATTAATTTCCAAACATATATGTTTAGTACTGTACCTTGAAATGAAAATGGTTGTTTTTTTAGAAAGAGCATACCAAATTAAAGAACCCAGTAGTTATGTACGGAAGTGAGAGCCGGACCATAAAGAAGGCTGATCGCCGAAGAATTGATGCTTTTGAATTATGGTGCTGGAGGACACTCTTGAGAGTCCCATGGACTGCAAGAAGATCAAAGCTATCCATTCTTAAGAAAATCAGACCTGAGTGCCTACTGGAAAGACAGATCGTGAAGCTGAGGCGCTAATACTTTGGCTACCTCATGAGAAGAGAAGACTCCCTGGAAAAGACCCTGATGTTGGGAAAGATTGAGGGCACAAGGAGAAGGGGGTGACAGAGGACGAGATGGTTGGGCAGTGTTCTCAAAGCTACTAACATGAGTTTGACCAAACTGTGGGAGGCAGTGGAAGACAGGAGTGCCTGGCGTGCTCTGGTCCATGGGTCACGAAGAGTCGGACACGACTAAACAACAACAGATTCTTAAGTATTTTTTTAATATTTAGCGATGCCAAGTGACTATCAAAGGTAAGCATTTAAACTTTAGAAATAAATACATACATTAGGTGACTGAAAAATCATTCATGTATTCTGCATTTTGCACAGAACTATGTCCAAATTGAACGCTATCTTGGCATGTGCTTTATAACAAGTTGATATTTGAATTTCTTATGCACAAGCACCACAAAAAAGGGCAACAGTGAAGATGCTCACTCTTGTGCAGGTGTGCTCATTCAGAGGAAGCAGCATCTTCAAGCACTTCTCAAGCACCACTTTTTGCAGCACTTATGCATATGGCAGGAGGTATTATATTGGGAGCTGAGGTCCTAAGTCATACAGGGTTTTGTGGGTCAAAACTAGCACCAGTGCTGGCCTTGGAAATTTTGCGGCTTGAGGCAAAGGACAAGATGCCCCCTGCCCAGCCATTCAACATGCAGAAGCCTGCCAGATTGACAGCTACCTCTTTCCTCAATGACAGCAGTAAGAGAAGCATCCTCCACTACACTCAAGGGCAGCAAGATAGTTTAGAGCAAGTCAAATAGTGAGCATACACAGGGAAGTGAATATCTGGGGGCTCAAGGAATGTGGGGGCACTGGGGAGGGGGAGACTTCTGTTGCTGCCACTGCACCAGAGCATCTGCTGCCTGAGATTAGCTGTCTTACTGACTAATGACCAGCATTCTCAATTGGGTCCAGTGGTTGAGCTCAAATTCACAGGATCAGCTTCCACACAGAAACAATTCCAAATATTGCTATTGCATTATTTTTTTACCTCTCTCTTCAGCAAATTCTTCAGCTTGCAGTTTCAGCATTTCCTGCAGTTCTTTTCTGCAATTAGTAAATTGTACAGATATTTATGAGAAACTGGTTGAAAACTCTAGCTCATTCTTCTTTAAATATATTCCTGGAACAGGGTACAAACCAATAAATCCTAATATTATTTTATTAATAATATTTGCTAGTTGCTTTTCTCACAGACTGCACCAAAGAAACTTACACTGAAAGCAATTACGAACTGCAAAGTTAAGAGCTAAAAACACAGATAAGAGGCCGGAGCAGGACTGATACATAACAAACCAAATTAATATACCCACAAGACAACAAAATGAAACTACAGTCCTGTGAGGGCATACACATTTATTTCCACAAAGGCCTGGACAAATAAGTGTGATTTTAACTAGTGCCAAAAATTCATCAGATTTGGCACCAAGCCTGTAGAAGGAAGACATTCCACAGCCGGGGTGCCTGCATCAAAAACACCCTCTTATACATTGCTGCATTGTGGATAATTGACAAATGTGGCAATGATAAAGAGGAAATCCTTGCTAAGTTTTAACACCTGGGCAGGCCTATGGGATACAGGTGTTCCATCAAGTAAATAAGTCCTAAGCAGTGTAGGGATTTGAATGTTAGAACAAGCACCTTGAATTTATCTCAGTAGCAATCCAGCAGCAATGCACGGCTTCTCCAGAGACGGTGTAACATGTTATTGGTAGGCTGTCCTGCTTAACAGCCTACTTGCAACTTTTCAAACAACCCCAAATGCAGCTCCATGTAGAGGGCAAATGGTGTTTCGTTTTTCAAATATTTTACCTTGCTTCTTCTTCCTCTTGTTTCTTCTTTAAAGCTTCGTCTGTTAGCCTTTTTATAATTTTAGCATCAACTTCTGCTTTATTTGCTTGGTACAGTCTAGTGAGCAATACCTTTCCTGCAATGTAATAGAAAAAGATGCTATGAAATAAGACTTAGAATTTGCATATAGTTTCAAAAATTAAAGAGAAATTTCATATATCATGGACATATCATTGTACAGTTTAGGACAGGTCTGTTTCTGAAGGAACTTCTCTCTTTTTAGTGGATTACTTTTGATGCTCCGTAGGCAATTAACTCCTTTTCAAAAAGTTAAGAAGTTTAGCTGGCAAGAAAATGGAAAAAATAATAAAGATAAGCTTTTTCTAAATCAGACCTTAACTGATGCTTTGCAGGTGGTTTTTCCCCAAGCTACTTGGGATAGCTCAGTGATAAAAAAAATTAGTAATGGGGCACAGAACCCTGGTTCAGTTCCTGGCAACTCTAGTTAAAAGGAACTTGACAAGCAGACTGAGAAACACCTCTGCTAGAGACCTTGGGGAACTGCTTCCTGCCAGAGCATACATTGTTTGGCTAGATCAGGGCTGGGGAATCTACATATACAAAATCAAAGCCTGCTGGATCAGACCAAGGGTGCATCTAGTCCAGCATATATATCCTACTCAACAATGGTAAGAGTCACATCCATTGCTCTGTCTGCATTTGCACCTGGCTCCACCCAACACTGGCATGCAGTCTTTAGAAGGTTACTGATAAGTCCATTTGGCTGAAAAAGGTTCCCCACCTTTGGGCTAGATGAACCTATGATCTGGCCCAGTATAAGGTAGTTTCCCATGTTCATATACTTCCCAACCTGGAGGATTGTTTCAAAAATAGCTTTAATGTTAGACATTCAATTTTAAAAATGCACTGACCATTTTGTTCAGCATTCTTCAAGCAAATCACAGTATCCGGTAGAAGTTCTTTTTCTACCAAAGCTGCCCAGTGTTCTGTCGATGGAGGAAAATTATCCAAGACCCATCCTCCTTTTTCTGCAGCTCCAGGATATCTGTATTTATTTGATTTAGAAAGCTGTAATAAAACACTGCTGTTAATAACAACAAATAACATTGATGAAGCTATTAGTGAATTGTAGTGAAGTAGTTAGATTGTCGGACTATGGCTGGAGAGACCTAAGTTCATATCTTCATCATTTATGAAGTTCTCACGGGTAGCCTTGAGCCTGTCAGTATTTCCCAGCCTAATCTACCCAACAGGTGTGTTGTAAGGGTAAAATGGGACAGCATGTGAATACTGTCTTAAGTAATAGAATTCTGATCAAGCATATCAAAACGAGCTCACATACGGTACATTAATGTATTAGAAGGAAGAGAGGGAGTTGCAAATTTGTGCCAGTTAGTGGTTGCTTCCACACTGGCCCCTTTCCTCCTTACAATTGTAATTCTTTGTTCACACACTGTCACAGAGAATCCAGATGGTATCGTTGACAAATAGTTACAGCCAAGTGTTTTCTGTATTCCTCAAATTTGTTCAGTTTTGGTAACAACAAATATTGCAATAAAACCCAACTACAGAGCCAGTCTGTATAGTTAAAAAGCGCTAATGGGGCTTTTTAAAAGATCCATGTCCCTTCAATTAAATGTTTCCTGTTTGCAGGTTCCACATTTTGTATCGCTTCTCATCAATCATAGTTGGGGCATTAAATGGTAAACTCTTAATTATTCCTTGTTTGAATAACCTTTATTAATTACCCCAATAATTAAGAAACATGGGGGGGGGCTTTCAAAACTGATTTCCTCTCATTCCAACTCCTCTGCCATTTTTATAATGTTATTTGCCAATAATTAAAGACTTTGGCCACGGTAGAAACTGACAATGGAGTAGTAAACAGTGCAGCCCTATGCATGTTTATCCAGATGTAAGTCCCACTGTGTTCAATGAGGCTTTCACTCAGGTAAGTGTGCACAGTGAGCAGTCTAAGAGGAGACTTTCTAGTCTAAGAGGAGACTTTCTAGGGGCAATTAAGAGGCAACTCATCACACATCTCCTGGCCATGAGGATCAGGAAGCAATAAAATGGGCAGGACTCACAAGCAGGAAACTTTTAATTAATATGGAAAGGTTGTTTTGGGAAGTTTAATATTATGTAGGAGATCTTGGTCATGAGGAAGCATTTTGCGGGATGGTAATATGTTATACTAATTACTGTGTGCAGCCTCTGTTTCCTGCAAAAGGTGGGGAAGTTGTGAGATTAGAAACAAAGGTGCACCAGAATGGTGATGCTCAAATGACTGATGAGAGCGCCTCTGAACTTTCATGGGAAAGCATTCATACTCAACAGTATACAAGCAACTGGTGTGGTGGGATGATGCCATGGAACCACCTTCCCAACAATAACAGCATTGCCACTGATTACCTAAACAGTGCTAGTGTGGGGCGGAGGGGGGGGTGGAGTTTGGGGCTGGGAGGGGAGCACCAGTAGCAGCACCAGACTGGCTCCATTGATGTGCCTGCATAATCCCAACTCTGCCTCCACCCTGCTCCACTTTGGTAATCAGCAGTGATGCTGCTGCTGAGAGGGCAGCTCCCTCCTACCATGCCAGCTGTCCCTGTGTAATCAAAGCACCAGCTGGTGGCTTTAAACTACCCTATATTCTTAAGTGAATATATTCCAAACCTATATTCAAAATAGAGAATTTGAAAAGAAAATTCATGAAAATGTACATTATGAGTAACATTTTTTGAAATAACAGCACATTTCCTTTGATACTGGTACTTTTACCTCGGTAATTGCTTCTTCTAATGCATCAGCATATGCTTCTGGTGGTAGCAGTACTGGAGAGAACATTACAGCTTCAATGGCTTTCTGTACTATCTCTTGCACCTCTGGATGCTCAGATGTTACCTCCGAAGTCTGGGGCACTGAGGTTTCTGTTAGAAAAATGTAAATGAAAACATGCAGGTGAACATTAGATTCATTTTGCCAGAAACATTGGTTTGACACTTTATACCTGCCTGTGACTGCATTCCCTGAGGAAATTTCTGCTTAGGTGATGCTCCCTGTGGCGTTTGCCCATTCCTTGTGATTATGTTTGTATAGGGGGATGGAAATGGTTAATGTAGATCAGGGGTCAGCAACGTTTTTCAGCTGTGGGCCAGTTCACCATCCCTCAGACCATGGGGTGGGCCACGCTATATTTTGAAGGTAAAAAATGAATGAATTCCTATGCCCCAAAGATGCATTTTAAATAAAAGCACACATTCTACTCATGTAAAAACAGGCCGATTCCCGGACCGTCCGCAGGCCAGATTGAGAAGGCCTGACATAGAGTGATATCATGATGCGGTGGGTCTGATCTGGCTAAAAGAATGGATCAAATTAGATGACTCGGATGTATTGGATTTAGAGGGAGTAGAGACGAGATTTGGATGGCCTGCCTATCTAATAGGTGAAAAAGTCAAAGTACATAAAGGCTTCCTAGGGCATATAGTCAGAAAGGCTATATATAAAATACGGGAGAAATATAAAAGACTCCTAGAACCGAAAACTCCTTGGTGGGCATCGCCGGCAGAAACTGTCGTGGTGAAAAAATTAAATATGAAAGAAAATTGGGCTACCTATAAAACTGTATTAAAGGAAGAAAATGGAGAATTGAAATTAAAGGATTATACAGAAATTAAAGCTCATATTAGTGATCGGTTCCAATATATTCAAATTAAGTATTGATTAGTGAAAGACAAACAGTTAGGATTTGAAAAAGAAATTTCAAAATTTGATAAATACTTAATACAAGAAAAATCAAAAAATATATCTAAATTATATAATCTGATCTTAGAGTGGGAAACAAAGGATGAATTGGTCAAAGCATCAATGGTTAAATGGGCGCAAGATATTGGAAAAATATTATGTTTGAACAATGGGAAAAATTATGGAAAGAAGATATGAAATTCACTATGTGTTATATATTGAAAGAAAATTACCTCAAAATACAACATAGATGGTATTTAACACCCGAAAGAATAGCAAAAATGAATAAAAATTGTAGTGATGTCTGCTGGCGATGAAACACTGGAAAAGGTACTAGATACATATATGGTGGAATTGTTTAAACATCAAACAATTTTGGGAAACAATATATAACGAAATGAAAAAAAAATTCAGATATTCATTTAAGAAAACACCAGAAGGTTTTCTATTGGGAATAGTACCAGGAAGCCTAAAGGAAGAAGACAAGACCTTATATTTATACGCAACAGTAGCCGCAAGGCTATTGATTGCGAAAAATTGGAAAAGTGGTATTGTACTGACAAAAATAGAGTGGCTTGCCAAATTATTGGAGTACTACAATATATCCAAAACAATGGGAGAAATTGGAAGGATCTCAAAAGAGAAGATAGACAGGGACTGGAAGGTGTTTAAAAGATACTTGCAAAACCATATCGAAAAATCCGAACTCCTATTAGAATAAACAAGTTCCGTTTCAAATACTGAAATACCAAATAAGATGGATAACAATGTGTAATAGAAAAAGAAGTATGAAATTAGGTTAAAGGTGTGTGAAAGAAAGTAATAGAAGTGGAAAGAAATTGCAACTGAGTAGATTGGAAGTCTAACACAAAAGTGGGGTGAGGGGTGGTAGTTGGTGATGGGAAAAGGAATCTGTGGGATTGAGTGTAGGTATGTTTGAACACTTTTAAGGATTGTATGAAATGTATGTTTGTATGCTTGTATATTTGTAATACATGTGTATTAATGCTGAATTATTTTAACAATAAAAACTTTTTTAAAAATTAAAAAAGAAAAAAGAAAAGAGAGAAGGTAAATGGGCTGCATCCAGCCCCTGGGCCTTAGGTTGCCTACCCCAATGTAGACTGACCAATGAGAAAGCTCAGAGGCGGAGCCTACCTGGTTTTGAGGCTCAGCCCAGGGCTTTACCATAGAGAGTAGAGGAGTGAGGGTCAGACAGAGGCAGAAAAAGTCGAACATAGTGGTTGTGACAGAGTGGGAGACAGGGATAGAACTGAGAGAGAAGAGTATGACAGTGTGAGATGGTGCCACATCTGGTTAAGGGCGTGCATTTGAGAAACCATTCTGAACATATTTAAAATTTGTTTTTTCTTCAATAAACTTTAATCTTTGTTGTTGACTTTACAACCTGACTGAGACTCAGTATTTCACCAGAAGAAACCTGGTTGGTGGCAGCGGAATAACGCAGTGGTGTACAGGTCAATAGTCCATGAAACGACCGGGGGCTCTGCACGAACGCCACACTCCCACAGGTGGAAAGGGCTGAGGCAGGGATCTTTACTTCTGTCTTTATAGAATGTCATTAGAATGGCCCTTCCTCTAGGCATTTCTAGCTACACAGTGAATGTGCAGGGGAGAAAAATGCAGGCAGAAGAGCTAAATGCTGGGCAAATTAAGTACCTTAAACAAAGGCAGACCTATCAAATTGTCATTGATAAATTATAAGAAGAATTGCCCAGGCTACCTCAATGGACACCCATTTCTTTGAGAAGTGCTTCTGATGGTGACGTATGCTCACCACACACACATCTCAGTGGTAAAGCACATTAGTGAAACAACTAACTTGGGCTAGTGTACAGGCAACAGTCCTCTGGTCCATTTCTGAGCCCACTGCAAGGAACAGAGATATCTCACAGACTGCCTTCTCCTGCATGAAACTGCCCAAATATTATGATCCTCATTCAATGCCTTTTTCTGGATTGGTAATCTGCAGTGGGGCAGGTAGGTCCTGGGTAGGTATTGCTTCTCATTTGTGATGTCCCACCCTTGCAAAATGCTCCCCAATGTTAACAGACTCCATTATCTTTTCCAGGTGAATAACTTTTTATTTAACCAGGATTTCAGTTCGTTTTAGCTGTGTAAAATCCAGATAAAGCGTTTTCCCACCCCACCTCAAATGTGTGTTTTTATTCCATTTTAAAATTCAATAGTACACAGGTAACTCACAAGTTATGCATACTTAACTAGTGTGCATTCAGCTTTACAAACTTGGCAAATAAAAATGGGGTGGAAAGTGGGCAGGTGTCTGGGGGAAAAAGACTTTGTCAATTACACTCACTATTGAACCCAATGTGATTTGACTCTATACCCAACTTTGGCTTTATGAACTATCCCAAGACGCAGCCCTGGTGTAAGGTGAGAGTTGCCTGTATCATAAAGTGCTTTGAGAGGTTGCTTATGCTCTACATAAAATAAATAAATAAACCTGTCATCACTAATAAATAAAATGCTATGTCTAACAACACTTCCATTTTGAATAGCTAACTATTGCTACTTGCTATGATCAATAATACCAATTTCTTCTGCAGCCTGGGATGGAGACAACTCTTCCATTTCACCTTCATCTTCTTCTTTTATGGTACTACTTTCTAGGCATAGAAAGAAAGAAAAAACACATGGACACATATATGTATTCAGTGTTGTGGACAATTGTTTTATTTGTTCCCATTATCTTCTCTCTTACTATGTAAGGACCCTGCCATTGGCTGCATCCGCTAATGTTACAATCAGAACACCATCAAATGGATGCTTGTGAGAGCAAACAGGTGGGCATCTCCAGGGAGGAAAAGGCATAGATAACCTAACCAAGGGGAGGGATTTCAAATGCATACCAAGTAAGCACATCCACCTTTGTGGCAGGATCTAGAATCCATCTAGATTTAAAGCAGTATGTTGAGACTGAGCACAAATGATTCTGGATTAAAAAACACACACACCACTATATTTTTGTTCTACAAATGGATTGATGTGTGTACACAGCTATAGTTTCAGATTCTGACCTGTTCTCACAAACCAAGTTACTATAATACCTTTTTGGCTACCAGATGTTGTAACACTATGCTGCACTGAACCAGCGGTAATACCCTCTTCATATTCATCTGGTTCTTTGTCACTTAAGTCTTGGGCTATCAATGCCGCTGTAAGAGAAAATTAAATATGGAGAAGATCCGTCAAGAAAAGACAACTACATTTTCTATTATAAAAGGGTACAGCATACATTTTTACAGGGTAGCAGGGCACCAGTCCAAAGGGGACAGAGGAATCACCAGCTTCAAAGCCTTGCTGCGCTCTGCTGGCCTCAGTGGTGCTTGTGCATTCCTCCCCCCAATTAAAAAAAGATTGTTCTTCCCAGCTCCAGGAATGGCATACTTCCCCCTGCTATTCTGGGGCCATATTGGGGAATGGAAGGGTTCTGATTCCAGCAGCCTCCCTCCAACTACCCCTGCAGCACTTCCTTTTTGCCTTCTCCACCATAAGTGGTGGGATAGCATGGCACACTTACAAGAGAATAAACTTAACTGAACATAGTTTTTTTTTCTGAGTAAGCATGCAGAAGACTGCACTGCAAATGTCTTGGAGTTTGATACTACTTGGATTACAATATGATTTAAATATCTGAAATTGCTAACCATACTATTTGCATAACGTGCGCTGCTCTGGTTCGCCATGCTGGCCACATGACCTGGAAGCTGTCTGTGGACAAACACCGGTTTCCTTGGCCTATAGAGCGAGATGAGCGCGCAACCCCAGAGCCGTCCACGACTGGACCTAACGGTCAGGGGTCCTTTTACCTTTACTAGGGTAAACAACCTAGTGTCCTCCAGATGTTCTGTACTATAACTGCCATAATCTCTGACCAATAGCATGCTGGTTGAGGCTGATGTTTTAGTCTAGAACACCTAGAAAGCACCAAGTTGCCTATCCCTGCTGTAGTAACATCAATGATGGCCTTTCAATGGGAAGGCCTTCCAATGTAACACAAATAACTAAACACCTCAAATTTTACATAAAACAACTTCACCTTGCTCCTGGTACAGTCGTTCATTTTCCATTTTTTCTTTCACTTTCTGAATGCCTGCCTGAATTGCTTCATAGCGAGTCTGCTCAATGAGCTGTAATCTTGCCTCTTCAAATTGTGCTTTAAGAAGATCCTCCATATCAATGACCTAAATAAAGCCATTGAAAGTAAAGTATCAGAGGATTGTGGGAGAGAGAAAATTATGCCTGCACAATTTTTCTCAAAACATAGAAAGTGGAAACTTGAAGAGCCCCACCTCCTTATGTCACCTGTACCAATTGATGCACCTACTGCCAAGTCTGGTAACGAAAGCTGAAACCTCATAAAATAGAAGTTAACCTTCTTTTGATGTCATTTATTTTCACTGAAAAATATTTTTCAAGGATCCTTGTTTTTGATACTGACATATCCGTCCCTGTATCTTTAAATCTGATATATATCCCCTCACCTTTATTGCAAACTATTTTTTTACTAAACATCTCATTGGGGAACCCCCCCCCATTTTTTCTCCAAGGTCCTTGGAATCTCAAATTGGGCACTTAAGACAGCCCAGCCCACTTACTCTTTGCACCACTGGGCAGTGTGCAGGCAGAGGGAACTGCTCGCCTGATTGCTGAAACTCTATGGTGCCACCTCTGGAAACACTGAGATGGTGAACTGCAGCTTTCAGCCCAGCAGGATCAGGTGACTGAGGAAACCAATAAGGACCCAGCTGGCCTTTCATAATTGCTGTGTCTGGCCTGACTCCTCCATTGGAGCAACTCATTGCTTATTGTGTAGGTTGAGATGCAAGCCCTGCCTGAATCTGCGTAGCTACCAATCTATCTACCGGCATGAGACCTGGTCTCATACCTTGACTTTTGTTTATTCAGGATCCTATCTTTGGTTCCTTGTTAGCAAAACCATCACATGACTGGGAGCCTTAATGCAATTTAAATAAAATAATCTATAGACTAAATTATTGTCATTTATACACAAGTATTAATTTATACCTACCTTTCCCTGATAATAGTTTGCAATCAAGCCACACAAGGTTGTACGCCCAGATAATGGAGGTCCAAATACTAATACTTTACAAGGTGGAAGAGGCATAGGTGGTAGAAGATAGGGACGGGGATTCAGCATAAACTCCTTCAGGGCTTCTTCACTTGAAAGCATATACATCTTACCTAAGAAGCTAAAAAGAAAACAAAATCATAGTACGACAGGCTTAGGATGATTGCACTCCCATTAAGGCACACTGGATTTTGGCCTACCCAAGGGCATAGTCTGTTGATCCCATGATAATTTCCCCTTGTTTTAAAGCCACAGGACATGCTCGTCCCCATCTGCTGCGACGCCATCTGTATCTAGGGGCTACAAGTTTGTAGGCTGCAAGCACCCGGAACAGTTCATCCTGTATGCCAAAACAAAAGAATTAAAGTGCTACATTTATTTTACAAAGTGATCAAATATCTTCACATATTTCCAAAAATTACTGCACTACATTTACATACTACTGATATGTAGCTTTGCCTATGTAGGATACTGCACAATCATAACAAGGGCCATAGGAGTTAAGGGACATGGAGAGGGAAAACTGTAATTTATTTATTGTAAATATTTATATACTGCGCTATTATGAAAACATCTCAAGGTAGTTGTATCAAAAATGCAAGAAAAATAAAATAAATCTAGCAGTGTTACTTGTTAGTAAAAAATTAAACTGAAAAAGAGATGACAAATGACTGGCATCAGTAGCCGGCAAGTTAGATAGGCCTTCATAAACAAGTAGAAACTAAATCATCTTATGCCTTATTTCCATGGGGAGGTTAAAGAGTGGGGGCCACAACAGAAAAGGCTCTCTTCCTGGCCTCCATATGATGAGGTTCTACAGGCTACTGCACAACCACAAGGGCCTCATAAGATGACAATCTAACCATGTTAACAATTATTTGTTTTGGAAAGGTGACAAACAAATGGGGGGCGGGTTTAAAATGTTGGACACAACGAACAGTGCTGAGCTGATGAATCAGGATCAACTGTTTGGGAACCTCATGGAATATATGCTTCTAGTTTTGTCTTGCGCTTCTACTAAATAAAAAATAAAAAATTTATTAAGTCTATATCAGCATTAAATGTCATTGTCACCTTTACTTTATAATGTGCTATTGCTGCAGACAACTAACTATAACACATGCAAATATCAAGCTTACATTATCCAGTCCATCCAACATTTCTTCCTCACCACTCTGAAGTTTGGTTATAAGAGCTCCATTTCGTAGGCCCATGGACTGAAGACGAGCTATTACTGTCTAAACAAAAACAAAAACTTTTTGCATAAATGGTCCTTTATACATTTAACTGATATCACATATGTACTTGTCGAAATACAAGATCAACAAGCATTTGGCAATTTACTCAACTACCCCTCAAAAGTAATCAACAATATTTTTAAACAATGGAAAGAAAAATTCTAAATGGGGTCAGAGAGGAATGGATTCACTGACACTTTCAATGTCCTGTAGGCTTCTGCTGACTAGGGCACAAGTAGGTGAGGGGCAGTTTCTTCCTGCTTTTTCACTGTAGCAACTCCAGGCTGGCACAGCTGAGGAACTTGAGGATTAGGCCCTGCAGAAGAGCTGCAAGCTCTTGCCCCAGAAATGCCCTATTTCAGGCTTTCCTGCTACCATTAGCAATAGTTTTGTGTCTGCTTGAGCACAGCTGAGGCCTCTGCTGCAACACAGGATTGCATTATTTTATCTCCACCAATAAAAGATACCAGCTGCAATGCAGAGTCCTACAAATGAAAGGCTTTCCATTTTTGAAAGGACAAAATCTGCAAATGTGAGGGTTTCAACTGTTTCCTTCAGATAAAGAGTTCACATACTGAAGCTCTGTAAAAGTCCTGTTGTCTTGAAGAAAGTAGTACGGGAATCGGGGACAGCTCCTTCCACTGAAGGAGGCTATGCCTCTAAAGCAGATAAACCTCTACCACTGAAGGAGAACAACATTCTCCATTTGATTGTGCAGGAAAGTTCATGTGTGAGAAAGGTATGTACAAACATCACAACATTCATGAGATTCTGGATCAGAGCATGTCTCTGTATTGCATATTTATTAAGAGTTCAGTCTAATAAAATCCATGTCCCTGCAGATATAACAAAAACCTTTCTGAGTATCATATTCCATGCATACTAAATGAGTCTGTTTCTTGTGAAAAGAGCACAAAGCACTGGTGAAATATTTCATGATAGCTAGAACTGAGGCTAGTAAGCATGGAAATCTTCTTGAGCTTCTCGGGGAAAAAATTGCTACAGTGGTTTTTTTTTGTGCACAGTATATTTATCTCTGTATGTGGGAAAAGACTGATGATCATCCTGATGTAGAAAACTATTGAACCAATATTTTTGGATGTAACTAATTACTGAACTAATGACTGTCCTTAACTATATGGGCTCAATGAGCTTGTAAATGAGGCCATAAGTGTATTATACAACTGTCCCAATACTCTGATAAATTTTATTAGACATACTAAAATAGAGGAAGCAGGTATCAATTTAAACAACAACAAAAAAGCTGCAAATAATAATCTGATAATAATCAATTAATCATGCTTCTTTTGAGAGGAATATATAACAATTGCTATGTACATACTGCAATGAGTTCTTCGGCAGGTTTATTTCCATCTAGTTCAAACAGGTACTGGGAATCCTGCTCAGCCATTAATGTCTAAAAGTGAATAAAAAAACAACAACCAGAAACAAAAATGCTCTATGCATACAGCTGACTGAAAAGACTACACTGCTATCCAATTCTGTTCCCTTCCAATCTGATTTCAATTACTTATTTGAGAACAGTTTATAAAACTGTTTTTTGACATTCACTTCTGTACGCTTTATAAATAGAAAATGTCTAAAATAGCAGCTGTACTAATTCAGGGTATTATATTCATGGTATTATATTAGGGATTATTGTGCACATAGATGGAACTGCCTTCATACAAAAGACTCATGAGTACAATTGCACTTGTAACTATGTTGTGGCATGTTGCAAGAGATAAAGAAGAGATGTAGTGCAGGCAGAATAGCAATGCTAACTATCCTATCCACTTTGCCAATACTGGGAACACACCTTGATCTAAAACGAGGCTGGATCTTAATCTTAACTCAAAACTACAATACGAGTCAATGCAGTAGATCATAAAATAAGCAACTGATATTCATTATCACCAAATGCAGATATCAAATGTAGAATTGTTGAGTTCGAAGGGACCACAAGGGTCATCTAGTCCAACCTCCTGCAATGCAGGAATCTTTTTGCCAAACATGGGGCTCAAACCCATTACCTTGAGATTAAGAGTCTCATGCTCTACCAACAGAGCTATCCCTGTCTTAGTGGCATGACAAACAGTTTTCCAACATGCATATCAAATGCCCATACTTCCAGTACAAAGACACTACCCATCCCCCTGTAAACAAAAAAGCTAGGTAGGAAAATTGTATTACCCTACAATTTATGTTTTAGAGTTCTACTTCCTTATGCATGGGCCCAATTCAACCACCCAGTTCTGTGCTGTTACAGCTGTGATGAGTAACTACAACATGGTTTATAGGAGCAGTGGGCATTTGTGTTATCATCAGTATAATATACGAGCATAGTTCTCACAGGGCACATGTGGTGATTAGCAATATCAAACACATTTTGAAGAAATGACAATCAGGTACTTAAAAACAACAACTAACTTACTTCTAGAAGTTGTAGCACAGATCTCATCTTGTTCTTACCTCTAAAGGACGTAGCATAATGTCCTTATAGATTGCAACTCTCTCTTGTATGTTTTCTAAAAAATCTTCTGGTCTGTGCACTAAATGTGGCAAAATTTCCGTCAGCATGATCTGATCAGCTATTGCCTAAGAGTATAACAAAAACAAAAAACATACTTTGCTTCATTAGAATTAAAAATAGAATATACCAAGCTTGCTTCTAGTTCCTACTCAAGTATTTTACAGAATGAAAAATCTAAACAGTGGCACAAAGGTGTTTTCAATTCTATAAATGAGAGCTCTGTGCGAGCAGCCTCTATATTGTGTGCATAAAGCCTGGGTGTGCCTTGGGGTCGTAGTGGACTGAATCCAACTAAGTCAGGGATGGGAACATTCTTTCATCATACAGTTTTCCTTCATTCCTCAAGTGAACTATACAGTGGTACCTCAGGTTACAGACGCTTCAGGTTACAGACGCTTCAGGTTACACACTCCGCTAACCCAGAAATAGTATCTTGGGTCAAGAACTTTGCTTCAGGATGAGAACAGAAATCGTGCTCCAGCGGCACGGTAGCAGCAGGAGGCCCCATTAGCTAAAGTGGTGCATCAGGTCAAGAACAGTTCCAGGTTTAGAATGGACCGCCAGAACAAATTAAGTACTTAACCCAAGGTGCCACTGTAGCTTGTCAGAAAGCTACAATTCCAAGCATGAACTGTAGTTCCCAGCTTTCTTTGGAAAAAGTCATGACTATTAAAGTGTACAATAATACTCTACAATTACAGGACTCATTTTTTCATAGAAGATTGCCAAAGCCTAGCCTAATAAACAGTGTAACATATTTTATGTTAGAACTAATGTTTGGCGTGCAGGGGTAAGCAAATAATTAATTAATATGATGTCTTTCCTCCCCTTTCTAAATACATTTTTATAGCTACCTGTTTCAAGCCTTAAAGATCAAGACAGGATAGACATTCAAGTAAGTTTACTAATTTACTGAGCACAGAGAAGAGTCTATTATATTGTACTGTATGTATTATTGTTAAGGGCATAAATTATTTTCAATTCACTGAAGAGGATATTTGATATATGTGCAAGATAACTGTACTAGAAAAGAAGTATTTTATTTGAATTCTATGTAGGAAGCAATTTTGTATTCAATTACAAATAGAATTGAGTAAAATGTATTCAACATTGTTTCTGAACAATTCCCAAGTCTTCCTTTACTTGCAGTATTCTTAACCTTACCTGTTTAGATAACCTGGCTAAGTTACCTCATTTGTCTCCTCTTCTTCTTCCTCTTCCTCCTCTTCCTCTTCTTCTTCTGCAGATTTGCGTGGCTCTTTCTTCTTTTTCTTACGCTTTTCAATAATATCAGGATCCCACTCTTCCCTTTGATATATTTGCCCTGTTTCAGGGTGCTGCCTTAGTCCACTGATTCTTTGGCACAAATCATAGTCAGGACACTAGTGAAAAATAGGGGGGATGGGATGTTGCTTACATAATAATATTGTTCATCTTTAAGATTAAACATAATACCATAGTGAGTCTGATCTCAGTATGAGCTGTGTTGGAGGCAAGCCACAACTGCATTTCGGCTCTGCAGAGCCTAACACCTGCCTGGGATCGCTCTCCTTGGTATGCTATAAAGAGGGACAGAACTTGGGAAAGACTGAGCAGCAGCATCTAGTTAAAAGGAAAGGACACTTATAAAATTAAGTGCCATATTGCCTTAGCATGAGAGGCACAGCAGGAACCAACAGAACCCTTTCTGGGTGTCAAACAAGTGGTGAGCCAGGAATGTAAACTCTTTACAGAAGCAGGAATTGAGGGAGGAGGGAAGGAAATCTGCACAGTATTCCCAGTGTGAGTTTTCTCATCATAAAACTCTCATTGAGGATACTGTGCAGAGTTCCAACCCCCAAATACTAGGACTCAGTAAAACCTCTTTGAAGGAAAGATGAGGACTTGGAGTTTTGAGCACACTCATAAGTTGGCTACTCTCATATGGGGGAGACTGCAGTACAATAATAATACTACAAGCTGTAGCATTATATCCCCCCTGAACAGCAAGCGCTGCAGAAAAATGTAAAAGGGCAATGCAGTGGTGGACAATTTCTTTAAATACGTGGCTATTTTGTTGAAAGCTTTGGTTGGCGTTATTGCACCTAACCTCCTTCAGGTCTGGATCCTGAAACAAGAACTTTCATATCTGTCATGGAAATTGTATTTGATTGGTCCTCTTCCATCAGAGTAAAGCTAAAAGAGAGCTTCACAACTTTGTACATTTTTTTAAGGTTGTGCACTAGCCTTGCAACTAAAATTGAAGTGTAAAATTAAAGTGTACGAACATCTTCAGAATAATAAAAGGGAAATCAGAAGCTGTTTCCAGATAGCAGTAAAAAGGGATGATTTTGTATACATGCACATCACTAGTCCTATACAGGGTCTAGTCCAATTCAGTACTGTTTGGTTCAATGTCACCAGGCAGTGGATCACTTTATTCAGCAAGATAGCTAAACTATACTGAAAATATGTTCATCCAGCCCCTCCGCCCTTAGCTAAAGTGAATGTCAGCATAGCTGCTGCTGGGGGAACTTCAAATGACCAACCATGGGATCACCAACCTTTTTGGCGCATTTGAAGTGTTGAGAAAGTGCCATGGGCACCAGAGAAAACATTAACTTTGGGAGAAACCAGAACCTTTGAATGAAACAACTAGAAACCTGGTATTAAGCTAATTTTTATGCAAAGTAGGTCTACTGAAATAACTGGACCTAACTTAGTCATGTTCACCAGGGCTTTTTTTCTAGAAAAAGAGGTGCCAGAGCTTTTTTAGGGGAAGCACCCACCTAAAGTTGTTTAACTATTTGGGGGGGGGGAGCACGCAGTCAAAGTTGTTGAGCCGCACCAACCGCAGCCTCTGTCACGCAGCTCCAACCGATGTTGCAATGCTACAGAGATGCCAGAACGCACCAAAGGGTGCCGGAACGCAATTCCAGTGAGTTCCAGCTAAAAAAATGTCCTGATGCTCACTCATTTCAATGGGTCCACTATGACTAAAAATTAGTTGAATTGTCTGAAATATTTCGCTCCACAGGTATAATCACATTTGCAGAGTAAGTAGTAGATTGACTAAGAAATAATTAAAACTGACATTACCTTAATATTAATCAGGAAATCTGGTTTTAATTTTGCATTTCTGATTACGTCAATTTGTTCTGGTATACTCATGTGTTCTTCAGAGAGAGAAGGAAAATCACAGAGAACATAACCTATGGGAAAAAACACACAACCCCACCCAGAAAAAAAACACACTATTTAATGGGTTGTTGTTTTAAAGTTGAAAATATACAAATTTTACAACCACTTTTACAGAATAATAAGTGTGTAACTGATGTTGTTTGACGAGGATGGGGTCCTAGAAAAATCTTGTGTGAGAGCATCAATGTTCAATCATGCAGTTATCTTGCTTTATGTGACACTAAATTAGCCAAAAAAAGGCTGTGCTGGGGCTGAATATGAGCATACTGTGTGACTATGAAGGAGGTGGTGTACCTTTCTCCAGCACCAGATTTAGGACGGTGTGTTCCACAAGCTTTGCTAACGCCATATTGGTTGCCAAGATAACCCCACAATTAATTGGTAGTTGTTGTAGCAATGACCTCATATATATATTCACCTGCTTTGATATAAGCTAATTGGCCTGCTCTGATGTCATCATTACCTGTGGGCTTGGGGACTGGGCTCTGAGCCCAGAAAAGGGAGCTATCCGTAAAGTTTGGGTATTTGTCACACATATCCTCATCTAGTTAGCTGAAATGACGTATGCTGCTTTGTGTATAAGAAAAAATGTACGCATGTTTGCTTGGGCGTGGACAAGTCATCTCCTTGCTGCGGTGTCCATCTTGTGTCTGTAAAGGCTAGGAGACCTGGCAGGCTGCTTTACTACACCTTCTTAATAAAGCCTACACCTTCTTAATAAAGCACTAGAACTGGCCATTCTGGTGTATTTGGCATCCTTCTTTGGTATCCCTACACCCAACCACTCCAACGAGCCTTCCTTTGGGCCTGCGGTTCAGAACAGGGGGTATAGGCGGTTCTCCCACACTGGGTGCTGAGCAATAGGGGTGCAAAATTGAGAAGGTTCATAATTGAGAAGGTCCATTTGGGGGCACTAAATTTTGCCCTTGCACAGGGCTCCATATTATCAAAGATTACGATATTACCAAAGATTACTCTTATGCAGGGAGACAAAGCACTGCAATTTATAGGGTTTCCAAGCGATGGAATCTAAGAGAAGAAGCCCATATTGCTTTATTTCAAATAGTTAGACAATGGATTTCTATGCATCCCTTTAATAAAAAATAAAAATTATGGGATGATTTATAATATTCATATGTTTATAGGTTGGACTGTTGCTAGCAAAGCATAATGTGCAAATCCATCCCCTTGTTACCTTATGTTCAGGGCTACCAAGTAACTTACATCGACCCCCACCCCCATCATACACAATTCTGCCTTTAAAGAAGGATTTGGGGAAGGAAAAAAGTACCAAAGTGAAAAACCTCTGGAGATTCAATCTTTTTCATAAGCATCTTTATAATCAAGTCTTCAGGTATAGCTTGACCTTGATAGAGCAATTCATTACACTAAAGAAAAAGCAAAACAAAACATCATATTCTGCATACATAAAGTGAAATACATAATTAACACACATTAAAATAGGCAACTACCTAATAACCATTCAGACTATTCACACATCTGGCCCGGCTTTTTTTACTCTGAAACTAGCTCCACAAAATCTCCAGAATCATAGAATCAAAGAACTGTAGAGTTGGAAGGGACCCTGAGGGTCATCTAGTCCCACCCCTGCAATGCAAGAATCCTGCCCACAGCCATCCCTGGGTGGGTTCAAACCACCAATCTTCTGGTTAACAGCCAGACCCACTGCTCCATTGCGCCACTCAGGACATCTTTCACCACATCTTTTACTTCTTCTTTTTAATTGAAGCAACACTGAGATGAAATGGACCTTCACTAACATAGCCTTAAAAACAAAATATGCCCAATAAATCAATTAAAAAGTACAAGGTAAGGGCTCTACCTTGATTCCATATTCTGTTTCTGCTGTTATGTTCTCATCAATAAGCTCTGACGCTAAAAATGATACATCATAGAGAAAGAGATTGCAATTTATTAGAGTTGACTTCTGGATGCATATGCACATTCAACACAACAGAGTTTAGATTACTTTAAATAGTAATTAAACAGCAACAATGTAGAATGATCATACAGTTCATGATACACCCCGCTTCTTTAACTACCCACCTGTAAATACAGGTAAATACAGTCCCTTTGCTGGATGTGCATTTCACAATACGGAGATGATGTCAACATGGGAAGATAGGTATATGCTCAAATAGTTATCTGTGCCTCAATAGAGGGCCTTTTCTTTTGGTGTCTGTAGGCTTTGCTAGCCCCTTCTTTTTTATCTTGTGAGAACATAGGTCTTTGAGAAACAGAATGAAGGACTATGTAAGAGCCCTTATGGATCAGCCATAGCAACCAACCAATTGTGTATGAGAATCCCACAAACAGCCTTTTCATTATGTTGTTTCTCGGCACCTGATATTCAGAGGCATAATGTTTTTGATTCTAGATATATAGCCATTGATAGCCTTATCCTTCATGAATCTATCTTCTCTCCTTCTAAAGCAGCTTGATGAATCCCATAGTTTATCTATGTGCTGTGCGAAAATTAAAAATAACCTGTACAGAAGACCTTTGGAGAGGGGAACAGTATAGGTATATTGAGCTGTTGTCTAAATCTTCAACCTTTGTAAGGTTTAGGATTTTTTATTTCTAATTTTAATTTGCATTTTTTTGTCATGGTTTAGGAGAATTTTGGTATGTGTTTTTTAAAAAGTTTAAACCGTTGGCTGAATCAATTTTTTTAATGCAGATACCAATTATTATTTTAAAAAGAATAAAGAAAAAGCAAAGCAGACTGCATGAATTCACAGCTGCATAAATAGAAGGACAATAACTAATTTATCTTCATGCTGTAGATTTACTAGAATCTAAACATAGCCACTTAATCCCCAATCTGATTAAGAGTTTTGTGATGTTTTCATTGGCCTAATAAAAGCATTGCCTTATTCGGGATTTTCAAAGTTAAAAGGCACCCTCTGCCAATGTTGGCTTCAGAAAACAGCATTTATATCAAGGAAGCAGTAGCAGAAGAAAGAGGAAAGCACTTTTTCCTCCCCTCCTGTTCTCTGATCTTCAAAGTAGCTATGCAACCTGCCAATTAGTTTTAAAAAGGTGAAATATTCTGATTATAGATATCCTGCATCATGAAATGTGGTTTTATCCACCAGAGGGCTCCCATGTTTTCTAAGTAATGAAATCCAAGAACACCAAGATTTGTAAATGAACAATTACAAAGAACTAAGTTAAAATAAATTACTCGCAGATTTAATGAAAACTTATAGTGTGGTTTAAAGTTGAGAGATTCTAGTCTTGCAAATATATTTGATTCTTTGGAAATCACTGTAATTTTTCACCAAGGGTAGAATTTCAGAGAAGCACTTATTTCTGAAACCAACAGGTAAACCTCTGTTGCCTTCTCAGCCTTTTACTCAGAATTCTGCTGATGCCAGATCAGTCCCAAGCAAGCAAGTGAGAATTCAATCACTGCCCTGCTGTGTTCATTCTTGCAAATTTAAGCAAAGTAACAGCTCCTGAGGAAATCAGATCACCTGGGGAACTATGGTTTGTTTCTGAGGGGCAGAATGAACTTGCGGAAGAACTTAAAATTGAAAGAGGAAAAAGAACAGGTAGCTGAAGTGGCAATGAGGTTTTCAGTTTGAACCTCAGAGAGAACCTGTATCCCCTTTAAATCACTTCACAGCCGTAAAAGATGTTACTGTGGTAGCTATGCCTCCTGATTCAATTCAGCCACCAATCTTTTCCTGCCCGCTGAAGGTAAAATGAGATTGTCCTTGTTTCACCTAGCAAGAGGGGAAAGGTGTGCGACTAGATGGAGGGTGACATGCTGAATGGGAGTGGGGGGCAGAAGTTGGGGCTACAACATGCAGCTCTAGTTTGTGACCTGCATTTTAGGTGAGGCTGAAAGGATATTGTTTCCTATCTTTTTCAGTATTTCAAAGTTTTCTTCTAGCATTTCCAGACCAATATCAGGTTCACCTTTTCAACTATGATCCTGAAACTTAATATCTAAAAAAAAATTCTGAACCAGTCTGACTATCCCTTACTTGGCTTCTATATCATTGAAGGAAAACTGAAGTGCTATATGACTGAAGTAAAATTTGCCAGTGACCAAAATGTAAAAGGGGAGTTAAAAAGTGTACATTGCATACAATAAATGAAGGACACTCCTACAACTCTGAATAAACAAGACCATAAGAATAAATGAACTTTGCTGAACCAGACTAAATACCCATTTAACACATTTTGTTTCCAACACACTTATAAAAGCTGGTAAGCAGGGCATGAAGGCAGCATTTTTAAAAATTATTTTATTGTTATTATTATTTTCCTTTTATTATTAAAGTTCTTAACATCTGAAAACAATGGGAAAGATGCATATTGCTTCATTAATCTGACTGAAACATGTAATTTCAGAAATCATTCAAAAAAATCCAATAAGTGACATATTGTCTAACATAATGTTGCTTATATTTACCATCTATGAGTGTGCATTTCCAGATCTGGGCTAATTTTTTAGCTAATGTTTTCTTCCCAACACTCTGAAAAAGAAGATAAATAAACATAAGAAGTATTGTTTAAAACTAGAATAATCCCTGCAGTGCTTCAAATGTAGCATAATATAATGGAAAGACAAAGACTAAAAGCCTAATTTTTATTATAGACCTGTATTTATGGATTTGAAATGTGCAAGCCAGAAATCATATTTTTCATCCCTGTATCTGATAGAATATATTCCATAGCTTCCATTTTTATACTAAACTTAAAACTGTATGCTAACTTTCACAGCAAAAACATATTTGACATTTTAAACTTGCTAGCCCTGGAAAACCAAAGTAACTGAAGTGATTAGATTCTACCTCCTATGTGATAAACATATTTACAAATAAGGTTCCATGCTGGGCTTGGGTGGGGTATAAAGTTAACTAAAGTAAATTTCTCCTACTACATGAAAACCGGTAGTGATGTAAAATATTATAGTATATAAACCCAGCTAGTTCTTGTACCTTACTGCTTAAATGTGTGCCTAGGGGATAGTTTTATGCATAAAAGCAAGAGCTACTCCATTCTGGAAATTGTAGTCAGCATGTTGTTGTCACACATTCAATCTTCTGTTGAGAATTGAGCTCAAGGAAATAATTTGAAGTAGAAACACTGAAAACACTGATTGGCTAGGGACCTGTGCCATCATAATCCAACCTCTCTCGGGAACAGTTTTTTCAAGTTATAAGCAAAGTACAGGTTTTTAATTTTAAAAACCCAAAACAAAACGAGACACAATATAATTGTTTACATGAATAGCTGCAGAAATAATAAACAGCTTGTATATTTCAACAAGATTTAAATCTGGACAAGAATTGAAGGGGGACAGCCCACCAAAAGAATGGGGGAGGGACAAACTACCAGTCAGGAAATCAGTAGTTGTTGCATGAGTGTCCATTGAAGAACAGCTGTAACAAGAAGCCAGGCTCAGGGCTGCAGGGGCTAAACAACATGGGGGGCTCCGGTTTTTAATAAGCATGGTGGGTTCCTTAACTTTTCCTGAATTGTGCCTATCATATAGAAGTAAGTGCATCAAATATACCACTGCTGCTTTACTTTCTAGATCTGTTTGACAAATTGCACCCTAAAACTCAGTGAAGAGACTTTCGAGAGAAATCTAGGACTCAGCTATATTGTCAAAGAAAAGCGTTTTATATGCATTCTTTATACATTCTAACACTGTGACAGCAGATGGCGCTGTGGAGTTCTGTTTTTGCTAACCCGATTTCTCATAAATGTTACAACACGTTTAACTGAAAAAGTTCTTGTTGTGTCCAGATCCGGCCCTACTCAAAACAGACACAAACATTTTGGCAATGTGCACAATGCTGGACTTGCTGAATCACATCCAATATATTTAGCATTGAGATATCTTGACACCAAGCTTTACAATGACATATTCATTATAAACATCTAATGAAGCTAACTTAGTCAGTGGTAAAGGATCTGCTTAGGGCTTGGAAGGACTGGAGCTCCAGTCAGCCTGATCTTATCACTGAGATTTAGAAATAAATCTCACTGAAATGGGTGTATTCTCAAGATTCATGGCTGAGAATATAAATATACTCATTTGGAAGTTAGTGCTTTTACAATCAATGGTTTCAGATGAGACTGTGATGCTCAACATTCTTACTTGGAACTAAAGATCAGCCATGTATTACTTTAATTACATGGAATCACCTCTAGGTAGTGGGTTCTCCATATTTTCACCATAGCGTGCAACAGAGCACATCACGTCACCCTTCATAGACTCTTCGAGTTGGAAGGGACCCAAGGATCATCTAGTCCAGCCACCTGCAATGCGGGAATCTCAGCTAAAGCATCTATGGCAGATGGCTATCTAGCCTTTGCTTAAAAACCTTCAAGGAAGGAGACTCCACCACCTCTCATGGGAGTCTGCTCCACTGCTGAATAGCTCTTACTATCAGAAAGTTTTTCTGAATGTTTAGTCAGAATCTCCTTTCTTGTAACATTTCAGGCATTGCCTCAAATCCTATCCTCCAGAGCAGGAGAAAACAAGCGTGCTCCCTCCTCCAGGTGACAATCCTTAAGATATTTGAAGATGGCTATTATATCTCCTCTCAGTCTCCTCTTTTCCAGACTAAACATACCCAGGTCCTTCAAACGTTTCTCATAAGGTTTAGTTTCAAGACCCTTGATCATCTTGGTTGCCTTCCTCTGCACATGTTTCAGCTTGTCAACGTACTTCTTAAGTTGTGGTGCCCAGAATTGGACACCGTGTTCCAGGTGTGGTCTGACCAAGGCAGAATAGAGTAGTACTATTACCATACTTCCCTTGATCTGGACACTATACTTCTGTTGATGAAGCCTAGAAAAGTGTCAGCTTTTTTTTGCTGCTGCATCACACTGTTGACTCACATTACGCAAGACCCCTAGATCCTTTTCACATGTACTGCTGGTAAGCCAGGCGTCCCCCCCACCCTATATTTGTGCATCTGGTTCTTCCTGCCTAAGTGCAGAACCTTACATTTGTCCCTATTGAAATTCATTTTGTTAGCTTGTGCCCAGTTCTCCAATCTGTTAATTCTGATTTTGTTTTCTGTGGCATTAGCTACCCCTCCCAGTTTGGTGTCATCTGCAAATTTGATGAGCATCCCCTCAATTCCTTCATCCAAGTCATTTATAAAGATGTTGAACAAGAACAGGCCCAGGACAGAACCTTGTGGCACCTCACTTGTCACTTTTTTCCAGGATGACAAGGAACCATTAATGAGTACTCTTTGGGTTCGGAAAGTCAACCGGCTACAAATCCACCTAATAGTTACCTCATTCAGCCCACATTTTACCAGCTTCCTCACAAGAATATCATGGGGGACCTTGTCAAAAGCCTTACTGAAATCAAGGTACACTATATCCACAGTATTTTCCTGATCTACCAAGTTCGTAATTCCATAAAAAAAGAAAGAAATCAGATTGGTTTGATATGACTTATTTTTGAGAAACCCAAACTATTTCTGATGGCAAGTTAGGCTACCACAGAAACACTGCAAAGAATACCAAAGCACAATAAGGTATGTCATTTATGCTACATATCACAGCAGTGGTGTGGGTAAGTCATCCTGCAGAGGCCATTTCCAATCTATTCCTTAAAAGAGATGGTATCCACCAACTATCTGCGAACTTGAGGTGCAAGCATGAACTAAAAATCATTGGTAGGTTTCTTTTTCACCAAACTTGAACAGAAAGGATTGAGCTGGTATGTCTACTGTGATCTCTTCAAGACTCCTGAGCTGAAGAGCCTGCACTTGCTATGGAAAATGTGTGTCTAGGCAGATCTTAATGTTATTATAACTTAAGTCAATTAAGGCTTACAACTGTTACTGAGGAATATGGAGGAAAAGGCTTTGATGCACTCCATTCATCCCACTAAGTTCAATGGGGCTTAATTCCAGCAGTGGCAGAGCTTCATGCTCCGGCACTGGGGGGCGGAGAGCAGGCAGGGGCAGGACTGGCGCTTGTCCTGGGGTGGGGCGCTCGTCCTGGGGGTGTGGCATGCGTCCTAGGGGCGTGGTACGCTACCTGCAGGATTGTGGCGCCCAGCATGGGTGGGGGGGGCAGCTGCAATGGCACCCTACTGGGATCGCACTGCCGGGGGCGGTGCACTCCCCCCGCACTCCTCTTCCTTCACCAGTGAATTCCAGGTAAGTGTATATACTTCCTATAGGTACACTCCCATTGGACACAGTGGGGTTTACTTCTGAATAAACATGTATAGGATTGTGCATCAAGTTATATTGTTCAAAATGCCAGTTTAATCAAACTGGAAATTCTTACAGGTTTCCCAAGGATGGCGAAACAGGTGGGCTTAGATGTCAGAAAGACTCTGTCAGCTTCGTCTTCATCATATATATCTACAAAGGGATAAGGTTGCTCCTCCTGTTGAGATGTCATCATTAAGCCTACATTAGGAGAAAAATGTGTTCAATATCAATATCACTATTACTTACAAGAAAAACCAATTTACTGACAAGCCCTACATCACAATACCCTTTGGCAAAAACCAAGAGCGTACAGTGGTACCTTGGGTTACATACGCTTCAGGTTACACACTCTGCTAACCTAGAAATAGTGCTTCAGGTTAAGAACTTTGCTTCAGGATAAGAACAGAAATCGGGCTCCGGCGGCGTGGTGGCAGCAGGAGGCCCCATTAGCTAAAGTGGTGCTTCAGGTTAAGAACAGTTTCAGGTTAAGAACGGACCTCCGGAACGAATTAAGTACTTAACCCGAGGTACCACTGTAGGTAGGTTTCCCAGTCCAGAAACCATTCTTTATGCTACAAAATGTTAGGTTTAAACTGTAAATTTAGATTGTTTTCAAAACTGTGAACCCTGAGTGCACAGGCAGAAAGTCGGTACAGTATAAGAAATGCAGTAGCATCTATGAAAAAGAAATCATATGGTATTGTTAAGAAACCCCGACTACACAGCGGCACGAGAGAGTCTGGCTTCGGCCAGCACCGGATGAAACGATATGAGGAGCACTTACTGCGTGACTTGACCAAACTGTGTCCCTCTGCTTCTTTTTGGTGGCAGCCCACACTGAAGCGGCGCGCGATAGGCTACCACTGATCCGCCGAGATTGCTGTTTCCCCGTAACCGTGGCGACCGCGACCAGCCTCGCCGTTCTGTTGGAACCGCCCCCGCTCCCTTCGCCCAATCAACGAGCGCGATGAGGACACGAGGCCGAATAGTTTTTAAAAGGGCACCACCAACCGGTCTCTTCTCAGAGGGCCTAGGCCACGCTCAGCTGCCAGAGCGTTCGGCGGCTGGGTGAGCGGCAGTTGGAGTCGCCTTCGAGAGTTTCGAAATTAACGGTTTTTCTGTAGAAGAACTGAGAGCCGTTGGGGGGAAAAATGGAGCCTTTTCTGATCGTGTCGGCCCTTAACGGGGTTCGCCTACATGCTCTCAGGAGTAAGTGGCGCTGAACTCCGTGGTGCTAACTCCCAAGTACGCATGAGTACGATCAGCATCTGACGAAGCGGGTTGAATCCGCGAAACCTTACGCCCTAATAAATTTATTAGTCTTTAAGGTGCCACGAGACTCTGTTTTAAGATCAGGCTGCAGCTACGCGAGGCGAAATCCGCACCTTGTTGAATGTGTGAGTTCGACGGGACTTGCTCCCTAGGGAACAAAGAAGCGCGAGACCTGAAAGCCTCGCGCGTTTATTATGGCACCAGCTTTTGTGTCCTCACCATCAGAGGTACAGTATGGAGGGTTCTCCTCGGTGAACAGCAAATCCCCTCACATGCCCAGACCTCTGAACCGAGGATAATACTTCAAGTATCTGAGGAAGACTCCGGTCCGCGAAAGCTGGTGCCATAATTGTGAGGCTCTTGTGACAGAGGCTAGGCACACCTGTCCTTTGGAGACAACAAATAACCCGCTGGTCTTAAAGGTGCCAGCACGGCTCACCCTCTGGAAGTTGTGACCACGGAACACTCCTAACGGAGTGTGCTTAGCACTGCAACCATCAATAAAGCGCTGGACAACACACACGGCCCACAAACGGCGCCCTTCTTCCACCGAGAACAACGATATACGCAGTCCTGGCAGAACGGGCTTTGTTCCCGAACGTAAAATGGCGTCGGCAGAGGCAGTCACGTGAACTTGCGCTGCCTTCGGCTGTCACTCTCCTGCGCCTGCGCTGGATGTAGGCGGGACGGGTTCCTTCCTGGTGTTTTGGAGAGTCCCCGCTCCTTCTACCTGTTACCCCCCTTAGCGAGGGGGCTGGTGGGGGGTTCTTGCTGGTTCAGTGGAGCGAGAGGGGGAAAGGGTTCGGGGTTCATGGACTCCTCTATCCCCACTCGGTAACTCGGGGTTTCTGGGAGCAGAGCTTCCCTCAAAAGAAGGAAGGGGCGCCCGAGAAGGGGTTCGCCGCTGACTGAGTGCGGCCCTCTCCCCTGCTGTCACCATGCCTGTGGCGGCTCCGATCATCAGCTCTGTGCAGAAGCTGGTGCTGTACGAGACTAGAGCTGTAAGTAACCCCCGCAGCGCCCGCTATTCTTTCCCACTGCTTGACTGATGACTGGGAAGCGGGGAATGCCTTTGGTGATGATCCAGCCTAAACCTTCTGAGCCCGGTTTACAGCCTAATCCTATGGATGTTTACTCAGGAGCCCCACTGTGCTCTCTAGGGCTTGCTCCCTGGACCAGGAGTGGGTAAACCTTGGCTCTCCAGATCTTGTTGGAACTCCCATCAACCTTTGCCAGTAATAGGTGATGGATGATGGGAGCTGAATTCCAGTGACACCTAGAGGGCCACTAATGTTTCACCACTCCCCTAAGATGTGCTCATGGTTTAGAGGGGAGTGACTCCTAATGAACTGGATGGGATTTTTCTGAATAAACATGCATAGGAACAGACTGATAAGGGGCCATACTGTTTGGACCATAGAATAATCAAGCAACACTGTTGAGGGGGCAAAAACCTCAGAGCAGACCCCTACAACGGCCTAGTGATGGCTGAGCAATCTTAAAGGGTATGGAGTGCTGATTGCTGTAGAGGGGAATGAAGGATTCTGGAAGAAGAAGTTGTGGCTAGCTGAAATACTGAACAGAATCATTCCACACTTAGACTCTGCAAGTGGAATCTGCAACTATGTTAGTAAACTGAGTTAGGTGCTGATTTTGTTCAAAGAAATGAAACACCTCATAATTTTACCCAAATTGTAGGGTGAGGCTGCCCTGTCTGTAAAAAAGGTAAAGGGACCCCTGACCATTAGGTCCAGTTGTGACCGACTCTGGGGTTGTGGCGCTCATCTTGTTTTATTGGCCAAGGGAGCTGGCGTACAGCTTCCGGGTCATGTGGCCAGCATGACTAAGCCGCTTCTGGTGAACCAGAGCAGTGCATGGAAACACCGTTTACCTTCCTGCTGGAGCAGTACCTATTTATCTATTTGCACTTGATGTGCTTTTGAACCGCTAGGTTGGCAGGAGCAAGGACTGAGCAACAGGAGCTCACCCCATCACGGGGATTCTGTAGAAGGAGCTAAATATTGCTTGTTTGATGAAACATGGTCTCTTTGTTATGCCACATTGTAGTAGAGGTACTTCAACTCCTCAGCACTGTGCCTTTGCCTCTTGCAAGCAGCCTGGTTACCAAACCTTAAATTTAGTATAATATGAGAAACTAAAAGATAATGTAATATGTTTACCTGGATGCAAGTCCTACTGTGTTCTCAGTTAAGTGTGTGTAGGATTCATTAATCTGTTGCCAATGTTTCTTGGCTTAGGTCAGTGTAGCAAAGTAGCAAAAAAGACCATGGGAGCCAAGTGACCACTAAATTTGGCTTAGCATGTTGTGTGATTCAGGCCTGTGACATTTACACTGTGACCCACTTCTAGACATATTTGCTCAGATGCAAGTCAAACTGAGTTCAATGGGCTCTTTCAAATGAGCATGGGTAGGATTGCTGCTTATCTACTTGCACTTGATGTGCTTTCGAACCGCTAGGTTGGCAGGAGCAGGGACCATGATAATTATGGTGATAATTTATTATTGAAGAGTTACCGTACATTTACTGCTAGTCCTTTAATTCTGTCATCTATTAATTATATACTCGGATGTATGTTTTCTATTTTTTTAAAAAGTTTCATTTCTGCATAACATATATAGCCTCTAGTTTTATTGGCTGCCTATTTGTTTGATAAATAAATTTAAGGTGCTGGTGTTTATCTGTGAAGCCTTAAATGTCATTGGGCCGAAATACCAAAAGGATAGCCTCTCTCTCTGCTACCCCAGCTATGTCTTAAGATCTTCTGAGGTGGCTCTTGCTGGGTTTCACCATAGTAACACAAGAGAGAAACTTATTTGCAGTCGCACCTCATATGTGGAACACCCTCCCCTCAGAAGTCTGACTGGAAGCAACATAGCTATTATTTTCTTGCCAGATCAAGATGTATTTGTTTATTTAATTTCATAAAATTTATACACTGATTGTAAAAAGTGGTTTGCAAAAGGATTAAAATAGTAAAATCAAGAAAAGAAAAATACAACCCTACTTTAAAACATACAGAATTTAAAATACTGAAGCAGATTAGCTGAACTTTCTAAGCATCTGGGTATGTTTGTTTAAACAGGAATGTTTTTAGCAGATGCCAAAAAGAGTACAGTGGTGCCTGCTTTATTTCAATAGGCAGGGAGTCCCAAGGTGTAGGTGCTGCCACACTAAATTACCAAGTTCTTACAAATGCAGAATAGGTGCGATGGGGCACCTGTGGTAATATATAATTATAACACTGTATATAATTTGATCTGTACCCTGCTCTAGTATCTGACATATTATGAGTATTTTAAAGAGGTCCTCATCTTATCTCTCCTAAATTGTTTATCTGAATAGTATAGGCTTTGCCTGCATTTGAGAATTGCTCCTGATATCTCACCCCAAGACTTGTCTACACAGAATCCAACTGAGATTGTTCATAAGTTCACTAGACAATGGAGAATGTATGTTTCCAGGCTATATACATATCATAATAATCTTTATTTGCATCAGCCACTATCCATAGCAATAAAATAAAATACAATGTACTGAAATAGAGGTAAAAACTTAACTATATAAAATTACATTATGGAGGTTTACATCAATAATCAAATAACAGATCTTATTCTAATTGCCCCTGCTAAAATTTTTGCAGTTTTTGGCTATTTACATATATATTTCTCCTAAGGTAAAAAGATAAAGGACCCCTGGACGGTTAAGTCCAGTCAAAGGCAAATATGGGGTGCTGTGCTCAACTCGCTTCAGGCCAAGGGAGCCAGCGTTTGTCCACAGACAGCTTTCTGGGTCATGTGGCTAGCATGACTAAACCACTTCTGGCACAACGGAATGCCGTGATGGAAGCCAGAGCAGATGGAAATGCCATTTACCTTCCCACCGCAGCGGTACCTATTTATCTAGTTGCACTAGTGTGCTTTTGAAATGCTAGGTTGGCAGAATCTGGGACAGAGCAACTGGAGCTCACCACCATCTTGCTGATTTGAACCACCAACCTTCCAAACAGCAAGCCCAAGAGAATCAGTGGTTTAGAAGACCACAGCGCCACCTGTGTACCTTATTGTATTTCCCCTAACACAGCTTTAGGGTGATTGTTTTCACTGGGAAACAACATAGGGAGAAAGAGTTTTTCAAAAACTTCTTAGCTCTTCATTCCTGATTGAGACCCACCCTACTGCTATTTACAAAATGGAAAAATACCTATTGCAGATTTTCGCCTTTTCTGGTTTGTGATAAGGAACTGTGCTTCCTGTCCAGTACTCTCTCTCTATGACAATAATATTTACAAAACACTTAGGCTATTTTACAACATGCAATAAATTGTAGCAGTTCATGGTATGTGCATTACATTATCAACCACAATAAAAATCAAGCCATGTTTTCCTTCAGAAGGTCAAATGTGGGGAAAGATAATATTACAAATGAATCAAAACAAATTTGGGTTCCTTAGAAGCATACTGAGAATTCAGGAGTCGCGAGGCATTTTTTAAAAGGTAATGAAGGGGGAAAAGGACAAACAAATGGAAGCCTTGAACTCCACAATGTGGAAATTTTCTTTTCGGTTTTCATTTGCCATGTATACATTGTATGTATGAGACTATTCCTATCTCTGCATTTCACTATATATTCCCAGAGCTTAGTACCACATTGTCTTTTCTGATTGGCAGCAGCTTTTTTTAATAAGAGGCAGAGGTTTTCCTCAGCTTTTTGGCACAATATTTCTTCTTTAACTTGATATGCTAGGGTTTGAAGTATATACATTGAAAGCAGGGCCAATTGAACCTTTGGCTCTTCAGACGTTGTTGAACTATAACTCCCATCATAATTGATCATTGACCGCACTGTCTGGGCTTGAAAGGAAATGGAGTACAGCAGCATGTGGATGGTCAGAGGTTCGCTGTACCTGATCTGCATCCTGTATTATGCCACTGAAGTGGTCTCTTTCTAGACCCTGCCTCCTCAACCTAGTCCATATTAGTCAAAACATTAGATGTTATCTTTTGCTTCCTAATTTGTTACGTTTACCAATGCAAATGCGTATTTGTGTCAACATGCATAGGATCAGGCTGTATGGATGTCAGGTGGCTTTTTTTTTCTCCCCTCAGAATGATTTGAAGAGCTTGCAGAGCATAGTTAAAACATAAATCTTACAAGACAAAGGTGCCAGGCAGTAGCATTCATCTCCATTTCCCCTTTGTATTTATTTCAGTGGCTTTTATAGCCTTGGGGATTATAGAATGGGGAATTGTAATATACAACTGTACAATCACTAAATCTTTTCTCATGAATGCTTAGTTTCGCATGAGGCGGCAGTGAACCTTTCCCTTTCAATCGGTTCAAATGGCGGTTTTAGAAAGCAACACATTCCCACTGTAGAAAAGGAAGTCTGTTTTAAATAATCACACTGTCAAGAGAGGTTCTCTCAAGTATATTTCAGATGTTTGCAAAGCAAGACCAAGAGAGCCACTTGTAAATCTGAGATAATTATAGCAACTGCAAGCATCCTGGGGCTCCTTGCTTGTAACCAAGCTTTTGATTCCCCCTTTCCATTGCAGTGCTGTTGACCAGCTGCATGTTAACATCTATTTGGTTTGCAAAGAGCTTCTGACTCTCCACTGAATGTGGAAGGTGGTGCTTGCTGGAAGCTTTGTGTGTGTGTGTGTGCGCGCAGAATGCCTATGGAGCTGAGAAGGAGGTTAATCGAGTGGAATGTTCTTGAGCAATTAGAAATAGTACTCTTGGAAGACAGAAACTTTTCCTTTCAATTTGGTGGAACAGAGAGGATGAGTGTGAATTGCTCTTAATAAATAATATGTTGGGTTAATCCGCTCCTTTAGGCTTCAGCAATTGCTGAACTGCATCTTGAAAGGTGGCTGGCAATTGCTGACTCATGTTGACTATAATTTTAGATGAAAGTAAAAATTTACGGACACTGATTAGATTGGTGCATTATCATTATAGTTTTCTCTCTGTGATAGAAGGCTACATAACATTTATGCAGGATGCAGTACAGTATAGTTGTAAAGCAAACTATTGTGAGGGATAGTAGCTATTCCTTAGCATGTCAGTATTTGATGTGCATGAAACATTAACAGGAATATTGTTTCTAAAGAGAAGGAAGTGTTGTGTATAACACAGTTGAAACCATTTATATATAGGAAGAGTGTATTGCACATGATGCTTGCAGGATCTCTATGCTTCACTGAAGAGTCATTGGAATGTGACTGTTGTTACTGCTTTCCTTGGTCTCCTATCTTTATCTCCTTGCATGGAGATTAAGGCTGCAACTGGGTTGGGTTATGATCATGAGCTATGGCAAAGGCAGGAAGCATTAAAAATAAGAAATATAGTAAATGCCATTTACTAAACATTTGGTGTGACAAAAATGGGGAATTTGATATCTATCAAAGCTTGATTTGATGGAAATGCAGAGATATGGCAATTGCCCCCAATAGACGTATGTATTTACAAAAAATAACTGCAATTTGCTCTGGATATTTTAAAAGAGTAATTTGTAATGTGTACTTCAGATTGTTTTGCTCAGATCAGAAAATGAACATTTGTTTGGTATCCTTGTGGTATTTTGCCTGGTTAAAGGTTGCCTGGAATAGTTGCCAAACATTTAAATATGCATTTCTCTCTTGAGTCATTCTTCTAGAAAAACCTAGGTACTATGTAAAATTGTCTCCATTAAGATAACAGAGTAATTTTTATTATAGACAAGATAGAAGGGAAAGGATTTACCATTTTATCCCATTACGGTATATTATAAAGACTTAGAATGTGTTTTAATATTTTTAAGTCTTTATTGGGATAAAAATCCAGCTGAACAAACATATAACAAAAAATATTATTTTGTTTCCGTGTTGTTTTTCAATTGTGCAGTCCCCAAGGCAGCTTGCAAGGAGATTAAAACAATTGATAATACTGTACTGTACAGTAAAATAAGAGCAAGGCTATGTGGGAGATCTGCTGTGGTGTGGGCAGACCTTCACTCACATAGCATAACTTCATCTTCCTCTCGGGAAAATCTGTGAAACTGGGGACCTTAAAGAGTAGATTTGGGGGGCATTCAGGGGGCTGGAGGACAGAGGGGGGAAACCCACAAATCCTATTGCAGGGGTGGGTTTTTGTTGACTGTTGGTGCTTCTGAAGCCTTGTGCATAGTGCTTTGCAAGTCCCAATGATCAGCTGATTGTTGTCACTTTGAAGACTATACCCACACAGCTTGATTTCAAACCATGCAAGCAAAAATGGTTCACCCAATGTCATTGTAGAATCAAGCCCACCTTTCAAATGTGGTGGGTGGGGCAGATAAGGATTTGCCTTTTCAGTCAGATCCGATTACCCACTGCTTTTGTGTGTGTGTTTGTGTTTATGGGGTGGAATTTTGAAAGCAGTGAGGTCAGAGGCAAGTGGAATGCAAAATGCACAGGCTGAAGCTTAAATGTATCTAAAATTGATACAGTCACTATTCACAAAGTAATGTTGATGATAATACTGTACAAACATTCTGGCTTTAGTAAGATAAATGACAGCTGAAGTAGGATAAAAATGTGTTATATTGATTAAGGCCTAAATAAGGAGGCTCTTACCTGTGAAAGCTTGTGCTATAATAAGGTGCAACAAAACTCTTTGCCTATAGTTATGTTAAGTGTGGTTGTGTTGGTTTAATTAGCTTTGTATGAAATCGTATTTATTTTTTCTTCTTTTTACAAAGCGTTATTTTCTTGTTGGGAGCAATCATGCAGAAACCAAATATCGTGTCTTGAAAATTGATCGCACCGAACCAAAGGATTTAGTTGTTATTGATGACAGGGTGAGTACATCACAATTTGAGACATTATAGCGAGCAGTATTAATAATCAAATATTTTGAATTCAAGTGGAAATGAAGCTATTCAGATGGTCCCTTTCCTAATGTTTCATTTCAAAATATTGGTTCCTCTCATTTTATATTGTAGAGGGGCTGAACAGTAGTAAATGAATGGCTGTGGTGGCTGATTTTGTTGTGGTAACTGGGAACGACTTCTGAGCTTGGCTCATATCAAAATGTTCTGTTCCTATGACAGAAATGGCTTCCTCCTATGGAAGATCTCTTCTGAAGAAAGAACACATTTAGGTACAACCTACAATGTCCTCTGAGAGAGAATTTGATTGCATATTTTTCTCCTGTGTCATAGAAAATGAAACTTGTAGGACTGAAGAAAATCCATTAGTTTTATCTCCAGTACTATAGTAAAAGAGATGGAAATTGATTAAGATATGCTTCCCCCCTCCCTCTGTGCTTATTTGTTGTGTGCCAAGTGGCTGTGAGACCCATTGCTTTTGATTTTTGTATCAGCCTGATAATTCACAATTATCTCATTCTGCCAAGCACTAAGAAGGATATTATTACCCATTTTACTATACAATTTGTGCAGATAATAATAATAATAATAATAATAATAATTATAGAGAAAAATGATTGTTGGCATCCACCTGTTGATATACCCTTTTGAATGATCAAGTCATAAGAATGCATTTCGTGGTCTCTTATTTATTGCCAGGAGTATGTGTGATGGAATGATTTCCTATGGAACCATTTAAATGAGTTCTCTGCGGCAACTTACCATCTGTGTGGATTTTTCTGGAATGATACTATGAGCAAGAACCATCAAAAACCTTACATCCTAGTTAAGGATTCTTCTTGAAAAATCCTCTCAAGTCACAATATTCAGCCCCAGTAGCGTCTCCAGTGTTATAGGACTCTTATCCAATGGATATTATTTCAGCTTTTTCTATCAACATATTACAAAGTCTATCTCCCTCATTGAGTCTTCAGTATTATTTAAATGAGTTGCTAACAACATAGCTTAAGATTTTTTGGAATGTTAATTAACCATAATTGAATCTATGTTTTTTAATGTGAAGAAAACACAAAACACTTTAGACTGGGGCCTAAGCTGTATTTGAACCCTTTTTGAAATCAACCCACTTTGCTGCTATACATCTTGCAGCATCTGGTTTACAATTGGATTATGCTTTAAAAAACATGAAAGGATGAGGAAAACAGCAATCAGTTCATTCATTTTCCAACAAGACATAGAAACAGTCCTTTCTCCGTCTGTATATGCATTTATTCTGAGCAGTTTTTAAAGGAACATATTTTTATATGATTGCATATTCTCCATTTTAAGCATGTCTATACCCAACAAGAGGTGAGAGAGCTGCTTGGTCGCTTAGATCTGGGGAACAGGACAAAAATTGGACAGAAGGGCTCCTCTGGATTATCCCGCGCAGTCTCTGCTTTTGGTATAGTAGGTAAGGCACACCTTTTTATATATTTATTTTTTTATTATGAAGTGACTTGCATAAATTTGAATATTATCAAGTCTTTGTAAGTAGAGTTACCGTATTTTTCCATGTATAACATGCCCCCGTGTATGATGCCCCCTTTTTGGGGGGACTCAAAATTAAGAAAATGGGGGGAGATTGCCCCCTGTGTATAAGACTACCCCCCATTCTTTAACATTATTTTTTAGTAAAAAAACCTAGTCTTATACACGGAAAAGTACGGTGATTCATGAAACCAGACACAAAATCACATAACTAAAAGGGAATTTGACCCTCAGTTTGAATAAAGGTTCCTCGACCCTGCAATAAAACTATAGACAATTCAAGAAAAACTGTAAAAGCAGAAAAGCAGCAAAACGTACTAAAATACCCTGTCTGTTAAAAGCTATTGTGCCTAAAAGTTAAAAAGCTAGACTTCAGCTGAATGTATTGTGTAGAGCAGGCATAAGCAAACTTGACCCTCCAGATGTTTTGGGACTACAACTCCCACCATGCCTGACCACTGGTCCTGTTAGCTAGGGATGATGGGAATTGTAGTCCCAAAAAATATGGAGGGCCTAGTTTGCCTATGCCTGGTATAGAGTATTTGCCATCTGAGGCACTACCACTGAAAAAAAATCCTATCCCCAGGAACCACTTGTCTAAGTTTTGAAGGTGGGAATATCTGGACTAGAGTCTTTGACAAAGATCTTAAAAAGCAGGTAGGCTCATATGAGAACTTGTATTTGCTGTTGTTCCTGCACACACATGCAGCATTGTTACAGCATGCAAAATGTCTCTGAATGTAGATAAGTAATTAAGGGCCAGAGTAACTAGCCAAATGCCAGAATCCATAGTTGATGAGTAGTTAAATGATTACGCCTAATAAAATTCAAAGAATGAAAAATTCACCTGGTCTCAGCATCAAATATTACCACTTGAAGTGGATGTGGTATTTTCTTATTCTGCTAGGCAGGGGTTCTTTTCCCTGCAGTGATGAAAAGTTTTTTCAAGTTGAATTTAATAACGACGAAGTGTAGACAAATCAGTCATTGTACAATCAGTCACGTTGCAGTATCAGACATTGATATGGGGTTTTTTTTGTTTCCTTAGTTCACCCCGGCACTGACTTGATGAAATATCCATCAAGAATCCAATAAATTATTTTGTAAGGAAAAGAAAAGAAAATCAAAAGCCAGCAACCACTTTCAAAAGCACATTTTAATTTATATCCTTGAATAATTTAGTTTACAATTTAGAAGGAAATGCATGCTCATTTCATACAATTCTGTAAATTAAAGGAGATCCATTTGCACATGAGTTTTCTTCTCCAACTGCAGTTTTCTGAGGTGTTAGGAAATACAACTTGAAATGGCATGTGCTTGGTTTTAGCCGTCTAGTACTATATTGAATAAAATGACAGAAGTCATTTCTTCTGTCTTTTACAGGCTTTGTCAGGTTTTTAGAAGGATACTACATTGTGCTAATTACAAAGAGAAGAAAGATGGCAGATATTGGAGGACATGCAATGTATAAAATAGAAGATACAACTATGATATATATTCCAAATGACTCTGTACGAGTGACTCATCCTGATGAAGCAAGGTAAATTATCCTTTTTCTCTTTGAGATAACATAATCATACACAGAGGACAAGGGTTAATAGCACAGTGATATGCATGTCTACTCATAAGCTGGCATCCATGTGTCTTGGGAAACAGTGGAGGAGTGGTTCTTTAGGGGTGAAGTCAATCCTTTGGAGAGTTACAGTGCCTGTAGAGACCAATAGGTCTTATACACGGATAGTGCATAGTGGAGTCATGGGATTGCTTGCTGCCATGAACCGGAGATTGCCAGCAGCTATTGGGCATGTCATTGGTGGCTGCGGCAAGGGCTGGTATTGATTGTCTGTCACTGATCAGCGGACAGACAATATATGGCTTTTGTGACGCGTGTGAGTGTTGTCATAGGTCATGCAGGTGAGCTCAACAGCTCTGGGCAATCCTCCCCCAAAAAAGCTCAACAACTAAAAATTTCAACAACTATGGACAATCTCCCCACCATTTTCTTAATTTGGAGTCCCCCAAAATAGTGGGCGTCTTATACATGGGGGCATGTTATACATGGAAAAATACGGTACTCCAGGTAAGTTTGTGTAGGATTGCTGCCTCATTTCCTTACCTTTCAGAGCACTGGTGGGAAACCTTTGGCCTACACTGTTTTGGCCAAGACTCATCACCTGACATTGTATGAAGTCTAGTATTGTCGCTTGTCTTTATACTGGTGCATTGTCATTAACTAAAGTTTTGGTGTTTCCTTCTCTTTCATGACTTTTTTTTCTAGGGTATGTACAGCTATCATATGCTCTCCTGGCATCTTCATTCTTATAGAGAGGATATAGTTTTGAGCTCACAAACCAATATAAGAAATATTCAAAACATGTTCAGAGCTAATGAGAATGACTCTTTGACTAATAGGATGTTTCATTGTTGGTGGAGGGGCTAAAGTATTGGGGCTATAACAAAACACACCCTTGCTTTATGAGAATATTATCTTACTGTGTCTTTAGATACCTTCGAATATTTCAGAACGTGGACCTGTCTAGTAACTTTTATTTCAGGTATGTTTTTCATTTCAAATGATTATTAGAATGTTGAAATTGGTTCTTAATTATGGAACATCCAAGAATTCCTTCTCCATTATCTCTCTCACAATCCTGCGGAAGGATAAAGATGTCTGAAGCATTTCCATTTAGAAACGCTCACAGGCAACTTATTTGTTGAAACAGAATGTGCTTGTTGCCTACCACTGTCCAGGTCCTAGGATCCTTCTGCTCTCTCTTGTGAAATTCAAGTCAAGTCAAGTAACCTTTATTGGCATCACATAGGAACATTCAGATACTTACTTGGCAGGGGAGACACCTTGATCATATGTCAAATTGTCTGAGCCATTCTTGTCTCTGGCTCCTTTACCTGGTTGCCATTAAGTCCCCTCGATCACTTTTTCATGTAGTTTGATCCCTGCAGTGGTGAAGGTGGAAGTTCCAAGGATCAGTGGACACAACTCACCACTTACAAAGCTAATGATGGATGAATCCTTCCATCTCAGTTTTTAGAAAGGGCCTCAGCTAAAACAAGTTATTTTTCTCTGTGAAATCTGAAAATGACTAGTATTATTTCTGAGCCCATTCTGAAATTTTCACTCCTCTGCATTCCCAACCATTTCATTGAGAGTGTGACAGGAGCTAAGTCTTCTTCCTCCTCCTCCCACACATCAGAGCCCTGCCCCATCATCCCTTTTTCTTATCACAAAATGTACCTGGGTGAGATCTCCACTAGTCACTGCTGACTAGGATCAGGGGCGGAGGGAGGGGTGTGTGGTGGGGGTGGGCTGCCCCGGGTGTCACTACTGAGGGGGGTGACAAAATGCCAAGCAGCACTCACCGTGGGGCCTGAGCCACACGTCTCCCCTGGGAGAGACACAGTGGCTTGGGCATGCACAGACTCCAACGCTGCCCAAACTGTCCGCCCGCTGCCTCTCCCTCAGCTGTAGGGCGGCTGAGTGGGAGGAAGCAGGCAGACTCTGGCAGTCTCACAGAGTGTCCTGCCCCAGCCCCCGTGTCCTGCCCTGCCCCTGTGGGTGGCTGGCCCCGCCCCTGGGCGCAAGGCACATGCGCCGCCCCAGGCACCCCAGCGGCTTGCTTTGCCACTGCCTAGGATACAGAAAAACCAGTATCTTAGGTGCCAAGAACCATGGGGCATGTAATTTCCAGCAATTCTGTTCCAAGTGTCCTGGAATACTACATTTCCTGAGATACCTAGCACCTGGGATGCTTTCATTTCAGTATTTCGGGCATCAGGATGGGGGAGATGTTACAAAGAGGCGTCCCAAGAGGCTTAACTGTAGCTGCAAACAGTTAAGCTTTGGGCAATGGGAAGGAAGAGTGAGAGACTGAGCTCATGATGAACCAAGCCCAAGCTCCACCAAAGTTACAAGTTATCAGTTTCAGCACTCCATTTAATAACAAAGCTGCAGGATTGTTGTTGTTGTTGTTTTATTTTGTAAATGTCTGCACCACAGGATTATCATTTTTACCTTGCATACCCAAGTCAGATCAGTTTCAATAAAAGTGTCTACTCTTGGGACTGGTCTGGAAGCTCCATCTTGTGCAAAACGCTGCAACTAGACTGATGGTAGGAACAGGCTACTGCCAGCACATGTCTCTGGTGCTTAAAAGCTTGCATTGGCTGTTTACGTGTTTATGGGCCAAGTTCAAGGTTCTTGTACTGTATTACAAGGCCCGTAATATCTTGAGTCCAGAGTACCTTAAGGACTTCCTGATTCCTGATATCCCTGCCCAGCCACTAAGAACCTGGGGGGTGTCTCATTAGTGGTCCCCCATGGCTCAGACGCCCAGCTTGTATCCACCAGAAGCTACACATTTGGTATTGAGGACCCAGATGAGATCAGATAGGTGCCCTCCCTTGTTGAGCCTTAGTCGCTTGACAAAGACCTTTCCATTTCAGCATGCATTTTAATGACGTTTATGTTTTTATGATTAATTTTATCCACTGCATGCTTTTTTGTAATCTTTATGCACACTGCTCAGAAAGTCATGTGATAAAGCAGTATATAAATAGCTGAAATATTAAATAAGTAAATGTTTGTATTTTGCCCTACCTCCAAAGGATCTCAAGGTGCATAATAGTGTTATTCCCTTTTATAATCATAGCAGCCCTCTTAGGCTCTGATGATGAGGGACTAGACATGGTCACTCAAGTTGTGTCTTGACTGAGGAAGAGCTCATGTTCTGCCCACTGCACCCCACTGACCCTTCTGTACCATATTGGATTAGGCCCGCCCAAGGCATATGCAGAAGCCATAACACCTGAAGGTAGCCTGTTTTGCATTTGAGCAACTGTGGACCTGTATCCTGAATTATGTCAAAAGCACCTCTACCATTGTATTTCTTTTTCATCCTGATTTCAGCTACAGCTATGATCTGTCCCACTCTCTTCAGTATAACCTTACTGTTCTGAGGATGCCTCTTGACACACTAAAGGCAGAAACAACTCGAACGAGGCAGGAGAGTTTTGATATTTTTGAAGATGAGGGACTTGCAACTCAGGGTGGAAGTGGTGAGTGTGACTTAAATAGAAATAAGCCATCAGGCATATATTTGGAATTATTTCAACAGCAGAAACATCTAGCTCTTTGTTATTGATTGTTGTAGTGTTGTAACAGCTCCAACTTAATGAAAGATTACATAAAGAGCCAATTACAGCTAGTGGAGTTGGTTTTTTATGTTTTTGACCAAGACAATGTCTATAAAAGATTAATTGCTTATTTTGGTAAGTTAAATGGTAACTCAGGAGAATAATTGGACATGCTGAAATATATTTTTTTTGGACAATTAATTATTCAACTAATTTGAAGGTTTGACAGATACAAATTTATGCATGAAGCATTAATCTGTCTTCCGTAGCATTTAAATAGTGTTAATAGCTACTGCTGTTTTGTTCAACAGTGCCAAATACTGATGGGAAAATAGGGTAGTGCTGTTTTATCTTGTTAGAATTGTAGTGTTTGGGAGCACTCATGAACTTAAGCCTTTCATTTTATTTTTGGATCAGCAATGAAAATTAAATTTGTTTTTAAAATTTCAGTTATAGGAAAAGAGAGGGATAAGTTACTGGAGGGAAAATGTGGAGAATTTGGGTCCTGTTTAGACATTCTTAAATGGTATCTGTGGAGGGGCTGCCTGTACAGGCCTCCACCTGCAACCTTTGCATGTTGAGTGGGAAGGATTAAAGGGGAATTATCAGTGCATATGGCCAAAAATGGTTACAATTCTTCCCTAGGTACCATTTTGCAAGGAGGATTGCAACCATGTTTGCTCAAATGCAAGTTCAATTTCCCTTCATGTTTCCAGTCAATATGAGAAGGTTGGGGTGGAGGGGCCAGGGCCAGCAGGTATACCCCTACAACCCCTCCACAGTTAAAATTTGAGAGTGCATGAGTAGGGTGTTGGTTTTTTGTCATAGCTCCCATCTCATCGTGAAGGGAGTGAGCATGAGAAGCACTCATGTCGGCTATCCTGGAATCTTATAGAATCCTTAATAATAATAATTAGATGAAGTATCACTCATGTGGGTAGTTTGTAAAACTCCTACCATTTTTGGGGTGGGGGAGAAGCATATATAATGACTCTCATTCTATAATGTTTGAAGGAAATCTGGCTTTCCTATATGCCTCTTAATACATCACCCTGGGATCTTTGGATAAAGGGAGATATGTAAATTGAATAAATGATAAAATTAATAATAGTATTGGGGAACTTTGTTTCCTGAGACTAGCTTGAGCTCCTGCTCCCATTTCACCTTTATAAGACATAGACTGTAGATGTAGTACAGTGGTATCTCGGTTTACATACGCTTCAGGTTACAGCCTCTGCTAACCTAGAAATATTACCTCGGGTTAAGAACTTTGCTTCAGGATGAGAACAGAAATCGTGCAGCGGCGGCGCGGCGGCAGCAGGAGGCTCCATTAGCTAAAGTGATGCTTCAGGTTAAGAAGTTTCAGGTTAAGAACAGACCTCCAGAACGAATTATGTTCTTAACCCGAGGTACCACTGTATATGACTAAAGTAGAGTCCTGCTGCACCAGACCAAAGATTTGTGTAGTCGAGCATCCAGTTTCCAACAATGGTCAGCCAGAGACTATTGACATTGTTTCTGTTTTCTCCTGACCTTGAAAACAGTGCAGAAACTGAGGGGGTGAGAGCATTCAAAATCAGTGATTATGAAAAAGATCTTTGTTCACTGTTTAAGATAGATAAAAATAGATTATCGCCTAAATACGTATGCAATTGATTTGAGTTGGGAACAATCAGTCTGATTAAAATCCACATTGAGCACACATACTTACCGTTTTTGGTTGCAATTATTTTTCAGGTGTGTTTGGAATTTGCAGTGAACCTTATAGGAAATATGTGTGGAATGGTAAACTGCTTGACATAGTCAAAACCACGGTTCATCGAGACTGGTTGTTGTATATTATTCATGGATTTTGTGGACAGTCAAGTATCCTCCTACTGTTGGTGATTTATGTTTACTACAGTAACAGCAAATTGAAATTGTAGAAAGAGAAATGAATTATGGTAACATACAATATAGTTGTTGTTCAGCGTCTTCGGACATGCTAATTAAACCCATTCACAAATTAATTGCCTAGTTCTTTTTTTAAGGATCTTTCTTGGATCTAATTGCTGTGAAAAGGGGACATGAGTTTTCAGTTTTCATCTGCTGCATAGATAATGAAACACAATGAAGGAAAATTCTTATTCCAAGCATGCATGTTACGAGAAATCGTCCATGGGCTAGTATTGCCAGTAAAGAAATAAGGGCTTGATAATAGCTTAATTTACCTATCACAGTGACCATGTCTTTAACTAGCTCCACTGTGGTCAGGTCTCAATAGGATAATTGAACAGACTAATTTAGGGGCAGATAGTTGGAAACACAAAAGAGTAGAATTACTATAAAAATACATTAGTTGAAAACAGCTCCAAAATGTGCAACAGAAGGATCAAATAGAATATACACTGAAGCAAATGACACTTTATTTGTTATTTTTGAATTGCAACTAAAAATATCCTGTGTAAAATATTATTTCCATTTGTAGTAGCCTTTACTTGTAGCTCCATATGTTTAAGATTGAAAACTGCATATATTTCTAAACATAAATCCCGTTGCATGTGAGCACAGGGCATGTATCTTCCAAAGCTCCCCCTACACCCACACGATTATCAAGGACTATTATTTGTAATACTGAAGCCTGATGCTCAATGTAATATCTGAAATTGAATTGTTGCATAACTATATGTTTAGTATTTGGTTCTTAGATTCTTTTTTAGTTCAATATATATAAAACATTCTGGAAATAATATGCTTTCATTCAGCATTGCTTTTAGAAGGTCATCTAGCCTTAGCATAAATAGTCTTTGTGAAGTAGCCATGGCTACCCTGTACGTTCATTAAGGACATTTATGAAAGAGCATTGAAAGGGGATTTGCTTTTTTTATCTTTCAATTTTATTGCAAAAACCCACATTTCTTGTTTGAGAAGATGCATGGGATTACAAGTCTTTGGCAAAAGTGGTAAGCTGATATTCTAGTCCCACAGTCTCAGGGCTGCTGAATGTTTGAGAGTTCTCATATCTGCTTGAAATAACTCTTTGTCCAGATAAAGTAATCCAAAATACCGCCCTATAGGACGCACCTAGTTTTTTGGGTGGGAAATAAAGAAAAAAAATTTATTCCCCCCCCCCCCCCAGGCACAGGGCTGGCGCAGGGGAAGCCCGAGCTTCCCCCGACCCCAGCCCCCAGAATAGCCTGCTATCCGCAAGCCTAGGGAGCCGCGCCGGTCTCCCCAGGCTTCTGGACAGCTGTACGAAGCCCGGGCGCGCTCTTCAGCGCGCCCGAGGCTTCGAAATGCAGGCAGCTCTGTGCGACCCTCCGGAGCCCGGCGCGGCTTGGCGCCGGGCTCCGGAGGGTTGTGCAGAGCTGCGCGGACTCCGGGAGCGCAGGCAGCTCTGCGCGACCCTCCGGAGGCCGGTGCGGCTTGGCGCCAGGCTCCGGAGGGTCGCGCAGAGCTGCGCGGACTCCGGGAGCGCAGGCAGCTCTGCGCGACCCTCCAGCGGCCAGCGTGGCTTGGCGCCGGGCTCTGGAGGGTCGCGCAGAGTTGCGCGGAGCCCGGGGGGGCAGACAGCTCTGCGCGACCTTCCGGAGGCCGGTGCAGCTTCGCGCCGGGCTCCGGAGGGTTGCGCAGAGCTTCCTGAAGCCTGGAGAGCGAGAGCCTCTTGCTCTCCAGGCTTCAGCGAAAGCCTGTATTCGCCCCATAGGGCACACCCACATTTCCACTTCATTTTTGGAGGGGGGAAAGTGCGTCCTATAGGGCGAAAAATACGGTAGTTAAAAACCATTTCTTTTGCTTTTGTTATCAATATTCTTGTTTGAAATGGAAGCCCTGCAGATGGCTATATATTAAAAAATAGAATAGAAATAGACTATATCTAAAAAAAAAAGAACTCTTCATCTGCTTCAAAACAAGTTACAAAAAGGCACTGAGAGTAGGTGTATTCATGTATATGCCAGGACTAAGGGAAAATTCAAGAGAAATAAGCTAAAGAAATAATATAAACATCTGTAACCCTTAACTTGGCTTCCAAGAGCTGCTCATTTATGGTCGTCCAGTGTACGTCACCCTGATAGCTAGAAGATCAAGTAAATTTGCTGGAACACGGTTTCTGAAGAGAGGGGCAAACTGTGAGGTAAAATAGATCATTATCTGTTTTTTCATTGTGAGAGTTTCATGAAGACATGTTATTGCTATATAGAGAATAAGACCTTGATTCCTTTAGCTTTGTAGCACGTGTATTTTGCCTCATTTGCGCAACGATACAAGCAAATCTAAAACTTGTAAATCTTGGTATTTTTGAGGATGACATTTATAGTTAAAAATTCATGTGGTGTATTTAATGTGCTTAATTTTTTTAATGTAAAATACTGGAAACCCTTGGGCTTTAGTGAGTGTCCTTGAATACAGTGATCTAATTTACCATATATCTTTTCTAGGCTTTGTTGTGCAATTACAGGTATACTACAATTTTCTAATCACATTGTGCATGTTCACATAGGAACATGCCTACTTATGCCTATCGGTGCAACTACCATTGGCAAGTAGCCCTAAGGGAACGTGGCCTTCAGATGAAAATTGTTTCCCATTCCTGAAATAGACTTACAAGCCAGCGTATACTCAGGATCCTTATTCTCAAGTGGACGTTTCAGATGATGATTGGATTCCATTTGAACATCAAGGTCTAGGGGATTATTCAGAATTGTCTGTCCTTAGTTCTTTTTGTTGCCTAGAGACGCTGCTTACCTATATAGGTAAGGGAACAAAACATCTGGGACCAGATAAAGCATATTTCAGTAATTAAATTCCTTAGGCTTATACCAGGCAGTCTTCTAGTACACTCATGGGTCTCCGGTTTGACGCAGCTATGGATTTAGGCTGTTCAACCTGAAAATGTTTTTGTAGAAGAAAGCAAAACTAAAATTAATAGGGCGTTCTTCCCAACAAATTTGTTTAGGTCTGGAGTTAAAAACCTTAAAGTTGGATTAAGAACAAGTGCATTTGTTCAGCATTGCTTTAACTACGATAAGTCTGATGAATGGGTGGTATAAATGTCATTTACGAGGATGCGGCTGAAAATGTGATGTCCTGGCTTTTTTTTTGGTACAGGGAGATGTAGCTAACGAAGTAGAAACTGAACAAATACTCTATGATGCTTCAGTGATGTCATTTTCTGCTGGAAGCTATTCATCTTATGTCCAAGTGCGGGGTTCTGTCCCTCTCTATTGGTCTCAGGATATTTCAACAATGATGCCTAAGCCACCAATTACATGTGTGTATACAATATGTTATCTTAGAACTTGTACAGATGCCTACTGTCAAATCACTAGCTCTCATTAATCCATTCCATTGCACACAGGGACTATAAATGTTGTCCTTCCAAGTCGCAGACAAGACAAGGAATTTTTATTTTTTTTGCGCACATGCATAGCAATTACAATGAAAAGAAAGTAACGGGACATAGGGTGTCAACTAGGTATCTCTTTTAATGTCTAGCTTGATCAGACATCTATTCCAAGATCTATTTCTTCGACCTGTTTGGGCTCCACTATTCAGTCCCTAAACTAGGTCTGATTTTTCAACTGAAGGCGGTTTTGCATAGGGTTTTGCCCAGTTCCCCCTACACACAGCTGCCCCCAGTTTGCAGCCTGGCAATAAAATTACAAGGATTGTAGAACCACAATTGTACCCTCCCTTTGGAATTATTTGCCCAACATTTCCTTACCTAGTGCTTCCATAAGCCTTAGTAGCTTTCATTTCTATTTTATCATTTTAAATGGGAGTTCCAGATTCTTTTTTTTCTTTTTTGGTTGTCCCTTAACAGTCACAGATCAGGAATAAATATATATTTAACAAAAGGCTAGCAGGCAAAGAATTTCATCAGTCTGAAATAAACCAAAAAATGTTTCTTTCTCCCTACATTGTAATTTATTTACAAGTTTATTAAGCTTGCTAAAACTTCATAGTGTGTGCTTGACACTGTAGTCAAACGCTCCCACTCCTATGCCAGCTTGAATATTTTTGGAGACTGCTAAAACTTGGCACATTTAGTGGTGTAATTCCTAATACAGTGGTACCTCAGGTTACATACGCTTCAGGTTACAGACTCTGCTAACCCAGAAATAGTGCTTCAGGTTAAGAACTTTGCTTCAGGATGAGGACAGAAATCGTGCTCCGGCAGCACGGCAGCAGCAGGAGGCCCCATTAGCTAAAGTGGTGCTTCAGGTTAAGAACAGTTTCAGGTTAAGAACGGACCTCCGGAACGAATTAAGTACTTAACCCGAGGTACCACTGTAACAAAATACTTTAATCACAGTCCTCCTAATAGTAGTTCCTTTTTCTAGTGGATCAGGCTGACCCCTATGCACGTGCAGCTGCTCTTCATTTTGATCAGATGCTCCAGAGGTTTGGTTCCCCTATCATAATTTTGAATCTTGTAAAGGTAAGGCACGGTTTTCTCTCAATTTATTCATTTATTCATTAAGCTAATGAACTTTTCATATATTCATTTCCTTGTGTTCATTTCTCAGAGAGAGACTATTGAAATCAAGATGCTGGCTCTTAGAAGAGCAGTGTTTAGCGCTTAAGATGCAAAGTAGGTTTAATGATAAGTTCGTGTGTACAGTGATAGGCAAGCTTTTGAAGTTAACAGACTTCATGAAAAACATATCTGGGAACAATGCAGCTTCCACCTTTGATTTTAATTTGCAGATAATTATATTTTACTGCTTTTATTATCATACTGTTAAGAACATTGCTTTATGTATTCTAATTTCTTGAACATTCTCGAGGAAAGGCATCTGGATCCAAGCTGCATTAACTGAAGATTCCACTGCCTTCTGTTGGTTTAGAAAGAAGGCTGGTTCTCTTCCTATCCCTTCTCCTAGTCCCCATGAAAAGCAGCTACAAAGGATCCTTCAAGCTTCTGGAGCCCATTTATAGGGGGCAAGTAGGTTTTAGGCCACTTTTGAGGTGTCAGCAAGTGCCTTTTCTTTATAACTTACCAGTGAGCCAGTTCTTCCCACTGAAGTGCTTAAAATGCAGTGGGATAATCTGTTGAACTGTCACATGAAATAGAGACTTTTGTGCCCTTTTGTAGGTTTCAGCTATGCCCTTTGGTATGAAAAGTGCTTGGAGCATTTATGTAAGGTAAAAAAGTAAAGGACCCCTGGATGGTTAAGTCCAGTCAAAGGCAACTATGGGTTGTAACACTCGCTTCAGGCCAAGAGAGCCGGCGTTTGTCCACAGACAGCTTTCCAGGTCATGTGGCCAGCATGACTAAACCGCCACTGGTGCACAGAGGAATGTGATGAGTACCAGAGCACACAGAAACACCATTTATTTTCCCGCTGCAGTGGTACCTATTTATTTACTTGCACTGGTATGCTTTCAAACTGCTAGGTTGGCAGAAGCTGGGACAGAGCAATGGGAGCTCACTTTGTCATGCGGATTTGAACCGCCGACCTTCTGATTGGCAAGCCACCTGTGCCACCTGTGTCCTAGCATTTATGTAGCACAGTTCCTGGATATCTTTATCCTGTTTGCAAACAGATGGTACAGATCCCCCATCCTTGTGAAACCAGCCTCTTCCAAAAATCTAAATGTCTGCAAGTGCCATATGTACACTATCTACAGACCATCTGCAGTGTTTGACAGCCTTCAGCAAATGATGCATAGACATAACTTAGTGAGTGCTGATGTGAGGGAGAATTGTACTCTGAGGAAGCTTGCATGATTCACTGCACTCTTCCTTGAAGACCAATCCAAGTCTTAAAAGTAAAATTGGAGTCCTAATCCACTCTCATTCGTGATGTATGTAGCATTTTTAGGCATTGTGTGCCAGTGTTTTATATTTGTGATTGTAAGCACTTCTACTAGAACTCAGTGGCTAGCATAATTGTGGTATCCAAATAAATAAAGTAAAAATAATGCAAAAGTCATTTTGGAAAGTGAGGGCTCATTCTCAAACCAGCTCAACTCTGACAGCTCTTTTAGGCAAAATCTGTCTAAAACTAGTTCATTAGGGAGTAGAAATATCTTCCCAACAGTAATCTAAAGCATATAATACATTTTGCATTTTCTTTCTCATCAATCTGACTGGGTTTCCCCAGCCACCCTGGGCAGCTCCCAACAGAATATTAAAAACACGATAAAACATCAAACATTAAAAACTTCCCTAACAGGACTGCTTTCAGATGTCTTAATTTACAAAATATCCTTTTGATCTGTGTAGATCATAAATTGGATTGAAGGAGCTGTGTCTTGGGAATAAAATAAACCAGGCTACCAAAATAGTTCATTTGTTTTCACTTGCATTGTTCCAGGGCTCTTTCAGAACAGCTGTCAACAGCCAATTCAACACTCCAAAATGCATTTGCCTAACAGGATCTGCAAGTCCCATAAGAGTCTTTCAACATCCCTCTTTCTCCATCTCTGTCAGCTTCTATTTGTGGATCCTCCTGGGAGAAAAATAATATTAGTACCATTATTTCAATATATTGTAAAGCTAAGTTAAACAGATACATGTGAGGCTCTACATGAGGCTTCTAAACAGAACAGGGCACAGCTGAAAGGAAATTTAATGTGTATAGAGGTAAGCATTTTTTAACAACCAAGTTTTTAGTGCTTAAGTTCAAACATAGTAAGTTGTAAAAGACTGATGTAGCAAAAAGGGCAACTATTAAAATGTTTCTCTAGGTGCCAAGACTGTGGTGCTCTAGAAGGAACTAAATCTTAGGAACTTCTGTAACATTCTGGATAAAAATATTTCAGGATACCTTTACAGAAGTTTGAAACTCTAGTATTTCAAGAAACAGTTGAAAAATTCCAAACCAGTTATTCTAGCTTTCCTTCCCGGCATCTGAAGAAGGAGGGGTGCCACAAAGAATGACTAAGCTGGTTATCGGCAGGAACTTTTCATCTTGAGAGAATAAAACTGGAAAAGATGTAAGGCGACTCTCTGATCAGTGTCAGCCACTGGCAGCAGTGTTTCTGCCACACTCCAAAATCCCTCATGGGATGGTCAGTAGAATCACTGAGTGCATAGCATCTGTGCATCGTTACTTAGTGCATCATTGATTGGCTGCCTAGATAGACATATTTTCTAGGCAGTGCAGTCACGGGCAGATTACACGCACATGGCATGCTCAGAGCATTAGGGTGGAAGCAAAAGGCTGTAGGGACAAGAGCTGATGATTCATATGTGTTCTCTTTAAATTGCTGTACCCAGCTTGTAGAGGAGAACGTGGACCCAAGCCAGGTGTTTCTTGTCATAGCTCTTTAGAAACTGGAAGAGATGGGGGAAAGCGGCAGATGAGACCAAAAGATACATTATAATGCTGAAAACAGCTAGAAAATAGGGAAGCAACAGATGGAAGAAGTTTTCAAGCTATCATCAAAATATTAATACAAATTCTCTTTATAAGTCCAGGTGCTTGCTTGTGGGTGTGCTAACTCAGCATTAAGGCTTTTGGAAAGCAGACACTTTCTTTGGTACTTTATATTCTTGAAAGCAAATGACACCTAAGGAAGAAAAATCCACTTTTCTGTTTAGACAATTCCCTTGTCTCATTTATACTTTCTTTCTGGTGCTGGTCATTCTGCCTTAGTATGTTAAATATGTTAAGCATTTGCTATATATATAAAAAAATCCAGACATCTAGCCCTACCTAGTACATCCAGAATTGTGGCAAATCTTTATGTCTGTTGTATACAAAGAACAAGAGCAGTAAAATTTTCTATGTTTCAAGTCTATCCTTGGAAAAGGGTGACTTGACTCATATTTTGTTAGGCATATTTTAAATTGCGCATCATTTAAATTATTATAATTATTCTAGTACCTGAACTTTCATACATTAGTTTTTGCCTCTGCAGTTCTTGTATTATGACCTACTAGTCATAGAAAAGATGTGATAAATAGTGTGTGCTATTTATATCGGACTGAATGGTGCAGCCCTATTGAAAAGCTTTGAGCGAAAGGCCTGCTGAATAATGCCATGGCTTGATTAAGCCAGATGCTGCCCTTCACTATTGTATCAGTGTATATTATGGTTATTTACTCCCTTGGGCTTATATGACCATGATGGTCAAAACAATAACAATAATAAATGGAGAAGAAGAGTATCCCAAAAGGTAAACATAGACCAGCCTTTGCCCATTAAGTGCAAACTAAGTTGACTATATAGGCTTTGTGTGCCTTAGTGTCTTGCATGGGCTTATTAGGGGCAGAAAGTTGACTGCCCTATGCATGCATTTGTTGTCAGGATGAGAGGGACAATTTTTTTCCAAAAATCACCTTGATCCCTGTGCCACTGACAGAAGATGCTGCTAGATCAAACAGCCTTCTGTCGGAAAAAGGACACCATTTGCTTGGGATGATGACACAAATATATCACCTTTGAAAACATTCTGCAAATAATACTAGGAATGTTTTTTTAAAGGTACAAAAAAAGAAGAAAGGTTTACACTGACAGCATTTTGTAACATATGTTTTAGGTGCATAATTAAAAGCTTGCTCTACATTTTTGAATGCTATACTTGTTAAAATGTCTACAGTGGAAGTCATGATTACATAAAAATGCTGAAAAAGTATATCCCTAATTATTTTTCCTTTCCACATCGCATTAAACAAACAAATGCATTTTTTAAAAAACCCTCATTGATCTGAAGAAAACTTCCAAATACTTGAATTAGAAAGCCTCTCTGGTTGATTAGCAGTTAATTCAATGCTTCCTCACATGAACAGGATACTATTTCCCCTTCCCCCTACACACAAGTGGTAAGAGAGCATTAATGTTAACATCCTTGCATCAAGCACCCACAGGGAGACACATTTGCAGCCACACTACAGAAGCCCTGTGAATGATTCACATGGCAGAGTCATGTGAGCCTGGATCCACAGTATAGTTCTAAACTCAATCTAAAAATACAAGAGCCACAATGATTTTGTTCCCTGTTATGTCTAATGTTGTTTACAACGGCCTCGTGCTTGGCTTCTTAAAGGCCTTTTTGAATTGGGGGGATGTGTTTACGTTTTAGTCGCTGGATTTATACAATTAAAACTGGCATTTCGTGAAATGTGCAACAATGGTGAAGTAAGGACAAAAAAGAAATTTAAAAACCTATTCGAAAGTGTTACTAATTATGGATATTATCTAGTCTTGGACTGAGGAAGAGGATTTATGATAAAGACCAGCCTCTTGAAAATCACACTAAGTTAGTACTTCAGTATATTTTTATATCAGAAGCACTGCAAGTTTGAATTACTAAACAATAGTTGTATATTCAAATATAATTTTTTCCTTTCCTTTCCTTTCCTTTCCTTTCCTTTCCTTTCCTTTCTTTATTTTACAAGTCCAAGTATGGATAAGTTTAATTTATTGAATTGCTTCATAAAACATTCTTCCTCTAAAATTTGTATGGAGAAATGTTTTAACCATGGGTTGAATACAATGACTGTGAGAGTGGAAAACAGCTGGGCATGCAGTGGAGGCTGTTGCACTAGGGCTACTGGGCATAGACCTGCCAAGGAGAATCTCAAACAATTAATAAATATCCCCAGTCTCAAAACAATACACTTTTTCCTGCCCCACAGACATTTTATACTTTCACTTGAATGTAGAGCAGTTCCTGGAGATACTTATTTCAGTCTCCTGTTCTCTGGCCAAACAACTCTCTTAGCCAATCCCAATCACAGAGTATTGCAATAGATAAGAAGTCCCTTCTGTGTGCCGCCAGGAATTATTTAATGGAAATTTGAAATATAGCTCTTGGCCTTAAAATAAATTTATGTTGCTCAGGCATCAGTTTGCTTTAGTAGTTTCATCCTTGGGTGGTTACAGAGGCCATTTACTCACCCACTGAGGGACATAGAAGGTAAGAGAAGACAGCTTACTTCCCAAAACGTTATGCTTGTCTAATAGGATGTGCCACCCTCAGCACCAGGTTAAAAGGCCTGAGGACTGCTGTTCTGCTTCTGGCACCTCTACAAAACACTTCATTAGACTTTTAGTTTGGAAGGGACAGTCAGGCTTTCTCCTTGGCCCCAATTAACTAGAAGACTATACTCAATAGGACTTGAAAAAAATCTGTCTGAAAAAATATTATGACTATGCTTTAACTTTTGAAATTCCACCTCACAAAATGATTTATTATTTTCCCCTGCTTTCTACAGACTCAGGCTGGTGACTCTGTGGAAAGGAGCTAGTCTCCATGCTAGTTCTAGTCTTTCTTCAGCTTGTTTTTTCTCAAAAGCATTGCCATCATAGACACGTTGTATTTTTATGATACTAGATCATTTCAGGAGGGAACTAAAAGACAATATAAACCTACATATTGGTCATTATGAATACTGACACTTACTTCCATTGGCCTGGTTCACGTGGCACTGTAAGCCAAGCTATGGCTTACCAGGACCTAAATAATTGGGCAGGCTTCTGGAGAAAAGCTCACAGTCACTTTGTCTTCCAAGTTCCTTTGTGTTCCTACGCTGTGCTGAGCTAAGCTAAGCCAAGGCTTGATTAAACAATACCCCTGCCCAAGAGCCTGTTCAGTAGCTCGGCTTTCATAGCTGGAGTCAGTCAGGCACCCTGTCCTCCCAGGCCTGATGGAACAAGGCCTTCAAGCCAGGGAGCAGGTCTTCAAAGATTCACAGCCAAGGTAGAAGATCTAAGCTGAGGAAAGGATAATCCTTTAGTTTGTGGTTATATACAGCAGACTTGGCTGGTATACAGGCTTACAAGGAGCTTCTGAGTCGACATGCATAGGACTGCCCAGGATGTGACATTAGTTGTACGTTATTTTTACAGTTTGTTTTCCATAAACTCTGCTCAAAAGCCATATATTTGCAAATGTCATTTGGGTTTGGGGTTAGGATATGGAATTAAAGTCCAGCTCATTACACTTGTTTCAGATGGAAAGCCCAGGATAATGAGGTTTAAATAGGTGAGATTGCTATTTTCATACACTCTTCTTGCCACGGAATAATGTTTCCACCCTGTGAGTGGGTGAGGAGCACATGGGAAGTTGTAATAACTTTGCATGTCTAATAGGCCCATACATTTGTCAGAACTCAGGATTTTCCCAAAGTGTAGCTGACATTTCTTATACTACTTGGACTTCTATTTCTCATGGCAACATTATCACTTGAAGTCACTGAAGAAAAAGAGTAGCTTAATACTTAATGAGTATTAAGGAGATCGTTTCTTCCTAGCCCATTCAACCTAAGCCCTCAATACAGTGGTACACCTGGCACCTTCATTACATACTTTCCATTGTATCCTAAATACAATACACCTATTCGCCTTGACCTTTGACACTTGATACATATATTTTAGGACCACCCGTTTATTTTGATTGCAATCTGTTCCAATTATTTTTAATACTGTATTTTAAGCATGTCTTGGGATCTCATGATGAATGGCAGATGCATACTCTAAAAAATAATAACATATGCTAAACAATAGTGACTCTTCTTCTTCTTCTTCTTCTTTTTTTTTGCATTGTTACATGTGCTCACAAGATCCCAGGACCTTGCCTTTTTAATTGAGTGAAATGAACAGATTTTTCTGTCAATTTAAGGAGGCTTGAGACAGTGATTCTCTTCATTATCTTACATCTGTGATGACCCCCAGAAAGGGCTGCCTACACTTTGTGGGGGCAGAAATAAATCCTACCCTGCTGTATCATTTGCAATATTTGTGTTCTCTTTTTTGTTCAGAGTTAACATTACTTTGTGTATGTACTACCATGATCAGTTAATTTTTCCCTTTTGAAGGAACGTGAAAAACGGAAACATGAAAGGATATTGAGTGAAGAGCTTGTTGCTGCTGTCACCTACCTCAATCAGTTTCTACCTCCTGAACATGCAATTGTATATATTCCATGGGACATGGCCAAATATACAAAGAGGTATGTGTTTTATTACTAGAGCAGCACATGACTCCAGATGTTAGTTGGGACAGAGGGAACTTTGTCATAACTCTCTTCAGAGTGTGTCTTTTGTGGCTCTGGAGATGAAGTTCCATTTTTATATTGTTCATTTAGTGTATCATGGGAATGTAAATGAAGTGGAGTCATTTGCGTTAATTGGTACTGTTTGGAAATCAAGCCAGCCAGCTCTGCATTTCAGAGGCTTTTTGCTTAGACTTTAAAGCACTTCATGGGTGGAATTCAACATTGTGCTATTACAAATGTTCAATCGGTGCAAGTATTTCAGCTTATTCCCCCTTTAGTGTTTTGTCCCATGGTAGCTATATTGTGTTATACCCTGCTCCCCATGGCAGCCATTTTGTAACTGTTGCCCACAGCACTTTCTCAAAATTCCAACTGTATCAGATAGTCGAAAATGGATTGTGAGTACTTTTACATGAGTAAAACTAGCAGAGTTGTTTGATTGTTTGTGATCCATTCTTCTGGAGATGCTGTAACAGGAATGGGAAATCTCTGGCCCTCCAGATGTTGTTGCACCAACTCCTGTCATGGTGGTCTGTGGCTGATGAGAGTTACCAGTTCCCCATCCCTTTTCTATGAAAATGATTTTGCCACAGAGAAATGGAAGTAGTTAACAGGTTATGCTTTTATTGATAGTGTGTTGCTATCTTTTTTTTAAACTTTGGTTAACATTGCTTAGGGATACAATGCATGCAGAGTGCAGAAGAGGCTGGTGTTTATTGAAGTGATTTTTTTTTAAAAGATGTTCTTCCATGAGAGTAAATACAAACATGTCTTCAGTGTTTTTGCTTTTATTTCCATCTAGCAAACTATGTAACGTCCTTGACAGGCTGAGCGTTATTGCAGAGAATGTAGTGAAGAAAACTGGCTTCTTTGTAAATCGCCCTGCTTCCTACTGCAGTGTCTTGCGCCCAGATGAGAAGTATGTATGTGGGAGAATGCTCTCTTGTGTATAATTATTTTAAAAGATTTCTAAAAAGTGGTTTGAAATCCACATTCATTTATTACCGATGTAGATAAATAGAAAAGTATACTCCAGATATTTCATAACAACAAGGGGTAATCATTGTTTGTCATACAGTAGTGTTTTATTATTTGTGTTGTCAGCAAATCTCCTATACCTTTAATTTTATACTTTCTTGCTTTCCTGGGAGATGATAAACAGTTCTAAGAACATTAATTGAAGGTTATTTGTAAGCAGAAGTCGGCTAAGCTTTTCTGGCTGCTTCAAGAACACCAATTTTATGCTCCCTTTTTAGTATAGTAAGCCGAAAGTTCAAATCTCATTATTGTGTTTATTCATTACAACTATAACCCACATTTCTTCCATGGAACTCAAAGCAGCATGCACATGGTTTCCAAATAGTTTTCAAGCCATGCACAGACCAGATCCTGACCTGCTTGTTGGATGTTACTTTATTTGATGTAGATTGCTTATTTTAAAGCTATGTTTTATTGTCACGTTTTTGTATTGCATTAGATTGTTATAAGGTGTACATTCTTTGTTTCTTCAGCTAGTAAACCGCCTTGAGTATTGTAAGATAGAAAGGTGGTATACAAATTAAATGATGATGATGATGCTTGTCATAGCTGCTGTATCCTGTGCTTTTGAACCTTGCCCCAAGTTCCTAATGAATAATTAGTATGAACTAATTAGGGAATACATGCAGTAGTTTATCATGTACACTGGGTTTCTCTGGGTGATTTTTAAATCTTGGCAGCTATCTTGCCCGCTCTAAACTCAAAAGCCAGTTGAGCACTGAGTGCTGTTAGTTGAAGTCTTATAGCAATATTTGTTAAAACACAGTGCTCTTGTATGCTGTGGATTGTCTCTGAAGTCACCTTGGTTTCACTAATGCCAATTTTGTGAAGTCCACCAGGATACTAAAGTTCCAGTCCAAAGAAAGCTCATCATGCTTAAGTCCCATGGAAAACAATGAGAAAAATTATTTGGAACTTATTTGTTCCATTAAATGGCACTTAAGTGTGACTAACTAGCTTTGATTCATGGTTGAAGAGTTCTGATTATTCCAGGGAGATAATTTTTATTATTTCCCTGGTCAATTGTTTTTAAATCTATGGCACTGTCAGTGTGCTATTTGAAACTACCTACCTTTGTTACATGTGATAGTTTGTCATTTCTAGCTAGACAAAGGACTTCCTTAATTATTCATTTATTAATACAACATCACATGGAAGGAGAAGAGAAATCTGAATTAAATCTTGCAGCCCAGCTCCTGAAAAGGAGCTCTCCTCAAGCTGCTTTAGAGAAAAACAGCAATTGACTGTTGAAAGATAATTTCCTCCTCCTTTTTCAGTAAAGAAGTATTTACACAGAAACAATTTGTTGCTGTTGTTACAATTTATATACTACTCTTCATCTGAAGACCTCAGGGCGGTTCACAAGATTAAAACCATTGATTCACAAATTGCAATACCATCAATAGAATCTAATGATCAGTTACTGTAAACCACGGCTAGGGAACTTGTGGCCCTCCAAGTGTTTTTGAACTCCAGTGTCCATCAGCCCCACCCAGCATAGTCAGTGGTCGGGGTTGGTAGGAGTTGTTGCCAAGCAACATCTGGAGGGCCACAGGCTCTTTATCCCTGCTAGGAATTATATAGGGAATGCAAACGGTATTTTATCATGTAGCAAGTTCTGCCTCACATGGTTTATTTCCTGGGTGATTTGATAGGCTACATCTTCCCAATACAAAACTGGTTTCTGTATATTTTATCAAAATTAATGTTGCTATACACATTAACACAGTTTTGCTGTTGCTCATTTCTTATTTGTTTCAATTGGCTCTGAGTAGTAGTCACTAAGATGATTTATTCTTCATGTAGCAGATACTGTAGCATAAGAGGCAAAATACAAATCTTAAATGTGTGTAACAAAAAAGACTGTACTTGTAATGCTTGATTTTTCATTACAATTTACAAATTAATTTGAGACTGCTTACACAGTTATTGATCTACCACATACAATTGCTTGATTCAACTTGTTAATATATTTTTATGTATTATTCAATGGTGTATAAGCCATTAATATTAAAGGGTATTTTTTAATATTTACAGGCAATTCATTTGTGTTGGGATGTAATGAAACCTGTTCTTGGGGAACCATTTGTCTTGAGACCTGAATGTTTATTCCATTGCAAAGCATTCAGAGTAATTTATATGCTAATGGAAATTAACTATGTGGAAAGTACTTCCTTCAGGTGAAGTGTTAGTAACAATTCTCTTGAGTGAACTGCTTTCTTCAAAAGAACGAAACTTCCTACCCAAATTGGGCCTTTTAGTACTGTAATATCAGCCTTGGCTTCCCATACAAGGTTCAAACAGGATTAGTAGCATTTTCCCTTTCCTCTGTGCCATAATACCAAGTGCCCTGGTTGTAGGATAACATTTTCTGTTTAAGCATTTCTGTGAAAGAACTGAGGCCTACTGGTACACTTACGTTTATAAGCTGCACTTTAAACCAAAACTAACCTATACTGAGCTTGACTGAAGGCTAAGCATGCACTATTTGTTTCTAAATTGAATTTTCCAAGTCTGCACTTCGACCTTTTTCAGTGTTTGTAGAACTATGCATTACATTTCACCCCCTTTCCAAAATGCAGGGTAATTTCTGGTTAATGTTTACTGTAGCCGCTTCAGGTTTCCTTGCTAGAGCAGAGCTTCAGATTCCTAGAATTATCTCCCCAAGCATTAAGCTCCAGAGTTGTTAATGTCTAGAGGATTATCTCCCAGGGTTATGTCTTTACTGACTGAGGGCAGATTGATGATAATTCTTATAGAATAAATGCTTTGTAACACACAATGTTCTGTCTTACAGGTGGAATGAGCTGGGAGGAATTGTGGTTCCCACGGGCCGTTTACAGGTATTTTAATGGAGTATGTAACCTGAAGCATCTGTAACAGTGGTACGTCGGGTTACAGATGCTTCAGGTTACAGACTCTGCTAACCCAGAAATAGTACCTCGGATTAAGAACTTTGCTTCAGGACACGAACAGAAATCGTGCAGCAGCGGCGCAGCAGCAGTGGGAGGCCCCATTAGCTAAAGTGGTGTCTCAGGTTAAGAACAGTTTCAGGTTAAGAACGGACCTCTGGAACGAATTAAGTTCTTAACCTGAGGTACCACTGTACAACATAATATCCATAATTTCAGTTCCAAGAATGTTTTCTGTTAATGTTTACGCTTCTACATATTCATAGCTAAAACGCACACATTTTTCTGTATGAAGCAGAATTGCTGCACAACTTTTCAATGTGCTATAAATGTGCAAGCACACACTTGATGTCTCTATAGGGTGCCAGTGTGGTGTAGTGGTTAAGAGCGGTAGTCTCGTAATCTGGGGAACCGGGTTCGCGTCTCCGCTCCTCCACATGCAGCTGCTGGGTGACCTTGGGCCAGTCACACTTCTTTGAAGTCTCTCAGCCCTACTCACCTCACAGAGTGTTTGTTGTGGGGGAGGAAGGGAAAGGAGAATGTTAGCCGCTTTGAAACTCCTTAAAGGGAGTGAAAGGCGGGATATCAAATCCAAACTCTTCTTCTTCTTCTTCTTCTTCTTCTTCTTCTTCTATAAACATATGGTTTCCCCCCAAATACTTTTAGTATCAGGGTTGAAAGCAGTTTTTTTGAAATGATATCCAATACTTCAAATTTAAAGTAGTATTATGTAAGAATGAGAAATCACTGTATTAATCTTATTATCAAAGCAATATGACTCCGAAAAAGGTTTCACTTATCTCATACTGTGGATATGGTTAAAAAAATACATTTGTCCAAGATGCTTGCATAAAACCAAACATGAGAAACCTGCCATGAATTGTGGAACTGAGGAACCCGAGATAGCTCAGTCGGTAGAGCATGAGACTCTTCATCTAAGAGACGTGGGTTCCAGCCCCTGTTGGGCAAGATTCTAGCACTGCAGGGCATTGGATGATGATCCTCATGGTCCTTTCCAGCTCTACAATTCTATGATTCCATGAAAAATCTGTTCAGTTGCATCCCACTCAGATGCTTGTAAAGAGAGAGAGAGTTGCACTGGTGGGAAGATGTGCAACTCTGCTTCCTTAAATGAAAGCTCCTTCTGTTTATGGGGCATTTACATTGGTTTCTATGTATTATAAATTAACAAGAGAATAATTAAAAAACCTGAACTATGTGCACAAACAGTTCCGTACACTTTGAGTGAGTTTTCAGTGTACCTAAAAGACTTCCATGGGTTTGCAAATGTGAAAATCTGCACCAGTGAACCACATGTGCAACCTTAATTAAGTTCTATTAGTATAGATGATTTGGTGGCAAAAACTACTGTTATGCCCTAAAGAATAATTTGATATTTACTAATGGACTTGAAACTAATTATATGTCCCTGCACTTATTTTTTCAGACTGGAGTTCTTCGAACAAATTGTGTTGACTGTCTGGATCGCACGAACACAGCCCAATTTATGGTTGGGAAATGTGCTTTGGCCTATCAGCTTTATTCCTTAGGCCTGATTGACAAACCCAATCTCCTGTTTGACACAGATGCCGTTAGGTAAGACATTTTAGAAATTATCATTATTATTAAAATAGTAGTTTTTTCCTACAACTGTTAATAGAAATGGAGCATATATGTTTTTGTTATTGATACTTTTCTAATTTCTGTTTTGACACATCATTTTAGGTAAGTATGGATGTTTACACTTAAACATTTTTCTAGGTGAAAGATAGTAAAAATAAAATAGAAATAATCACTGGCATACTGTTGTAAAAATTCGTCTTGTTGGAATTCTTAACCATGTTGTTCTCTCTGCTTTAGATTATTTGAAGAATTGTATGAAGATCATGGAGATACATTGTCACTTCAGTATGGTGGATCTCAACTTGTTCATCGAGTAAAAACCTACAGAAAAATAGCACCTTGGACCCAGCATTCTAAAGATATTATGCAAACTCTTTCAAGATACTATAGTAATGCTTTTTCAGGTAACTTGAATTCTTTCTCTGAGATTTCCAACATTTGTCATTCTTGATAAAGTGAGAATTATTTTTTTAAAAACACAGATTTTTTAAACAACTGGCTACATGGTGCTATTGAATTTTTATGATGAAAATGAAACTGGGTCAAAATAACATGTTGACAGCCTGAAAGGTATTTGGGTCAGGCTCAACTTTAAATTCAGTAGGACAGCTTCAGAGTTAAACCTTAAGGGTTGGACACTGTAATTGCTGTCAGGCATGACAGTGTAACCCTGGACAAAATCTGCCTTCTGTCAGTGAGCAGAATGGTAGTGTTCAAGCAGCCATCAAGGGTCTGTTTTCCAGCTCCCATTTAGGCTGTAAAATATCTAAAACACCCCGTGTGTTAGTGGAAATCGTTCATGGCTTGGAGTAAAGCACTCAGTCAAATAGTAGCATTATAATATTCTAGCAAGGGCCATTTACTTCATAACTGCCACTGCAGTTGTTAAGGAACACGAAACCACGGGGAAGATTACCTTGCTAATATGAGCATTAAGCCCAAATGTATGCAGCCAAGTGATCTATTTTGAGAAATTTGAGTGCAAGAATGGTAAGTGTTTAGACAGAATCCTTCTTAAATAAACTTATTTTTCTGTAGAGAAGCAGACAAAAGTAACATAAATATAAGCGAAATAAGGTCACATAGGCAGGTAACTTTCTTCACTGCTTGACTGAATTGGAATTGCCAAGCAGCACTCAAGATTAGAGGGCATCCAAATGTCATACTGCGGTTAAAACATTTAGAACCAGACATACTGTTATTTCTATTATAGGTATAGGTATAAAAGTGTGTCCTTCTAATCCCTTTTCAAACAGGCAACAGAGGACAAACAGTAGTTTGTCAGGCATTATAAGCCACTGATTTCTTTCCACGTTATGTAGTCAAGATTATTGGAAGAACCATTGTAAAGCAGTATATCTGATCTGTCTAGGAAGGGTAATGACCCACTACAGACTTCAGCATTAATGTTGCCACATTTCTTGTTTCTGGAATCTAAAACAGGCTATTTATCCAGAAACAGGACTGGACAGTCAACTTCCCTTTAATTGATATATAGGAAAGTAATCTGATTACTCTATCCAGTTAATCATGGTGCACTACAGTCCTAGTCGTACTAATTCTGGCCCTTTAGATTTTTTGCCGAGTGAGGGCAATGAAGTGTTTAAGCTAACTCAATTACTTTGGCTCATTAGCTCCTGGTTATATGTCTTTCCACAGACGGCATACAAAAAATGTGCTAGAGCACACGTAGGTACAAAAATAATTTAGAAAAGAATCTGTACAGGATTTTCTTAATTGCAGTGCACACTTTCAGCATGGCTAAAGGGAAAACAGTTAATGTTTCCATCAGTGCTTCATCTTTTAATAAAACTACAAACTACTATTTTTCAAGGCCCAGCTTTGTTGTATTAGTTTGTTCATAAAGTTACTTCAGTTATTTTCACATTTAACAGACAACGTTGATTCTTAAGGTAGCTCCAGTGTTACTTCCCTGTTGCTTTTCTTGTATTCGGTTTTTTTCAGTTGCATTCTAAAGCTGTGTTTATTTTGATAAACCTGCATGTTATCCTTGTATATCATATGCTCTCTGTTAATTTTATGGATAATGTTTTGGAAGTTTGCCCAAACATGGAGGAACATTTCAAGGCAAGTTCCCAAAACAAAAAGGAGTGGAGTGAAATGATTAGAGAGGGGAAGGGGATGGAGATTTGCAATTGCAGTACATGTTGGGGTCTTACCATTTACATTTTTTCTTCTTCCTTTTGAATATATTAATGCTTTTCAGTGCCAGTAGCCGTACCAACCACTGCTTACAAAGGCAAAGCTCCCCTCTCCAAAAAGACATTTTGAGAGGGTCAAACTGTGACTCCTGAAATGGTCACCCCCAGTTTGCCATGTGGCAGTAGGGTGACAAATTGGTGTTCTTGGTGTTGTTCCTTTCAGCCCACCCCTGGATTAACCATGTATCACACACAAATATGTGTATGGCTCTCAATTGTTACTCATTTCTTCCAGATGCTGACAGGCAAGATTCAATTAACTTGTTTCTGGGAGTATTTCAACCAGAAGAAGGGAAGCCTCACCTCTGTGATCTTCCTACTGATTTTTACTTGCACCAGAAAGACACAATGACTCTTATCCAGGCAAGGAGAAGGTATTTCATGGCACACTTCTTGTTAGCTTCCCCCAAAAATGAGGGCGATATAATCAGTACCATAAAATAATTCTAAAACCAAGTAGTGCAATATTTTAAGCTAAAACAGCAACATACAACAGTTTCTAATCCAGACCAATAAAAAATATGTTACAAGAATAGTAATAGTTTTAAAAAAATATTTGGCCTGTTGTTTTAACCAAAAGCAGATTGAAATTAAAAGGTCTTCAAAGCCTAATCTAAATCAATCAGAGAACAAGTCAGCTGTATCTCCTTTTGGTGTTCCATAGATATGGGACCATCACTGTCAATGACCTAATAGTCATTGATAGTATGCAGAGAGTTTTAATGACGTTGATCATACTGGTTCGAAATGAGTTCTTCAAGTAAACTGAACGTTGCATTAAGAATTATTCAACATTTAATTACCAAATAATGTGCTCACCAATGGAAAACGATTTTATAGCGTATCTGAATGCTTAGTTTCCCACGAATATCTGGCCGATAGAAACTTCAAAGTGTCTTCAAGTATGTAAAGCGCATTAGTGGTGCTATGGATGTGACAGAGCATAACAGATGAGTTGCAGCTGATATCAGGCAAAGCTGATAAGATGCGCCTGTCACCCTCCTCTTCCGTTAGCAGAGGCTCCTGCTAGATCAAATACTCCTTTTCAATTGAAGGGCTCTTTCCAGTAATGGAAGGGTAGTATAGGAGACAATCTGTTGTGCCCCACTTTAGGTTGTCAGATTTGTAAAGTTGACAATGTAAATAAAAATGAATGAGTAGTGTTCTTCTGTTCACCATCTCCACATCTACATAGGATACGGTTAGCAGGGTGCTGAATCAACTTAACCCCATATTTCATAGTAAGATGAATCATTGTGCCAATTTGTGTTCTGGAAGGATTTGCTGTCTTTAGTGTTGTTCCCTGCTTTCAATAAGCAGTTAAATCTTGTTCCACATGACCCCAAAGGTTAAGTTCTAAGTTAGATTTGTAGTCTCATTTGATAACATGTGTTCCCTTTATCCTCAACATTTATGTTACTATTACATCTTGTAACAAACAATAGTAACTATAAGTTACTATTACATCTTGGAAAAAAATGATCTCAGTTACAGGCTACTGGCCCATCTTCAGTTGTGTTTTCTACATTAAAAAAATTAAAATATTGCCACTATGTTTGTCATGTAATTCTTAATAATAAAAAAACAAATTTAAACATAAGGCGTAACCTCCATTTGCTAAAACCTTAGTCATACTGAGTCTACAAGGGTTTAAAGCACTGTATGACATTGCAAAGTTTCTGGCTATTATCTTTGATTTTTCATCTTTTTAAACTGCTATTAAATTTGTAGGTCTTGACTTTTTAGCTCCAACTGTGTTTGGGCTTTTGAGACCAATATATATTGATTGTGCAGATCAATATAGCCATGCTGCCCTTGCAGACTCCAGAAAATTCTTCATAAAAGTGCAGTTACACGGCTGAGACTATAAACTCTTCTAGCCAAGAAGGGTTTTTTATCTTTTCACACTTAGGTTACCAGATCAAATTATTCCTCAGTCAAACAAACAGCAGGATGTTGAAGTCAATTTCGTTATGTGTAGAGCAATAGACACATGGACCACAATCCATATTCCCTTGTGTGTGACTAGCATTTCCATTGCTGGTTATAGCAGAAAGAGCAAAGCAAAAGCAAACATGGCTATCAATAAACTCTAATTCTGTGTTCTATGTCTTAAGAAGATATTATGGTTGGAAATGTTTAAATTGGGCAACTATAATAATTTCTAACATAACATATTATAAGTTTGATTTTACGATATAGTTAATTATAATTAAATGTAATTATAACCAGACAATTCTCATAGTTTAGGGATGTAAAAAGTGGAGTCCCCCAATATTCATAAATTATTTGGAGTTAATGGTCAGTAGCAAAGTAATCAAGTTTGCTGATAGCACTAATAATTCAGGGTAGTAAAAGGGATTGCAAAGATCTCCAAAAGCAAACTTGGTGAGCAGGCAATAAAATAGCAGATCAGTTTCCTGTAAAGTATAATATGATGCATATTGGGGCAAAAAATCCTACCTCTTAAAGATAGGCAGATAGGGATCTGAGTTAATGTTACCTAACTAGGAACAAGATATTGGAGTCAGAGTGAAGAGCTTGATTAAAATGCTCCCTAGTATATGTTGACAGCTGTGAAAAAGGAGAATTCAGTCTTGGTGATTCATTAGGAAAGGGATCAAAACTGCTGGTATTTGCAACTGCACTAGGAGTACTGTGCACAATTCTGGTTGCCCCAACTCCAAAAGGATATCATAAAACTGGCAAAAGGAAATACCGTATTTTCGCCCCATAGGACGCACCGCCCTATAGGACGCACCTAGTTTTTTTTTGGGGGGGGGGGGAAATAAAGGAAAAAAAATATTGCCCCCCCAGGCACGGGGCTGGCGTGGGGGAAGCCCAAGCTTCCCCCGACCCCAGCCCCCAGAAGAGCCTGTTATCCGCAAGCCTAGGGAACCGCGCCGGTCTCCCCAGGCTTGCGGACAGCTGTGCGAAGCCCGGGCGCGCTGAGGCTTCCTAATGCAGGCAGCTCTGCGCAACCCTCCAGAGCCCAGCGCAGCTTGGCGCCGGGCTCCGGAGGGTCGCGCAGAGCTGCGCGGACCCCGGGAGCGCAGGCAGCTCTGCGCGACCCTCCAGAGCCCGGCGCGGCTTGGCGCCGGGCTCCGAGGGTCGTGCAGAGCTGCGCGGACCCCGGGAGGGCAGGCAGCTCTGCGCGACTCTCCAGAGCCCGGTGCGGCTTGGCACCGGGCTCTGGAGGGTTGCGCAGAGCTGCATGGACCCCGGGAGGGCTTCGCGCCGGGCTCTGGAGGGTTGCGCAGAGCTTCCTGAAGCCTGGAGAGCGAGAGCCTCTCGCTCTCCAGGCTTCAGCGAAAGCCTGTATTCGCCCCATAGGACGCACCCACATTTCCCCTTCATTTTTGGAGGGGAAAAAGTGTGTCCTATAGGGCGAAAAATACGGTACATCTTCATATAGCATGTAGTTAAAGCTGTGTAACTGTCTACTCCAAGATACAATGATGGCCACTGACTTTGACAGCCGGATTAGACACATTAATGGAGGATAAGCCAATTAATGGCTGCTGGCTATGTATTTTCTTGGGTAGCAGAGGCACATGCATGTGAATACCAGTTGCTTATGGGGCCACAGCCTCATGTCCTTCTGTGGACTTCCCACAGACGTTTGGTTGGCCTCTGTGGGAAGCAGGATCCGGAACTAGATAGACTGTTGGTTTGATCTAGTACGGATGTTCCTGTTGTTTCTTTTGCTCTGTCAATGTGTATTCTAGCTTACACCATCTTATGGAGGGTTGATAGTCTAAAATTTAACAAAGGGAAACAACAAGTGGAAGCAGAGGTGTAATCAGGAAAAGAAAATGCTTCTTTCTGTTGGACATGCTCAGGCTTAGTTACAGCAAGGCACAGGAACTAGAGGGTTTCCTAAATACTGCATGGGCAAATGCGCTTTGAGAAGGGATTTGTAGGAAGGAAGAAGAGGCATGATTCAGGTGTTATAAGAGGTTGTTCCTTGTATAAGGGAGAAAGGGTTGGAGCATTTGATGGAATGGGAGAACTTTTGGATATAACTCACTGGATTTTTAAAACTATTGTTTTTGTTCCATACTTAAAGCTACACTTTCTGGTGGACTCCAGGTGTCCTGGAATGCTTGCCAATGCCTTATGATGAAGGTCAGTTATACATACAAGAAAGTGTGTTTTTCCTTTATTTTTAAATATGAACACAATTTGCTTACATAATAGTAACATTAATTGGACACAATTACTAGAATAAAAATAGAAAAGTGAAATAATGTACCTGTTAACTTAAGGATCAAGAGATCTGCTGAAAACACACATGGAGGTATTTACTGTACTACACATGGCCATTCTTCTATAGAAAATTAGTAGTTTTTAATACACTGGGTTGTATTCAAACTATACATGGATGGCATTCTGCCCACACTCTACTCCACTAGAGGAATGGGGGAGAAGATGATTTCCCCTGACACCTCTTGCTGTCCCCCACTCATCTTGAAAACACTGCTCCAGAGGATCAGGGAGGATGTTCCGAGGGCTCCAGGGGGAAAGAGTCCCCTTAGCAATAGATGATACAGTATTTAAGAGATTCACTTTACCTGCATTTCTTTTTTAGCAATGTCTGTTGCTGAAAACAGAAGGAAGCTAATAGTGAAGAAATTTCATAACTATGATGAAGAGATTGACATTCATAATGAATTTTTTCGACCCTATGAACTCAGCAGTTTTGATGACACTTTTTGCTTGGCAATGACAAATTCAATCCGGTATGTATGTTTTATTTTTCAAGATAATAGAATTTTGATTCAGCCTTTCCATTTTACAAATGAAACTGAATTGAATTCTTTTAGAAAAACTTTACTTACATAGCCTTAAAATGGCATTCAATACAGAAGAATTCGTATCTTTCATATGATGGACGAATCTGCAATAAATATGTGATTCTGAAGCTTTTGACATGTGTATCTGCTTAGATAGAGGAGCACCAGTTTTAAAATGTATAAAATTACTAGTGTCACTGCTGGTGTCGACCTAGTTCTGTCTGCCGAAAGTGTGGGCAGGCAGAAGTACTACTGGCAGACTTCCCTGAAATGAGGTTTTCCAGAGAAGGGGCTGAGCAATCCCACAGCTATCAATTTATGGCTTCAGGCCTAATCACTATCCTGGCTGGTAAAGCATGAAGCAAGTTTTTGCCCCCCCCCCCCCTTTTATGCTCTGGCCAGTATTAGCAACAGGGCTGCAGAAGCAGACCTTTCTGTCACCCCCCTCCCCGCCTATCTAAGGTTTGGCTTGCTCTGTTAACTTGTTATATTTGATTCTTTATTCTTTATACCCTTCAGAGATTTTATGCCCAAGAATGTTGGCATTGATCCCAGCCCATTTACTGTACGTAAACCTGATGAAACTGGAAAATCCGTTTTGGGGTAAGAAGAAAATCAAGAATTGAATGCAGAAATGTTTTTTATTTACTCATTTAGTACCTAATATTAACTAATATGGGGCTTAATACAATGATATCCGTAGTTTAACCTTCTTAAGTCAAACCAGTAAATGTTTTTTTGCGTGTGTATAATTTATAGACACTATATTAGTTTTACAAAGGATGGTTTGGAGTGAGGGAGGAAAGACCCCCCCCAAAAAAAATCTCGTTTGCCTTATTTACATATAGTTGGTCATCTATCTACAAACAGCTGAGATTCCCTGTACAAAAGGTAAATTGCAATGAGTTGCTGCTCTCCACTCCTCCTCCCTTTCTCTGAATGCAAAGAAAAGCCAGTTCTGATACCCTTCTTGTTTCCTTAGTAATTTTAATTGCTCTTAATTTTAATTAAAGTTTTGATGTAATTTTAGTTAGATTCTAGGGAGTGGTTTATTGCATACAAATGGACCTAAATGTCAATTTCCACCAGTAAGACATCGCTACAGCCCTGCCTTGCTGGCCACAGTGGCAGTGCCACTCGTCAGGGCTAGGATCAAGCTGGGGCTGGGTGAGAACTAGGTTGGCATCAGTAGACACAGAGGCATATGCACCTGCATCCAATGCCACCTCCAACTTGGTGCTTCCCCCACTCTCACTGCCACCCTGCCCTATCTTAGTCTCAATGAGCAGCAGCCCTGACATGGCTAGGAGGACATCTTCATATGCCACAGCTGCCAGTGTGATCTATTTCTGCAAGAAAAGCAGTTATAGCAGTAGTGTATTTGAAGTTTCGTGTTACCAGTGCAGTTCAAGTCACAGATTTGAATGCTGTGCTGAGACATCTTTGCACTTGTATTAATTTATGAAATAATTTTCCTTTGTATCTGACTATTTGCATGCTTCAACCTATAGTACAACTTGTTCCTCTGACTGGATACTGAGGTCTTTGGTTCTTCTGCTCTGTTCTCTTTGACTTTTTTAACCACTTTTTTTTTTAAAAAAAAAGAGCATTGAGTGTAGATTTTTATTTCTTCATTCTTCTCATCAGGCTGTAAAAATCCATTTGCTCAGAACACAAAAGCTTTATATTTCTAAGAAAGAAATTACTTAAATGTATGCAAGAGATCAATAAGGCTATCTGTGCTGGGAATCCTAAAGTGAACATTTGTACCTGAACAATATAATAGATCAATCACATTCTTTTCCTTGAAATAGCTCAAAGACTCCAAATTGTTGCTTTTGATCCATATTTTCAAAAACTCAAAGTGTCAAAATGTTCTGAACCTGGTTTGGAGCCATTAAGCTACTTCACTATTTGGCAATTTATAGTTTTCTATGACTGGACTAGAGGTATTAAAAAGTGACTCAGTGCTTCTAGCAAAGCTTTTTGAAAGCCGCCTTCGTACTGGGTTTGCTTGCAGAGTTCTCCCTAATAACGTTAGGGAGAACATTAAAGCTGTTTTAATTAGGTGCTTATATTCTAATGTTTTTGCACCTTAGTTTAAGATGCCGTAGTCAGTATCCTAGTCAAAATGACAGGAAGACCCAAGCGTTCGGGGACAGAATAAACTGTGGTTATAGTTGAGAACAGTGGGTAATATCTAGTGTTACTCAGAGTTAGATCCATTGAAGTCCATTGATTTAAATACTTACAGCAATCAATTTCAAATTAGTGGTTTGTATCCAGTGGAGTTCTGTCAGTGCAAGGACTTCCACTACCTCTTCTCTTCTTGATCTGCTCACCCAGCCTTCCATCTTTTCCAGGGTTTTCCCCCAACTCTCTTGATCAGATTTGGGGGTGCATGAAAAGATAAGAGAGAAAGAAAGAAATCCTTGTACTAATGGGACAACTTCATTGGATACAACCCATTGGACTGAAATAGGGTAGATCCTTTAAAACCAACAGGACCCATTTACTTCATTCCATTGATTTCATTGGGCCTACTCTGAGTATGACTGTTGGATACTACTTAATGAGTATAACAGATAATTAGAGAACCCAAAGGCCTGTGACATAAATGGAAAGTAACATATATAGCAGAGGAGTCCATAGAGCATTTTTCAAAGCAGCATTGTGATAAGACTGAGAGTTGGGGGAGACACAATGCTCCTGGTTTCTTTATCTGTGCTTATGACAAAGGTGGGCTGCAAGGGTGCATGTTTTGAAAGGTCGCTCCCTTCCCTTCAGACCCCCTCCTCTCTTTGTAAAATTTATTCTAATAGCCTTAACCAAGACCTGGATATATTGTTTTCTGTTAGGGTCAGTGATGACAACAACATTTGCAACATTTGCACTCATAATGCTTAACTGTGGCTAAGGATGGGGAGGCAGAATTTGCTGAGGGGAGGAGGGAACACTTGATCTTGCACCCCATTCCCGATCTCTTAAAGAAACCATTTGGACTTTCATACATGAGAAAAGAAGAGGCTTTCTCTCTTCTTGCCCTTTCCCTTCTGTCTCTTGAAGGGAATGGTGATAAAATTGAACTGCCTCTTTCTTGAGATATCATTATGTGTAATAAATTCCAATTTTGTTTAGGAACAAGAGCAATAGAGAAGAAACGGTGCTTCAGCGCAAAACGGCTGCTAGCGCTCCACCACCACCCAGCGAGGAGGCCGTGTCTAGCAGTTCGGAGGATGATTCTGGAACTGATAAAGAAGATGAGGGGGCTGCATCTCAGCGTTCAACGCCAGTGAAAATGACAGATACGGGAGATAATGCCAAAACAACAGAAGTAAGGAAGTGTGCTAACCCGCAAAGGGACAATATCAGCACATCTCTTTCTTTACAGCATATTTGTTCCAGTGTTGTGTTTGATTTGTGTTTAAGGCTTACTAAAATGAACATCTCTCTTTACATGTTAGGGGCTTTGCTCACTCAGCAGTAAGAGAAGGTACTATAAACTTTTAAAAAGAAGACACTTTAAAAAAAATACCTGTAAAAAAAAATATGTGGAAGCTTGGAGGCAGATGTAGTTCTTAAAGCAGTTTAAAACTTCTCTCTTTAACTCTTTTTTAAGGGAGCAAGGTAATATATTAGTTTTAAAGCTGAGTTATAGTGTTGATTTGTATTAGTTGTTTAAATTAAACTAGGTAATTCAGCTAGGAGTGAAAGATGTGTTAATAGAGGATTGGCTTAATACAGAAATATGGCTTAATAGAGCTCTTTCAAATACGAACACTAATCTTTCCAGATGACACTCCTGTGCAGACTTCAGTACCATTATAATACTTCAGTATCTGGGGATGTTAATGAAGATCTGTAAAAACAATAACACAAAACAGATTAGCAATTTTATAGCAGCAGAATCTGGATTTTAAATATTGCACAAGGGAATGAACACAGCAGGCAAGTGATAGGAAGAACGCAGATGATGATGCCACTTGCTCTGCTGTGACATTTGTGGGGAAGCCCATGGCTCCAGCCAATTTTCTTGCATGATCATTGCTTGAATTTAATTTTCTTGTTTCTAGATAAATTTACTGTAGTTTGGAGCACCTTGATGAATTTGGAAGGTCATAGGCTGGCCCAAACCATTTGTTTCCCCAAGCAGGTGCACGGCACTTTATCTTGTAATCCTGCTCGTGATGCTAGGTTTCGCTCTCTCATATTGTGACCTAAGCATGATTAGAGCTGCCCCCAGAATCCTTTACAGTGGAGGTGGCTAAGCCACAACCTATGGGACATAAACAACCCTCTAAACACTTTTTGTGGCCTCCCAAGTCTCCCTTCAAATTTGTCATATAAATGAAATAAAGAAAAACAGTTTAATTTGTTGAACGGTTATGTGGGTAATGCCAGGAGCCAAGATGCCAGAAGGCTTTCATGGTCACCCAAGGCCCTTTCAGATGTGGGCAGGATGAATTAGGAAGAAGCAATCCTTCAGGACCCAAGCCATTTTGGGTTTAGTAGGTAATCATAGTAGAGGAATGGGACGCGGGTGGTGCTGTGGGTTAAACCACAGAGCCTGGGACTTGCTGATCAGAAGGTCGGCGGTTCGAATCCCCTTGACAGGGTGAGCTCCTGTTGCTCGGTCCCTGCTCCTGCCAACCTAGCTGTTTGAAAGCACGTCAAAGTGCAAGTAGATAAATAGGTACCGCTCCGGCGGGAAGGTAAACGGCGTTTCCATGCGCTGCTCTGGTTCGCCAGAAGCGGCTTAGTCATGCTGGCCACATGACCCGGAAGCTGTACACCGGTTCCCTTGGCCTATAGAGCGAGATGAGCGCTGCAATCCCAGAGTCGGCCACGACTAGACCTAATGGTCAGGGGTCCCTTTACGTTTACCTTATAGTAGAGGAATTTAACAGTCTGAATCCTTCCTAACCCACTGAATGGAACATTATACTCCATTTGGAGATTTAGCGCAAGAAAGTCTGATTGAATTTAATTTGTTGAATCCTAATTTGATCTAATGCTACAGTCCTACGCACATTTACTGAGAATAAGTTAAGTGAGTTGAGTGGGTTTTATAAAGACTTTGCCAAGAGCAAGGTGCTGCTTGTACAATAGGCTTTTCCTTCTTTTTCTTCTCTGATGTATCACCCTAAAAAACCTTCCTGAAGGTCAGGGAACCCTCAAGAAAGACATGGGATGTAGTGGTGGGAATGTGATAGGAGGAAGGGGGCAGGAGAACCCATTTGCTCTTCTATTCACGTGAAATTTGTCTACAATCTCTTGTGACTCCAAAGTAAACTTGGTTAATGAGATCATCCTTGCAGTCTCTGAAAGTAAATGGCTTCGCTCATCATAGCCTTGAATAAAGTTTAATAATTACTGTGTCTAATGATAGTGAAACAAAATTACTATTATCACTTTTCTAAGAATGACTTACTTATGGATATTATTTTCCAAGTCTTTTGGTATGCCTATAAGAAGGTGCTTATTATCTAAAGTCAATCAGTTGCCAGGTATGCTTTTCCTTCATTGCCATGGGTTGTTTCTGTGATAATAAGCAATATTTGACACAGAGGCCTAAGCAACAAGTTAGAGAACTAATGTCCAATGGTTTGTGTTCATTTTGGGGATGTACTTGGGGGGAGCAGCAGGCCTCATTGCCCCTCTACAAACCTTATTTAAGGCCCTTTCAGGAGAGGCTTACTTTGTGGTGTTGATGTGGCTGCTCAGAAACATGAGTCCAAACATGACTGGACAGGCGCTAGTAGTTCAAGTCTTTGATTTGTGCCTCTGGAGTTCAAGGCCCTCAAACTTTACCTTTTATATTCCTGGTTTCTCTGTTGTGTTGGCTTGTCAGTGATATAATTCATCTCTTTGCAATCAGCCTCTCAAATAAAGGAAAACAGTTGTCTAATGTTGATATTTCCATGTGAAAGCAATTAATGTACTTTGGCAATCAGCCTTGAACAGAATATTGGCACTTCCACATAGCTGAATATGCTGAAAAACTGGTTTAAATTGTGTTATTTTAATCAGTAGGTTCTTAAAAGTTGCAGGAATTGAAGCTGTATCAAGGTCAAACTTTGTAATGCTGGCTTCATTAAAGTAGAAATCAATTAAATTAACTTCCTGCTGTTTACAAAAACTAAGGAATAACACTGTAGTCTAAACTATCTTTGTTCTCAATGTACAAAACATTATTTGTGTTAACTAGACCCCTGATGAAGAGTTCTTAGTAAAATATAAATTAAATAAATAAAGGGTTGTCCTTTATACCCACATCTTGCATGATGTGCTCCAGCTACTCAAAAGAAGCTATTTTCAGATGTTTACAAATTCCCAGTTGTAATCATATAAGAGAGGAGAGGGGGGTCACACATGTTTACCCCAGCTCCCATTCATTGTGTCCCACATTGTCCCTTCCCCAAGATTATCCATGGGATGAGGACATGTCTGCTGTGGGACAACCTGTGGCACATACATTTGCCATCCACATAACTTGAAATTTTGCTCAGGGACTTACTAGTCGTCTTACTAGATGTTTAATATACATCTTACGAGATGTTTAATATACATCTTGTTTTGAGACGTACCAAGTGAAGTACCTTTAGATATTTTAGTGTTGTTTTTTGTAAGGAGGGTTGAATGTAAAGAGTCTGCTGTACAAATGAGACACACTTCTTCTGCATGCATGGGACCCAAAAGTATATCCAGCCCTCTGGAGCCAGTTTTGGGGTGGTGGCTGCAGACAGCGAAATTGGCAACACTACTCCCTGCTATTTCCAGGTAATTTAGTGGGATGTATGGGAGGAAATTTTTAGTCAAAAAAGCTATTTGATGGGATCCAAATAGGTTTTTGATTATAGAATTTCATGGCATCCTGAGAGTTAGACAATCCATTGTCTGTATTTTTCATCTGTTGTCTTGGCTGGTGACTTGGCATGATTTTTAACCTTTTCCCTATCCACTTAAGCACCTGGTTTTCTGACAGCATGGCAGTGAATTGCCTTGATCAGTTGCCTAGCTAACTCACCGTTCTCCCTTCACACATTTCAACAACGGGGCGGGCGGACGGGGAGAATGAGTCACAGGGAATTTACGGGAAAATAAAGGAGGCATTGTGAGATAACAAAAATTGTTCCCGTAATTTAAAAGAAAAAAATGGAAGGCAAGGTTAAATTAAAGTATGAAGTAACTTTGACACATCTGCTATTAAAGTCTAATGTAGCATTGCAGCTAATTTATACTAGCTTAATTTTATAAATGTGCAGTTATCAGGAACCTGAAAAGAAATGACAATATGCTTTTGTATAATGTGCCCCGAAAACATCTAAAGATACATGGCGATGATAGTATTGTGAAAGCTTTATTTAATGTTTTGCTTCTTAAAAGGAACGTGAAAAATTTAACATGAGTCCAGACAATGCAGTACTGTATATCTATACACATTTTAAGTTCAGAGTCCTCAGAATTTTCATGCAACTGCCATTCTGTGTGATAGCACAATATTTTTTTGTGCCTTGCACACCTAAAACAAAATGTTGCAGGATGGAGAACCACTCTTTAGAGATTCAGGTAACCTGAGTTCGAGCAGTATGAGCAAAAAGGGAGCGCCAAAAAGATCTCTCCAAACAGAGTGACTAGGCATTAAAATAGCAAATGCAATTCAATGTGATCAAGGGTAAAGTGATGCACATGGAGGCAAAGAATTCTAACTTTATATAAAAGCTAATGAGGTCTAAACTGGAATGAGATCTTGGGATCATGGTGGATAGCTGAATGAAAATGTCTGTCTAGAGTGCAGCAGCTGTGAAAAATGCCATTCTTGTGTTTGGCATCATTAGAAATGGAATTGAAAATAAAATTAAATTAGCAAATTCATAATTGGTTTTTTAGAAATATATTGTTTGGCTGTTTTGTTCATTGGCTGCTTTGTGAGGAATGGTGGAATAGGCCTTTATAAAAATCCACGGTGCAGTCCCATTTCAAATACTGTGCATCTCAAAGAGAGCATTGTAAAGCTGTAAAAGGTTCAGAAAAAGGCCACCAGAATGACTGAGGGGCAACTCCTATGAGAGGAAAGATTATAACATTTTGAGCTTTTTTTCTTTAGGGAAAATGCAAGTAAAGGGGAACATGATAGAGATGTATAAAACTGATGCATGGGGTGGTGAAAGTGGACAGAGAGCAGTCTTTCTTTCCCTCTTATAACGCTGGAACATGTGATCAACCAATGCAGTTAAATGTTAGAAGATTGAGAAGGACGTACTACTTCACACTTAAACTATGGAATTCACTACAAGAAGATGATAGTAATGACCACTAATAGTCATTACCACCAGTCAGTGGCTCTGTTCATATTAAAAAGGTAAAGGGACCCCTGACCATTAGGTCTAGTCATGACTGACTCTGGGGTTGTGGCGCTCATCTCGCTTTATTGGCCTAGGGAGCCAGCGTACAGCTTCTGGGTCATGTGGCCAGCATGACTAAGCCGCTTCTGGCGAACCAGAGCAGCGCACAGAAACACTGTTTACCTTCCCGCCGGAGCAGTACCTATTTATCTACTTGCACTTTGACGTGCTTTCGAACTGCTAGGTGGGCAGGAGCAGGGACCTCACAACGGGAGCTCACCCTGTCGCGGGAATTCAAACCGCCGACCTTCTGATTGGCAAGTCCTAGGCTCTGTGGTTTAAACCCACAGCGTCACCCGCGTCCCTTCTGTTCATATTACCTTTTTTTAAAAAAATGATATTTATTAAAGTTTCAAAAAATACAAAAAATACAGAATACAAAAAGAAGAAGAATAATTTTTTTAAAAATACAACCAAAAAAAAAAAAAAGAAGAAGAAGAAACATACCAAATAAACAGTTAAAAAGACATTAATTTTCCATAACCTATCTTCCCTATACTTATTTCCCCGGACCTCCTCATATCTCCCTTTTTTGTATTCCAGTTCAATTTGTTAGTTCAGCAAATCCTTACCATTAAAATTGGCCAGTTGCAAACCTTTTTTCATATCTCTTAAAGTATTACAGCTAAAAACCTCTTAGTTTCTATCCAACATCCTTCTAAAATTCCTTAACTTTACAATATTTCTGTAAATAGTCTTTAAATTTCTTCCAGTCTTCTTTCACCGACTCTTCTCTCTGATCTCGGATTCTGCCAGTCATTTCCGCCAGTTCCCTTCTGTTCATATTACCAATGGCTATTAGCCATGGTGGTGTCCTGTCTCCAGTATCTGACAAAGTATACCTCTGAATGCCAGTTACTGGGAATTATAAGTGGGGAGAGTTCTAGTGCACTCATGTCCCCTTGTGGGTTTCAGTAGACATCGGGTTGAACACCATAAGAACAGGATGCTGCATTAGATATAGTGAGGTACCAAGATGGAAATGCTTCAGTAGGACACAAAACTGGCAAATAAAATTTTCTCGCTGCTTTTAGAATTCCCTGTTAGTGGAATAATTCTGTTTAATACTGATACGTAGCTCTCAGCTCTATCATGAAGTAGCAGTTGTTTACTTCGGAAAAACTGAAAAAATGTTGCTCTTGAGTATTGTCTTTTTATTCATTCTTTTTTTTTGTCTGGAAGCTACCTTGCATTTGTAAGAGGCAGGTATAAATGTTTAAATAAATTTTAAACCCAAGATTTAGTCTCACTAATATTTCTCTTGTTTTGCTGCAGAATGTAGTACAGCCTATAAAAGATATATATGGGATTAACCTCTCAGAATCTCCTTCGGAAGATGATCTCGGCATATACACAAGGTAATGTGTTTCTGATTATCTCACTGATGCTAGCAGGGAACAAATTTTTTAAAAGTGAATAGTAAAAGTGTATGTTCCAGACAAAATTAAGCACATTTTAAATTCCACTTGTTTCATTGGGAATGTTCACGATGTATTGAAAGCCAAAAGATCTTTAAAGGTCCTTACCTTTTGCCTGGATTGTGCTCATTGGTTATCTATATATAGTATATATCAAGCTGCACAGCAGCCCCATAATTTTCAAAAATCCTGGTCTACCTCCAGGTGGCTTACATTATTTCCCTCTGCTCCCAAGTTTATCTTCAAACAATACTGTGAGTTAGGTTAGGCTGAGAGATTGTGACTAGCCCATGGTCAGCTTCATGGAGAATTGAACCCACATCTGCCCTATTAGCTTAGTTGTAGAGCATCTGCTTTGCATTTCAACATCTGGTATCTCTAGGTAGGACAGGGGGTAATCCTGACTGAAACCCCTGCCAGTCAGTGTGGACAATATTGAGCTACATAAACCAATGGTCTGACTTGGTATAAAGCAGCTTCCTATGATTCAGTCCAACACTGGCTCTTGGGAACCTGGGATAGCACACTCACTAGAGCATGAGACTCTTAATCTCAAGGTCATGGGTTCGAGCCTCACATAAAATCATAGAATTGTAGAGTTGGGAGGGACCCCAAGGGCCATCTAGCCCAACCCCCTGCAATGCAGGAATCTCAGGTAAAGCATCCATGACAGATGACCATCCAACTTCTGCTTAAATAGCTCCAAGGAAGGAGGGAGACTGTTCCACTGTTGAACAGCAAAAGATTCTTGCATTGCAGGGGGGTGGACAAGACTAGACTGAAACTAAAGCCTGGGAGGTGATGCAGGGATCCACTACCAACTTTTGTTCATCCTCTTCTGTCTTTACCTATCTTACTACTACAGTGCAGGCCTCAGTGGCTTCTTTGGCGTCTATAATAATCCATGGAAAGGCGGGGGATGGTGCCTCTACCAGCTCTTGTGCCCTTTTGCTAACTCTGCAGTTATATTTTTATGTAAAAATATAGTCTCTCTATATCTAAGAAGCATTGTATTACACAAGATGGCTTACATCAGTTAAAATAGCAATATGTTAAAAAATCCAGTCTATGTCAGGGTTTGCTACTTACGTGCTGTTGCAACAAGTCTTGCACTCACTGAGTGAAGTTAAAGGAATCACATAGGTCTGGGCCATGTGCAAAGTGCCAGCTGAACCGAGCTTCTCAGGAACACACTATGACTAAAATTGATTAGGCTTTTAGTGAGATTCAAAATGAAAAGATGCCTTGAAGGGCCTCCAAAGTACCTAGATCAAAGTGGATTTTTAAAAATAAATAAATTCAGAGCTACTGCATTACTCACCCACAATATTAGTGTCAGGAAAAAAGTGTGGTGTATGTTCCAGCTGCCCTTTATGGAACTTGATGTCCCTTACTTCAAACTGTATGACTCCTATATAGCTGCAAAAGACATGTTATTTTCTTTATTTCAGAAAGTTCTTTTTCCATTGTGATTTTTCTGCCTCTATTCATAGGTTTGTTCAGTTGGGGCACAGTCAACACAAGCACGACAAGAGTCACCAACATCTTTGTTGTAAGCACTTAGACGGGGTTATAAACTTGTAAGTACTTGCTGTCTTTTATTTTTCAGTTCATGCTCTTTCAATGCCCCTTTTCCAAATCCCCTTCTCTCTCTCTCTCTCTCTCTCTTATTCTCACAGTTCACAGTGGTTTTTGTATATTTTAGTTAGGCTTTGTATTTTCAGAGACTGTTGCTTTATATACATTATATAAGACAAGTGGTAAAATCAAAGTGGTATGTAAGAAAAATAGGACATTGGCTTAGGGCAGGCATAGGCAAACTCGGTCCTCCAGATGTTTTGGGACTACAACTCTCATCATCCCTGACCACTGGTCCTGTTAGCTAAGGATGGTGGGAGTTGTAGTCCCAAAACATGTGGAGGGCCGAGTTTGCCTATGCCTGGCTTAAGGGGGAAACAATAACCATAATTTACAGTTCTTCACTGGCATATGCAGTACACAGAGGCTTCTTTGCAGACACTCTAGTTCTTACGTTATGGTTATTTACTTATATTGTTCCATCAGTGTGAATGGTGCTTTACAGCATACAGGGGGATAATTCCCTGCCCCAAAAAGCTTACAATCTAAAGTTAGTACAATGGAAACAACAGAGGAAGGCAATGTGCTGGGGGTTTTCATATTTGAGTTTAGTTACAGACTCGGTTGCAGTAGGGCATGGGAACTAGGGCTAAAAGTGCCATGGAAAAGGTGGGTTTTGAGGGTGGGTTAGAAGGGTGTAACAGATGGGATTGTCCAGATGATCTGGGAAGCATTTCTTAGCATACAGAACAGCAAAGGATAAAGGGAACAGTCTTTACAAAAACAGGAAAGGTCACAGACGATTTATTGAGATAAAAGCAGAGAGATAAAAATAGGACAAGGCCATCAGGGATTTGAAAGCAAGAACAAGGTACCCTTGGTAGATGTGGGAGTGGATAGAAACCCACTGTAGAGATTTAAGTGACGAGACAGGTAAATGTTTTTCACAACAGAGCACTAGATAGCTGTGAGATAACAGAAGACCAGAGAGATGTTTATGCTAAAGGAACAGAGAGGAAGGGCTTTATTTTCACAATCATATTGTAAAAGAAGTGACACAACTTAAAAATGGCCTGAGCATTGGCAACACATGAGAGAAAGGAGTAAAAGATAAAGGCATGGCTAATTACCAGGGTGGGTAATAAACTTCTACATTCATAAGGAAAGTTTAAGAGGAGAGGGAAGTATGGGAGGAAAGATGAGAAATACTGAGTTTGAAATGATATTTAAGGAGAAATATCAGAGATTCAGTTTGAGAAGCTGGACTGGAGTGAGGCAAACAGTTCAGAGATAAAAGAGAGAGGGGTATCATCTACATACAGGTGATACTAAATGCCTTTGGATTTGATAATCTCACCTAGGGACATTAAATATATAGAAAGTAAATCAGAGGGCTAAGAACAGATTCTTGAGGGACCTCGGCATGCGCCCCATCTGCACTATAGATTTAAACCAGTGCCATACCAATTTAAACATTCATGGCTTTCCCAAAAAAAATCCTGGGAACTGTAGTTTGTTAACGGTGCTGAGAGTTGTTAGTAGACCCCTATTCCCTTCACAGAGCTGAAGTTTCCAGAATTCCTTGGAAAGAGGAATTGACTGTTACACCACTCCAATAACTGAGTTTCCTCCTATGAAAACACTGAAATAATGATTTGGTAGAAGGATTGCCAGCTGAGGACAGAATCGTGGAGCTCCATAGCATGAAGGCAGTTATGCAAGAGTGGGAGCGCCTTTGTCAAAGGCAGTGGGAGGACCAAGGAGAATGACACCTTTTACATCAATGTAAAAAAATCCTGTGCAAATTTGCTGTTGTGCAGGCTGATCAATATTCATTGGATCCAGAATGTTTAATAGTTAATGGTTTTTAAATATGTACAGAATCTCCATCAACCATAGCTAAATTATCTCCATTAGAGACGCTGTTTGCCACCTAATGTATTTTAGAAAACTGTCACAACAATGCTTCCCCTTTCTTCACCTTCCCTTGAAGGGAGAGAAAATCTATCTCTGGAAGTTAGAGGTTATAAAGCTGTGTGATTCTTAGAAAGAAAAAATTTCTCAGGTTGAAACCTAGTGACAGACAGGTGAGCGGGCAGGCGAGTGTTGTTGTCGGCGAGGCGTGTGATTGTCAGTGGCGGTCAGGCGGGTGAGCGAGTGTCGGCAATCCCCCCCCCCCAAAAGAAGCTCAACAACACTAGGCAATTCTCCCCCCAAACAAGCTTAACAACTCTGGGCAATTTCCCCGCATTCTCTTAATTTGGAGTCCCCCAAAATAGGGGTCGTGTTGTACACGGGGCATGTTATACACGGAGAAATATGGTACAGGTGATGACAGATTAATAATAAAACTGAACATGGGCTGTATTTTTTATTGGCAAAAGGTGACTCTTCATTCTGCTTAGATGCAGCACATTGTTGCTAAGATACCAACCAATTAAACACTCAACAATGTTTTGCAATAAAACAGTCTACCTGCAGTTTAAAATATATTGTATTTTATAGATCATAAGTGCTTATTACTAGAAATCCTAGTAGAAATTATCGCATTTCAGGATTTTCCCCTCCATTGTATTATCAACTTAACTTACCTACTAATGCAAAATGGCATGGAATCCTCTGAGCCTACAATGGTGATGTATATAGAATTCATGCCTACCCTCCTCTTTTATTGTTTCTCTGTAGTTTAATGCTAGTTTTATTTAATTTACTTTTCACAGAACACACATCTCTGCTTTCTCCCAAGACAACATTTATGAAGTCCAGCCTCCTAAAGTAGAAAGAAAATCTATTGAGATATTTCATGCTCACATCCAGGCTGGCAAAGGCATCATGCAGCCATTGGGAAAAGAAGACATCCTCCTGTATCGAGAATACATTAGAAACAGATACATGTGAAGAACAACTGTTTTTGAGTCCTCTGACAGCCTGAATCACTGAGTCACAGTGGAAAAGTAGATATCTCTATTATATGCTTCCCTCCACCATACGTCAGATGGTTCATAGCGGCCTATCATGACTTTTTTTTGTTGGTAATTAAGTTAGAAAACAGATACAAATATCCTCTCTTTAGAAACAAGAGAGAGTGCCTATTGATAAGACTTGTGAACTGTTCAGATTAATTATGTTCTCTTTAGTTATCTGTGTTGCTTAGGTCAAATTTCTTGGGCACTTAAGTATATATATAGGCACTTACAATACATATAGCCAGCAGGGAGCAGTGGAGAATGCTTTTCACAATTATGGAGTTCCTTGTGTTTGTCTAAGTCAAGGTGAGTCAACATGGTATCCTCAATATACTTTTGGGCTCCAGCTCCCATCATCTCCAGCCAGTCTGGGATTACAAGAGTTGTAGTTCCAAAACACCTGAAAGACACCATGTTGTCTACCCCTGGTCTAAGCAGTATTTATCATGTGACTGCAAACAGGATGTGTTTGTAGTCAGAGTGCTCTAAAAGAAAAATAAGATAGAAGACACATCCATCCAAGATGTTTGTAGGACATGATCTGAGGGTAGTATTATATCTGTCTGCTTTATCGATAGCAGGAAGTGAAAACGTGCCAGCAAGTTAAGTAAGCATACTGGGAATTGAAATGGCACTTGGCTCTTGTTCCACCCTTCTCTCTTGAGATGTTGGCAGGGTCCCAGCAGCATCTCTGGAAACATTATTGTGTGCTGCAAAGTAATTTCTAAAACTTCCCAGATCAGAGCTGAGTGTCATTAAAATTTTATTTGATAAAGTAGTGATGTGTTTGGCAATTAGGTAATAGAGATGCGAACTCGCCATGGCTTGAGGCATGGAGCATTGCACTGATGTACCTAGCTGCATATGGGAGGATTATTATTCTGGAACACTAGTGTGCTCTCATAAGCTTCTGTAAATTTATATGAAAACTGGATTTCTATTGGAATCAGAAAAAAATGAGTTCCTATTGTTTGATTAGTGAGAAACTCATGCCCCATTCCCAACAAGTATCCTGTTCTTTGGCACATAATAAACATTGAAGTTGTGTTATCTCTTTGTTTATAGGTGTCTTGCTTTGATATTGAGCAGTCACATTCCACTCTAAAGTCCACTCAGTTTGATTCCTGCAAACAGCTATTTACACCCAAGAATGCTCTTTCTGTCAGATCTTTTTTTGCTACCTAGATCCTTCATTGCGACAAGAATGAGCTTCTCTTTAAAAGGTAATTCTAGAAGAAAACATGAGTTGTGGAGCCAAGTATTTAATGCAGAGGCACTTAGACAGCCCCCTCAAGAATTAAAGTTGGGGAAGTCATTTGCACAGGTAGGTGAATTAAGAAGTCTTCCTCCCCTTATTTTCCTTCAAACATTAGTTTATCATGCAGCCAGCAGGCCTAGGCTTTTGGCAGGTAGCCAGCTGCCTCGTGTCAGGTAATGGCCAAGCCAGTTGCCAAATGCCCATTGACAAATAATTAGCAAGTCTGGCCAACAGTCACATGCTTGGTGGGAAGTGGGAAGCAGCTGGCGCACACCGACTTACCAGTGTGGGTGATTATCTACTTGACATGCATTCCATATTCCACTATCACCCTGAGTTTCATTTAAAATATTACTTCTGCAAGCCGTGTATCTTTTCTGTAAGTATAAAGCAGCATTTACATTAAAAATGCCAGTATTAAATCAAACATTTGCTCTGTAAAGAGCAAGAAACAATAATTATTTTTAAGGAGCACACATCATCTGATGAATTCCTATCTAAGGTCACAATTTCTCTTTGCCATTGCATCTAGTTTTAGTAGACTTAAGACAGATTCCATTTGTATGGGAGTGATTATTAATGAATGGAAAAAGATCTATATGCAATTAATCTTTTTCTACACTTCATACTTGCTGTAACATAATATGCTAATGTTGCTCTTTCTATATTGGTATGCTGTTAAAAGTTTATTTTTAAAAATCATGTATGTATTTCACTTCTACAGGTAGCTACCTTGGTTTTTTTCCTTACAATTAAATATTTGTACCTATGGATAATTTAGTAGATTTTCCAGACCAAGAAAAATAAACAGCAACAGGTTGCACATTGCTCGTAAAAAGACAACTGAAGTGTGTGTTCTTTTATTGGAAAGATAAGTGATTTTTCATACTTATTTTTGTGCCAAAAATTTTTTCCACAGTGCAGTGATGCTGTATATTTCTAAAGTATCATTTTGCTTAGGCTAAGGTTTTAGCGATACTTGTAATCAGTAACTTTCACAAGACACAGTCCCATCTCTTCAGGGCTTCTCTCTCCTTTTTGGTAAAACAAAGAATATTTCCCACCCCCATTCTGTACGCCAGCATTTCCCTCTCATAAAAAATAATGTGAAACCCATTGGCATGGGGCACATCGTCATAATGCCTCCAGGGAAAGAATCCCTGATATCCACTTACTTTTTTTGGGGGGGGGGGTAATTATATAGTAAGCCTCTTTTCCTTACACCATATCCTCTTCCAAAGCTGTTAACCATAGGTTCCTGGTTCTGATGTGATGTGAAACTATACTTAATGGCAGACTTCCTGATTTGCTCTCCCATCCTGGGGGTTGAGAACCTGTGGCCCTCCTGATGTTGCTGAATTCCCATTATCCCTACCATTGGCCATGCTGGCTGGGGATGATTGAAGCTGCAGTTCAACAACTTCTGGAGAACTGCTGATTCTTCACCTCTGTCCTACTTCTACAAAGAGAGAAGTGAAGAGGCTCTGTGCACAGCCAAAAGGCTCGTTCATATGACAGATTGAATACAGCTGCTCCTGTTTCATTTGACCAATTATGCATTTGGGCCATACCTCAATATCTGTTTCTGCTCCTCTGGTTACAATGACCTCTCATGCCTTTATGTAGTTCACTTGCTTGCTGCACAGGTCATTGCCTGTCTAGACCATTATCATTTTTCCAGCACTGGCCAGTTCTTTTCCTAACAGTTGACTCTCCTATGGAAGCTGCTATTGAGCTGCAGTTCTGCATAGAGCTATTAGGTTTTGTTTTACTTTATTAAGTAACTGCTATTTCCCTGCAGTCATGTGGATTTTCATTGTTCAATACAGCAGTTATTGTAGCTATTGTTCTGTAAATCCCAAGAGGTTCTTGTTACACTCAGTTTACTGTAAATCTATTTTTCTGCCTCTGCCAACGGCTGTATTTTGCTATCCTTCATACTTGGATTATGGGGCCATATTATGTGGGTTTCTTTCTTTCTTTCTTTTTACTTATCCGTTCTCCAAACATAAAAACTCATTATTATATTTTGTTACACTTACTCAATTAATGTATTGCCACCTTAATTTGCAAGAACATGGGCCTATAGTAACAGCTACATTTACAATGCTTTTAAAAGCACATCATTATTAATTGAATTTCTATACTACCCTTCATCTGAAGTTCACTGGGTGGTTTACAATATAACACAAAAATACACAACATAATAATAATAATAATAATATATGGGAGTTATTGTTTTTATTACATTATTATTATTATTATTATTATTATTATTATTATTATATCTTAAGCCTACCCACCATGTCATGTATTAATTAAAGTGATATGTTCACAAACTGCATTTTAAAGCCTCTCTTGATCATCCTGGCTTGTCCCCCAACCTCTCATCCTTCCCTGTCACTCTTTGGCCTCTGTTGCCAACAGGTGTCGTGGGTTGGCTGGGTGCAGATGAGTGCTGGGAGACAGCAGCTAGGGGATCCCCAAGGGGAAAAGGCTCCGAGCCAGGGGATTGGTGGTGGGACAGTGAGGAGTGGTTAGAGGGTGGCCAAGTTGGGACAGGCTGCTGAAGAATCCAGGGGGTCTTCCCTTCCTGCTGTCACCGGCTCCTCTGCTCCCTGGTCTCTTAGAACACAGAGAGAAATGGAAAGAGCAGAGCAGACCCTGGAGAGGAGGAGCCTTAGTGGTGGGAAGGCGGGGACCTTCCGTCCTCGCAACTGCCTCATTGGGGCAAGACCTACTGGGAAGAGTTGCTGGGATCACTAGGCCTGCGCTGTTATGGTTTGCTTGGATAAAGAATTAAGTTCACTGACACTGTGTTTTTCTTTTATTGCTGACCTACGCTTTATTCCAGCTCCTGACAACGGGAGGCCCTGTCCCCCCAGCTACAGTCTGTAATGTCATGGGGGAGTGGGGCGTCCTTGAACTTAGTATGAAGTAGAATTGGAAGTCTTAGAATCAGCAGCTCCCTGAACTACATTTGGTGCAATAAGCCATGCAAGCATTGCCCTATAGGTCTTGTAGACTGGGTGAGTAGTTCTGGAGTATTTCAATGGAATCCACTAGGCCAGCAGAAAGATGTGAAATTCTACTTTGGTATGTGATATAGTTTCCTTAAAATAACAATTTGTCATTTATTAACACAGATGATAATATAAGAAAAATCATGGTGCACATTGGGTACAAATTCAGAATATACTTTTAATGAGTTGCTATGTCATTATAAAAGGTGGCACTCAAAGACACCATTACATTTCTTCCTTTTATCCTTTCTCCTGTGAAAAAAGTTTCCAACACGTTTTACAATGTGTTCTAGACTCTTGTATTAGAAGGAACACTTCTTAGTACAGTCTGTACAATTTTATCATAGTTTTCCTATTCCAGTTTTCCACAGTTGTAAATATTTTGTCTCTCCATTTATCATTGAGATCACTGAAGTTTTAGACTATCCCCTGTAACACCTATATCAGCTTTGTGTCTCAAATTTGGAGATGAGCTGCTCTTTTTCCCTTGTGACCTTAGACCATTGGTCTGACTCAGGCAGGTGGTCTGACTAAGGCAGCTTCCTATGTTCCTGCAAGGTACATAGAATAATATCATGCTTAATCTTGTTACGTGATTTATTCCAGTTCTTGGAACAAAATTCCTTTAAAAATGAATCCACTGAGAATGAGTAAGGGGTTACTTTTGCCTACATCAAAAGTGGTGTCCTCTTCTCCCAGGCCTTTGGCCAATTAAACAATCTATGGCCTTTTAAACTGGGATGAGGGTGAGGATGTTTTGTTGTATTTTTTATATTTATGTATTTATTGTTTATGTATTTTTGTGTTTTTGTATAAGGGGTCAGCAAAATTTTTCATCAGGGGACCGGACCACTGTCCCTCAGACCTTGTGGGGGGCCAGACTATATTTTGAAGGGGGGGGATGAACAAATTCCTATGCCCCACAAATAACCCAGAGATGCATTTTAAATAAAAATACACATTCTATTCATGTAAAAACACGCTGATTCCCAGACCATCTGCGGGCCAGATTTAGAAGGTGATTGGGCCGGATCTGGCCCCCGGGCCTTAGTTTGCCTACCTATGTTTTATATTGTTATCCGCCCTGTGATCCTCAACTGAAGGGCAGTATGTACATTTAATAAATAAATTGTCGGCAGAGTTAGTGGGTGATTGCTAATTACACCAGCAGCCAGATATTAGAAGCTACAGTTGGAAACCTTTAGCTTTGGCCTATTGAAAGGCATGCTGTTTTATTTCAGAGTAATTTCTGCTTGCACCACACAATCTTTGCTCTCTGACTAGGGCTCATTGATGGCTACTGCCATCTGCACACCTTATCCATTCAGCTGCTTGGTAAATCTTCAGCTTTCTCACAAGAAATCTGGAAAGGTGATAAGTTAGCTGAAGGGTTCTAATATAGAGGCATCATTGCCCACAGAATGCATGCTCATCCTACTGTCAGCTCTGGTTAACAGGTTGCCGGTGCTCACAGCCCTGCAGAACCTGTTTATGTAGAAATGATAGTAGGAGAAAAGAAAGGAGGGTATAGATCTTGAGAAACAATCTCCCCCTGAAAACTACTTTCTGTATCCAATCACAGATAGGCATCAAGGTGTTCATTCTGAAGCTAAATAATCAACTGGGGCGGGGGTGGGGGGATATAGACTGAGCTGGCAGAAGTGGCAAGTGGCTGCACATTTGTGATCCCATCTACTTATTACCAGCAATCTGTTCAAAAGGTCTAATGAGGTGAAGGCTGCCACAGTTATGAGTGCTCTTTCAAAATCAGAGGAGATGAGTATATTTCTGCTGCAAGTAATTCCTGAACAAATGATTGGATAAAATGAACTCAAATAATTACAAATATTAATATTTGGCTGTCACACACATTGTAGATCTCAGTGTGTGTACAGTTAACTGGGGGAGGAAATTAAACCAATTAATCTGTCTCTAAGAATCAGCCCAAATATTCAGAAAAGCCATGAAAGTCAATGACATTTTAACATGATTAGGTTCTCTCAAAGGAACATACGATCTTCGTTACCTTACCTGACCCAAGATTTAAAAATAACATTTAAATTTCATCTTCCAGATTTGTCAGCCTGGGAAAGTGTGAATTGATAATGCAATAAAGCCAGAACAGAAACTGGATGTTCCACCTAGTCCTAATCAACCAGCAGCGGTCAAGGAGTTCAAAACAATAATAGCCAACTCTCCACAATCTCATTTGGGAAGTGGATTTGCTAACCCTTTTAAGATATACCGTACTTTTTTAATTCCTGCATTGGAATTGCTTTGCTTTGCACTGATTATTTGCTACACAACTAATAATTTGGTTCTAATTAGGCTACCTGTCATCTAGTCACAGTCTCATCTTAACTCTTCTTGTGCAGTTCGCTAGTACAGCAGTCAGTGACTTCATCATGCAGTTGATGTGAAAGCATATTCTGTATTTGCGTGGTTGAAAAATATTCTTAGAAATGTTTTTTCCTAACAGAAATAGAAGACTGTGTTTGTACACACATCCTGAGAACAGCAAAAAAGAGAGAGAAATGTATGGGCACAAATTGAATGGGGTGCAGTTAGGTTCACCACCACTGCCCTATTAGGTAAACCTATGGCACGCATGCCAAAGAGGGCACTCAGAGCCCTCTCTGTGGGCACACACAGCTTTGCCCCAGCAGGGCCATAGCTTCCATGCCGGGGGCGGGGGCGGGGGGGGAGGAGGAGGAGAGGGCTCACGCATGCCGTCCAAAGCCTGCGGCACCAGGGCCTAGCGAGTGAGTTGGGGGGCTGAGCAGGCATTGACTTTTGATGCACCAGGGCCTCCCGCCAGTCTGTTTTTCCTACTCAGGAGTAAGCCGCCTTGTGTTCAGCAGGGCTTAACTCCCAGGTCAGTAAGCATATTGTTAAGTTGTGGGCGAACATATCAGACAACACAGCGATTCTTCAAACAGCTCTTCTTTATTCTGAGGCCAGAACTGAACTAAGCTGAAGGGCTCAGTCAGCCTGCTTATATAGAGCTCCAGTACCTTGTTACTGTAACAACTTTCTAAAACTATCCAATCACTGACCATCACTTTCGATCCTTCATTTGCATACAAACTATCCAATCACTGAACGTCACTTTCGATCCTTCATTTGCATAACTATCTACAGTATCCCCCTGCTGGCCCAGGGTGAGAACTTCAGTACATAACACATATAAAGATGGCAACCTAAGAAGGGGCTGCTGGGTTTACATGTTCGCTGGGCTTTCCCGCGGAAGCCAACCAAGAAATTCATTCCATGGAGGCTGCGATCAAACAGCAGCCGAAGAAACAGCAAAATAATAATAATACCCCACCAATCTGGCCGGGTTTGTGTGTATATATATATATATATATATATATATATATATATTTGTATGTGTGCACACAGACAATCATTATCTCATATTAAAAACTGGGAGAGGGTGGTACAGCCCACCAGTGTACACTAGTAGCCAAAATTGTGGAACCTCCTGGAAAAAATGTATTTCCGAGGTTTGATGGCTCATAACACCACTTAGTTTTGGAGTAATACCAGTGCCTTTTTTCCTGTGGGGATGCAGGGGGACACATACCCCTAAACATTTTGTGAATTTAACAGGAGAAGAAATTCACTGTATTTATTTCCCCCAATTTGAACTGTAATTATTTTTCCCCAGTGGTGATTTTCTTAAGTCAAAATGAGAGTACCCCTAAACATTTTTAGAAAAAAAGCACTGAGTTATACCATAAAATTATATATCAATGGAAAGATAATTTAATGAAGAATGTAATGCAATTACTTTTATGAAGTTATTGCATTACATATTTATTACAACAGCAGTCATAAAGAAGAAACGTGAAACACACAGAAAAAAATGTGTTGGCACTTTGCGATAAATAAGTGGGTTTTGGATTGCAGTTTGGGCACTCAGTCTCTAAAAGGTTCACCATCACTGAAATAGGGTATACAAGTGGGACAAGTTGTGCTCATATGACACAACTTGTCCCACTAATTGATATGAGCCTCAAGCAGGCCTTTTCACTCTCCCTTGTTACCGGAAAAATCCGAGGGCTCCCTTGGACAAAATAAAGACACCAACCAGGATAACTTGGAGCAAAACAGCAGCCTGTAGGCTTGGCCTTTATTGAACTGTTGCAACAGGGTGTTCCCCTCACTTGCGAGAGAGAGGAAAGACCCAGAAAGATGGTGTGCAAGACCTTATAAAAACTTGAAATTCCCATCCTCTAGGTCAAGCCCACCCCCAGAAACATCATGCATACATTACAGAAAGGAGGGGTTGAGGGAGGAGTTGTGGTGGTAACCTGAGTGTCCTGTCACCTGGCTGGTTCCTCCTTTCCCCCTCCCCATGAGTCACTTCCAGGAGACAAAGGGAGTTGGCAGTTTCCTGCCCCCAGAGGGAAGATCTGATCATTGTCCTTTGTTTCAGTCCATGCTGAATCCACTCCCATATGCAAGTTCTTTGTGATCTTGATGGTCTTCTGTCTAGGACCATCAGGGTTGGCATAGCAACTGGGCAGGGCTCCTGTGGATGTGCTGGGATGGTGAAGGGATTATGGCTGACCAGAACCAAGCCACCCCCCTTTGATAGTCCTTGTCATATGGAGTAAAATAAAAATGGAACAGTGCAAATCCGATGTATGGTTGATTTTTCTATGAATTTATAACAGAAGTGTGGCATATGTAGTGTGTGAGTGTGAGTGTGTGAAGTTTGTACAAACTGAATGATTGGGGTGGGGGGTTCCTGCTACACCCTCAATTTCCTTTTCTGTGGCTACTGGTAGTCCTCATTGGGCTGCACTCCCCTGGAAAGAACAGGTTGATATCTTGGGCTTGCTCCCTGATTTAACACTGTCACTATAGGCCCCTTTCCAGCTATAGCTGGTTTGGAAGCTATGGCCCCATTTAGACAGAAATGACTTGGCCCCTGTACTCCATGCTCTGGCAACTTCCAGATTGGATTACTGCAGGGTGCTCTACATGGGGCTGCGCTTAGACACAACTTGGGACAGTTCAACTGGGCCAAAGTGCAGCAGCCAAATTACTGACTGGGGTTCCCTTTAGAATCCCACACAATCATAATTTAATAATAATAATAATAATAATAATAATAATAATAATAATAATACTTATACCCCACCTATCTGGCTGGGTTTCCCCAGCCACTCTGGGCAGCTTTCAGCACACATGAAAACATAATAAAACGTCAAGGGTTAAAAAAAGACAACCCATTTCAAAACAGATACACAGGTTGAAATGGGTTCATTTCCAGGCTCATTTCCAGGTGTTCCGTATTGGCATTCAGATCTCTACGTGACTCAGGCTCCAAATAGCTGGGGGAAAATGCCTCATTTTCTACAGAGCCTTCCTTACCCCTCTGCTTGGGCCTCCATTGTTCCACCACCCTCAGAAAGCAGCTCAGGGAGTATGGCCCAGGAGCGGCTGTTTTCTGTGGCAGCCCCTAAGTTGTGGAACTGCCTCCTCACAGAAGTCTGTCTGTCTGGCATCTTATAAAGCTTTTGGCGAATGCTAAAGACACATCTTTTTACTATGGCTTCTTACCCACCTTAGTTTTGTGGTGGTAAGTTTTTTTTAAACTGTTTTTATTTTGTGTGTGTGAGGGAGGGGGGGGGGAAACTAGCCTACCCCTGAACAATGGCTTTTTACCCACCTTAGTTTTGTGGTGGCAAGTTGTTTTAAGCTGTTTTTATTTTGTGGGGGGGGGGCGACTAGCCTACCCCTGAAAAATGGCTTTTTACCCACCTTAGTTTTGTGGTGGTAAGTTGTTTTAAACTGTTTTTATTTTGTGTGTGTGAGGGAGAGGGGGGGGGGACTAGCCTACCCCTGAACAAAGCTAAATTTTCCTTTTGTTGCCTTCCCACTTGTGCCTCTGGCTTCTTCCACCAAAGGTTGCTCAGAAGGGAATGTGGATTACTTGGAATTGGTAATCTGTTTGTTGATGGGCCTTATCATTGAAATGACTGGAGATATGAATGGTCTGAATGGAAATGGATGGCTGTAGTTTTGATAAAGTTATTTATGATTCATGGGGTGGGGAATCAACAGACAGAGTTGAAGAAAATTGGATTGAATTCATTTCTCATTAGAACACAAAGGTGTTGTTTTTTAATAAAAAAAAACCCCAACTCTAACAGCAATAGGAGTTGCTATATTTTGTATTTGATTCCATGATCTATCTATTGCAGATTCATACTTCATAACCATAGATAGATAGATACTTAGGAAACATGTATAAACTGGATTTGATGCCAGTGTTTCTCTGCTTTTGCTAGCCACCTGTCTATAGTAGTCAAGCATATTGGGTTGAATCCAGACTACATTAGTTCTGCTTATGTTCTAATAAGTTCAATGGAAATGAAACCATACCTTGCCTGTCTATTTCAGTGGGTACTAAATGCAAGTTTCTGCGTATGAATCCGTTCCGGTGTCCCACCCTGAGTGGTAATAACTGGTAGACTTAGATCCCATCTGCTCTGTACATTTAAAGCTGCATCATACCACTTTGAACAGTAATGCTTTCCCCCAAAGTATCCTGAGAACTGTAGTTTGTTTAGGGTGCTGAGAATTGTTAAGGAGACCACTGTTCTCCCTCACAGAGCTACAGTTCCAATAATGGTTTAACAGTCAATCATCAAAGGGAACTCTATGCATTGTAGCTCTGGGTGGGGAATCAGGATCTCCTAACAACTCCCAACACCCTTAACAAACTACACTTCCCAAGATTATTTGGGGGAGCAATGACGGTTTAAAGTGGTGTGATACAGCTTGTTACAAGTGTTAAATGTATATAGTCCTGATAGGGCTTTATATGATTGTCAGCAGGCCAGTTCTAAAGTTAGAATTCCAAAAAGGAGGTTTCCATCCAGTTCTCCCTTCCATCCGTAAATATGCAACAGTCTGAACTATATCATGGTATTTCTGTACCACTCCAAGATGATGAAGTTTAACTCTGTTCTTTGAATAATATTTTTATAAACACCTAATGAATAAATAGATTTTTTTAAGGGTAGATTATCTGATAATTTGGAAACACTTATTTTCCTGAAGATACCTATATCCCACCTATTGATTTATATGCAAAATTTTCAAGGCTCCTTCCAAAAAAAAGAGATAAAAATGCAGAGTAAAAACCAATGCAACAATGAATCACAAATAGTGAAAGCAGAAGAAAACAAGATAAAGCAGCAGTAGAAAGAAATAGCATCAAAACTTCTGAAACAGAAATAAAATGCCATCCTGTTCATTTAAGCACTATGATTAAAATAATTCTTTTAACCTGGTGCCTAAATCTAAGTACATTTGGCACCAGACCAATTACTCTGAGAATTACAAGAGAGTAATTCTCTATGCCACCTAGAGCCTAACATGTTTATTTTGGCATAATCTTTCATGGATGGAGTCTACTTCATCATATGCATGAAGCGTTATCCTTGTTTAGTAGGAACACACAAACATGCATGAAAAGGGAAAAATTGTAAACAGTGGAGTCAAATGGCAGCACAAGTATACTGTGGAATTCAGGTAGTTTAGCAGAACTACGCTATTCCATAGATGGGTCACCACCAAAGGACTGGGCAGAAGCCCAGTCACCACCTGCCTCATCCTCTAAAGGTGGCTAGGTGTTTAATAGAGCAGATCCATATGAAAGCATGAGGTTATCCCAATATCTGAGCTGTTTTAATGCTGTTGAGATATGCTCCATAATCTAGTTACTGTCTTCAAAGGCAGCCCAAATTGTAGAAATTTAATACAGATGTAACCAGAGCATAGATATGGTCAGACCCTCACTGTCCAGGAAAGGGGCACTTGGTGCAACAGTAGAAGCCACAAGTGCTACCTGTGCACTCAAAAGAAGGGCTGGATCTTAGTACCGCCTACTTGCACACCTGTTCCTTAAGAGGGAAAAGTACAATCTCATCCAGAACAGAGTAAACAGTCTTTTCCTGAACTGTTCCAAACAATTTTACTGTACGTTGGCTTGCTTTCTCCGCAGGATCAATATTTACTGGATCTCTTATCAGCAGTGAAAATTCAGTGCCGGTACTGTAGATATAGGCATTCTGTAATGTTCATTATCTCTGAAAGATACCATAGGCACAAAGAAGGGTCAGTGTGAATTGAAATATGTCAGGCCAACATAATAACCAGCAAATTGCAAAGCTCTAATGGTCCTCCTTCAAAATAACAGTTAAAGAGTTCATGACACAGTTTCATGCTGCAAATGACACAATTCTGTCATTCTTTGCTATTAGACCTTTTATTTCACAGTTATGTGGCACTAATTCTTCTTGAATGTGGTGCACAGCATTTTGCTTTAGTCTTTTTCTGTTTGATTGGGAATGACACACTGAAAGGAGCCAGGCCCCGTCTGGCTGCTTTATTGCCTCTCTTGAATTCTTTTTCTGCACATAGACCATCTCAAGTATCTACATTTAATGTATTTTACAAGTTTGGTCTCCATGCTCAGCTAGCTTTCACACTTGAAATGCCAAACAGGTTAAAAACACAAAGCCTCTTGAATCTGACCTGTTGTCCCTTTGGGGGGCATGTTGGAAGAATGAAGGGTCAGTCTTATTATCATTTATTAAATTTATATATTGCTCTTCATTCCGAAGATCACAAGGCAGTTTACAAGTTAAAAACACAGAATGCATAACATAATGATAAAAAATACCCCTCCACTAAGTTTTACTCAGAGAAGACCCCTTCTCCATAAGTAGAATGTGAAATGTGTTCATCTGCTTACAACAGGCATGGGAAACCTCAGACCCAGGGACCAAGTGCAGCCCTTGAGGCCTCTTTACCTGGCCCTTAGGGCACTCTCCAGGCCACACCCATCAAAAACCTTGCTTCACACCCCCTTTGGCTGTTTTTGGCTGGCTGGAATGGAACTTTGAATTCCAACAATGACTCTTGCTTGATGTCATGGACTGGCTGGATGCAGAGGAGGAGAAGGAGGCATCAGCTGGGGAACCTCCAAGGGAAACCTCAGGGGAAGAAGGCTAAGAGCCAGTGGATTGGTGGTAGGACAACAATGAGCGACCAGAGGGAGCAAACTGGGAGGAGAAGGTGTTGGAAGCTGAAGAGGATACAGGGTTTGGTGAGCAGGAAGAGGCTGGGGCAGAGAGCCATCCAGAATCAGAGGCAGAAGCAGGGGTTGTTCAAGAAGCAGAGTGGAGGCGGGCTGCTGAATTAGTCAGGGAATCTCTCTTCCTGCTGTAACCAGCTCCCCTCCCCACCCCCAGTCTCCCAGAACACAGAGGACGGAGCAAAGAGAAACAAGACGAAGGAGCCTCATGTTGGTGGGGAAAGACCCAGGGGAGGAGCCTTAGAGAGCAGTGGGAAGGCGAGGACCTTCAGTCCTCACAACTGCCTCATTGGGGCAAGACCTACTGGGAGGAGTTGATGTGATTACTAGGCCTGTGCTGTTTGGGTTTGTTTGAATAAAGAGTTAACTTCTCTGACAGTGTTTAACTGCTGACCTGCCCCTGACTCCCACTCCCGACCCTTGCCTGGATGGGAAATAGACAAGTGTGTGTGTAGAAACTAGCCTATAGTAGGTGCAAAGGCTCCACTATTGCCTCTGGTCCTTCCCATCACCGGCATGTGGCCCCCAGAATGTTGCCCACAAATAAATGTGGCCCCCGGGTTGAAGAGGATTCCCCATCCCTGGCCTACAGGGCTGTGTAGGATGAAGGATGCAAGGATTCTAAAACACTATTGCACATAAATGATTAATGATCAAAGTACAGTGGTGCCTCGCAAGACGAAATTAATCCGTTCCGCGAGTCTCTTCGTCTTGCGGTTTTTTTCATCTTGCGAAGCACGGCTATTAGCGGCTTAGCGGCTATTAGCGGCTTAGCGGTTTAGCGGCTTTAAGAAAAAGGAAACAAACTCGCAAGAACTCGCAAGACGTTTCGTCTTGCGAAGCAAGCCCATAGGGAAATTCTTCTTGCGGAACGACTCAAAAAACGGAAAACTCTTTCGTCTAGCGAGTTTTTCGTCTTGCGAGGCATTCGTCTTGCGGGGCACCACTGTATACACAGTTTTGATGGGGAAAAGGCAGCTTTTATTATGCTGTGAACTTTAGATTTGGCTGAAAACCCAAAATAATCTTGGTCTTTTAAGGGGGAAAATCAATAATCCAAAGATAGATCTCTGAAAAGATGGTAACCTTGTAAATGGTAAGGATGTTACTTATCTAGAATGAAGTGTGCTGTTCCTCATTACAGACTGACAAAAGAGCCAAATGTGCTTAGATGAATGTGCCTCTTAGCTAAGTTGGTATCATGTCATGGCTTAGGCTGATGGGAGGTTTAGCAAACAATTCTGAGGAATGCAGCTGAGTGAAATACTGGCAGCAGTTAGTGATTTAGCCAGTAGTAAATAGAATCCATTGTTGAAAGTACCAGTAAAAAGTCAGGTTACTGGCAGGTTACTGACTTCATGATAAATCATTAGGGGTTGATTAATAATTACAGCAAATGACACACATGAAGACAATCCAAAACCAACTGTTCTGCCCTGCATTTAAAAAGCAGTTGTAGGGGACAAAAGAAACCTGGCTTAAATGTATGCTTTTTGATATTCAAGCCATTTGTTTTAAAGTCCTATCCCATAAAAATATATCGGGGTTTTGTGGTGTCTATATATTGGACAGGCAAAGCCAGTGTCCTTCTGAGCGCATAATATATGTACAGTATAGAATCCACTCACCGTGATTAGGAATTGTAGATGGCATTAGTTGCGGGTGGAGTGGAGAATATTTGTTATGCAAAGAAAGCTACAACAGGACTTCAGTTTCTTTCTTTATATTAATGTAGGTGGGATTCAAATCATAAGATCTGTCAGTGGAAGTCCAGCACAATCACTTCTTGCACAACAGGGTCCCCCCCCTACAAAATTGGTTTAAATGGAGAAAACTCCATGGGAGGAGGAGACGGGGGATCAGTCTGTCTGTAAGCCAAAATGTTTGCATTGGTGAAACTATCAGAAGCTTGTGACATTGAATTCCTCTTATGTCTGGAGGTTCTACCGTATGTTGCTATGGTTTCTGTTTCAAGGCACTTAGATTTTTACAGAATTTCAGACAATGAACAGGTGACATAGAAATACGTGCCAGTGCTTCCCATTAAGATAATTCAAGAAAAAACTCTGGCAAATTGATATCAATTCCAGTATTATTGTGTCAAGCAATGGTCTGTCCTGGATGATTTAGAAAAGTGGTCCCCAACTTGATGTCCTCCAGCTGCTTGGACTACAGCTGTGTCTGGTGGAGTCTAATACAGCTGGAAGGCACCAGGTTGAGATAGGTTGGTGATTAAAATTTGTGCAGTTGAATGCTAGCAGAATCAACTTTTTCTTTTTCTGTCATTACTCCTCACTATTGCCAGTTGTTTATAAAAGAGAGCTGGCATAGCACAGTGGCTGAGGAAATCCCCAGTTTGAACCTTGATTCCGCTAGGAACTCACTAGGCAACCTTAGGTAAACCTAAGCCACACTCTCTGTTTCAGTCCTTCCGCCTGCGGTATGTATAGCAGATAATAATATTGACTCCCTTACAAGGACTGCAGTGTATGCAAAGACCTTTGAACTACAAGTATTGTATAGGGCTGGGCGAATTTCAGGGTGGTGAGCCTGTTTTCTTTTCCTGTTCCCAGCCTACACTTTGTCACACACACACACACACCCCAGTGCCATGTGGGTGCTGTCCCTTGCTTGGTGCTGGTGCCTGTAAGATGACAGCAAAATTAACTTGCATTTCCCAGATAGCAAAATTTTATTTAAAAGAAGCAGATTCCTAGGAGAGTCAGACACATGGAAAGGTTGTTCCTGATATGAGTATCATATATTAGTCTAGTATATTTTGGAGTTATTGTTTTTTTACAAATTAAGAACCATGTTTGCACCTGGAGACTTGCTGAGCAATTTCTGATTTCCCTTTGCGTCATTCCATCCATCTCCTATCTATCAAGAACAAAGCACATATCGGAATACATATTTCCCCACTGCCAAGAAGTTTGGTTTATTCCTTTTTCTTACTGCTTTTTTGCCGTAGGACAGGAGCTGCCTGGCAGCATTCACACTTATTTTCCATGGAAGTGACGGGCAGCTTCACACACCAAATCATGTTAGCCCTCTTTCCACAGGCCGCAAATGGCACAGCATGAGGGGAAATGGGCTCCCTCTGCTCTTCAACCACTTGCAGGCAGCTTTGTTTGTTTGTTTGTTCAGGTTTGTCTCTGCAACTTGGGTTTGTCACAGGGCTACAAGAAGAAACTGTGCATCACTTCCCTGAAGTGGCATTAAGTCGAATGGAGGGGGAGGACTGTGCGTTCCAAAGACAGCCCTGGCCACTTCCTTCGACTTCATTCTTGCTCTATTCGCACAGCCCACTGCTGCGGTATGCAGGTCTTCTGAACTGCTCAAACTCGGTATCAAGCCATTCTTTACCCTATCCTTCTGGGTTTTTAAATATCTATGGAAGTGAATCATTGCAGTATCCAAGCAACAAGATAATAAAGAGAGAAAAGAGAGAACAATATTAGAGCCTATTGTGACAGGTACTTTTCTCATGGGCTCTGGAAGCCCTGGAGCATCAACAGAAGCTCACCGTGAGGGAGACATAACATTTCTCCACTTCTTGACTATGTGCATTGTCAGGGGACTACTGCTGTAGAAGAGCTGTGGTGCTTAATCCAAGGCTGAGGGAAATGGTCTGGGGTTTTTGAGCAGCCCACTGTCTGGCCTGTAACTCTCCACCCCTTATAGAATAACAGGGTTCATTTGAGCCAGAGTCCAATTTCTGCTAATGAAATAATACTTCTGGCGATCTGGTTACCCACTGCCAGCTTCAGAGCAAGTCACTTCAAGAAGATATTTCGCTAGCTGAGGTCTCATTGCATTTGATAGGAAAGGAAGAAAACAGGATGGAAAGTATCCCATCCTGAGCCCCTGTCCTTCCAGCAGGGCTAGCACAAGAGTTTTTACTACCCGAGGCAATACTGTAATTACTCGAGTCTAATGTACCATCAAATCTAATGTGCACCTCGAAACAAAAAAAAAGGATTTGTGGCAAATGTACATGTTCCATCGAATCTAATGTGCACTTTAATTTTTGCAATGTAATCTGTTCCAAAACGATGTGCATTAGATTTGAATAAATACAGTAAATAAGATGGTTCCCTGTCTCCATTTCACGGAGTGGCAGCTGAATTTTGTTTCAAAACACCAGCAGCTGTTAGCATCCTCCACCACATCTGAGGCAGCAGGCTAGTTTAGAGGTCCCATGACAGGCTGTGTGGTATACCCAGCTCTATCCTTGATCAGAAGAGAAATATCCGTGGGCTCAGGAGGAACAACCAGGGAGCTGCCACTGCTGCCGTCCAGCATCTGCCACCTAAGGTCATTTCTTTATTTTTTTCTAATAGTAGAGCTGGCCTTGCCTCCAAGATACCAAGCCACCATCTATTATTGGGGCTCTTTCTTCAGACAGAGCAAGTCTTCTTTCCGAAAACCAAACTGAGTTCCAGAATGCCTTCTGAACCCAGAAGGTCCTTGGCATCACCTCTTTTCTTCCTCCTGCTCTTTATGCTGTTTCTGTGGGGAGCATCAAAAACATTTCCTTCCTCCTGTTACTCCTGTCATGCCTTCAGGTTGGTAGTCAGAATTGGTAGGCAACTTTTTTGCCCCACATCCTAATAGTAAATGCCAAATTTATCAGGTAAGGTTTGATCTTCCACATCAGAAAGCATTGTCTTCTCTAAACATCAACTTTCTGTCTGTAAAATTAACAGCCTCAAGAAAATTCATTCCAGACCTTTAGAAACAGTTGGATTCAAAGGGGGTGTTGAATAATCTCATGGATCAAACCAAAATATTGAAGCTAGGCTCTTCTTTGTGACTCCTTTTTCTTATGAGAAATAGTAACACCTGCAAGAGGCTATTCCTTGGATGCAGCCCCTTATTTTGGCACATTTCTGAGAAGAGCTTTACTACAAATCATCACTGGATGGTTTGTTGTTTGCCTCTTCACAGAACAAACAGTCACAAGGCTAAGAACACTTGCAGGTATAACACTTGCCACTCAATGCTCTATTTCTGGCAACTGTAGAGTGTCTTGGTACCAATTGTACCTACCTACCTCAAGTGATGCTAATGGAATAGGAGGGCAGCAAACGTCTCCAATAAGTGATTGAACTAAGCAGGTAGAAAATTGTGAATGATGGACCATTTTACAGGTGGAAGGAACCACTGCCTTTTTACTTAATGTAGTTGAAAAGTAATGTAAGTTAACTATATACTCTCTCCTTCCTGCTCCTTGTATTCATTCATTGCAATTCATTCATTCATTAAATCTGATGCTGCCTGATCATAAGGGCAGAGCATCACAGTGAACAAACAACCCATATTTGGAACCCCAGCATGGTGTCATGAGCAAGGCGTGTTCAATAGTTACAGTCAGTGATCCTGTGACAATTCAGTGATTGTCGGGCCTTAAACAGCACTGTGCACAGAAGCCCTAACTATCTTCCATAGCACTAAGAAAGACACTTTGCAAGCCATGGGCTTCCTGCACAGCACTATGCAAAAATAGGTCACCTGTCAGGTGATGGTCAGAGAGGGGGTGGGATCTGTCTCCTCTCACTCACTTTGATTATTTAAAGTGCCAACACCAGGAGAAACAAACCTGTGAGCTACCTTCAGGCAGGGTTCATGGAGGTTAAAGGGAGCAGAGAGTGCTGTGGAGAGGCAGATAATCAAGCATCACAAAGATAGTCTGAACAATTCAGAGTGCAGAATGCATAAGCAGCCCCTCCCCTCTCCCTCCACCCCCTCCTCTCTTGCCAACAACACCCCATCCACACAAGAGCACCTTGACTGCACCAGCCACGGCTTGTCAGACAAAGCAATTGCTGACTTTAAAAAGGTGATGAGGAAAATGAGTGTGTATGTGTGTCAAAGAAATGGCTGGAAATGCTAAGAAGGACTTTAAATTTCAACTCTGTTGTGGGTTTACACAAAAGCTTCCAAAACTGGCTTTCCAACCTCACTGGCCACATACTCTCCACCACTGCAGTGGATACACTTCAACGTGAATATATTTGAGTGGCCAGTGAGGTTGGAAGCAAATTTACAATGTCATGTCTAAAATGTCTGTGTGCTTTTGTCCTATGTGAATGATTGAAAACACACCACATGCAATATGAGTATAATAAAATTAATTGTCCTAGTTGCCATGGAAACATACCTTTGGTAATTTCCTAGGCCAAATGCTCCAACTATCAAAGATGCATGCTTTATTTAGTACATCGCTAACATAAGTCTCCTCTCTTTTGATCTCTTCATCACGGGGGAAATAGAACCTACGGTTTGTGCAGTGAGCTGCTTTAAATGAGAATTTGAGGGATATTGCTTTCTCTGGCTTGTAAACTAACCAGTATTCAATCTCTAATCTTAGAAGCTCCTACAGAGCATGCAAACTTGCACCTTTAGCTTGTTTCCTAGGCGACCAATGATTGGTTTACTGGGTGACAAGACTAGCTCGATTTGAGGAATGTGCCCTTTGAACACATCTCGGTAGCGATGATTCATCAAAAGACACCTGACCAGCAGCAATTCACAGAGCAAAATTTATTTTATGCTAGGTGACAATTGTCTCTGCGGTTGTTTTCAGTGTGTTCCATACAGACCCCCTGCTCATTTCATGGGGAGTTGTGGTTCAATGCCAGCCAATTGGCCAGTGATCGATTTCCATGATCACTAGGGCGGTTTGTTTCCATATATGGAGGCTAGATTGGATCCTGCTTGACTCTCAGCTACCCCATGGGATGCTTGATAGGCCACGCTGCCCCGATTTGCCACATGTTAAGATATAGGTCACATCCATTCATGCTAGCTTTCCCCCCTGCTACCACCTTTTCAGGTTCTGCAGCCACAAAAAACCCTTTCCGTTGTCTAAATGAATGTCAGGCACTTTACATAAACAAGTGTGATTTGCACAGTCTACTATTTTATTGATTTTACACTTTTTAGAGGAGGTGAAAGGAGGCATAATACAGTGAGAATTTTACTAGGGTACCTAGAGGAAAGATGTGATTAATCCATTTCTGATTTCTTCCTCCTTTTCTCTGATACTGGAGGACTTGCTCAGCAAACCCATATGTTTACAAGCTTGTTTATTTATTTACAGCATGCATAAGCTGTGGAATAACACATGTTCTCTGAGTGGTGAACAGTGAAAGCTTAAAATGCCAGCTGTTGCTGATTCAAATCATTGCGAGAATCAAATATTACAGCCCCCAAATTCTTTCAGGGGTGCGATTCTTTTCAAATCTTCTGGGGACTGCAGACTGGAATCTCTCCAGTTAGAAGAAATGGGTAGAGACTTCTGCCCAGGTCCTTGGACAGTCACTGCTAGTCAGAACAGACAGTAAATGCAGTAAATGTCCAACCACCTGCATCCATAGGCGTAGCCAGGATTTTTGTGGGGGGAGCAGGCCTTTTGTTAAGGGGGGGCAGAACTTCAGTTTGCTGTGTATTTTTATTGATTTAGGGGGCAGCTGCCCCTCCCTGCACCTACTTTGCCAATCGCATGCCTGCATCCTGTCATTCCCTTTCTTTCCTGCCTGTAAGGCAGCTTCCTGTCTTTCCCTCTACAGTGGTACCTTGGTACTTGAATGTCTTGGCTCCCAAACAAATCAGCTCCCAAATGTCACAAACCCGGAAGTAAGTGTTCCAGTTTGCGAACATTTTTCAGAAGCCAAACGTCTGATGCGGCTTCTGCAGCTTCCAACTGAGCGCAGGAAGCTCCTGCAGCCAATCGGAACCTGCACCTTGGTTTTCAAACTGTTTTGGGAGTCGAACAGACTCCTGGAATGGATTAAGTTTGAGAACCAAGGTTCTACTGTATTTCCAAAGTGAGTTTGGATCCTTATGTAGCCAAAACAGTACCATCCATACAAATGGTAAAGGTAGCAGCAGGCATGGGGGCATCCAAATGTTTTCAGAAGTAAATAATTCTTTAGTGAGGGAAGTGAAGGGAAAGCCAAAACATCCTTATGAGGACTGAGCATGCTCAGTGGTGGCTACAGAATGCAGAATGACTGTTGGTGGGGGATGGAAAACCAAGACAGAGAGAGGGAATGGGATATTCTGAAAGAGGACGCAGCTGACTAACCAGAATATGAAACAGGAGTACTCCAGGTTCTTCTTAAAACATAAGAATAACCCTCCTGAGTAAGACCAAAGGCCCATGTTGTCCAGCATGCTATACCCACAGTGGCCAAACAGATGCCTGTGGAATTTTCTGAAAAGTGTTGCCACTGGTTTCAAACAGCTAAGAATCCCTCCCTTTCTTACATTCCAACCAATGGCGCAGCTAGGTAATTTTCAGCTCCTGGGTTTGGTGATCTTATGGAGGAGGAGAGAGGGCCATGTGTGTGACCTCCATTCTGAAGCACGCATTAACAGTCCAACAACATCTGGATGATTACAGGCTCCTCATCTTTCACTAGATGAAACAGTACATTAATGGACAACAGAGAGCCAAACATATTTTTTTTAAAAAATTGCATTAAAAAACCAAGTGCTTTTAGAACAAAGGATGCAAAGTCTCAGCTAATAAGCTCTATGCTCCTGTTCCTAGTCTTTTAGTCAAGTTAATTAATTTAATAATTTCATGATGTTATTACAATTAATGATTTCATAAATCTGTTGAAATGGTGGTTTTCTTGGAATACACAGCCTTGGGTAAAGTCCCTCATTTTACAGCCATGCTGATTAGGAAGAACCCAATCTGCTTTTATCTTCTCTTCCATTCCTGTTCCTATTTTTAGACACATTGGCTTCATGCAAGAAAGTGATTGCATCTGTCTTTCTCATCATAACCAAATGCTTTTGTTGACATTAGCAATCAAATGGCGTTTGCAGAGCAGAGACTCAGACTATTGTCACTATGACTCTGACCCGTTGAATGGATTTGCTGGATCAGCACACAACCTTTGTTTTCAGTATGTTTGCGGCTTTTAATTCACCATTCCTACTGAAGGGCTTGAATGATGCGTAGGTGTTGAATATTTGTAGAAACTCATGAGGATTTATGAAAATAACAAGTGGCCCTTCAGAACAGTGTATATTTAAAAGAAGTATTATTTAGCAATTCAGCATGTGAGATATTGGCATAAAACAAGAGAAATGAAACTGGCTTGCTATTAGCTTGTGCAAAAATAATCTAGTGTAAGAGCCATGGTTGTGTTGGATCTTGGCTAGAGACACATAGGTTCAAATTGCTATTATTATCTCTATCTTTCATTATTACCTATCTTGTTGTATGCATGGTATTGGGTGAAGTGAGAGAAACCTATGTAAACTCCTGTGAAGGGTGGTAATATGACATATGGGATCATTAATAATTGTAAGACTCAGGGCTTTTTTTCTAGAAAAAGAGGTGGTGGAACTTGCTGAGCACTCACCCCGATTTGAGCTATGTAATACCTATATGAAACTGCTGTAAGAAGCAGTCATGATAAGTTTTTGGGCAAGGATGCTGATGACACTCAGCTCTATTTCTCCATAACATCTGGATCAGGAAAGGCTATGTAGCGCCCAAGACGGCTGCTTAGATACGGTAGTGGAATGAATAAGCTGAATCTTGGCAAAAAGAAAGCACTTTGGGTGAGTGGTCCCTTTGTCTGACAAATTAGTCAATTGCCTGCCCTGGACAGGTTGCAATCCCCATGAAAGAGCAGGTGTGCTGTCTGAGGATGCTTCTGGATCCAGCTTCTTGTCCAGGAGCCTCAGTGACTAGAAGCACCTTTTACCAACTATGCTTGGTACAACAGCAATAACCATTCCTGAACCAAGAGAGCTTGACCACAGTAGTCTTTTTTATTGCGTGGCGAGGCCCCAGGCCCCACAGTTCCCTCAGAAATAAAGACACAGACACAAATATGTTGGGTTAATGGGATAAATTAGGCCACAATTTTATTGGTTACAGATGTGAGTGGTTTGGCTTAGGCAAGTGGGTAAAGCAAGACTATATCCTGACTCCTGCCCGTCTGCAGGAGTCCTGTAAGAGTCAACCACCGATAGGGGGAACCCTATGATGCACATCAATTGAGGGTCACCGATGGGGTAGCCCACACCCAGGCTTCGGACAGGAACAACACCCCCGGATCCCTTTAACAGAATACCCTTTACGTGGAGGGGCAGGCCAGAGGCAACAACCGCCCCATGACAAGGCTTATCCAATGCCTAACCGCCACCTGAGCCAAAAGGCTCGCCGCCAACACCCTCACACCTGCAACCAACCCCTAATGCCTTTGACAATATTGGCCAGCCAAATATCATTGGAAAGGTGAACACCATCACTGTGCAACAAGGCCTCCTGGTCAAATGTAATGGCAGGGTGCCAAATCACCTAGCCCCACAATAGTTGCACCTTCTGTGCCATGGCACAATCTGCAATTTTCTAGGCCCTGTTGATTGCTGCCTGGTGTGGCAACCACACCAACCATGCCTCACCAAGAGTTGGGACCATATTATCGTCAATTCCAGGTGTAAGGCGACCAAATTATCAAAGTCCTCTTTGATGTTCCAGGTCAGGTCAATGCCCTTCCTTAGGACCAAATCATTCATTCCAAGTTGAATAATCAAAGCATCGGGAGGCCCATGCAGGGCAGCTCTGGCCGTCACGGTTGGCAAAAACTCCTCACACCTCATGCCAGGTCTTGTGACCCAAGAAATTATGACAATTTTAGGCAGCCTCAGGCAGCTACCCATGCTGATATTGATGGGATGCACCCGGGCCCAGTGGGCAATACTGTGTCCCACCATACAAATGTTAGTCACGGGGTAACCTGAAATAAGAGAAGTGACAAGGCATAATTAATGAGGGTTCTTGCGGATGTACCTTCTGTACGCCTCTGATCTCCAGCATCCCATATCCTTGATTCTGTTTGTTGGAAAACTCCAATCTATTGACATCAGGCAGCTGCCTTCACTGTACTCTTTTCGTTGCCTGCTTAAAACAATATTGTGTAGGCAAATCTATCCAAAAATGTAGCTGTTGATGTGTTTTAATTTATTTTCAGTTTGCTGCTTATTTGAATTTTCTTTTCAAAGTTTTGACTACTTGTTTTTAACTGTTTTTACTGATATTTTTAATTTCTTGTAAATCCTTCGGAGATTGTGTTACAATCAAGCGTCATAATCACAGTTACAGTGGTTTTACCATCAATCCCTCTCTCCAGAGAACTCTTGAGATTTGTATCTCTTTGACTGGTATAAGTGTCAAATACAAGCTTTTTTTAAAGGGATGATGGCATCAGCCCCGGTGGGTCCCAGCATTTGCTTCACCAAGATGATGCTGGGCCTGCCCAACCCTCTTGGGCTGCCTAATATACTGGGCCATCTCAATTCAAGAAGGTCAAAGACTAACCGGTCCGAGGAAGTCACCTTTGCAGGAGTCTATGAATCACTAGCAAGAAATGAAAAGAGCTCCGTTTGCCTGCTGTATTGACTGCAACCACACTATAATAATTAATTAATTACTGAGTAAAACACATTTGCTCTGGTTTCTGTAAATTGGCGCTATATTCTGGAAAGGCTTATATATTAGTCATTTCTTTATGTGTTTCCCTTTCATTGTCTCCCTGGGGGTTTTTCACTATGAGGCTGATGGCTTAGCCACAATTTGACAGATCTCCCTGAAATTTCCACTGGTGATTCAATCTCTAATTCTTATTTTAAAGGTCTGCACTGTACCATACTTGTCAAGAGCCACTAGGTATTCGCTTCTGAAGCTGTTGTGTCCTATAACCCTTTGGAAAGCACAAAGAATGATTGTTGGAAGGTGGCACAGCTTGAGAAATCAAAGGCATTGCTAGAGCAATTGTGCTCAGAATACCATTTCAATAGTCTCAGGGCATGTTTCTTCCCTATGGGGTATAGGTTGGGATCCAATCAGTCCTCTGTGCATGTGGAAGGTCAGGAGATCTCTGGAGTGGCATGAGGAGTAGGAAACCTGGTGCCATCACCCCATGCATGCACAAGCTTCTTTGGGAACTAAGCCATAATCTTTTTCTATTTCATTTTCCATTCAAGCATATTCACTCTTCAAAACGGAAAGCAGACAAAACGGAATGCGCGCTATTTAGAGCAGCTCTCCAAATGGAGAGAACAAAAAGGAACAAAACCAATGCAGGCAGATAATTAAAGGTGGGGGTAGAGAATCTGAGCAGCACATTGCTGAAAACACCAAGACCCAACAACAACAAATTCTTCAAATATATATAAGTAGCAGGATACTAGTTAAAGAACTGCTTGAACCTTTGGATGACAAGAGAGGAAAGAAAGGAAAAGGAGATTGCAGAGAAGCTAAATGAATTATGAAGACCTGGGAGAGATGACTGAACTTTCTCAGGAAGGGAACCTGAGTAAATGAGGCAAATGGCAGTGACAAGAGATGCAGTTTGTTTGCTTGCAACTTTAACAAAGAAAGAGTTGACTTGGATTAATTTAAAAGAATATTAGACAAATTCATGGAGGATAAAACTATAAATGAGTACCAGCCACGATGCCTATGTTCTGCCTCTACTGTTAAATGCAGAATGCCTCTACCAGCTGCCTGGAATCCAGAAGTGGGAGCACTGCTGTTGCACTCGGGTTCTGTTTCAGGCTTCCCAGAGGCATTTTAGCTTCCATAGGCTTCCCACAGGTTGGCTAGCCACCGTGAGAATAGGATCCTGACCTAGATGGGCCTTTGGCCTGATTCACCAATGCTCTTATTATGGTGTCCTCCAGATGTTTCTTGTTTCAACTCCCAACAGTCCCAGCAGCATGGACAATGGTCAAGTCTGATGAGAGTTGTAGCCCAAAATGTCTAGAGGGCACAAGGTTGGGAAAGGCTTATTTAGAATGAATGATTCTGAGCCATTCCACACATGACATGGCACTCAACTAAAGTTTGTCAGTGACAGGAAACTGCAGTCAATGACTGGCTTTATTTTGTCGCTTTTACACACTACACTCTAGGTGTACACTTAGATATGCACCTAAAATAATAATGATAATGATAATAATAATAATAATAATAATAATAATAGATAGTCTATAAATATACAGCAAATGGGGATGCAAATCATAGCATTTGTCATTGTCTAGTATGACCCGGAAGCTGTACACCAGCTCCCTCGGCCAATAAAGCGAGGTGAGCGCCACAACCCCAGAGTCGACTGGACCTAATGGTCAGGGGTCACTTTACTTTTACCTTTAGTATTTTTGGCAGTGAGTTTTTAGGATGGAGATTTGTATGCTGTAATTGTCCTGCTGACGAGTTATGCCTGTTTTTCCTTCATTTGACCTTTTAAAGTAAGGGTAACTAACCTCTGTTCCTCCTGGTAACATCACCCCTGGTTTTTGGTCATGCTAGCTGATGATGACGGGCAACAGAGTCTAATAATAGCTGGAAGGACATGGCATGGGTTAACTGCTCCTGAGTTACAGCATCCTTCTCCCCTACTTATTATAATGACACCCCCAAAAATGTGTAAGATCAGCCTATTAAGCACTATGTGAGAACTTTTCTGACACTGCCAAACCTAATTATTTTTCACTTAGTTGTCTAAACAAATTAAATTAGCAAGGGCACAGCCAGAATGTCAAAATTGCTTTTAATGAATAAGCCAGCTGCTCAGTTGTACATAACTCTTGTCTCAGTACCTCTCTGTCACACAAATTTGAATTTTCCCCTTTGCTGCCTCCATAATGTTTTTAACAATTATATATTGTAAATTACCTAAGGACTGCCCCATGTTAGGCAATTAATACATGATGCACAGAACCGAGGTTCTGTAAAGGAGGGGTGGAAAACATTGACCCTCAAGATGTTGCTGGACTATAGCTCTTTATTGGGATTCGCAGGATGATGTGTAAGTCTGCAGGCTTCAACAGGCTGATGCAATACTCTGTGAAGTGCTGGGTCAGAGTGACTCAGCAGGAATGTGATTGGCTATCACCTGTTTTAAAAGGAAAGCCTGTTCAACAGTAATGGTGGTTGTGGTGTGGTGTGGTGTGGTGGTGCTGTGGTGGAGAGTATTCGTTTGCCCTAAGGTTCAGGTACTCTGTATGAACTGCTTTTGTAAATACTTGTATATAGCTCACATTAAAAAGACTGCAACACTCTCACCATGCTTGACCATTGGCCATACTGGAGAGTTCTCACCATTGCTATGCAGCAATCTGAATATTAATGCTTCTTCTTCAAGCATCTTGAATGTGCACATTTCTTGTTTGCCTTGTTTCACTTCCAGAAGTATCACTCCTGGCTGCTTTCCAGGTCTGTGGCTAACTGACCTACAAAAGTATTATGAGAATCTGCCAGGTAGTGATAAGCTGACCTACTGGAGTAAGGGCTGGCGAAGGGCTATAAAAAGAACATAAGAGCTATGCTGGATCACACCAATGGCCCATCTGGGTCAGCATCCAATTTCTGTCAGCCAAATGCCACTGCAAAACTAGAAAGCAACAAAACTCCCACTTCCTCCACAACTACTGGTATTTAGAGGTATACCGTATAAAAACTTGGAGGATTCATTAGCTATCATGGATAATGCCTGTGCATTCACCTAGTCTGGTGGAGGCTGTGACTGAGGGGGGGCCATGGCTGCTGTTATAAAATGTAGAATGGGGAAGGTAGAAGACTTCCTTTGATCTCATGCACCATCAAGTTCCAAGAGAAGCAATGACTCCCGGCTTTGGAAAAGGCAGTGACAACTAGAGCAAACCTCTGCTGCAGCCTCATCCCTATTACCGTCAAACAGCACAAGTTCTAAAAATTTGCAGTTCCCTGTCACAAATGGTGAGGTCCCTTTCCAGTGCAAACCAAACAAAGCAATTGGTCTACTGCAGGCATTGTTCTCTTCTTGCCACCATCCACTTAGTCGTCACCTAGTTCAAGGACCTTATGGGAGTTCTGCTGACTTGCTGCTTATTTATTTGGGAGTCGGAAGACTGATAGCCAAACTCCCAGGCACCTAATTGGAAGTTTCAGCCAGTCACCCCTCCTGATCCCATGTGTGTGAATCTAATAATGTAGCCTGAACAGTATAAGCAGAGATCAAAGAGAACGAGCAGGGTTACACACTCATCTCTCTCCTGATAAAATGTCATCAACAAGGGCAACCAAGGCAGTTTCAGTGCCATGGCCAAGCCTGAAGCCAGACCGGAATGGGAACACCTGTACTAGGTGAGCAGCAGCAAGCAGTTATAGTTTTCTGTTGTCACCTTGGTAACAAATTAGAAGAGGATGGTTGTGAATAGTTTATAATGTTTCTGAGCAAGCATGTATATTAACGGTGTTGTGGCCCATCATTCATTTACTGTGTCTCCTACTTTCCTTCCGTGAATAGGGGTGAGGTGGGGATGGAAAGGCAATTGTAGATGTGGAATGGATCTGGCTACCATAGTCTGAACCACTGAGCCTCTTGGGCTTGCCGATCAGCGGTTCAAATTTGCACGGTGGGGTGAACTCCCGTTCCCTGTTCCAGCTTCTGCCAACCTAGCAGTTCCAAAGCATACCAGTGCAAGTAGATAAATAGGTACCGCTGCAGCGGGAAGGTAAAAGGTGTTTCTGTGCGCTCCAACATTTGTCATAGTGTCCTGTTGTGCCAGAAGCAGTTTAGTCATGTTGACCCAAAAAGCTGTCTTTGGACAAACGCCAGCTCCCTCGGCCTGAAAACGAGATGAGCACCGCACCCCATAGTTGCCTTTGACTGGGCTTAATCATCCAGGGGTCCTTTACTGTTTACCTACTTGTAATCTCAAGTTGGTTTTGATTTTGGTTGCTGTTTAAATGGCTGTTTTGTACTCATTTACGATATAATTTTAAAAGGAATGAAGCCCTCAACCTTCCACTTTTAGGCAGGATTGCTCATACACTATCCACACCCCCATCCTACTTAGCCTACATTGCCCTTCTTGCAATATTACCGCCATGGGAGAGCAGAAGCATAAAAGAATCTTCATGCTTTCTGCAGTGGCTACTAGAAAGTAGGTAGCTGCAAGATGACTCAGCAGCAGCGAGTGAGTCAAACTCACTACTGAGCTTTAAGAAAGGAATGGATGTGGGCAAGAAGACAGGATTACTAATAAATCTGACCAGAATTGCATTCCAGGTCAGCCCCAACAGCTGCAATCATGTAGCTCTTGACAGTGAAGCAAAAAGCTTCTGTCTGTTTTGTCTTGTAGCAAGTTCATGCTAATGATTTGTGTTGCGGAGTTAAGACTGGCAGTCTCTACTAACCTCAAGATCTGGAGCAAGGGAAAAATTCTGAACTCAGACATAATATTTGGAAACTTGCGTGTAGTTCTCCGCAGTCTTCTGTGCACAGTCAAATTTAATTACAACGTGCTGGTACGCATGTGATGTGAACCCTGGCCTGTGCTTTAGCATATCTGCTGAATGTGTTGTCATGGACACCCTGCTTGATTCAGTTCGCAGTTCAGTGGCCTTGTCTTTGTGTGGCCTTGTAAAGGAACGGTACATTTCGCTGCTGAACAGCATGAGGACAGTAAGCGTACCTTTGCTGGGCAAATTGTTTATAGAATTCACTCCCAACAACTCATTTAATGAAATGGCTCTCGTTCTGAGACATAAAATGTAAGGTCCATGTTTCAGTTTACTTGCATTAAAGTGTAAACATCATTCCTAAGGTGCCTTTGCATTATAGAGATGAAAGACATTTGGTGTGTTTTTGGTGATGCTCAACCTTAGACACAGTTTGACCATGGTATCTAGATAAAACATCAGAGTTCAAAATACCCTGAAGTGCACCAGCAAAATGTACCAACTGTGTGGATGTAACTCTATGCAGAGATACACACACACACACACACACACACACACAGAGGATCTGCCTAAAAATGAGAATAGAATATTGAGGGAAAGCACCCATCTTATTGCTTACATTGGCTTCAAAAAAGGCAACCTCAAAAAGCTGCTTCATGCTTTATATAGCGGCTATGTTTGCTACAGACACACTGCTGTTACACAGCTAAGTGTGAAGGGATGGTGTGCATTCCTAACACAGAGAGGGGTGCACTAGAGTGTTGATTGGCTGCAAATCCATATGTCATTTATGTGCCTTTCACACTTTACCTCTTTACTTTAATAAACACTCCACTGCAGCCATGGCAAATGTTATAGTACAATACCCATCAGGTGCAGATGTATGGAAGCTGCAGTGAGTGGCTACTGATGAGAGGGCCTTCTCAGGTGAGTGGCACCCCAGGTATGAAATGTCCTCCCCATATATGTCTGCCTGGTGCCTACAATGTGGGAAAATGAGAAATTGGTAGAAATGAACTTGACAGATCTTTCCATCCCAACTCTGAATCTTTGTTGTTGCTGTGAACTTTGTCTTAGAATTGCTATCTTCTCTTACTATAATAGATTTTATGGTTTTATTTTTGTATACAACTCTTTTTTAAGTTCACTGTAAACCACCTTAGTTACTGGGCAGCATATTAATACTGCAAATAAGTAAATAAATGTTCCATAATGGAACACCACATGGGTGGGGGCTGAGTGGGACTAATGAAGCCACATAGGTCTTTACTATGTGGTCAGCATGAGCTGAAGCTTTGCATGAAGGGCAGCTGTAAAGATCTTATAAGTTATTGTAGCAACCAGAGCCGTCTTTCCTATAGGGCTTAGTGGTATGTTGCGCCAGGGCACCGGCTTCTCATGGGCGCCCCAGTGAGTGGGGGAGCTGCGCTTCTTCCCCATTCCCTGCATGCCTGCCAACTGCTCCCCACCAACCATATGGCTGGCGGGAGTGCAGCTTCCCTCCCAAGCCTCTGCAGGGATCACTTTCCTCCCAAGGTGGCCTGGGAGGGAAGCTGCATACCTGCTTCTGTGCCTGGCTGGATCTCCCCACGCTCCGTGTGTGTGTGTGTGTGTGTGTGTGTGTGTGTGTGTGTGTGTGTATATACATATACACATACACACACACACACACCCTTCACCTGCCCACACAGGAGCATGTTCAGATGACAAGCAATGCCATTTAAAGGCTGTGAGACCGCTTCCCTTCCACCTGACGACAACATATACACATGCTCCCACTGCCCCTCTCCCTTGCCGTGGGGTGATTGCTCTTCCAAGGAATGGCAGAAAGCCCCACAAGCACTCACTGCAGAAACAGCCGGGGGAAGGAGTGAGGGAACCCGGAAGGCGAGACAGGGGTGGGGGAGAAGGATGAGGGACACGCCAAAACATGTTGCCCCCACCTGTTGGGGGAGGGGGGGTTCCTGGAGAAGAGGTGGCCCCTTTCTCACAGTGGGAGGCAGTGAAGGCAGCCAGGAAAGCAGACCGGAATAGGTGCGATGGGATCTCCCGACTTTTTTAAAAAACAACAACTTTGAAGCAGCTGCAGGGGAAGCATAGAATCATAGATGTCTGACTTCGATCATAGAATTGTAGAGTTGGAAGGGGTCCAAAGGGTTATCTAGTCCAACCCACTACAATGCTAGGGGATTCTATTAGCAACGTTTACGGGAGGATTTTTTTTTTTAAGCGTGTGAGTGTGGATTTAAATCCCACTCCCCCCACATGGTCCTTCCTCTTTGCAGCCCCAGGCACCTGTTTCCTGTTATCTTTTCCTGAGCAGAAATAAGCATGGCGTCTTTCCTAAAAAAGATCAACAACTTTGGGCAACCTGGGGGGGGGGGAGCACCAGAGGCAGATCTTTGTACCCAGGCGTTGCATATGCTTAAGACGGCCCTGGTAGCAACAGCACTTTTTTGTGGGATCCAGTGATCATATAAGTTCTGCTCACAGAATGCTCTTGCTGATGGAACAGGAGACCATTTTAGTTGGTTCCCCCTGATGATGCTTTTAAGAACGTGGTGTACAGTACCACAAGATGCTGTAGGGAAAAGGGGGGAATGAGTGAAACCTGTCTCCCACTCTTCCAACGGTGGGAACCTACTGTACATTGGATCAAAGTCCCTTTGATGAATGGAAGGTACACCTTCATTAGCAGAAAGGCAACACTGGATATAAACCAATGACAACTTTAACAAAGTCGCTTTTAAGCTGATGAAATTGCTTCAGTATTCATATTTTTCTTTTTTAAAACTTTTTGTATGTATTTTATGATGCTGGTGTTTCTTGACAAGCATGCTAATGAGAATAGAGATGGGCAGAGTGTTTCTTTAAGACAGATCCTCTCAATGGCATTGCCAATTCAAAATACAGAGCCTTGTTCAAGTTTAATGCAGAACCTCATAACAAAGCACCAATTATCAAACAATTTCACGGCTTGGTATTTTTTTAAAAAAACACACTAGAATGCTAAATTCTTCAGTGCAGATCAATACAGTGGAGGAAAGAAGCATTATTTTGTGATTAGGAAGGAAAGCACCAATTAAGCAGGGTGATTAATAAATTTAATAACTGCAGGCTTGAAGTTTTTAAAAAATGTTTTAATTGAATGTCAGAAAAAATGACATTAAAAAATGCCCTCCCTGTAATAAAATACTATATTTAAGTTGGATAGGCTGTTGAAAAGTTAACATAAAAATCTTTAACACAGTTCTTATCACTATTTGTACTTTCCATCTCCCTTATGGAGTTCCCTCTAGTTTGCCCAGAGGTAAGCATTTTGAAACCCCACTGATTTCGATCTAACACCTGTTGATCTTATCCCTTGCCCAAGTCCTGCTTTCTGTCTCTGTTGGCATTGTTTTCTTCTTTGACCACATCATCAACCTCTAACTCAGTTCCCACCTCCTCTCTTACTGCATTACACTCAAACTCACCACTGTTTGCCACTATCAGCAAACCCTCCCCTTGTCCTTTCTAACACTTGGTCTCTTTTAACCCTCTAACCACCATTCAGCCTCCTGTTTACCATTTGCTCCAAACTATTGAAACACATTCCTTACTTGCCAAGTACAAAGTTTTCTACTCTGCCTCATCCTCTTGAGAATTTCTTCTAAGTTTCTATGGGAAAGTTAAATTATGAAAAGTTTTCACTACAGTTTTCAGTTACTTCTTCAAGATCTTTAGGCATGCAGATATGTACCGTAATTATTTTGGAATCTCGGCACACACTTTTGTTTTATTTTATTTTTAAAAGCTTTATTAAATCAATTTCACTGTGTGTATATAGTCTACAGAAACATAAAAGTTTATGAAGCCAAGCATAATGGAAAATCTGCAGAATCTAGTCCCCTTTATGCATTATACTTGTGAAGGAGTTTGATATAATTAGTAGGAAACAGGATTATAACCCTCCACCCTCAGGGTCATGTGCCACTCTTACCCTGCTGCCATATCTCTACACGGAGCACAGATATTTGAAGACGGGAAGGCTTTGGGGGAGAATTTTATAACTACAATGAGAAGTAGATGAGTGACACTTGGACCCTGGTAATTCCTCAGGGTTTGCATTGAAAGTGAGAGTGATGCTTCCTGAATTTGCTTTGTTTGTCTTCAATAGCATCAGCACATTAAATCTGATTGGCTACATTGTGACATCATTCCATTCTGACATCATCAATTAATCCCTAATTGTGACAGCCTCTCATAATCCCTAATTGGTTAGGACAATCTATTTGACAGATGGAAGAAGCATTCTCCTCATCTTCCATGGACTTTGCTTGACCTCAGTGACACTGCAATGTAGCCAGCTCTAGCTCGTTGACTGGGATAGCTCATGTAATTAAAGCAGAAAGAACAGGATGCAGTCATTTAAATACAAAAAAAGAGCATTGTTACCAAAAGAGCAGCAGAGACAATGGCAGAAAATAGGCTTCAAAAAAGTGATATGACGGCATAATTATTATGCAATTATATATTGCTTCTATACTAACGTTCTTCTTAAGTAGTTGTTTCAATGGGGGTGTTAGGCATTTTCAAGGTCTCATTTTTTAGAATGAAAGGCAGTATATGAATATATAAATATATAAATAGGTCTGGAAAAAATATTACTTCATCCCTGAAAGCACTATTTTCTCTGTCACTGCTATAATGTTTGTTAACTGTGCTCTGAAAATTGCAAAGAGTGCAAGTGTAAACCCTTTTAACTACAATGATAAACTCTATTTGATGATTTATCAGGAGAATTGTTAGACTGGCTTCTAGGCCTGTTAGCATTATGGAAGTAGGTCATTAATCAAAGCTCAAAGAATTCCTAGTACTTCTTACGATAGAAAATATGACAGAGATTTAAAAGATTATTATTTATAATTTATTTTTAAAATCCATAGACCACTTCATGGCATTAAGCCTCTGAAGCAGTGTACAGAGTAAACACAGAATAAAACTCAGAAACACAAAAAAAGAAAATAAAGAAAAAAGAAACACAAGTTCTAAGAACAATGCAATCAAACTGATAAACTCTAAAACAATAAAACCATCCATACAAACAAAAGCACATCATCAAAGATAAAACTGATCTTCTATAAATGACTGGGTTACACTTAGGGAAAGCCTTCCTAAACAAAAGCTTCTTTAGTAGGCAACTAAGCATCATCATATTTGATTTTGGCTTGTAATTGATTACAGATAGTAGATGCTGCAACAGCAATAGTCCCAGGTTCTAGAATAGGCTAAGTGCACCTCTGGGGCATATGGTACTCTCAATATAGGCTGCAAATCTACACACACTTACCTTGCAGGAGGTCCTGTTGAACTCAGCGGGGCTTATTCTGAGTAGAGATATCTAAGATAGCACCACAAGTCTTTCAGATTTGTTCAGCTGAATATATATTTGACTATATTTGACTTAAATCCTGTGTATATTTAAGATGCAAATGGAACAGAGATGAAAGGAAGAGAGGTGGTGACCCCACCCCCACCCCAAAAACCATTTCACGATACATTAGAACATGATATTCAAACTTCAGGATGCAAATGCTGTAGTCCTGACTGATCTACTCTTAGCTTTCTTGGGTTACTGCACCTTTTAAAGAAAAGCCATAGAAACTCTGGAAAAGATTCAGGGAAGTGTGACAGACTGAAAAGTCTTTAATACAAGAAGTGTTTTGAAAGCCTGAAAAAGAGCTGTGTCTTTTATAGGGACAAGGAGGTACATTCTAACACCTGTAAGATGCTATTATAAAGATGACGCTAATTTGTTTTCTGTTAACAGAGGAAAGAACAAGGAGTAACAGTTTTAAATGGAGGCGACTCAGGAAGGAACTACATGTTACAGGTCATACAAGGCTGTCACTGGAAACAGAAACCTCCAGTTGATTTCTTTCCTAATGCAAAGCAACACTTACTCATGTGACATCACAGTATTGAATGTGCTACCACCCACAGCCCAACACTGACTGCAGCTGAAAAGAATGGAGAAATGCAAAAGTTGACATCACAACCCAGGTAAATGTCTTGCTACTTGTTAATATAGGGGAAAAGGATAATCCAGCACAAGGGTGCAATTTTTGGAGGCATCCTCATGTCATAACGTATAATTTTGCCCGGATTTCAAACGTTGCACTCGGCTACGGAAACGTCAGCATGAAATATCTATCATCTATCTATCTATCTATCTATCTATCTATCTATCTATCATCTACCTATCTACCTACTTACCTACCTATCTATTAAATTTCTATCCCACCCTTCCTTCCAAAGGAGCCCAGGGCAGCAAAAAAAGTGATAAAACAGTAAAAACATATTTAAAAGGCTTGGGGGGGGGGGGAGAAAGGTATTTAGTAGGTGCCAAAAAGACAAAAGAGAGCAGCAGTCTAATATACAACAGCAGGGAATTCCGAATGGTAGGTGCCACAGCACTACAGGCCCAATTCCTACATTGTGCATTTCTTACCTCCTGATAAGATGGTATTTGCAGGAGACCCTAATTATTTTTCAGGAATATATCCTCTGGAGTTCTCTTGTACACACACCTTGATAAGAGGCATGAATAATTTGCATTGGGTATTCATTCCAAAACGGAGGTAGGAATTCAATGTTGTGCTGTGGCAGTCATCCCATCTGTGCAAGCTTTTCAGCTTGCAGGACAGAATGATCCTCAACATGCATCCTCCACTCCCAAGCCAATTTCAGGGGGTGCATGGGGAGAGGAGAGGAGAGGTGTGGAAAGCCTTGATGTCTTAGTGGAAGTCCTTGTTCCAGCTTCCACTAGCAGGAATAGTTAGCTGAATAAGATATAAAGTGGGATAAAAGATAAAAATGTCAGTTGATTGTGGACCGATTCTTTATGCCATATAACGTATAACATCCGTCAGTTATTTCAGTCACAACCATTAGATTCTTACCAAACATTGTGAAGATGTTAATAATGTAATATTACTAATGACAGCTGGAGTTGGGATCTCTTCTGCCTTTGAAGAATGAAGGTTGTTTCATAAGTTTCTCATGGGGAATCATCAAGAAGTGCAAAGATTTTCACTTTAATTGCTGTTATCTAATTATCCTCTTCCAAACGGGAGATAATCAAAGCTGGAATGTGTCTTTAAGGCATTGATTTCGTAGCTACGTGTGGTTTTAAATCTTGATCACATGTAGTAGCAGCAGCTGCATTATTCCAGTTAGTTTTGAACGTCATACTATCTGAGTACAGCATAGTGAATGATGTTGAAGAAATGGTGTTTTCAAATAAAGAATATCAGGAGGACACCAAACTTGAAGACAGGAAGAGAGGAAACACCCCCCCCCCCCCGGTGCAGTGTGCTTTGAATTTTTTTTTTTTCAGGAGCATGCTTAGGATGAACTTGAGACTTCAGCCTCTGTGCATATTTCCCCCAAAAAACTGTGTCAAACTGATCATGCATCTGAAGAAGATATTCGAAATACACTGAGCCCAATAAATATATATTTGCAAACCTGAAGGATTTATTGCCCCTTTTATTTTACAATGAAACGGGTAATGAAAGCATTCCCTAATAGTACAATTCTGTACACCAGGACTAAGTCCCATTGAGTTCCATGGGGTTTACTGCTAGGTAAGTGTGTATAGGACTGCAGCCTATGACTCTTGTATCAAGGGTTTCCAAAGATTTAATAGATGTTTTACTGTATAGTTCCTCACTCTTCTCAGTAATAGGGAATCCCAAAGGCCTTCTACGGGGTCAGTTTCTTTGTGAGGAGAAAGCACTTGTGTGTGTCTTATGATGTTCTATATCTTTACAAATGTACAGTGTGTGTGTGGGATTAATCAAGCATACAGCAATACCTGTGTGAAACTATAAAGAGTGCAAGTTTCCCTCAGAGAAAAGAGCATTAGAGCCCCCATAAAGGCTCCTTCTTTTTAGTCTTCTGCAAAAACCTACAGTTCTATCCCACTTCACGGGCTACAGGGAAATTTGTTTTTCTGTGAGTCTCACCCTGGGTGAATGAGATACTATCAATAGTACTAGCCATGACTGGCCATTATGGCCTATTTAAGAAACCTGTTGTAGCAATCAACAACCACTGCAACATAAAATTGATTCTTGTGTTGTCTGATGAGTGTGTACAGATTATTAAAATAGTATGAAAAAATTATTTTGCTTGAATAACTACTTCCTAAAGGTAAAGGACCCCTGACCATTAGGTCCAGTCATGACCGACTCTGGGGTTGTGGCGCTCATCTTGCTTTATTGGCCGAGGGAGCCGGCGTACAGCTTCCGGGTCTTGTGGCCAGCATGACTAAGCCGCTTCTGGCGAACCAGAGCAGCACACGGAAATGCCATTTACCTTCCTGCCGGAGGTACCTATTTATCTACTTGCACTTGATGTGCTTTCGAACTGCTAGGTTGGCAGGAGCAGGGACCGAACAACTGGAGCTCACCCCATCGCAGGGATTGGAACCGCCAACCTTCTGATCAGCAAGTCCTAGGCTCTGTGGTTTAACCCACAGTGCCTGGCAATAGTAAAAGTAACAAATTTGAGAGTTTCAATTTGTTTCTCAAAACACTCGTGATGTTGTTCACCAGCCTTCTTTTGCAGCAACTTGCAAGGCTTGCACTTGATGTGCTTTCGAACTGCTAGGTTGGCAGGAGCAGGGACCGGGCAACGGGGGCTCACCCCGTTGCGGGGATTTGAACCGCCGACTTTCTGATCGGCAAGTCCTAGGCCACAGTGCCACCCGCGTCCCAAACTACTTCCTACATTGTGATTAACATGTATTCATCTAGAGAAGTATCATGTGTTCTGTTGCCGAACTGCTAGTATATCTTCTAAACTGGTGTTTACAGGACTCAGGCTGTGGTAAAAAAATTAAATTAAATTCAGGGAACACTGAGATACTTATGAATCAAACTCAGACTGACAGCAGCAAAATGTTCCACCTACATGTATAAAAAAAAACCCTAAAGAAGAAATAGGGAAAGTGGCTTTCCTTACCACTTTGCAGGTGTCTTTTTTCTCTCCTTAGGCTGGGTTCTCACTTTGTACTGCTGGCCTGGCAGTCGCTGAAGTGCCATTCCTTCCTACCTCAACAGGGCAATATGAGAAGCTCTAGGGCCATACATAGGCTTCTCCTTCAATTAGCATTAGTCCAGTTTCCTAAAAGGCAATGCCAGCCTGGGGTTGAGCTGTAGTATGGATTTTCCCCACATGGTCCAAAGCTTCAAATATTATTCCAATGGTATGGGAAGGATCATGGCTTAGTGCTGTAGCAAATGTTTTGCATGCAGAAAGGTGCAGGTTTAATTTTCAGCATCTCCAGGTAGGTCTGCGAGAGAACCCTGCCTGAAACAGTGGAGAGTTGCTGTCAGTCAGTGCAGACAAGAGTGAGTTAGATTGACCGGTGATCTGATTTGGTACAGTATACGGAAACTTCCTTTAGTGTATATCATTAGCAGGTGCTAATTATCCTCTTTGTCTTGACAAAGACTATAGTTTTGTTTTTGTTTGGTGAAATAGGTGGGCAGTGGTAGTGGGAAAAGAACGTTCACTGTGCTACATCTCCTTCCAGTTTTGACATAAGGCAACTTTCTCAACCTGTTTTCTAATACCTTATCTTCTCCTCAGTCTTTTTTGTTCTCAGTGCAGTTTTTAAGAAGGTTGCATTAGAGCATTCAGATCTTTAGTCACTATGGCTGCTTACATACTAAACCTTTAAAGCACATCTGAAGCACATTCTGTTCCTCAAAAAATTCTGGGCACTGCACAGAGGCATAGCACGGGGGCAGGGCGCACTTACTGTGCCCAAGCCTCGCTTCTCTCCTGAGAGTGACACGGTGGCTCCGGCACCTGCAGGCTCCGCATTGCCCGAAATGGCAGCATGGGGCTTACATCCCAAGTAGCTAGCTGTGCCACTGGCACTGTAGTTTACTCCTCACAGAGTTACAATTCTCAACAACCCTTTAAAACAACAGTGATCAGAATTCCTTGAGGGAAACAACATGCTTCAGATGTCATATTGTGTACACAGCCTAAGTTATTCAGACTGAGACCTTATGCAGTTATTTTAGGGTAGGTCCCACAGAAATTGGCAAAGCCTTTCTTTCTGCACAGAATTGGGCTGCATGGTAGCACTTGCTTAGTATATCCCACTGAGTCCTATAATAATTGCTAACTGCTACTACTACTATTTCTTCTTAAAATTTAATGTAGTGCATTCACTTTGCAGCAAACATGGTGAACTCTTTTGCCATCCCTCCCATAGCAGTCTGAGAAAAGTCACTATTGTTTCCACTATGCTGATGGGGAAACTGAGGCTCAGACTGAGTATTACACACAATTCCATGATATATTTTTGTGTTAGCTTCCATACTGACTTTTAAGGGTAGCCCCATGTTAAGCACATTGCAGTCGTCCAAATGGAAAGTCACTAGACTAGAGCATGGATTATTGAGGGCAGGTTATCAGGGTCAAAAACAAAACAAAAACAAGGGCAACCAGTGAGCAGCCGGAAATGGGGGTTAAGCACCCCTAGCTGAGGAGTCTTCTTGGGCCAGCTGCGACAGAGCAAATCCAGTCGCACTCCTAGACTTACTAACTTGTTCCTTCAGGGGGAGTGCAGCCCCTTCCATGTAAAAGTGTGGATGCAACAGCACGTGTTTGCAAACACGTGTCTCACACTCCAGGGGGCCAAGGTGAGCGGCAGCTCCCCCACGACCGCACTGGCGTGGGAAGCGCCTCGCCTTGCGGGGGAATCTCAACTACCGCGTTGTCTGGTCAGGAACCAGAGCGGACGACCTCTTTCGGGGTTGAGGCAGCAGGGCGGGAGGGCGCTTGCAGCTGAGCGCCTCTTGTCTTCGCCACCCACGAGCCCCTTTTCTCCTCTCTTCCCCCTCAGCCCTGCCGGCCCCCTGCCCTCCCCCCACAGCAACGTTTCCCGCCTTCTTCTTCCCCTCTGCTGCCCAGTCCACGTGCCCTTCGGCGCTGCTGTGCCCCTTCCTTCCCGCTCCCGACTGGAGTATCTGCTCGCCCCCCGCCCCGCTGCTTTCGGGGACGCTTCTCCGCCCTCCTCAGACGCTCAGCGTCTCTGCTCGGCGGTGCCTTCTTCCTCCCCGCAGCCGCGTTGCTCTTTCATCCCTCGAGTTTAATTGCGCGCGCTTTCCCCCCTCCCTCGGCGGGCGGGGGCTCGTCCGGGGCCAGCGCTCCATGTGGGCGCTTGGGCGGCTGATGGCCCTGCCCTCGCCTCTGTCATTTCTACGTCAGACTCGGAGCCGCCTGAGAGCGCTCCCGCTCTTTCTGGCTCACACTCGGGACGGAGACGCGCAAGGTGGCAGCCGCCTGCTCCCGCCTCCTCGGCTCCTGCCCGCCAAAGGCAAAGAAGGGACGCGGCTCCAGCCACGCCACGGGGCAGACGGCGGCGAGCAGCGGCAGAAGCAGCATCCATGAGAAGCATCTCTCAGCCTTGAAGCAGAGTAAGAGCGGGTGCTGCGGGGGGGTGTTTGTGTGTGTGTGTGGCGGGAGAATCGCAGGACAAAGAGAGAGCGCAGCGCGTAGCTAAAGCCAAACCAGCGGGATCTTAATAGGCTGCGATGGCGAGATGCGGTTGAGCCAGTCGCCTGCTTTCGCGAACGAGGCTCTCCTGCCTTGGGATCCGCTCCCAAAGAGGGAGGGAAAACTTTAGTTTCAGCACCAAGGAGAGCGCCCGTCGGCTTTTGCAAACGCGGCTCTCTGAACGCACCAGCTATTGACCAGGCTCTATGGGTTTGTGTTGCTTCTTTCCCGCCTATGGATGCTGATCCCCACTTCCTTGTGCCTTAGACTAGACATGTTTCCTTCACTTTCGTGTTAGATTTCTGCCTTCTATTATTTTGTCCTTTTAACTTAGCTATTATTCTGTGTTTCCTTCTCTCTTGTTTTTTTGTTTTAGCAAAGGCATTATTTTAACACCCCTTTTCTTCCTTCCTTTCCTCCTCCTTCTTCTCCTTGCAGGTGGCATACCTAGCTGTGGCAGAGATGAATGAAAGCATTGCCTTGAATGAAACCAGGAGCCCTGTGCCCTGGATCCAAGCCAGCAACCAGAATTCTTCTCTGGAGCTCTCCTCCAAGCTCCCCATCTTTACCATCAACCCTTGGGATATTATGCTCTGCATTTCTGGGACCATCATTGCCTGTGAAAATGCGATCGTTGTGGCCATTATATTCTACACTCCCAACCTAAGAACCCCAATGTTTGTGCTGATTGGGAGCTTGGCCACAGCAGACCTACTGGCTGGAGTTGGCCTGATCCTCAATTTTGTTTTCCAGTATGTGATCCAGTCAGAAACCATCAGCCTTATTACAGTTGGCTTCCTAGTTGCCTCTTTTACTGCCTCTGTGAGTAGCTTATTAGCCATCACAGTTGATCGCTACCTTTCCCTGTACAATGCACTGACTTACTACTCTGAGAAGACTGCTCTCTGTATTCATATGATGCTGATCATCACATGGGGGGTTTCCCTCTGCTTAGGACTTCTACCTGTCTTGGGCTGGAATTGCCTAGAAGATTATTCATCGTGCAGTATTGTGAGACCCTTGACCAAAAGTAATGTGACCTTGCTGTCTGCCTCCTTCTTTGTCATCTTTATTCTCATGCTGCACCTGTACATTAAAATCTGCAAAATAGTTTGCAGGCATGCACACCAGATAGCACTCCAGCAACATTTTCTGACTGCATCTCACTATGTTGCAACCAAAAAGGGAGTCTCAACACTTGCTATAATCCTTGGGACTTTTGGAGCCAGTTGGTTACCTTTTGCTATCTACTGCGTAGTTGGAGATTCCCGCTACCCTGCTGTGTACACTTATGCCACACTTCTACCTGCTACCTACAATTCCATGATCAATCCTATCATTTATGCCTACAGAAACCAAGAAATTCAGAGGTCTATGTGGGTTCTGTTTTGTGGCTGCTTTCAATCAAAAGTGTCCTTTCGTTCAAGATCCCCCAGTGATGTCTAAGTGACTTCTCCTTCTGTGTCGTTTTGCACAAAGTGACAATCTTTGACTTTTGTGAATTACAGTGCCTGGTATGAACCAGATACATGTTGTGAAATTGTTTTTTGGGGGGAGATGTTTAAACAGTAGCACTTTATGTGTGTGTATTCTTGAGAATGTGAAAAGTCTGAAGCTTTTGGTTGTGTGGGGGGGGAGGGACCACAGTGTGGTTGTATACAAGATTGTGCATCACATTTGTAAAGTGGAGGCATTCCAAGACTACGTAATTATAGCACTTTATTTTTAGCTGCTGAACTGCCAAAACAGTATTGCCATTTTTAAAGGGCAAAAAGAAAGAGAGAGAAAGAAGAAGTAAAATATTGTCTGATTATTTTGGGATGTGAGTGATAATATATTTTGCTGCACAGTATTGACAAATTATGACATTTTGTATACAAATAAAACAATTCATTACATATTTTTATTTTGTGTGTTGAGCTGATTTAATAGCCTCTAAGAGCCTGAAAAACCTTTCATGATGCCTCACCTTTATTTACTTGAAAATATGAATTGGGTTTATCCACCCATATGAAATTAGTTTACTTATGCAGAGGAACCATGTCATAAAATAAGTTTCTCAAATATACTGTTTTGTTTATTTTGTTTCTATTCAGTAGTAATTCATTTTCTGTAGAGATAAAGCTAATCAAGCATGTGTATAATATTAATTCCTCTAAGTCTTTAAAAGGCCTTATCACTATTCTTAGGTAAGATATGAGACTATCAAATAAAATTGTTTCAGGAGAGGAAGCAAGATCAAAGAGTTATTCTGATTCTCAGATGATGGTTGCAGCTCACAGGGAAATGATTCTATATGAGTGTCATTGAAATCTTCAAGAGTTCAAATTAATTTCCATTCATTTGGGGGGGGGAGGGGTAGCATCGGAGAAAATTTCTATATTTTCCCATTTGACCTCCTTTGTGGCTTAGTTTTGATTTGGTCCATGTTTCCTTCCTGACACACCTGCGCAAGCTCATAATAAATTGATTTCTGTCACAATCCACAGGCCCTAGGTGCCTCTTTTTGTCTGTCTTTGTCTGACCAATTCTTCAGGGTGACTTATGCACAGCTTGCTGGCTGTGTGCATTAGGCCACATTGTGATATAACCCATTCACTTATAATAAGTCATTTTTTTCCAGAAGCAGCAGGTGAGAATTACATCTTAGCTTGGAAGGACTTGCACAGCTGAATCAAAATGAATAAATAAACCAATACTTTGAAACCATAGTGTATTGCAGTATACGTCTAGATTCAGAGTATCCTTGGGAGAGTTCCTACTTAACTAGAGTCAAATGATTATTTATTATCACTTCTGCTTTTAATTTAAAAACTGCAGCTATCTAAAACATCTCTAATAAGTTCTAGAAAGCAGATTCCATATTTTTTTTCTAGGTCATAAATTCTTTAAAGTATATTAATCCAGATGCAATCTTTTTAAAGAAAGAAACAACCTATAGTTTAGACCAAATCATCTGGCATTTGCATCCTGCAGCAGTAGAGACTCAAAAACCCAAAACTGCATGAACACTTTGATCCAGTAACATTAAAATGAGGAAAACATAAACATGCTAAAATTCAAGGTTAACAAAATCTGGGAACTGATAGTAATTGCTCCAATCCAGTGAAAGCAATATATTCATGGGAAATAGTTCCTCTGACAGCAAGAGTAGACACACTTTTTTCTCTTGAGTGAGGGCTGCATTTCATTGGGTAATTTGTCAGGCTGCATACTGGTAGTGAGTGTGACTGAGGCAAAAGTAAATGGGACCAAAGTTTGGCAGGATTGCTTATTTTCTCTCTTCCAACTCTTTCGTGCTGTTTTTCACTTCCTTGCCATCTGCATGAAATTAAGCAGAGACACATGACATGAGAGGGCAATATGCAGCTCTACAACCTATGACTTGTATGGATAATGGGGGGGGGCAGGGAGGACCCTGGATTCAATAGCTGCAGCATTCAGACTCCTGCAGATTTTTAAGGGATGGTGACACCGTTTTGCCACGAAAATTATGAAATTAATGCATAAATTCATGCAATGCCATTCACTTGTTGAGACATGGATTGGGTGTGGGGGGAGAGAGTATGAATATAGTCTCAAAACATCTGGAGGGCCAAGGTTGAGGAAGCCTGATCTAGTAGTTACCCCTTCCCTTCCTCCAAGTTGCTGAACAAATCAGCAGAAGTATTGCTCTGCTAGCACTAGTTAGGTAGAAGGACAGGCTCTGTGAGAGTTTGGTTGTGTTGGCAGTTCCCTAAACTGGAGCAAATGAGTATATTGTGAGTAGAATGTATATGTTAGTTTTAATATCTGCAGCGGCTACACAACATCATTTGGCAACAAAGACTGTAAAGACCAAATCTTTTGGATCAGGTGATCCCTACATCTCTCGCTCCTCCCACTTATATAAGTATAGACCAAGAAATACTACATAAAAATAGCACCAATGTAATTTTCACTTGGAGAGCACCATGCTTGAAATACAAATTTAGTCCATTGGTTAAGTATCAAACAACTGTAGAATGCCAAACATCAGGTATTTAGATGTAAAGACCTAGTTAGGTGATCTGTAATTATCAAAATGAGGAAATGAAAGGCTATTTCACACAGGCATGCATGCCACATGATCTCCCACCACTTTACTGTTCAACTTTTGACGACTCGCAGTGTGAACTGCTTTTACTGGAAAGTATTGCATTTGAGGTGACATGAAACCTCTGCTTGTATTTGACCTGGGAAGGCTGTTTCCATACAACAAAGCCATCATCTGGCATGTGGTCATCAAAGGATGAAGCATGTATAAGCAGTGCCAACTAGTTTCAAGGAATAATACTGCTTACACTGTACCTACGTAGTGTATATAACATCAGATAGACAACAATCTTTTGTCAATTTTTGGCTATTTGATCATCAAGCTGTGCTAATGATATGTGAGCAATGTCTTTACTTGCTACTTATATAATCCTGCTCCACCATTACCAAAATACAATAAATTTACAGTACACCAGCATTTACTAAATAAGGAATAAGCTGTACATAAACAAGAGGCAATAGTTCCACTGATTGACATCTAATTCATTTCACATAATATTTTGTGATATTGTAAAGTTGTGCATCTTTTACAATGCATGCAAATGTTTATTGAATGTTAAGGTGTGAAAACATGGGCAGAGCAATCCTTTACTCATATTGCTTTGGGACCAGATACAGTATATGCCGCTGCTACATTGGTAGAATTGCTACCATATCCAAGGTGTGCTCAGGAGGGGACAAGAAAAATACACAAGCAGAAAATACAAAAATTGGCAGACATGTCATCAGCAGTCATGGGAATTCTGCCAATACCTGAGAATCCATGTTCTACACATGGAGGGAACCAGTGAACCCATGATGATGGGGACCCTCACCCAACACACACCCCTACATCACCCCCACACACCCCCACACATGGAAATGATACAATACCACAACATCCCCATGAACTCAGTCTCTGCTCCTGCCAGCCCCAAAGCAAAGATACAAATTCATTTATACTGCTCACAATCACAGTTTTATAAGCACAAGGGAAGCAAGAAGACACACCACAGCGCTCACCTAGCTTTTTAGGCAGGATACCTACAAATATTACACACACACCTCCTGGGACAAGAGTTCAAGACTCGTTTAGAAAGTTTATTTTGTAGGGCAGCTGAAGGAAGGCACAGGACCTACAACAGGGGCAGACACACACACAACAGCAGCAGCCTCCAGTGGCTCACTCCATAAGGCATGGATTTGGAAAGCAGGAGACGAGAGCTTAAGCTTATCAGGGGAAATGTGGGGAAATACCCTATTCACTTTGAGGGGAAGTCATGTCAGAGGGCACTGCATGTGCCTAACCATTTGAAGTTGGAATGTGCCTGCCATTTTGAACCTGGAAATTCCCAGATTAGTGAATCCTCTTCCTTGAAGTGAATAGACCAGTCTACACATTGAAGCACGTGCAAGATTCTGCATTGTTGGAGGGCTGTCTTGTTAACACAAGTTACTTACTGGTGCATTGAGTAATCTGATCGATCATTCATGGTAGGATTGTTTTTAATATTAATTTCCCCAGATGATTGGGCACAATCCAACCATAGGTATGCATTTTAAGTACTATTAAGTTAAATGGGTGCATGGGGTATGAGGGGACTTACATATACTGGCCTATATCCAATTTAGTCTTGAATAACTGTTCCCACACCCAGTTTTTCATCAGTTGGCATTCCATGCCACTGAGCATGTTCTTTGGAGGTCTCCCCCCCCCATGTGTTTTGTCCTTCTGCAAAATGTTGTGCTTCCCCCACCCCAGCCTGCTGATAATCTCTTTCTCTCTATTGTGCATGGGTAGTGCCATTTTGGATACAGAAGCAACACAATGCACACCCTAAACATTGGAAGTAGAGGGCTTTTTAAAAATAAAGTTTTCTCTAATGTCACTTGTAATTGCTGACTTAATGCTGAATCAAGCTGAGTGGGGTGGTTGCCATCACTAATTAGACAACAGTATTAGGAAGGAAAGAAATGGAGTTCCCTCTTCCCAATCTAACCTCATGGCTGCATAATAGTTGGTGCTGTCAGACCCTTCATTTCAGATGGCTGCAGTTGTAAAGAACATCCCTCCCTCTCCCGCCCAACCTAAGAGGTGTCTGGTGCCATCAGAGCTCTGTGATATGTGACCTTTTCTCCACAAGGATGCACACTGTTCTCATAAAAACCCACAGAAAACATGTGTACAGCATAATATTTGAAGATCGTGCAAGTGTCTGTTCTGCCTCGTGTACACTCATTGGGAACCCTCTGCCACTCATGTAGTGAGTATATAGACACTGGCATTATGTTTGCAAATGATGACATGTGCTGATCTATGTGGGTCTTTCTCCCCCTTGAATACTAGTGTATACGTGTGGTGGAGCAGACCTCAGAAACTTCAGTATCTCTGGCAGAACATAACATCTCTTATTAAAGGGGTTCCTCGACCATATCGGTATGAACGCATGGTTTCCTACATCAGGACAGCTACATTTTAACCATTCCCCAATCATTTATAATACTGAAATCGATAAATGTTAATAATTGGATAAAATCTTTAATGATAATAATAATAATAATAATAATAATAATAATAATAATAATATTTTATGTGTAAAGGTAAAGGTAAAGGTACCCCTGCCCATACGGGCCAGTCGTGTCCGACTCTAGGTTTGTGCGCCCATCTCACTTAAGAGGCCGGGGGCCAGCGCTGTCCGGAGACACTTCCGGGTCACGTGGCCAGCGTGACAAAGCTGCATCT